GGGAAACGACCTGGTGGATCCTAACCGGCAACAGAAGAGGTTAGCATGGGCATATCAGCAGGGCCAGAGGTCCATTTGGCTTTTCCCTGCCGTTTGGGCTTTCAGGAAGGTGGGTTTCAGGGCTGCCATGCGACGATGGCGGTGTGGATCCGGCATTGGCATCACGGCCAGGATCTCAGGGCTCCTGCTGTGTAGACTGAACGAGACAACAGCGCGAGGAGGGGGCGCAGCGGGAGCAGTATGTCCGGTGCTCATTGGAGAGGCCTTGCTCGCAGGACTGAATACAGCATCAATCATCGAGAAAGAAGTGCCAGGTTTATCCGACCAGGTTCAGCCAGAAGAGGCCGAGAGCCCAAGGAACCGCGACGGCGGTACCTTCAGCCAGGGCCCATCGTTGGCTTCGGGGGCCTGCACGAAGCCTCATGACTCGGAGGATCGATAGGCATGGCTCTCATTCGCAGGCCACGGTAAGCACCGCGATTCGTCCACTGGAGGGCAATTACCCCTGAGCAAGCTCGAGTGGGCCTGAAGCAGCTGGGCTAGGGACGACACCCCGGTCTTCCGGTCCCCGGGGATCAGGCTTACCGAAGAGTTGTTTACCTCTAGTGGGGGCAATTCCACCACTCGGCTAACGCTGGATCTCCGCTAGATGGCCCCAGAAGCTTTTTGCCTTTTGCTTTCAGTGGCGAATAAGCGGCTGCGTACCCAGGACCCAGCAGGCGCCTTAAAAAGCCCGCTGCCCCTGTAAGCCTACACGCCCGTGCCAGGGGGTGTAGCACTGCTGTGTGATGAGCACGCCGGGCTGCATCAGCGGCATGTCATCTCACTCGCTTCGGCCACCATGTGACTCGACGCTCTACCGGTCAACGTACAGCCCACATCAGGACCGACAGTTGGTCACCGATCGACTCGTCGCTACCGAGTGAGTGTTTGATAGGCAGGCTAGAGGCGGTGAAAGAAGCGGTCATGCCCTATCGAACAACGAACAGACCAGTTCGGGTAGCAGGCGGAGACAAGGCAGAATTTTAACCGAAGAAGCTGCTTGGTTGTAGAATAATTAATCGCCACCCCAGCGGTGCTGCTTGAGTACATACTCTGTTGTTTGTACCACAGTACGTGTCATGCGGTAGTATGCATCCAGAGACCGGGGTTGTAGCAATACTCTCCGCAAGCAGACGCGGATATTCGGAGGGTGCATCACGTTGGTGACTGGCTGGATGCAAAGCCAACTTTTGTGACATTACCCACTCACCTGTCATCCGTGGCCGAATCAAAGTTAGTTATCAGGCGGCTCCAGCTGGGCTGGCACAGCTTGCATCGCGGGATGAGGTATCGAGAGGGGCAAGCTGCACCGAGCCGCGTGACCAGGAAAATGACCCAGCAGCTATGGACAGGCACTGGAGATGAAGGACCGTAAAAGATCCGGAAAATGAGCGGCTCGCAGGACGAAGGAAGATGGCAGCGCTACCAGGGAGAAGAAGCAGACGAAGAAAAGGTGGTCTGACAGGGTGCGGGCAACAATGCACCACGCAGCGCTTGATAGTGCGAGTCTGCACTCGACAAGACCGGATGTGATTTGAGGAGCCAGCTACTCCGTGCGGATGGTATATTTCGACATGGATGAGACTTCAGGCCGCGGGACTCTTCTATCATATGCAGAGTGCAGGATCCACGTGTGCCAGCAGCAATTGTCATTGACGAATCACGCCACGACAGGCGACAAGTGATAGACGCGATGGTCAAGACGACAAATTCGGTACCGTAGTTCGGATGCGCAGCCAACTGGGGAACAAGGTTGTGCTCGAGTCTGCGAGCAGGCGCCGGTGCATGGGGATGATTCGTAGCTGAAAGTTTCCAGCACTCTGCAAGCAAGGGAGCCGTTGATGGTCTGAAACCTTCACACATTTGAGTTTTCTAGCGACTGTCGAGAGCTCGGAAAAGGGAGCTGCTGAAGCCAAATCCTTCGGGGATATTAGCTTGCCCCTGATTCAATTTTCCAGAAGCGCCGCTCATCGCCGCGGTGGCTGAAGTTGGCAGGCTGCTGCCTGCACGACTCTGAGTACTCCCGGTGGCAAAGTACGAGTACTTCATGGATAGCATCAGAATTATTCACCGATTCCGGGGGACTGGTTCGCTCTCTGAAAGACGTGCGCCCGATGCTGCATTGTTGCCTTAGTCGCATCTTTAGCTGCGCGTTAGGCCCGACGACGTCTAAGCGGCCTGGCGTGTCTGTAGGTGTTTCAAATCTTGAATATTCGGGTCTCCTCCCGGTGTGCACTCCCTTGCAATGCTCCTTGGCACATGGTTTCGTCGCATAGCACAGCGAGATTGCCGACTTGTATCAGAGCAAGGCTAGGTATCAGCAACAGCGGAGACCGAGACAGAATGTTTGTTGCCACGTCGACCGTGTTAGGCGTTCTGTCGCCCATTTCTAGTTCGGAGAACCGAGCAGAACTCCGACGCATGATGTACTGTACAGCTAGAATAGACCCGACCTCTATCGGAGTGCAAAAGGTACCTTGGGCAGCGGTATAGCCGCCCAGCTGTCACTGGCTTCTGCTTCTGCGTCTCCTTGATGGGGGAATCGCAATTCCTGATTGCCTGTTTGCCTCCCTCACCGCATTTTAGTCAGGTCGAAGAAGAGCAAACATCGGGTTTGGTGAGGTCGGCACCGCCGGCTCCAGTAAGGAGGCACGGAGCCTTGGGCTTCGCACCTCTGACGACCAAGACTTGTTGCGGCTAAACTAGTCCAGCCTCACTCTGCACGCATGATCTCCGACATGCTGGGGTGGGACAAAATCCTCTGCATATGATGCAGCATGGCCAGCATGCCTTAGAGCATGCACAATTTCGTATGCGCAGCTCAATTCTCGGATCACACAAGGCCACCCCACCAGTGAGCCGCTTACCCAGTCTGTCTCGCGAGCCTCGTTGAACAATATCCGTACCAAGGCGCTTCATGCCGTAGCTGCAAGGCGGCAGCTACGTGATATCTCCACCGCAAAATACAGCAATAACATCATCGACCACCACTGAATTCGTGTCTTGATGTTACACGACATGCAACCCGTCTGATGCCAGCTCATACACGCCCATGTCACCAACCCCTCACCGGTGAGGGAATTACTGGTTTCGGCCAGAGCCATCAGGGAAATGCCCCAGACCAGCAAGGCTGCTTTGGTCGCGGACAATTTGGTTGCCTTGCGCTGACCTGTCTCCGCCCTGCAGAAATAGCCAGATATCGATTTCGTCGAGGCGCAGATCCCTTTGAGGCGCAGTCAATCGTACCGAATAGTCAACCCTCAAATAGCGGTCAGATTAAGTTGCATGATGTGCAATTGACGCACCTGTCCCATCCCAGGTCTAGGCCGTTGATGACTGCATTGACTGACGGCCTGCAGCCGAAGCAAGATTGCTGTGAACTGAGCCTTATTGACGCCCGGACGCACAATCATCGATTCTGACTGCATCTGGCATGTGTCGCGCTCCCATTCGACCTCTGCAGCTACTTGCGCCGTTGCTCCCTCTGCGGACCGGGGCGTCGGTCGGGCACTTAGAATAGGTTCAACCGGGAGCACTTGTGCCATGTTTCTGGCCCATCTGCATCCGGCTTCTTGCGTGGACGTCACGAGGTGTGACTGAGTCGGGTAGACGACGCAAGTTATGGTCTACCCGCAAGCAACCGGTAAGGGTAGGGATCCATAATTGGAGAAACTCGCTTGTCCACTGTCGGGCGGACACGAGACGAAGGTGTTAGGAGGACACACACCGTGCCTGGGAGCCGCAAGCCGATATCGCGTGAATCCTGTTATGAGCCGAGTAGAGGTGAGCAACTGGTCAGGAACCGCCAAGCAACAGATGTGTTCCCGACTCGGAGGCATGCTGTCTTGTACACTACTCCTTCGTCCCCAAAACCATCGCTGCAGTATTGAAGAGTAGCAAACTGTCGTTGCCCGGAGAAAATCTCCGCAGCGATAAGTCCCATCATCGTCATGCTGAAGCAGGCACCTCGACATCTCTGAAATAGTGCGCCACTAGGTTGTGTCGTGCTCGACTTGAGCAACGGGGAAATTTCCTCCTCGGTGGCATACACATTGCAAACGAGACTGAAGACAGAAATAGCCGCTCCGGCACCGCCGACAATGTGGTGGAATCCAAGTGGAATGCATGGAAGTTGTCACGATGACTGGCTTCGTGCAACACCAGATGCGGGTGGTGACCTGTGAGAGGGATCAGTGGCAAGCCTCATGCATGTGAACTGGTATGGCGTGGTGTGGCATGGAGTGTCAAGCAGTCACTACAGTAGCAGCTGACTTATCTTCGCATATCCCGCGCAAGCGAGGTGCAAGTATCGCCAATATTGGAACCGCGTGGTGCCATTGTTCGCAGATCGTATGCACATGCGTGTCACTTGCATACGGCAGAGAGGCCGCCGTCGACCCGGTGAGAGTAAGTTGAAGTGCAGGCGCGGGCGCAGGCGCAGCTGATGAAAGAGAGACTGCTCAGAGAAGGCGCACCGGGGCTCCCCACTCATCGCACACATATTGCCCGACTTCGCGTCACGATCTTGATGATAGGGGTCGAGTCGTGAAATCGTACAGGAAGGTGTGCTGGGCCCGCAGCAGGTTGATGTCTTGCTCTTGACTGTAGCATTTGCGGTTTATCGCCAACCCGATCAAAAGCAGCGACCCGATTGGCCACGATGCGCAGACACGCAGGCTCGCGATAAGCCTGGCAGCCAAATCACCACCTAATCACTGTCTCCTCACTTCATTTGGCGAGACCGAGCATGCTTTCCCCCCCGCCAGCCACTGACATGTCCCGCCCACCGGTGATGGCCGGGATCCATCACCACCGTGAGCAGATCGAGTTGCACGGCACAAGGCTGACCTGAGTGACTAGGCTGTACACTTTTGAAATGCTGCTCCGATAGCACTGGATAGGGCAATTCTCTCCAGTAACGAGCAGAAGATGTCAGTGTCGCTTCCCCGCCGCATGACATGACCCCCTCCGCGGCCTCTCCTCAGAGCGCCAGCCTCAAGCGAGCGTATCCCGCCGACGAACTTCCCCCTCCACCACAGCCGGAGCCGGCTGTGGCAGTCTCGAGCAACTCTCCTGCCCCCAGTTCTGTAGCGTCGGCGACCTCCGCGTTCAGGAATGTGTCCGCCTGCAATCGCTGTCGTGTTCGTAAGAACCGATGCGACCAACGGTTGCCCACCTGCTCGACCTGCGACAAGGCCAACGTGCGATGTGTAGGTTACGATCCTATCACCAAGAGAGAGATACCCAGGAGCTATGTCTACTACCTCGAGACCAGGCTAGCCTACTTTGAGCAGCTGCTCAAGGCAAATGCCATCTCCTACAATGCCGGCGAGGTCTTTAGCGCCGAGTCCAAAGAGCTGAGGGACGCCGTCCAGTCGCCGGGCAGCGCAAAGGGCTCCTGGGTCGGACCTCAGTCGCCCAGCAATGGTTCACCACGCCCGATCCGCGCCGAGGACTGGGACAAGAGGCAAGAAGATGCCGAAAAGCTGAACAAGCTGGTGTCCAACATCGGGATGGTCTCTGTTCAAGGTGCTTCCGATGCACGATATCTGGGTTCAACCTCTGGCATATCGTTCGCTCGGGTAGTCCTGGCCGCGGTCAAAAGCTCGGTCTCGAGCAGCAACTCAGAGCGCGCAGGCGTGAGACCCAGCCGCCCTGTGCCCAACCTTGCCAGCTCGGGCGGCAGTTCCATGAGGGATTCATATTTTGGCTTACAAACGAAACCGACCATCAAGGAGGCCCCCTTCCCCGATCGGGCCCTCGGTGAGAAACTAGTCAATCTGTACTTTGAACATGCCAATCCCCAAATTCCGATCTTGCATCGATCGGAATTCATGGACCTATTTGATCGTACATACTCGATCGAAGCCTCGAAGCGGACCAGTCGTGAACTCTACCTGCTCAGCATCGTCTTTGCGATCGGTGCCGGTATCATCTGGGGCTCATCGGATCCGCAGCCAGATACCCGCGAAGCCGAGTACGCTCCTAAGAGAGCCAGGCTTGCAATGCAACAGGCTCAGCCTGAGGAATATCATGCTTCCGCTATCGTCAACCTCGGGTCGTTTCTGGCATCCAGCTCCTCCGCCGAGGCTGCCCAACGACCGAATGGTGATCTGGAAGAGCTTCAGGCCGTCTTACTACTGTGCAGTTTTGCTCTCCTCAGACCTGTGGCTCCAGGACTGTGGTACATTGTAGGTGTCGCCATGAGGCTGGCCGTGGACCTCGGCCTCCACTACGAAGACGGTACTGGAATCGACGATAACATGGAGATGCAAGGAGGACCACGAAACCCGGCCGACAGGCCACCAAAGCCCGTCGATGCGAAAGAGAAAGGTCGACGTGAATGGCTTCGTGATTTGCGTAGACGACTTTGGTGGTGCACGTACACGTTTGACCGCCTCGTCAGCACGTGCGTAGGACGACCATTCGGTATTACCGATCAAGTCATTACCACAGAGTTTCCCTCTCTCCTCGACGATAAACACATCAGCCGAGCTGGCTTTTCGCAGCCGGCGTTCCCCGAAGAACCCACCTACAAATGGGTTTCGCACCATTACTTCCGTCTGCGGCTGTTGCAGTCCGAGATTCTCCAGGTGCTCCAATATCAACAAGCACAGCAAGCACGTCTCAGTGGCACCAACCAACGTAACCAGTTCATGCATACCAAACTACCGTCGCCATTTCTGAGTAAGTTTGACTCTTTCCGATCGTGGCGACGAGACATCGACCAACGGCTTTATGAGTGGAAGGAGTCGGCGCCCGATCCCTCAGAGACCGGCGTCGGATTTTCCGTGCAGTTCCTGGAACTCAACTACTGGCAGGCTGTGATAATGCTGTATCGACAGAGTCTCAGCGTTCCAGCGCCCCTGGCCAACGAACTGAGCCCGACAGAGGATGTGGCGAGCCCCTCGAGCCTGAGGATGGAAGAGAAAGAGGATGAAGACCTGGTGTTTCTCAAATGTGCAGAGGCTGGTCAGAAGACGTTGAAGTTATACAGGCAACTCCACCGCCTCCGACTCGTGAATTACACATACCTGGCAACACACCATCTGTTCATGGCCGGTATATCGTTTCTCTACGCTGTCTGGCACTCTCCGGCCGTTAGAGCTCGCCTGGTAAGCATACCGAGAGATTGTTGCTTCCCGCCTCCATTGACTAACCCCGACTGCAGACACTCGATGACTTTGACTTTACCGTCCTTGCCGCGACGTCTGTGCTCGGCGACCTCATGGAAAAGTGTCCGCCCGCCGAAGCCTGCCGCGATGCCTTTGATAGAATGAGCAAAGCGACTGTGCAAATGTGCATGTCGACTCCTGGCTTCGGGTTCTCAGTTGAGCCACGCGACGAAAGACAACCACGACAACAGCTCTCCCGGCAAACCAGCCTGCAGAACCATCCACAATCCCAACCAGTGCTAATGCAGATCGATTCAACACCTCCCTCAACCACACGCATCGCCCCCAGGCCCTTCCAGAAAAAACGCCCTCCCCCAAAGTTCGATATGGACCTCCGCGAACTCTTCCCCGAGGATCTCGAGCCCAGCACCCGTCCCTCCTATTCATTCCCCCAGCCGACGCAGTGGTTACGGCCACAACAACATTCCCCACAGCCCAGCCCCAACACCGCCATTGGAAGGGGCCTCCACGCTGCTTCTCTCCAGCACTCGCCAACCCAGGGTCAGATGTCGCCCGCGTCGAGCATCAACTCGCAGATCAACACCGGCCTCGGCATGGGCCCGTCGTCCACCAATGCCCACCTGTTCAGCCCCCAGCAGAGTCACGCCCAGACGAACGCCCAGTTCTACATGCAGAACACGTACAACCCAGACTTCATGTCCAGTCTGCCGGGCATGGACTTTCTAAACAGTATGGGTGGCGACAGTGGGGCGGGCGGCGAGGACGACTTCAAAATCGACGCCGGCGGTTTAGGCGACTTGGGCTTCGGCATGGGTTTGGACATGCAGCACGATTGGAGTGACGGGCAGCAATACGATTTGTTTGATGGCTTCTTTTTCGGCAACGGCATTGGCAATGGTAACGCCAACGGTAGCGGCAATGGCAATGGTAACGGGTATATTGGTGGGGATGCGGGTGGGTATAATGCTGGGCAAGGGACCGGAACTTCTTGACTCGTGTGACTAGAGGACAGTATAGTAGCGTACAGTGAGTATACGAACGCATACTCATATCCATAGTATATGCTATGTGGGCAGGGTAAGCCTCCAATTTGAAAGTACGAAGCACGTACTTGGACGCGGAATATACTCTGTTGTGCGTGTACTTATTGGAAGCTGTGTACTGTGTAAAGTGTACCATCTATGAGGACGTGAGTGGCGATGTAGGAAGACATTTCATTCGATCTGCCAGGACTACATGGGAGCAGGTTCAGCTCTCCCTAATTTGCAGGATTGACCCCTGTAGACCTTTTATCCAGGTCTTCTGCGAGGACTACCGCGACGGACAACAGATATCACATGAAGGTGACTCCACTCGATCGCCTCATTGCCTCACGATGGGTCAGGACCGCTCGGACGCGACACGCCCTCGTCCTTTCGTGGAATGTCGGCTACAGTATCAAGGCCAGCAAGCCGCTCGCGGCTCAAGATCCAGCGACCTTGACTCATGAAGCACGGGTGGCATTCCGCAGGGGTTCATCACAGCAGTGTCAAGGTTGCGGAACGCATGATAAGGAAGCTACGCTGGATCCAGATATACTGGGTAGTAAAGGCTCTCGTACATATTTATACAGAAACGTACAGTAATACTGGCTTCTGGCATTCTCTCTCTCTCTTCAGAGCCCGCGAATCCTCGATCTTGCTGTATGCCATCCATACCGAGGATTGTTGTACCCACGGCTAACCGTTTGCGATCCCGGTTGATACCGAACACGAGGACTGTACCCATCAGGTTTGGATAACCGTGCTCTGCTCAATGTATGTAGTCCGAGCAACCACCAGGAACGAAGTCCTCGCAGTTGCAAATGCAAGCGCCGCGCGATAGCCTGGCCTGTCGTGCGCGAGCTTGGCCTGCGTCCCGACGACCTGGTCCTGGTCTTGTACAAAGCCAGAACAAGCCTCATGCCTATGCCTTAGCCAGTCAGTCAAACGGGTCAACGAGATTGCATCCAAGCGTCACTCTGACTGCCACGTGCTCGGTTCCTGTCTGATACTCATACAACCTCAATCCCCAACCTCACTGTCACCCTTGTCACCGCTGCTGCTGCTGCATTGCCCCGACCTTCGCCTCGACCAACCTCCCCACAATCTTCTCCAAGATCGCAGGCCCTCTCCCTCCCTCTGCCTGTGCCTCTCTCTCGAAATACCCCACAACGCTCTTCTCGACCAATTTCCCCACAATATCAATCTCGACATTGACCCCCTCCCCGGCCGTTTTCCCCGCCATGACGACCCTCTCCTGCGTATAACTGATCAACATGACCTCAAACCATCCCTCCTCGTCATTGACCCGTGTGATCGTGAGACTCGCCCCATCCAGCGTAATATACCCCTTCTCCACGATATATCGCAAGGGCTCCCTCTCGCGCGGCTGTAATCGGAACGTCAACGCATTCCCGTCGGGCGTGACGCTCACGATGGTCGCGATGGTGTCGACGTGGCCTTGCACAAAGTGCCCTCCCATGCGCGTACTTCCCAGAACAGCCCTCTCCAGATTGACGCGGCTCCCTTCTTTGAGACCGCCTAGGTTCGTCCGTCTCAGCGTCTCGGGCGCGACGCCGACCTTGAAGCGGTGGCGCGACGAGTCCAGCTCCGTGACTGTGAGGCATGTTCCGTTGACGCTGATGGAGTCGCCTAGTGCGGCGTCGGTGAGGATCGAGGAGCAGTCCGAGATGGTTAGCGAGGTGCCGTTGCCGCCGGAGGTGGAAGGGTCGAGGGGCACGAGCGAGCTGACTGTGCCGATTGTCTCGACCAGGCCGGTGAACATGTTTGCGTGAGGTGGCCGAGGCAACGAAGGGGCAAGGATGGTGGTTTATCGGGGGGGCAGTAATGATCTGGTGGAAGCGTAGTTCTGTATTTCACACCTGTGTATGTGTATGTACAGGTGGTGAATATGTAACCGATCAATGATCCCTGCATGATGCGCGAGGATGCCAGACTTTTCGGGGGTTCTTGATTTTTCCCCGCATGCATTACATAATCGGCATGTCAGCCACGCAGCCTTGCGCTGAGGCGGCACGTGGGTTGCAAGCCGGCCGACTTTCCCGCCTGGGTGGGCAAGCTCCTTCATAAGGCTGAAGGCTGGCGCCTCTCACACGCTCCCACCACACATCAGGCTTGCTTATAGCCCGACTCTCTCTCCACCCGATTCTCCGTTACAGGAGCAGATCCAAGTATCTTCTAGGATATCATGGACTCTTGCTTCCAACTGTGATCATCGCTCCTTTCCGTTCAAACCATCCAGTCCTCTCGTGCTCGGCTCGTGAAAGCGCCATGGTTCGAGATCGAAGCTGGAAGCGGTGCGAATGAGGCAGCCGCTGTCAACCTGCTGGCAGACCGGTCGTCCCGCCGGGCCTTCGAGTCGAGGATCCCTGCACCGTGGGCCGAGCGTGGAGGTACTCGTGTAACCCATTCTGTACTGCGGTCATTCGTGGCGAGCAGGCCGGGGTTCGAGGCTGTCAGTCAGTTACTCAGTCAGTGTGCGCATCCGCGACTCTCCCTCGCCGTCTGGTAGGCTGCCAAGGGAATACTTCCGACTCCCAGGTCTCGATCTGTCGTCTTCCAAGAAGAACATCGCCTTCCATGGGTGTCGTGCTTGATATGCTGCGGAATGCCCCTGAAAGCGGCCGTGCTGGTTGTTGTGGATCCCTAATCACAGTCCTCCTGCTCATCCGCCTTCCCTTTTCTCTGCGGCTGCCCTCTGCTTCGCGCTGCAGCTGAGTGCCAGATGAAGAAGACTGTCGCGGTCTGCGTACCCGGTCAGATATACGCACAGAATCTTCGTTCGAGCGAATCAACTCACGCTCTGTACTGCGGAAATATATGTCCAGCTTATCCAGCCATGGCGGACTCAGATTGCCCGACAGCCGGCGCATGAACGAGCTCGATGAGGAAAAAGAGTGGAGAGACGTGGTCGAGCCTTTCCTCCCCAGCTCGAACTCACCAATGGTGGCGCTGATGCCACTTAATTGGAGGACGGGCTTTTTCCTGGTGCCCTTACCCTCGATCTTGATCCCCTCCTGACATACTTGATATGTCGTTAGCGTCTCGCGGACCACACGCTGGTATCGGTATGGACGACACTTACGGTCAAATTCCAGGTACTTTTTCCTCCGCTTGCCTCGTTCCCGGATAAGATGGGCCATGAGGCGCATCTCCGGCCCACGTTCCCAGACGCGCACGTTTTCGCATCCGACGAGGCGGTCGTCATCCCGTCCCTTGTGCGGGCGGCATATCTCGCTGACGGGCACTAGAAGGCGGAGATCCCACCCGTATAGAATCTCCTGAAAGTGCTCACAGTCTATGAGGTGCGATCAGTCCGGCGGGCTGCTTACTGATGCACGGGTACAAGAGATAGCATAGATGAGTCGGACGATAGAAGCACACGTTAGGTTCTCGAGGAAAGGACTCACCGGCTTTACTCCCGAATGTGTAGTTGACCCAAGTGGTCGCAATCTTGGGATGGTCCTGCCGTTGGCCATGCTCGATTGTGAAGAATGTGAGACCTTCCCCCTGCTCTACCACGGCTGTGAATTCATCTCCGTTGATCGAGTAGGGGATGATGTCGTCCCAAGTCGGCACTGTTAGCGTCAGCAGTAAGCACAAAGGCACGTACATGCACGGGCTGGCAGTTTCGTGGAAAGCGCTTACCTCGCTGGCGGAACCGGATCGTCTTCTTGTCGTTCAAGGTCCAGATGTCTTCCACCGCGTTGCCATTCTTGACGAGCAAGACCTTGCCGGCATCACTCGCTTCTATCCGCACGCCGTCCGAGGAGCCAGGCTTTTGCCAGATGAAGCAAACGGACATCACGGGACTAAAGTACCCAGTTAGAAGATCATGTTTCAGGAGACCACGGTCCAGACAGCCGGACATACATCTCAGAGAAGGCCTTGTTGGCAATAATCTGCTGGACGAACTGCTGCTGTTCCTGGTTGGATGCAAGCTTGACGTGACGGTATTCGTCGCCCGGCGTAGTACCAGCGAAACTGAATTTCTTCGGAAATGTCAGCTGTGAATCGATGTTGTGGTCGAAATGCCAATCATCGTTGAGGTCAAGCATCGGGTCTGTCAGGGTCAAAGGAGCCATAGCTTGAGTTTGTGCATTCGGTTCAGGTCCAGAAGGGGTTGCTTGACTGCTGGGGCATAAGGTGGCCGACGGTGAGATCGGCGATAGTCCAAACGGGCTGGTCAGGGGTGTCCGCAAAGGACTGGATATGGCGGAGGTCAAGATATCTTGGATCTTGCCCATCTCCAGCAAGAGCTGGTCCATTCGATCACTACACGCCAGTAAGTCACGTCGTCGTGCATACGGGAAGCAGTCTCTTCCAGAGCTCGGGACAGGAACTTACGAAACCAGTCCACCCTCCAGCCAGGTCAACATTTGCACATTGCGCGAGAGTTCGGCACGGAGTTTGTCGATCATCTCAGCCTTTGTTGTCCACTCGATCGAGTGGAACACAGTCTTGAAAGCTTCAACCCACAGCTGCCAGGCTGCCTCCTTGCCCGTGGCGGCTCCTCTCTTCCTGACGACCTGCTGGTACTTGGTCGCGATCTTGCGTAACTTGAGCGTCGTGTCTGCACATTGTTCGAGGACACCCTGGATATTCCTCTTCACATCGTCATGCGACTTCAACAGCGCGCCATGACGCCGGAGCCGTCCTGCAGCGGATTCCACGCATGATTGGTAACGGTCGGTCTCGTGAATGAAGCGCTGGATCTCATCCGGTGCGTGTTTGGCTTCGTGAAGTGTTTTGGCAGCCTGTGCGGTGATCTGTACTAGAGCAATGACATCTCCTACGCCATTGACAGCCATGAGATCGGCTCGCCGCTGCAGGAGATCATCAAGCAAAAGCAAGCAGTGCTCCAAGGTTTACCCCAAGAAGTAAACGGTATCAGAACACTGTGGGAAGGTCCGCGAGGAAGTCGTAAACGGGCCATGGTTCGTCGGCAGCTTCCGCGCGTGGCTGAGGGGCATCCACGAGGTTGTGATCAACCCATTGACACATGTCCAGCAAGCCACACATCGCGAGGCAGACTCTGGGCCAATAGTAATACGAGAACCTGCAACGTGGGCAGCTAATAGACTTGCCAGAGTTGCTGCGTTAGGACAGCGCCAAAGACGAGAGTTCCCGACGTGGAGGCGCACGTTTTGAAACAAGGCAACTGCTGTTCAATTAGCGTTGTTGACTTGTTCGATGCAAGTCCGGCATGTGGAGGAGTGTCGAGTTTCCGGCGCCGCGAACGCGGTGGTGTTCATTCGACGCTCTGGGACCCTGCATCGCTCTCCTCCATTGTCGGGCCAGTCATGAAGGCCCCGGCTGTGCAGCAAGTCTGGGCAACGACCCGCTCGAAACCGCGCATGGACACTCACGTTAAAAGGGTTGGGTACGGAGTAAGGCTGGCTCGTGTTTACACCTTGTGCTGCGCCCCGAGGCGCCCGCTAGTGACATGCGGTTTCTAGGCGCTGGAGGCGGGACTTGCTCGTCTCGCATGATCTGTTCCGTAAGGCTGGTTGCGAGGCGGACTGAGCATCTTTGAGTCCGTCGTTCATGAACTCATCCTTCCATGTCAAAATCCACCTCGATACCGTGGAATGCTTCCAACAAAAGCTCTCTGGAGTATCGCTTCAGAATATGCTCTAGCTTGAGCTTGCGCTTGAGCATTCCGCCTGATTACAGGGTCTTCAGGATAGCCACAACTCTCTTGGTCCAGAGTATCCTGTCATGGTCAAAAGACACCGAGCCTTTCGAGATCTTGAGGATGAGTACAAGCACATACAGGTAGTCAAACTCGCTGCAGGTGTCACGGCCCGCGCACTGACGGTTCTCTCGACCAGGATCCTACGCTTCGCCGGCGCTTGATCCTGCGCGACATCAATGAAAGACCATTCGGTCGGGCTCATATTCGAGCCATCCTTGTCGCTGGAACGGGCTTCCTAACCGACAGCTATGATGTCCGCAGAATTGATCCTCGCCGTTCAGCGAGCATTGGCTGACGACTGTTGCAGATCTTTGCGATCAATCTTGTGACGGATATGCTGGGGTATTGCTATTTCCCCAGGCATGGCAACAAGATACCCCAGGTCGACGACACTTTGATTAAGGTTATGACCTCGGTAGGCACTATCGTGGGCCAGTTGTTCTTGTAAGTTGCTCTTCCCACAGTAGAATTGCCGTTCCGAATTGTGTACGCGCCCAGGGGGCAAGGGTCCGTCTTCTGCTGCTCTGGAATGGAACTTCCCCTGGATACATGATCGCCTCTGACATCCTCGTAGTGGCTGGCTTGCCGACAGAGTCGGGAGGAAACGCATGTACGGTTATGAGTTGCTCATAATCGGCCTGGCGACGCTGGGTCAGTGCATCACTGGTCCTTCGTCGGCGATAGGTATGACCGGGCTACTGATATTCTGGCGCATTTTGATGGGCATTGGCATCGTAAGTCGTCCCCCCAGATGCAAAGATTGCCACCGCAGCACCACGTCGGTGCCCATGCCCAGCTTATTGACGCCAGTGTGCTTTCCCAGGGCGGCGACTACCCTCTCGCCAACATCATCACATCCGAGTTTGCCTCAACCAAATGGAGAGGAACCATGGTGGCAGCGGTCTTTTCGACCCAGGCCCTTGGACAATTCCTGGCCAGCTTGGTGTCTTTGATTGTTATCGAAGCTTTCAGGAGCCAGACAAACAATGACGTGGTTGTCTGCCACGACGGGAGGTGTGAACCGAATGATGCTGCGCAGCTCGCAGTGGACCGCATGTGGAGAATCATTATTGGTGCTGGCGCTGTTCCAGCGGCCCTCGCATTGTACTGTCGGCTCACCATTCCTGAGACACCGCGCTACACGTTTGATGTGAACCGCGATGTCGAACAAGGCTTTGCCGACTACAAAGGGTGGGTGCAAAACACCATTGGACCGAGGACCGGACAAGGTAGAGTCGAGGCGGACAGAGCAGAAGTTCAAGCTCTGCTGAATCCGGAGGAGACTTCGGGAGGCATCAATGCAGATGTCGTCCCCCAATCCTCGTGGCAAGATTTCAAGCGATACTTCCGTCAAGGCTCCAATGGCTGGATACTTTTTGGGAATTGCGGATCGTGGTTCTTCCTCGATGTTGCCTACTGTGAGTTTCCCAAAGAGCCCCTGCAAACTTGTCGTGGTCCGTTCACCGAATGCCTAACAACAGAGCAGACGCGCTGGCCTTGAACAACACCATCTTCCTGCAGAAGATGGGATTTGGCAAGGTGAACAACAGCGATCCCACAAGGCTGTACACCATCCTACGGAATGGTGCAGTCGGGAACTTGGTGTTGGTAGTCGCTGGTGCCATCCCAGGTTCGATTTGCGCCATATTGTTGGTCGACAGGATCGGCCGTAAATCAATCCAAGTGGGCGGATTCACCATGATTACAATGCTGCTCTTGATACTTGGCAGCTGTTTCGAGGGCATGTCAGATACATCCCGGGTGGCGCTGTTTGTTTTGATCCTGTTCTTCGTCAACTGCGGTACTTGAAGCCTACCAAACGGGAACAAGCGGTTCACTGACTTGCTGGTGCAGGTCCAAATTCCACGACATTTATCGTCCCGGGAGAGTGTTTTCCCACCAGGTACAGAAGCACCTGTAAGTGCTCCCCAAGCGCCCGCATCACTCTACACAGTAGTTCGCCCTGTACAATTGTTCTGATACTGACTGCAACATAGGTCACGGCCTGGCAGCGGCATCCGGCAAGCTTGGGGCGGTTCTCGCTCAGGCGCTGACAGGTCCCTTGCGGGGTATCGGCTTTGAGAAGGGCGAGACTGACGCTTCACCGTGGCTTCCACATGTGATCCAAATTCTAGGGGCGTTCGCTTTCTTGGGGTGGTTGTGTTCCTTCCTCATTCCGGAGACTATGAACCAATCACTTGAGAAGTTGGCCGGCGAAGAGGCTTGCCCTGGTGAAGACTCGGGAGAGGACGACGACGATCAGCCCGCTTCCTTCCTGACAACACTATGGGTCTCTTGTACACCCGTGGTGCTTTGGAAATGGCTCTTCTGCCAGCAACGCCTGCCCTCGTCGCGAGATGCCGGTCTCAGCAATGGTGACGAAGGAAACCAAGACAGGCGAATCTCGTTGTCGCGAATGTAACTGGAACATCATGCTCCGCCGGCACAGGGGGGGATCTTTTGAGCGCATCCTGCCTACAAGACCGACGAAGGCTTGAAGGTGCCCGAAACGGAATAGAAAGGGCTTCTGGCCAGCGTTGTGACCGAAGAGACCACGGGGATGAGATAGTCAAAATCACATAAAAATTGAGAATATGAACATCATTCCTCCGCTCCTGCTCTTTCTGTCTCCTTCTACTACGACTCGATACCCTGGTAGTGATCAAACTGCCGCTCATGGTTCGCCTCCTGAGATGTTCGATGACGGCAAGGACTTCGAGCTCAGATTTGGCTGTGAAGCTACAGATCGCTTAGTGCTTTTGAAATGATGAGCGGTCACCGCAGTACCTGTTACAACGGTTGTAACACTCATATGCTTTCCAGAGCAGCATCACATCGGCCTCGAAGCTGTTGGGGAAGAGCCGCTTGCCCGGATAGGGCCGCCTCTGTGTTCAAGAGGACGCTGCATGCCTGCGAGCAATCTGCAGACCTCCGATCGTCCTTGCATGAGCGCCCAGTCATAAGCGGTTCTTTTCTTCGAGTCTACAGCGTCCACATGGATTCTCGTAGACCGAAGCAAAAGCTCCACAATCTGAACATGCCCTTTGTCGGCCGCCCACATCAGCGGTGTCTTCCGATCCTTGTCGACTGAGTTGATGTTGGTATGCTTATCCCCTATGAGTCGCTGAACAATGGTGGTCTGACCATTCTCTGCCGCAAGAGACAATGCTGTCCTGACATCTGGGCGATTCGTCGAGTCTGGCATGATGCCATTGCGCCGTAGTAGAATGTTTAAAGCCCCCAGTTGACTTCTTTCGGCAGCTTCCAAGAGGAGGGATATGCACCTCTGTTGAGCTTGAGTGCCCCACCTGCGGCACATCTCGTCTAGTATCCTGGATGCTATTCCTTCGTGGCTGTGTGCTGCAGCCCACTGGAAAGCATTCCAATCCAGCTTTGGATCTCTGAGATAGATGTCGACGTCCTGGTATAGGAGCAGGCGATCCACTACCTCCTTGTGGCCGTTTCTTGCCGCCCACGAAAATGCACTCAGCCGCTCAGCGTCATCAGTAGTATTACGCCGAGCGCCAGCTCTCAAAAGTGCCATGACGATCCCGCTGTACCCATTCCGTGCAGCTGTCACAAGAGGTGTTTGACGAGCGCATGGTTCCTCTAAATCCTGGGAAAACTCCTTCTGAGGCAGGAGTAGTACAACCAAGTCCTCGAAATTACTGGTGGCAGCCCAGTACAAGGGAGTGAAAGTCGCGCCATTCGACTTCAACCTACCCCAACTAACCCGGGTGGACTCAATTTCGAGGAAAAGCTGAACTATGTCGGTGAATCCGCTCTTTATGGCCAGAACGGGCGGGGACATCTTCGCTTCGCGATCTTGAATATTGCAATCGACGCCCCTGTGCTTCAGCAACAGGCTCACCATGTCCTTGTGCCTTTTCTTGACAGCCCACCAAAGGGGAGTTCTACCCGTTGAGTCGCTATCGTTGACCTGGCACAGTGGAACTGGCTGGAGATCTCCGGCAAACAATCGACGAACAATGGACGTGAGGTTGTGTAGCACTAGAATATGAAGGAGCGACTGACCTTCAATGTAGTCATCATGATGCCAGAACCGGTACACTTGGAATGAAAGCTCTCTTTTGGTGTAGCAGCTGAGGCTTTGTTCCAGGAGTAGCCACAACCGGGATGCGCTGTCTGGGCCGGCAAAATGTAGATGAGTCGGCCAATGTGCCGCAGCGTACTCGAGCAATGGCAGCGCATCGAGAAGTGTTTTGTATTCGGCGCCGCAGTCGGCCTTGCGCCTCCCCTGTAAAGGATGATGGCTGTCATCTATGGATATAAGGTAGATCAGGCAGGCCTCGGCGACTCTCAGGTGCATCTCCCGAAATACGTCCTCGGCCCACATCTTATGTAGCTGTTTGGGCATCGAAGGATGAAAGAACATGATCTCATCATCACAGATTTTCAAGGACTCCTCGCCGAACCGAATCTTGTCGCGTATTGCTATAGCCGAGGCAGGGCGCACGAGAGCGAAAAGATCATCGAACGGGCTGCCCTGCATTGCGATGAGTGTTGCCAACTCTGTGACCGACATTGGGCGTTGGACCACGGCCAGCAGTTGGATCAACAATAGGCTCTCTGGCTTTGCCCGATCGATGATCCTCGCTACCATGGTTTCCATGCCCGAAGGTATTTCTGCCAACAGCTTATAGTACCAGTCAGGAGGTTTTTTGTCAAGCTGGTGAATCATCGAGATTGTCCAGGTGAAGCTCCCGCTGGCCTTTTCGACTAATTGCTTTTCCACACTTGGTTTCTTCTCTTCTGGGTAGTGCTCAAACTCACGGACGTGGTCCGAGATGTATCCTGCAATGTCAGCTTCATTCAATTGTTTGCCGGCTGGATCAGTAAAGTGCACGACTTTCGCATTCTTCAGATTGCAAATTGCCGACCTGATTGCTCCGCAAGGTCTGCTTGTGATGAGAAGCCGGAGAAAGCGCGGGTATTCTCCGTCAGCTCCCTGTGATTCAGCAACAATTCCCTCGAGTAATATCTTCGTTTCCTCCTCCTCGCAATCATCCAACGCGTCAATGATGCAATACCACTCCCCTTGTCCAGGATCCGACATCATGTCGACGAAGAGTTTTGCCAGTTTGCCATTGTTTTTGAGCAAGTGCGGGCCATACGTGTCGTACGTTGGTTTGACGTGCCCCTTGCCGAGGCATTCCGCGATGGTCATACATTGGTATATCAGGCTGCGCAGGATGAAGACAGCTTTGTACCCATCCTTTTTCCTCCGGCGGTCACAGAAAAAATAGATTGTCCTCTTGCCATTGTCACCGCGTTGCTGCAGTGACTTGATGAGGTACTTTGCCAGGACTGTCTTACCAATGCCAGGCCCGCCAACAAGCCACATCAAACTTGAATGGTCGTCCACCCAATTACGGATGTCTGGCTGGTACTGCGACCAACTGCAGGTCGAGCCGTATGGCTTCTTCACTTCGAAGTGTACTTCATCGTAGTCGCAATCGCTGCCAAATGCTTCCCTCACTTTTCTGTAAGAAGAGTCTGAACCTAGACCTCGGTAAGCCCGGAATCGGCGTAGATGTGGTGGAGCTCAACAGACTCAGGCCAGACCCAATGCTCATTCGGTCACTGTAGATTTTCTGATCGCCGAAAACCACGTTGGATTGTGAAATCTTGCCGCGTTGGCTGTATTTCGAACCTGAAGGCTCCATACCGTCAACCCCGGCTGACAGCTCGGAAGAGGCTGAGGAAGGAGATAGAGACTCGAGAGCAGGCTCCAAAGCTTGAGCACGGCTGAGCTAAATGATTTTTCTTATCCATTGGGCAACCAGGTCTTTCTGCTTCATCGCTCGGTGCTGTCGATCAGGCTTATCAGAAGACAGAAGCATTGGGCGTCGGGCGTTACACAAAACCGCAAGACACGAGGAAACCGCCGTCGCGGTCAGTGAAGGCTGAAAACATGCTGCCCAACCAGCGACAATTCTCTGCGGCCATGGGTCTGATAGGGGCTGCAGAAGTGAAAAGATGAGGGGCTGCGACTCGGCTAGGAAAGCAACAGCTCTGCAGACAGCGCAGGTGATGGTGTGTGCATCTGCACCGTCAGTGGCATGGAGGGGAGGAAGAGCAGGGATGCTGAGGAGGGGGGCAGGAGCGTGCTGGAAGCCCTGGGCACTGAGGCTCATTGTCGCTGGCGCTCGCCTCCCCCAGTTTCCAAACTTTCCTCCTTCTTCATTATCTCCGTCTTTCCATCTGCGGGCCGGGAAAAGAGTGGCGAATCGTAAGCCGTGGGTCGAGCATCTCATGCCATGCTATTGAAGACACGCTAGTCCGCACCTGCAAGTAGGGGTGTATGCGGATGACCTTCCTGTGATAAAGTTGCCTTGCAGCACAATACTTGAGCCCAGGCGATGCCTACTTCCAGCCCATGTGAACGCGACGGAATGAGCAATGCCCCAATATCTTCATCTTCCTTTTGTTACTGCGCGCCGCCCAAGATGTATGCCACTCACCTCGAGCCCCATTGGTCCGTCTCTCGAGGATTTGCTGCCTGGCTTGAGAATTCGCCTAATTCACCATCCCGTTCCCTCCAGCTCTCTTGTGTCGAGCAGCCAATACCAACCCTCACAAAACGACTCACTCCTCTCGATACTTTCTCATCGACCAGTCACTTGCGTATTCCTGATTAACTCTTCGCTGCACTAAAGCTAGGATACTCTGACTTCAAGCAGTCCCATTTGGCCAGCTATTTGTGTTTCTGTGTACGCCTCTGCGATCCCAGCCCGTCGGAAAAACGCCAAACATCAGTCACGATTTCATCGGGATAGCCAGTTCGCGAAAAGACCGCACGTAGGGCAGGGCGCAATCCTGTAGGAAGGTATCGATGATGGTGAACATGAGGTGTCTGCTCTGCTTCTGGACTCGAGAGCGTTGTGACACTCGTCGATCTCTATCACCAGCCAGCGCACGTTCAAGCGGTCCCGAACCTCGTCGAAATAGATTCTCAGATTCAAATCCAAACCGCAGGACTCCGTCTATGCCTCATCCTCTTCGCAACGTTTTACACAATGATGCAGTTTCACATCCTTGGCAATCGACCATCTCCAGACCAGAAGAGTCTCCCTCAACACCAAGCCTTCCTATCACCGATCCCAGTCTGCAATCAAGACCGTCACCGGAGTCTCCAGAAGCCTTTGCAGACCAAATCGTCAGACTGGTATGGGAATTGCAACGAAAAGTCATCAGATACGTCGAGGGACTCGGCCTGCAGAGCAATGAAGGCAGCCTCGCTCGTTCACGGATATACACTCAAGTCCTTTCTCTAGCCGAGTCAGCGACGAGAGACCCAGAAGAATGTGAGTCAACTCTGACGGACTGGATTACGGCTGTCTTACCCATGACACTAACCACGACACAGACAAAGAGGTGGCCAAAACATTACAGGAATCAATCAAGCCCATGTCGCCTTCGTCAAGAGCAAGTACTGGTCTAGTCGACATATGCATTTTAGGACCCGAGCTCGGTTCGACCAGGAAGGAAACCGGTCGCAACTACGCTTTTGTTGAGGTGGATCGCACCCTGCCAAAGAACGGGAAGAGAACAGAATTTCCTGCAATGATAAGAGATGGGACTCTGCTGCTCGAGGAAGTTGAAGTTGAGTTTGACGATCATGCTCATGATGCTAACGACTGAATTGAACAAGACTTAGCATCACCATCCTCTGCGTGAGCAGAAGATCTTTGTGTTTCTTCGGTTGGGGTCACTCCCATCGGATACAGAAAAGAAGACCAGTGGGTGCTAAAAAAGATTTATATGTACAGCTCCAAGGCCTGGCCGTTGATCCAGCCCGTCAGCCATGCCTATGCCTTGTGGTCATTGTTCCAAAATAGAATAGAAATGACCATTTAATTGTATTCCCACCAATCCAGCTCCTTTTGGCCGCAGAAATGCCACAGATATTTATCAAACAGGGCAACAAATTGGCAATTGGCCCGAAATGGGGCCTTCAGTCAACCGTGGAAATGGCAGCACAAGCGCCTAGACGTCAAAAGGAAGGATACCAGTGAAGTAGATCATCCTATCATTTTGCAAGATGTCCTTGAATGGACCGTCCTGGGCTGCGTCTGGCCGTGTGTAAACGTCTCAGCCTGCAATCACACCCACACAGACGGAGATCTTGCCTGTCACAAACCGCCATGGCGCCTTCCCTCCACATATGTAGGACCACGCCTTCCATCGACACTGCCGTGCTTAAGTTAGGCTGATTGCAGCTCGCCTCATTACTGCACCCGGGCGTCCTGAGAGGGTTGCCTCTGCCTTTCCCTCGGTGAATGAGGCAAGAATTCGGCGAAACGACACGTAAATCTGATAACTATGCTAGTAAGCTGTTCTGGGGAGATGGCCGTCCGAGAGCTCGCGCTAGATGCTGCGAGAACACAGCATCTGACTGACACTGACTGACATCCTGACTAAGGTTCGTCAATCGCAGAAGCCACGATCCCTCCTCCCCTGCGAGGCGATCGCGTGGATCCAATGGCAAACAGGCCGACGTGGCAGTGCATGCATGCAAACCGGTGTCCTACGTCCTGCCTACCGCATGCCACCCTCCACTGCCTCGCTTTCCGCATCTGGCCTGCATGGGCAGCGCCGGGATCCGGACGGTATCGGCGCACAAACGCACACAGTCACGCAAGGATGGTCTCAGGCCATACAATGCCCTTGGATGGGCGTGGGATGCATAAGCAAATGAAGTGGTGGGGAAAGAAGCCTGAAGCTGAGTCTGAGCTGTTGCGAGAGTATCACTTCCTCCCAAAGTGAGCAAGCGACCCGACCACCGACAACAGTACAGCAAAGCCGCGCAGGCTGGAGGGTCTCAGTAGCCGAACTTTTTACATGCGGTCCCAGCATCACTTTCGACCACAGGCCTTGCTTTCCATGGGCGACCCGTTTAGCATCGCCGCGAGTATCCTGACCGTGTTGCAAGTCGCGGACTCGCTTGTCACATTCATCCGGGACCTCAAGAACGCCTCAGAAGAGCACAAGAATGTGCAGGCCGAGGTGCAAAGTCTACAGAGCGTGCTCCGTCAGGTGTACGAATCTTCAGCAACAACAAACGCAACTACGGGGAAGGACGAATTTGAGGGTGAGCGTTTTGCTGGACTTGAAGGACCGCTGGAGACATGCCGACTGCATCTGGAATATTTGACGGTAAAGCTGGCTCCCATGCATGGCTTCGATAAGGCTCGCAAGTCTGTCATGTGGAAGATGCGACGCACCGAGATCAGAAGTATCTTGACGGACATTGAACGCCAGAAAGCATCATTGATGCTGGCGCTACAAATTGAAACCAAGTCTGTTTTCCGAGCCAGCCCTCCTTCAAAGAACCCTTGCACGGCTCGCAGCATACTGATTGTGCCTAGAACAATCTGCAACGCTACTCAGCGGTTATGCATTGACAACCACCAGCAAATGACCGAAATGAGCATTCGCGTATCAGAACTCAAGGCTCGTATTGTATCCGAAAACGACATGATAAGCACGGCGACTGTGACGACCGAGTGTCAACGATTGTGCAAGGGCGTGCAGTGTGATGAGACTGTCAACCAAAGCAAGACCGATCAGATTTTAGGCCCGCCTGAATGTTTCAACTGCCGCATGATCAACAGCCTGGCAGAGCCTCATGTCCTGCGCGGGGAGACCACTAGAGTGAACTCGAGAAAGGAGCGTAAAGGTAAACTTGCCGTCACTTCTCGTCTATATGTCCAAATCTGACATCTGCTGGCGCAAGCATCAGACCATGTCCGCTCCAGGAGGGAGCGACCCTCTGCCACTATCGCTCAATATGGCAGCAACTCATCCGGCTCGAATGTCCTTTATGGAGGAAACCAGGTCTTCTCGGGAGCAACAGTCTTCTTTGGCCGTGCATGAATGGCACACTGCTGATACAGCTACCAATGGCAGGACCCGGTTGGGTGACTGCCACGGCTTTGGCTCGAGGCACTCGCGCTCGCTTGACTAGTGGGCAGCTTCTCGGTTCGCATTTCCCTGCTTTCCTGCGGACTCGACCAGCCGCCAGCGGCTGATGGCGGGTGTTAGAGGGGCGAGAAAATGCTACCGAAACGAATAGGGGTAGGCCTAGGCTTCTGTAACCGCCGGGTTTGAAGCCCCCGCAGACATGGCATCAACTAGGCAACACCTCTGTGAGCGGGCGCCTCTTCGTGGTTCGCATGACAGCAGCGGTTCCAGTAGGGTGTCTGGCGAACCCAAAGATGATAAAGCGGTTCTAGCACTGTTAGTGTTCTTCACCCGACAAACAATTCCCACCATGGCGCACTCGAAGCAATTGAGTGCCACTGTAATTGTCAGAGAATTGTCAGATTCTCCCCCACGGGAACTCGCGCCTCTGAAGCGCAAAGATCCGGTCCCCTGTCTCCAATCCAGCAGTAGTCGTGTAGATAGCGCGGGCAGGCCATTTATTGGAGGGATGTCAATGCCAGGCCAACCCCCAGCGGTACACAATGCGCTGCAGTGGCTTTGATGCCTTTTGCCGAGTACCAACCTGATCCACTGAACAGGTCCCGCAACCCCGTCGCCGACGCCGGATAATCAAACAAATTGGCAACAACACGAATGGCGCGAACATACTCTTTGGCGGCAATCAACACTTCGACAACGCGTCGCCGCGATACGGTAAGGCTGTGGCATGTCATGTCGCTGCATTTGGGTTTGAATGCTTACCTTTATGTGCTTCCAGCTGCGAGAGATCCGGTTTCGCGTCAAGAGGCGGGTCGCGGAAACCAGAATCATGACAATCGACAAGACCAAAGCCGGCAGGCACAAGGTGGCACCAGAGCACAGATGAGGCAAGACTCGGTACGCTGGACGTCCCCTTGAAGCGTGCGAAACAAGATCAGTTCTCACTGAAGCTCATTTATAGGTCGATAACGACTCCGCGATCGGTGACATCGGTCACAATGATCATGACCACCATGACAGTACCGGGACTGATGAGGGGATCGACGATGGTACTGGTACTCAGGACGGCTTTGACGATGGCAGCGATGGCAGCGATGGCAGCGATGACAGCTCGGATGCTGACGACGAGGATGCAGATCGCTTCGAGCACAGAGGTCATAACTCCGATGGCGCCAACGTCCTGTATGGAGGGAACCAGATCTACAACGGCTCCAGTCCGCCTGTATTCTATTCGCGTCGTTGATTGTCATCGAACATCTCGAACGTGGAAGGGGCACACCCAACGTTGGTGGACGAAGCACCTCGCTCACGAGAAGTATGAGGCCGCTGCGAAGGGACAAGTCTGAGAGAAGAGGCAGGACCTGGCGTCCCGGCCCCTGCGGGAGAAGATAGCAATGTACCTAGAAAGCCCCACCAGGACACGTCTTGTAGTGTTGTACGTAGCATGGAGTAAGGAGTATCAAGACAAAATCCAGCCAGACGTCCGTCCCAGCTCCAAGCTTGCGTCTCATGCTCCACTGAAACTCGTCCAATTCCGGTTCCCGGCTGACGGCACTTCCCCGCCATTCTCGGCGACGAGATGCGGGAATCTTTCCTCATCGTTGTTCCGCAGTATTTTCTGGCTGATGCATTGACCTTGTGCAAGACCTTCCTCACTCTCCCTCTGAAAGTGAAGTTGTATAGCATTGAGAAAAGACAAGCTGTACCCCTGCACAACAGTCGCAACCATGAGCGGCATCCCACCCGGTATGTATCTCGTAGAGCTCTCCCTCACCCGTCCATCGATACCACCAAAGCCGAACCTCCATGCCCTGTCGTAGACCTGACCCATCTGTGGCACATACACATACACCACACATACTAACATGGACCTTACTGCAGAAATCGAAGCCCACAACAAGGAGATGCGCGAAACATTGTACGTACGATAGTACCTCCCTCTACCCCGGTCCCGTCCATCTATCTACCTACCAGACGTTATACTCCTTTTTCCCCCGTCCATCCACCCACCCACCTACCTACCTAGTACCCCAGACAGCTGATATGCCACTCGTGTTGCCGCAGCTTCGCAATGACAACCCCACTCGCGACGCCACTGAACCTCACCCTCCTCATATTGATCCTCACGCTAATCTACCTGCGCCTGCGCCCCTCCTCTCCACCGTCTTTACCAGCAGGCCCCCCACCCATCGTCTTCCAGACTTTCACGCCACGGACACTCCTGAAATATAATGGCACAGAAGGGGCGCCGGTGGTAAGTGGCGTCCCAGCGAGCGAGCGAGCGAGCGAGCGAACAAGCCAGCGAGCCGCTTCCCCCTTTGAATCCGCAAAACCAGCGAGTCGTTCCCCGTTGAATATGATAATGGCACCACCGCCCACTCGCACAACCCAACTAACTCTTTGTCGCGATAGTACCTCGCCGTCAGGGGCAAAGTCTACGATGTATCCTCGGGCCGTAACTTCTACGGGCCCGGTGGACCGTATGAGAATTTCGCGGGCCGGGATGCGACGAGGGGCCTCGCGTGCCAGAGTTTTGATGAGGAGATGTTGACGAAGGATTTGGATGGGCCGCTTGATACGTGTGAGGATTTGACGGGGGAGCAGGTGGAAAACTTGAATGGGTGGATTGAGAGGTTTGATGAGAAGGTGAGTTTGAACGTAAAGAGGGAAGTGAGTGGCCACAGGCTGACTTTGAATGCAGTATTTGGTTGTAGGGAAATTGGTGGCCTTTCGCAAGACGGACTTTCATTGATCTGGTCGCGGGAGAAGTATCTATGGAATTGCGAGTCTCATCACTGCAAGCATCGCTTTTCTCATTCCAGGGTATTGCTATCATAGCTTGGAAGCTCTAAAGAATACAGTTCGTCATCAGCCTGCCCATCACCTGAAGCCGGTCCATTGTCGTTCGTTGGTCATTCCTTCACCAGTAACCACACCCTCATCCAATAGCTCATCTCATCCTCCAATTACCTACGGGGTATCATTCCTTCCGCACTGCCCTACAATTCATTCTTGGCACTCGTGGCACTCTTGGAAGCTCTGCTTGAAGCGGAGCTGGCAGATTTGGAGGCGACACTGGATGCGGAGCTAGCAGAGGCGGATGCAGTTCCAGATGCAGTCGAGGCAGGACCTTGAGCCTGTCCGAGAACCCATTGCAATCCGCTCTTGATGCGTTCGAAGATCGTGCCCTGGGGTGATGATGTGCCGTATTTGAAGTAGCTGTATTGCTTCTTGGCTTGCGCGCGGAGTTCGTTGGTGGTAGAGCCTTGGTAGTTGGGGACACCGTAGCTGTCGAGATAGCTCTTCAATTCACTGTCAGACCAGGTGTCAAAGGTGGTGTCTTTGGCAGCATCGGTCTGCTTTGCAAGGTAGTTGGTGACTGAGGCGTAGCCGGTACCACCGCTCTTTGAAGCAGAGGCATACGAGTCCTGAGCTTGTTTGACCAGGTCGTCACGGCTTGCCTTGGCATTCTTCTTGTATTTCTTGCTGTGAGCTGCAAGGTAGTTCTGAAGATTCTCCTTGGTCCAGGTGTCGAATGTCCATGCAGACCAACCCGTGGCCGCCTTGTGTCGGTTCAAACGGACCTGCTTGAGGAGTTCATCACGCTTGCTGTTCTGAGGGACGGGGACGCCACGAGAATCGAGGTAAGCCTTGAGGCGAGAGTCAGACCATGTCTCGGCGGCCTTGTTGAACGCATCTTCAGCAGCCAAGGATGCATCATCTGTGGCTTTGGCGTATTCATTGCCGGCCTTCGTAGTAGCCGCACCGAACGCAGAGGCAGCAGAACCAGAGATCGAAGAGCCGCTGGCTGCAGCTTGACCAGATGCCGAAGACGCGCTTGCTTCAAGCTGAGCGCGGTGCTTCCGAGCCAGAGCAACGAGTTCATTCTTCTTGCTGCCTTGTGGGACAGGGACGCCATGAGTGTCGAGGAACTCTTTCAGTTTGCTGTCAGACCATGCATCGAAAAGCGCATCACTCAGGCTAGCTTGGGCACTGGCTGCTGAAGCGCTTGCCACAGAGCTGGCACTGGAGTAGGAGGAGCTGGCTGCTTTCGCGGCTGAGGATGTGTTGAGAGAAGCTAGACGGGAATTGCGACGGACATGAGCAATGAGCTTGTCACGAGTAGTGGGCTGTGGGACTGGGATGCCACGTTCGTCGAGATACTCTTTGAGATCGGACTCAGACCATGAAGCGTAGAGCCAGTCGCCAGGGTAGGAGGCGTATTCACCAAGTCGCTTGGCGACGGAGTCATAATTCTGGCGAGCAGTGGTCAAAAGGCTGTCCCGGGTTCGTGGTTGTGGATGAGGGATATTGTTGTGGTCGAGGAAACTCTTCAGGGAAGACTCAGTCCAGCTGTCCCGAAATTAGCATGCGTATCAGCGACCTAGCAGCAAAATTGCTTACCTGTCGAAGATCCAGTCCTTAACACTGTGATAGTGGTCCGCCGTTTTATCATTGGCTGCGGTAGCAGGATCAACCACCTTGGCTTGCCAGTTCTCTTTGACGAGATTCTCGAGATCTTTTCTATCGGCTGGGGTAGGGTACGGGACGTCGTGGTCAGACAGCCATCTCTCTAGCTCAGTCTCATGCCACTTGTTGTAAGCTAGAACTAAAGTTAATTTGAAATCTGACAGGATGAGAGGAAATCCGAGCATTACCGGCTTTACTGAACCAAGTGCTGGCAGTCGCTGTCGAGGCCAAGCCCACGACTAGGAATTTGGTGAAAGAGAATCTCATGGTTGTAGATTCTGTTCGCCAATGCAGATGGTGGAAGTGAACAGGGGAGAGTTAGAGAAGAAAGTAAATAATTTCGAAAAGAGGACGACGAAGAGGAAGTGGTTCAGGCAAGGTTGACAGATCGCTGTTTGTGTCCCTTGACGTCAGAGTGCGTTAATGGGAAGGGAAGTGATGAGCCAGGGCGAAAAGGCTGTGGCAGAAGTGGCGCAACGACAGGGCACAAGTGACGGTCAGCACAGCGTACGGAGTGCGAGCTACGAGATACACTGCAATGCAGCATGTGAACCTGATTCGTTTACTTATCATGGGCTTTCAGGCACCACACATGCCCTTCAATCATGCTACGAGTACTAGTATCAGATAATCGCACTCGTACAAGTAATTATGTCCAGGCCCATCACTCCTGTGGGCACCACTTGCTGAAGGCATTTCCAGGCAGGCGAGCTGGAAGTCGATGACGCGGGAACCAAATCCGACGAAACACAACGCTGGAGTCGAGAATGTGCGTCACACCAGAAGTGTCGCGACTTTATGCGGGGAAAACACGCGATGGGCAACTTCGAGACTATTACGTCACTCCTTTGGGACAGCATGTTGAAACCCACTGGTGAGAGAGGCTCTGTCGGTGAAGGATTGCTGGCATGAAGAAGGAGTGCCTGCACCTCAAAATGTGGTGACAGAAGGACACCTACCTAGCTGTACTTAAGCGGGCTCACTCGCGCCGTAAACTTGTGAGCTGCACTAATATGGTGGCCAAAATGCAGAACTGTGTACTCGGAGTCGTCGTAAAATCACTTGGCGGGCAATGAAGTCATGGACAAGGGGTGACAGATCAGTTATTGATTTAGTGTCTGACAACCCGAAATCTTCAAGCTTAATTAGCTTGCTAAACAAGAGCCTCTGTGTGAACTTCTCACAACTGAACACTTACATTGTTCTCAGAATACACTCATTGAACAAGTCAAAATGTTATCTATACTTCGCAGTGTCTCGGGCCCAGCCCGGGTCACTCGCCATTTGCCAGCTCTCTCCTACCCTACGCAATCAAAACGACTAGCATCACAAGATTATGGAAGTAAGCAGTCAGGCATGCAGCAAGGTATCGATCAAGGGAATCCGAAAGCCGACTTGGAGCACCCAGGCCCAGAATCTCCAGCTGCCGGCAAAGGTGCGAATCAGAGCTCCAGCCAAAGCTCCGACCAGAGCGGAAGTCAAAGTGATTCTTCTAGCAAGGGTGGCAGTCCTGCTATCCACCGTCCGCGGTCTGCCGCCGAGAAGGACGACCCTGAAGTGAAAAAGCACAACGAAGAACTGGAGAATCGATATGAGAGAACAGAAAATCAGCTAAGCGAGAAGGACAACAAAGTCGACAAGCAATTCTGGAAAGGTGCGTCCTTCAGTTTGTGGCTCCCGCGAAATCTAAGCTAATATCGAGTGCCAGGCGACGTTGGAACGTCCGACAAAAGCGAGGACAAGAATTGAAGGTGGTGACAGGGAGGAAGGAAGGCTCGATGCGAATGTGGCATAAATAGTTGTGGCGTTAATGTTTGGGGCGATCGAGTTCGCCATTGATTCGCAACGAATTGATCAGAAAGCCGGCAACCATCAAAACGGCCTAATTGTCGCATACGAGGACAATGGTCGCTGAATAACGTCAGCGGAGAGCGGACTTCATGGCGGAGAGGACGGATGTTATCAAAGCACGGCCGTTCAGTTTGAACTGCATCGAATCAAAGTGGCTTTCAATGAAGCCATCAGGTTGCCAGGATTTGAGAGTACATGAGGCCGGTCACCCGTAATGTAGCGACCTAGGAAGGTCAATTTATCCCTTTCTAAGCCTCAATATGTCGGCGAGGCGCACTTGACCTCTTTGTCCCCAGCCTGCTTGACCTTGTTCGACATCGGGTCGAACGCGGGTGTACCAGGTTTGTGCCCTCTGATCGAGTTGCTCTGGGGTTAGAACAGATGTCCAGCTTTTGCAGACTGCATCGATAGCTTTCAGCATCATGGCTGCGGCTTCTTCCTTCTTCCTCACGACTTCATGCGTACTCTTCTTCTTCGCCATCGCCCCGTTACCTTCAGTTGTCTCACTTGCCAGCGCTGGGTCGGGATCAATTATCATCATGGACTTCAGGAGATAGTTTCTCGGAGCGGTCGCGTTGTGGATGGGAGGTCCGGAGGAGCGCTTGAGGTCCTTGCCCGCGATCAGCGGCCCGTTCGACTTGCGAAGTGCTTCAAGGTCAAGCGCCCAGAAAGCATTACCAGGAGTGGTCGCATCACCGTCCACGTCGCCAGCCACATGCCTGCGCATCACCGCTATTTCACGACCCATTATCTTGACCTTCGGCTGCCCTTGTGCCCAACCATCTTCTTCCGCAGTAGGCCCACTCGTAAGGCCTAGGTATTTGGCTTTACTCTGCGCGCCTGCGCTGACCACACCTTGTGCCAGACTCCATCGGCTGGACACAGGCTGCTCGGGGTGTGTGTATGCGAGGACGGTTATGGTGAAGGCGAGAAAGAGAGGTGCTCGATTTGTCTCAATGATGACGTGCTCGAGCTTTTCCAGTGGGACATCTGTCTGGGGCGGAGCAAGCAAAGCCTCATCATCGGCAGGCCCTAATTCGGTCCTGACGCGCTTCGACGACGGAGCGCTGGATTGTACCGATGCTCGCTTCTTAGGGTTCGAGACACGCTTGGCCGCGTTGATCACCTGCTTGAGCACCTTCTCGTCAGTGAAGACAGACTGAACATCGGCCTCATCAGCTTTGGCAATATTTTCAGGCGTGTTAAGCTGCTGTTTGCGAAGAGCATTGATCTTTGGCATGGCCTCCGCCAACGGGATGCGTGCGTCCTTTGTTAAGAAACGTAGCAGAGCCTGCACTTCGGCCGCAGCCGCCATGATGAGTAGCTGTGCACCAATCTTGAGACTCTTTCCAGGAGATCATAAGGTTAAGCTGGTCAAACGATCAGCACAGGAGACACCCGCGTAATATGATCGACGGCCACAGAGAGCATCACGGTTTCACAGTCAGCAAGGCAGAGAAATTGACCCGAGACTGGATGGCACTAGTTCCAAAGGGGGCAGGATCCGTACGGCCAAGCCGGCCTTGACCTATTTGGTTATCAGCCAAGACAAGATCGGAATGGACACGGCAAATGCAGATTGAGCCTAATGAGACCTCCAAACTGGGCTCTTGTCACTGTTCCGCTCCTCCAATTCAGCACTAATCACCCGCAGTTCCAACATCATCACCACCACCGCAGGCTTCCTCCGGCCCTGCAAACCACTTCCACCCACCTAAATCCGTTCATCGACACGCCTGGAAATATTTGTCGGTACTTTCTCTATAGCCACCGCGTCTGTTTGTGGGTTCTCGAGCCGGGCCTCCTAAGAAGGTGGCGCAGCGCCAATGGCGCGACGACCTTCCTCAAGACGTTCACATTCGATGGAGGAAGGAAGCACGTCGAGGCGGTCACCGGTCAACTCTATAAACCCTAACGTCTTCAGTGACGAGTACGCTCTGGATCGAGATTCAATAGGCGCATCAAGTCCAACGAACTCGATCGATAGTCGCCCGGAAGAGCTGAGCGTGGACCAACACCATGACATAACACGGGAATCTCGAGAATATTTCCCGCCAGGGCTACCCGGCAACACCTTGAGTCTCAATCGTTCGTCCCTCACGAAAAGGCCTCTACCAGCCGAATCCTCCGTGTCTCCTCATCGAGCCATATCAGCCTCATCCCGCTCAGTAGCAGATACCCGAAGATCTCTCAGCACCTCCTCTCGATTCTCCGTGCCCAGGGCTCAGAGTCCTTATCGAGGACCAACTGCACCAAGTCAACCCTATGGCTTATACACTCAAGTTACTAGAGCGTCGAGTATAGTCAGCGATTCGACGATTCGACCTCTAGAACTGCCTTTCGTCCCCCAAGGCGGACCTGAACACCCGTATTCGATGTATCCTCAGAACACTGTACCCGACGATGACAGCTCCGAGACACACGTTGGCTTGGGATTTCCTGGCCTCGGCCAAGTCTATCAACCGGCGGCTACCTCGTCTGGGAATGAGTTGGGCGACATTGTGGGCAGAGATGGACATGTCGAGCAATTACCACCCTATAGCCGATATGCCGACAACGTTATCGCGAAAGGGGACATGGCCAGGATAGAACCCCAGCGGTCGACTGCCACTGAAGAATCAGCCGCGCCTTCAATGCTTCCAGCCGCTGATGCTTCTGGGTCGGATATGGAACTGACAGCTGTCGGAGCTGGATCTGGTCCAGATGAAGTTGCTAGGAAAGAAGGCTTGTCTGAAAAACGACGGCGAAGGACATGTTGTGGAGTACCCCTACGGACAGTACTCTTTGTCGTCACTGTCGTGATTCTCGCAGCGGTAGTTGGAGGAGTCGTTGGCGGTGTTGTTGGGAATCAACATGGCCAGCACCATGCCGAGGCGTACGTCAGTCCCAGCTCCGACCTAAATGCCTATGCTGACATTCTAACAGGGCAGCAACTACGACTGTATGGTTAGATGCCGATCCTGCTCAGACTGGCCCTTCGACACCATCGTGCCCTACTGGTCACTACACGATCCCGCTCAATCAAACCCAACAAGTCGATGCCTGTGTGGTTGACGGGCAATACTCTAGCACGTGGGAGTGCTTGGACTATGCAAGACTTGGAATAAACATATTCGACAGTTCCGGTAGTCCACCTCTGTCTGCAGTCTTCGATGACTACTCGGTAAGACCTCAGCTTTTCAGATATGGACCGCAACCTCCAGACTTCAACGGAACTTCTTTTACAATGCAACCCTACATGGACAAGGAAGACGACGAGCTTGGAGTAGCCTTGTTTTTCAGCGTCCTATTTGACAAACTCATCATCGGTAAGTGCTTGCCCGCTCCAGCGAGGGTCCATGACTAACTCGGCGTGCAGTTCCTGAGGGCCAGCTTGGTCCTTCTGACTACATGGATAAACGTTCTTCACGTGCACGAGATCTATCGGGAAGAGGTATAGGCTACTGGGGTGACGACGATGACTATCTCAACATCGGTGACAAACCATGGTACTGCTTTTGGAATTCCACCATCAGCGAATTCTGGATCTTCTTGGATCAAAACATGGATGACACGAACGAGATTGATAACGTTACCAGCACAATAACTTCAGCGTCGAGTACGTACACGACTGCTCATGGTTATGGCATGTCGACCTCCGGACCAAAGTATGGTAGTGAGGCGACGAGTCAGAACCCCTCCCTGACGACACCTTACCCGAGCGAGCCCACCGATGAAGCATATTGGACTGGTGGATCGAAAGTCGAACGTCAAGCCAGCGTGGGCTCACCCAACTTCCCCAAGCTTGCCAAGATGGTGGAGAAACGCAAACCCGAGGACAACGTCGAACCATATTGCCAACAGATGCAAGTGCTCAACAACTGGCAGATCATGCCTATACCTGATGTGCCGACCATTTGCATCGAAGAAAGCGATTACAATTCGGCTGCTGCCACCGGCGGCAGCAGAATGACCAGGCGCAAGCGTAATGGAAATACGGTGCAGCAATTGGCCTCGAATTGTATTTGCGAGTGGTTCAGTGTATAGGCTCGAGAGAAGGGAATTTGCTATTGGGAATTGTTTTCTTTATGTGTCACGAGTTGATGAACCGCGCTTTTGGTATTTTGTCGTCCGACGCCCCGTGAGGCCGGACGTTATTGTGGAACAAAGGAATCGGGTACTGACTGATATGGTCTACATATTACATTCGGCGTTCTGTCTCGCTGCCTGTTGTTTTGACAAGGCACAATGCGGAGAGCAAAAGTGGTATTTATTGGTAGATATAGGTATCTTTTCCTACTGTGAGGGCAACAAGGACCCGCAAATTTCCTCACGTCAATTGTGAAAATGAATATATTGGACTTGGGTAAATTGAGACGGTGTTCTCCCTTGTACTTTTGTTATCCTGAAGGCAAGCCTAAGCATGCTACGATGAAACTCCCGTTGCGACTCGTACAGGATCAGATTGTCGTACCTCCCTTGGTTGGCAGACACGCGGCAGGGGCCAATGGTTACTCTTACTTTACTTGCCCTTTAAGTTTCACCTCTTTTTCTTTCCTCTCTTCATACGATAAATACCTAACCCACGCCTTCACGGGTCGTTACATTAAGATCCTCGAACAAGCCTCTTCCTTTCAAACATGCGTCTGACTCCCGAGACCCGGACACGCTTACTCACCCTTCGCTGACCACCAAGAACGGGGAAAGGTGTGACATGCTCACCATCTCACCTCATGCGACGTGCATTGAACCACAAGCACCGCAAGCGAGTCAGAGGCGACGGATCGCCCAAAGTTTTCCCGCCGTCCAATCACTGACCCGCGGGAACGCGTGGAATTTGCTCGTGTCAACTTTCTGAGTTGTACCAGTCGCGACAGCCAGCCGAATCGCACAAATCGTGTCACCGCCTCTTCTTATTTGCTACTATTTCAAGTTCATGGTTTGGCTTCCTCGCTCCTCGTGTCGAGAAGCGGCTGGAATTGAAAGGTGACAGAAAGTATGTAGGGCATCAGGGGAGGAGATTTAACGCACAATTACCCAAAGACCCAACATACGACACACTCTGCTCGAATGGCATCAACTCAGTCTGTAACCTCGTCGACATGCACGTCCATGTCCATGCATAGGTAACAACTTGGTGTTTCTGGGCGACACCTGGAACCATAGTTTTCTGTGGCGTCGCCTTCTTTCTATCTGTCTATCTTTCTATCTATCTACCTGTCTACACCACCATGCCCCCGCTCTATCCCCTGCGCCGCAAAGCCCTCCTCATAGGCATCAACTACACAGCCTCTTCACAACGACTCCAAGGCTGCATCGACGACGTGGCCAACATGACCGAGTTCCTAATCTCGCGCGGCTTCTCAACCCACCCAGCCAACATGGTGACCTTGACGGACGATTCTGATCCACGATCGCCCTATTTCCCCACAGCGCATAATATTCTAGCCGCGATGCATTGGCTGGTCAGCGAGCCCGGGTGCATTTTGTTCCTGCATTACTCGGGGCATGGCGGGCAGGTGCCGGACCGGGACCGAGAGGTAGGATTCGCTGATACGATTGTGCCCGTGGATTTTGAGCGCGCGGGCATGATTGATAGTGGTGCCTTGCATCGCGTGTTGGTGAGTGGGTTGGCGTGGGGGTGTGTTTTGTTTGTGGTGTTTGATTGTTGTCATAGGTGAGTCAGCGCGAGCTTGCGAGCGATGAGAGAGAGTGTGCGGACGTGATCATATCTGGCGAGTACACACATGGGCAAGCATGCGTGCCTGTGCGTGTGAGTACAGGTGCGTAAGTATGTGGGCGTGAGTACAGGCTGGGTGAGCGAGAGACCATACCAAGATCAAGCCGATCAATGTATGCACTCGTGCACTCATGCATCTCGATGGAGTCGATATGATCGCCATCCAAGCAACAGCCATGGTGCCCTGTCTGTGTCTGTATGTGCATCCATGCTGTACATATACACTAACACCCGTCTCTGTCTGGCAGTGGTTCCGCGATGGAGTTGCCATACGTGTACCGTGAGTGTATCCCCTACCCCTACCGTCCTGGCCGCTGTTCTTGAGACGGCCGAAGACCACCGAGGCGAGGCACACGTGGCATATGCGTTTGATCAAGCCGTCGCTCGCTTCTTCACGATGGCTAATTCCTGGTGTTGTGGCCAGGCACCGACGACGAAGGCAGAATCAACCTCATGAATAACCTGCGCGCTGGAGCAGAATTGATCGGAGAGGTACGTAAGGTATCACATTACTTTGCCATCATCCTGCTGAGCGTAGCGTAGCAGCGTACCTTACTCCTGTTCTCTGTCTGCATCCTGCATATGGCTCCCGTAATCCGCCTTGTCTCACACGCTTCCTCTGTTATGCCTCTTCTGTACACAGCCTCCTCTGCGCACGCCCAACACGACTAACCTACGGTCCAGGCCTCACACTTGATCAGAGGCGACTTCTCTTTCGACGACGTGGGCGAAGCACGCCACCTCCTCGCGGGCGCGACGTCGTTCTTCCGCTCCCTCAAACACCAGTACGAGGGCGATTACGACGAGGGGTTGCGCCACGCGGACGACGATTTCCGACGGGAGTGGGGCTGGGAGGAGGATAAGTCCGTGTTTATGCTCTCGGGGTGCAAGGACGAGCAGACGTCGGCGGATGCTTTCATCAACGGGCGGCATGTTGGTAAGTCACAAGTGGGCACGTCACGGTGGCTGACCGATGGTGAAGCGTGGCGGTTCTGATCGTGGCGTGGGTGCTCTGATGTTGACTGTTCTAATTATGGCGTAGGGGCAATGTCCTGGGCGTTTCTGGAGACCATGAAGACGGATGTGTATTGGAATATATCTTATGTGCAGGTAAGAGATCCCGAATATCCGTGGCTACTGGAGCTATGTTCGTTGCTTGCTGATGTTTATGCTCATGCTCAAGATCTTGCAAAATACGCGGGCACTACTTCAGGAGCATTATTCTCAGATACCTCAACTGTCGTGCGGGTATCGGTTTGATCTCAACAGTCCGTTTCGGATATGAGAGGGCTCTTCGAAGTGGTCTGTACACTGATCGCTGGGTGCGAGAAGAGTAGAGGTGCGGTGCTTCTGATGACAAGGCGCGCATAGAAGTCTATAATCGGTAGTGTTGTACTATTCGAACCTATCATTCGATGGGCCACAACGTTAGCTGGGTTTTGGATTTGCCGGCTGAAGAGAAAAGCCCTACCTGTCCTCGAACAGAGACGAGAGGTTATCAAAAGGACCAAAGGACGCAAAGAACTCTTCAAAGGCGCTTTCACTCAACCCAGAGGCCTCCAGCATGCTGCCCATGGATGCGGCTTGGTCATCCCGAGCATCACGTGGCGAGTTCGGCCTCGCGGCTGTTGTGGGGTCTTGCAAGCCATTGGCGCACCCTCCGTACTGACTCTGATCACCCTTGCCCGAGTTTAGTGCTTTGATGCATTCGGTAAACAGATTGTGATGCATATCGGCGGTCCAGAACGTCTTCTTTAAGTGCGTCAATACCATGAAATGTAGATTCAAGTTGTGCAGTGCGTGTTGACGCAGCAGTCCCTCCGACCGTGCAAGTTCGTAGAAGTGGATTTGCATTGCCATCATGATGGGCGTGACGAGCGTTGTTGGTGATGTCTCAATCATGTTGTCGGCGATCAACTTGCTCAACGTGTTCGTGATGGCAGCCGCTGCGGACTTGCAGGCCTGTATCGCGGCAGTTTGCAGGTTCGTGCGTTCAGATGGCTGCAGGTGTTCGGGTGCGGAGAGGACATATGGTCGGTGAAGAATGATCACAACAGTATTCACATACGTTTCGAAGTGGCTGGTGTGGAGCGCCAGGGTGCTGGATTTGTGCTCAGTCTCCGGGTCAAGGCTGGCGAGCAGACGGAGTACATCCGCGTGGTCGGCTTCAAGTTGAGGCACTGAGAGGGGCGGTCGCCGTGGTCGATAGTGCAGGATCGTGGTGTACTCCAGCTTGATGGAAAGTTGGAGCATTTTTATCCACAGGTCTGCCAGTTTCTCCATCTTGGAAGGCAAGAATGCCTCCCGTAGTTCCGAGGATAGCTCTTTGAAATCATCTGTAACGTATTCCACCGTCGGCAGCTCCAAGTCACAATCATCGATATGAGCCCGCATTGGTCTGCCAGCGCCCAAGCAAAACCAGGCATCTCTGTAGTAGGCACACCACCACAGTCGTCTCCAGAGCGCTCGCTGTGACTCGGGAAACGGACAGCGTGGAAGTCGGGCATAATTGGGTTCGCGATGTAGGCCGATCGTGTAGCAGAGGTGGATGGCTATGCCAATCCAGTAGCCGGACCCGTCCTGGTCTTCCAAGTCCACATACCAAAAGCCGAGAAGCAAGGTCGAGGCAATGACTGCTGTCTTGTCATTCTCCACTTGTGCGTCGTAAGTTGCTTTAGCATGCTGGAAACAGAACTCCTTCAGCTGCTTCCGGTTCTTGAACCCAGCCGAGGATAACGTTTCTGTGTCGAGGTAGCTGGCTGCAGAGAGGAAAATGGACCAGAGGAGGAGGCCGCTCACGCTGTTTGGGTCATGAGTATATTTGGTGAGGAAGTCACCTGCGTGGACCACAGGCAGGATTGGGTAGATGTAGTTGAAGAAGCAGCGAAGAAGCTCCTGGCAGACAGCCGATGGAAAGCGCGGCCGAGAGCCAGTCTCTGGCTTGAAGCGAGGCCGTTTGTGTATATTGCGACTGATAATGTACGGACTCCCCCTCAAGGATCGGTTTGGCGAACAGACTTCGAACAGGAATTCATGGCCTCCTACCTCGCCTGAAAACTCGGTCAGCGCCAACCAATCTTGGGAAGCGTGGGTGCCTACCGGCATAGAATGGTACCAAATTCTCTCGTGGCACGCGCTCCAGGCGAGTGTTAGGAATGGGACCTGCATGGGTGGTCCGTGGCGGTCCTTCGACGGGATCGTCTGCGAGGACAATGGGCCTGTCACTGTCTAACGAAGCCACGCGGGCATGTGCGTGTTCCGCTCCATCTTTCGTTCGGGAACTGGGAGTGGCGTCCGTCCACCGCGAAACCTCGGTAGCAGGCACTAAACTTGGGGATGGCGTGAGCGGGTACTGCGGCGAAATCACTTTGTGCCTCTCGTCGCCGGTCGCAGCGGGTAGGTCCAGGCGGCTGTAATAGCTGTAGCATTAACGGTGCGGTCTCTCCTACAAGATCTCGGCCGACTCACGGCGCTTGAGCCTGGTAGATTGTGCAGGGAGTGCCATCTTGAGCACAGTTTGCACATGGTATCCCTTGGAACGCGGCACTACATCGGACCTTGCGATCGTGGCAACGCGTACAGGCAATGGCGGAGCGTTTTCTCTTTCGTGCAATCTGTGTATCCATAGCATCCACGGCGTCGAAGGCCATTGACGAGGTAGTGGAAGCTGCCGTCCCTGCTCATATCGGTCGCCCATTTCTCCCGAGAAAAAAGCACCTCGGATGTGAGGGCAAATGCTTCGGTAAAGGATGCGGGGCGGGCAGTGAGTGGATCAATTGCGCCCTCCGAGCCTCCTCGCTCCCCACGAAAGCTGCTCCTTCCACTCCGCAATCCGCAAACAGGAACCGCCCGTGGCCTCCATCGTGGAGCTCCAGTGCACGAGCTGCCCTGCAACACAAGCACCTGATCGAGAGACCTACTGTATGCTTGAGTTATCCGCCTCGGCAGGCATTCAGACAGCAAAACTCAGCATTGTCTTGCCCAAAGCTTGCCAAACTCTAAGAACACCGCATCAACATTTGACAGTTGTTTCACGGATATTTCACTTTTGTTTCATGCTTACATGACATTTTCAACCACATGGCCTCGACGCCGATCTTGACAGACCGGCGTCGGCCGACAGGTCTGATTTAGTCTTTGCTCTTTTCTCAACCGTGCTTTGGTGGCACTCACGTCCTGTCAGGATAATGACTTTTGACGGCTCCACCATGTGGGAAAGCTTGGATCGATTTACTTCTTATCGCCAGTTCTCCGCACCTTTCCAGCCCAACGAGGCACTAATCCCGCGATCTCCCCAGAGCACATTGTGGAATATCCACCCAGGATGTGCAAATCCTGGACGGGAAGGTCTCTAGTGCTGGAGACGCATTCCACCTTGCACACCATGACAGACACCAATCAGAACAGCGGTCGATGCTACATACCGAGGGCACTAAGGTCGCCGAGGTTCGGTACCCTTTTGGCTGTCGTTGCATATCTACACCTGCACCGCCGACTTTTCTTCGGCGGCCCCTGTTCTCAGCTTTTCCCCAGCTTTTTGCGAAAAGTTCTCGCTGTGCCATTGTAACGAGACGAATTCTCCAACATGGCTGAAAAGACCACCGGACAGGCTCACAATGTGGTGGTCGAGGCACCGCCATCACCTGTTGAGAAGTCACGCGTCTATCACGACGAGTCTGTTGCCCATGTTGAGAGAAATATTGGCCTCCGTATCGACGGAGATGACCTCGACCATGAACATGAACCCAAGGTGTGACTTCTGGACGAGCCTGCGCGGGGAAGCCATACTGACCTCCTGCTTAGATGACCTTGAGACGGTTCATGAGTTTAGTGGCGATGGCCTTATTGTGGACTGGCAGTCAGATCCCGGTCTATCTTTATGGTATGCCTATATACTACGGGACTTAGAAGCTGCTTCTGACAGCATCGTTACAGGCAGCATCCCTCCCTACATCTATCAAGACATTGGCGGAGTGGACAGGTGGATCTGGTTTGTAGGTTGACGGTGCGACATGCTGGCTGGCAGACACACTGACGTCTCCTCAGGTATTGGGCAACCTTCTTGCCCTGGCCGGTGTGTGCCCGTTCGTGGGTTCTCTATCCGACTTGATCGGTCGACGCTACGTTGCCTTGCTTGGAGCTGCGTTGCTCGTCCTTGGAAGTGTCATCGCAACGTGCGCAAAGTCAATGAACATGTTCATCGGTAGGCGATTGAGCTCGACCGCCGGACGGTAAACTTGATCAGCTAACAGAGAATAGCTGGGACTACTATTGCCGGAGCAGCGGCCGGTATTAGTGAGCTCACTGCTCTGGCAGTCACTTCGGAACTAGCCCCTACGAGGAAGCGGGGCGCATATGTCGCAGTCCTTATCTTCACCATCGTACCCTTCGTACCGTCTGGATTCTATGCACAGATGATTGCTGGTACGTTGACAACCTCCTACGACCCCATCAACCCAACTAACACGCGCTAGCTCACTCCAGCTGGCGATACTGCGGCATCATCGTGAGTTCTCCCTCCCCGAATCACTGATCCGTTCTGGAGAGAGCTACTTTCACCACTGCGGCAACATGACCTAGTCTGACAGATATTACAGATCTGTGTGTGGAACGGACTCGCCCTCATCATCACGGCAGTGTTCTACTTCCCTCCGCCTCGACCTAATTCAAAAGGCAAAAGTACCCAAGAAATCCTGCGAGAGATTGACTATATCGGGGGCTTTCTGAGCATTGTCGGGATGGTTCTCTTCATGGCTGGCATGCAATGGGGCGGCTACCAGGTATGTTTCTGGCCCCCAATCTTGTATTCGGTGAGGATGCTCACCGGTCCCAGTACCCCTGGCATTCGGCTCACGTTCTGGCCCCGCTCATCATCGGCGCCCTGTTCATCGTTGCTTTCCTCTTCTGGGAGGCATACGGCGCCAAGTGTCCCATGTTCCCGAAGAGACTCAAACAGGACCCTCGCATCCTGTCGCTCACACTCCTGATCACCTTTATCAGCGGTGCCAATTTCTTCTCGTACCTCATGTTCTGGCCCACCCAAGCGTTCAATGTGTATGGCCACGATCCAGCCCAAGTCGGCTTGCGCGTCTTCCCGGGAGGCATGGCCATCATGACAGGCGCATGCGTATGCCTCTGGCTCCTTTCCGTCTTCCGTGGTCGAAACAAGGAGTTAATGATCATCTCTTGCTGCTTGATGACCGCCGGTAAGTTCGCGACAGTTCTTGTCACTTGAAATAGTACAGTAACTGAACTATACCCTCGCAGGCTGCGGCGCGCTGGCATGTGCAACACCCCACAACATGGACAAGCTGTGGGGTCTCCTCATTCTCGGAGGTCTCGGCATCGGTGGCATTGTGGTCCCGGCCTCGATCATCACAACCATCATCTGCCCCGACGATTTGATCGCCACGGTCAGCGCCTTGACCCTGGCTATCCGCGTCATTGGCGGCTCCGTCGGCTACTGCGCCTACTACAACGTCTTCCTTTCCAAGTTCGTGCCGAATGCGACAAAGTACATCGGCGGTGCGATGGTCGAGCTCGGCATCACCAATGTGACGTATATAGGGGAGGCCATCACGCTCACGGGAGCGAGTTTGCTCGAACCCCTGAAGGCGATTCCGGGACTGCAGAATGAGACGGCATATCAGATGGTCGTTGCTGCGGGACAGCTGGCGTACTCTGAGAGTTACAAGTACGTGTATCTGGCGAGTATTGCCGCGGGGGGCGTCAGTATCATTGCGGCGTGCTTCCTGGGGGATATCAACAAGTATATGGACGAGCATGTTGCCGTGGTTATCGAGTAAAGGGGCAATATGTACTTGTTTCGGCCGGCGTCGAGGTATCGGTAAGCCAAACCAAAGATAGATGATAGATCATCTGCCACGTATCGTCTGTTGTCAACCAACGGCCGAATGTCTGCCAAGGCGAACCCGCGTGCACAAAGACGCGCGAGCTCCTGCCCTTCCAGCCGTCTTGACTCTTGAGATTTCTTTCAGCGTTATCAAGCGGTGCTGTATAGATTTCGCTGCAATTAGTAGGAGGCCATCCATACCAGCAGCACATTCCCGTTCTGGTTCATTTCGACGTCAAACGCCGCCATCGAGTCATCGACTTCTGGCCCCACGTGGAGATGCAAGTTGCAACTAATGAGGTCTCGAAAGTCAGACTCATCGCTCATGCTGGAGCAGTGGGGATAGGAGTAGTGGCATGACATGCGGCCGGACTCTTGCGCTCTACCAGAATGCGAGATTGGGTCGACGCCACCTAGAATAATTAGGAGGTCAGGCTGAGACGCATATTCCTTCTAGCCTTCTAAATAGTTGGGCATTCCAATTTCCATCGCCCCCCTTTTTGGCGCGTGTGCTCGAGAAGCTGCACGTTAGACCGATCCCGGTGCACGCAGACAAGAGGGTACTGTATATTGCTCTATTCCGCATCCGCTTGCGGGGATCTGCTGATCGGGCTACAGTACGAGCAGCGCAAGGGTGAAGAGCCCAGCATACAGCATGCATTTGGGACAGACCGTCCATACCTTCGCAATGCGGCCTCCTAGGAGTAAAAAAGAACTATGCTCCATACATACTTCCTAGTCGATACACGGTCTACGTACCTACCTACCTGCATTGACACTCTCGGCCAGGAAGGTCCGATTGTCTCTGCCCACAAACAAGGGAAGGAGGCCCTCGCGCCTTCATTGGTGGGTGTTCAGCGCGTGACTGCCTATTACCCACCTGCGAGGCTCTGGGCCCGTTAAGAAAGTAAAGCAGATGCTGGACTACGTGCGCATGCATGCATGGCGCAGTATTCATTCATTGCCCGTCACGTCTGAATGCAGAGTCTCTGATGCTGGTGTCATTGGGCCGTATGATTGGTCTCGGCATTCCCTGGGTACTGTAGACGGTCCCTCTTGAACTTTCAAGCCCATGCGTCATGTACCCAGCATACACAGTATCAACATGTCAAGCAAGACAACCTATCCACAGTATCGTCACTTCCCCCAACGCATCTCCCATCGATGTCTTTGAGTTCAAGCCCTTGCACAACCGGCTCGTAGCCACATTCCCCAGCCGCACACACACATTTTCACACATACGCTCATGCACAGATACGCACATAAACACAAGCACACAGATAACCACCCACCAATATCGGTCAACACTACCTCCACGTTCCCCCTTTTAGAGAATATATCTGAAATTCTCACTCTCGTCCGTCTCCTCGCCAATCTCGTCCTCATTGTCCCGGTTCTCCCGCTCCCGGACAGGCCCGTACTTTTGATCCAACTGCCTGTTCAGCCGCTTCAGCCAAAAGATCTGACACACGGCCAGCGTGGCCGCGAAACAGCAGAACGCAAAGCTGATGTAGAACCCCTTCCTGTAATGCGGGGCCTCGGATTTTGGGAAAATATGCGTGCCGACAAGCGGACCGCATTGGCCCACAAAGTTCATCAGGATGAAGCCGGCGCCGCGTTTGCTGTCGGAGCCGTTGTTGTTGGCCACCCAGGACAGGACGAGGCCGATGCAGGGGTAGAGACCGCCCGCGACGAGGAAAAGGGCGAAATACTTGACGGCGACCTTTTCGACGGTGCAGAGGATCAGGTAGCCGATGGCGCCGGTGCCGCTGCACATTGCCAGGAAGACGCCTCGGCGTTGGAAGTGGTCGGACAGGTGACCGACGGCGAGGACGACCAGACAGGCGAACAAGTATGGTGGTGCTGAAAGACCTTGTGCGTGGAGCGCCGTGAAACCCATGCCTTGCAGGATGGTGGAGCTGTAGATGGGCAAGGAGGCGTAGCCGATGTTGCAGGAGAAATACATGAGCGTGGGCAGCCAGTTTTTGAGATCGAGCAGGCTGCGGAAGAAGTTCTTGAAGTTGACTTTCCTGCTGCGCTCGACGTTGCCGACCATGCGGACTAGGCGGGCTCGGGCAATCTTCTTCTCTTTGTCATTCAAGAATTGGCAGTCCTGAGGGTTGCTGGGCAGCCACCAGTAGCCGAACAGACCAACAGCCACGGCTGGGAGTCCTTCGACAAGGAAGAGAGCCCGCCAGCCAGCGATGGCGTGATGGTGCTTGGTCACAAAGTAGGCGAATGCTCCAGCAAAAGAGGCCCCGAGCGGCGCGATGGAGACGTACCAGCCCAGTCGTCGTCCCATTTCCCTTCGGTAGTAGAAGAACGAGAAGAAGTAGGCCAATCCAGGACTGTAGGATGATTCGAAGATACCCAGCAGGAGTCGCAAGACCAGTAGGCCCGCAAAATTCTGAGCAGCTCCACAGGCGCCGGCAAGTCCACCCCAGATGATGATGACGGTCGGGACATAGTATCGGGCCGGTAAGATCTTGTAGAAGACGGTCTGCCAGTCGAAAAGGATGTAGCCCAGGTAAAGGGCCGTCAAACACCATTGATATTGGTTATCGGTAAGGCCGAGGTCTTCCAACATGCCTGCGGTGTTGGCATTCCCAATGTTTCCACGGTCCATCTGCAATGGTTCATCAACACGTCTGAATCTCAAAGAGTCAAGAGAAGAGGGGAGGGCGTCAACTCACATATGCCAGCAGGTAAGCACCAGAGACATATCCAAGAACAATGAAGTCTATTTTCAGGAGGAAGCGTTTCTCTTCCGCCTTGGTGTAGTTGAAGGCCAGGGCTTCGAGTTTGCCAACAGTCTCAACCTTCTCTTCACTGTTGGTAGTGGTTTGAACAATGGCTTGTTCTTCGACATGGTTGATGTCGGACTTCGTCGCGGGGACAACATGGTCCTTCTCGGATGCCATTCTGAACTGCTGGATCAAGGAGCCCAGGGTACAGAAAGAGATGATGAAGAGATACTGGCTGAAGGCTCAGGCGTCCAGCACCGGCTTTATGTATCCACGAGATATATGATATGACAGGGACTTCCCGCCGTCTCTCTTGAGTTTCTGGAGAAGCGAAGCTAGGTAGCTGTGAGCATGGATAGGCTCGTGGGGAGCATAGCGCACGCAAGGTAACAATGGTCCAACCCCCACTGCAGATCCCCTGGTCGGTTGAAATCTGGGGAAAGCTAGTTCGGCCATTCTCCGGCCGGGTGAACCCCTTCTCCAAGTCGTGCCGTCCTGCTCTGCAGGAGGAAACGGCAGGATATGGAAATTGCTCTGCTTCAGGAGTCCACCGGGGAGTGGCCGGTCGCATAATATGATTCCGCGTGGGGGCTGTCGACGAGTGTCTCTGATGCATCTCGGTATTTTACACCGGACCCCGTTTAAAACGCGAGGCATCTGCTCAGACACCTGTGGAAGATCAAGGCAACTCACCAAAGTAGAGTACTCCAACCTCTTAGTTCGAAGCAAATATGCCATCCTTCAAGATCCTTGTGCTGCCGGGCGACCACATTGGCGCTGAGGTTATCCGCGAGGCTGTCAAAGTACTCCGCACAGTGGAAAGCCATCCAAGCGTTGCCAAGCAGAACATCAAGTTTGATCTCGACTTCGACTTGCTAGGCGGGCAGTCCATCGATGTCCATGGAATACCATTGACGCCTCAAGTCATTGAGAAGGCAAAGAATTCCGTGGCCGTGCTGTTCGGCGCTGTTGGTGGCCCAAAATGGGGCATGACCGGAGCGCTGAGGCCAGAGACTTCTGTATTGGATTTGCGAAGAGCCCTCAACTGCTGGGCAAACATTCGCCCTTGCAAAATCCCTTCTCCAGGGGCTGCCAAGTGCTCGCCGCTAAAGGAGACCGTTGTCCAAGGAACAGATTTCATCATCCTGCGTGAGAATCTGGGCGGCGTATACTTTGGCGAAAAGAAGGAAGAGCCCAACTATGCTCACGACGTGTGGGGGTATAACAGATGGGAGATCGAAAGGATCTCCCGGATGGCGGCGTATCTGGCACGCAAACACGGAGGGACCAAGGGCCCCAGCAAGATCACCTCCGTGGACAAGGCCAATGTGCTGGCTGTGTGTCGACTTTGGCGAGAAGCCGTAACAACGGTCCACGACCGAGAGTTTGCGGACATTCCTCTTAATCATCAATTGTCAGACTCATTGGCTCTGATCATGGTCAAGAATCCCCGCTCGTTGAATGGCATTGTCTTGTGCGACAACATCTTCGGCGACTTGTTCTCTGACGAGGCTGCTGCGGTATCTGGCTCCCTCGGATTCAGCCCATCAGCGTGCCTCTCCGGCATTCCAGGAGAGCCTCTGGCTACAGGCATGTACGAGCCGAGTCATGGCTCGGCGCCGGATCTACCTCCCAACTGCGCAAATCCCATTGCCACAATCCAAAGTGCCGCCATGATGCTGCGGTACAGCTGTGACTTGGATTGGCTAGCAGACGCGGTTGACCAGGCTGTTAGCATTGCGCTCGACGACAGGGCCGCTGGTGGTCTGGAAGTGAGGACTGGTGACATTGGCGGAACCGCAACGACAGCGGAAATGGGAGATGCTGTTGTGACTGCACTCTTGCAGATTCTGGGCAAGGCAGAGCCAGAGTCGGCATCTCAAGCCAGTGCCACCGAGAGCGCAAGGCTGTAAGGGAAATGATGCATAGATCAATAGCCATAGGCACACTGTGCCGTTAAAGCCTAGCTCTTTTCTCTCGTGCCTGGCCGCCTCTGCATTGCCTGCTTGCGAACCACGTGGAGATCCCTGGTCAGGCTCTCCCTCTCCCTTAGCTGGTCGTGAACCACGTGGCAAGCCTGATCCGTGCAATGCGTGACCGATCGCCCTGGAGTAAGTTGAAATCGGAGACATTCCCGTGCTTCCTCCGTATGTGCGGACCCCGTTTGCCGATGTCAAAGGATCTTCCACCCCCATCTTCGGTTGTACGCTGATCGCCTGGTCCTAATACCCCACGACCCGGCGACTCCCCGGACATGTGACTGAAGCATAGAATTCACTTAATGCTTGCACTATTGTGAACGCGCCACTTGTTGAGCACACGATCATCTCCAAGAAACAGCCAAGATGCCGCTGACACTGTATGACAAGATCTATCAAGAACATCTGGTTAATCCTGATGACAAGGAGGCACCGTTGCTGTACATTGACTCGCACTTGATCTTTGAGGTGCCAACTGCCCAAGCATTTGACGGACTCAGGAAGAGCAATCGGCCAGTGAGGAGGACAGACTTAACACTTGCGACCGTTGATCACAATGTGCCGACCAACGACCGATCGAAATACCAGGATGCGGTGTCTTTCGTCAAAGAGCCCCAGGCCAGAACACAAATCACGCTGCTGGAGAAAAATATCAAAGAGCACGACATCAGATATTTCGGCATGGCAGATCGACGCCAGGGCATCGTGCATGTCGTAGGTCCGGAGCAGGGACTCACATTGCCCGGATCGACTCTATTCTGCGGAGATTCGCATACGCCTACCCACGGTGCTGTGGGTGCCCTGGCTGTGAGCGGCGGCACTTCAGATATTGAACATGTGCTGGCGACACAGACGGTCCTTCAGAAAAAGTACAAGAATTTCCGTGTCCAGGTAGAAGGAGAGCTTCGTTTGGGCGTCTATTCCAAAGACATAATCTTACACCTGTTGGGCAAGATCGGTACGGCTGGTGCAACCGGGTGTGTTGTTGAGTTCTGTGGTTCAACCATTCGAAACCTCTCCATGGAAGCAAGGATGGTGCTGTGCAATATGAGTATCGAGGGAGGCGCCCGAACCGGCTTGGTCGCACCGGACGAAGTGACGTTCGAGTATCTGAAAGGACGACCACTTGTACCTTCGGGGGCTGAGTGGGACAAAGCGATGGCTTACTGGAAGACGCTGCACAGTGACGAGTATGCGCGCTGGGATTTCTCAGTCGACATCGATGCAGCTGATATTGCCCCTTCAATCACCTGGGGCACTTCTCCAGACGATGTCATTCCGATAACTGGTCACCTTCCAGATCCGACAGATTTTGACGATGAGGAACCACTCAAAGCAGCCGCTATCCGCCGGGCCCTACAATACATGGACTTGAAGCCGAAAATGCTTGCAACAGACATCAAGATTGACCGCGTCTTTATTGGATCTTGCACCAACGCGAGGATCGAAGATCTGAGGGCTGCCGCCAGAGTTGCGAGAGGGAGGAAAGTAGCAGATTCCGTCTATGCAATGGTCGTCCCAGGCTCAGGTCTTGTGAAACAGCAAGCGGAAAGTGAGGGCCTAGATGTGATTCTAAAAGGTGCTGGGTTTGACTGGCGTGAAGCCGGGTGTTCGATGTGTCTTGCCATGAATCCGGATGTGCTTTCTCCCGGCGAGCGGTGTGCTTCCACAACGAATCGAAACTTTGAAGGCCGGCAAGGCCCAGGTGGCAGGACTCATCTCGTCTCGCCGGCAATGGCCGCCGCAGCGGCCATCAAAGGTCACCTGACAGATGTGAGAGAGTTGATGACCACGGGGAATGGATCCATCGCAGTGACCCAACTGACGCTGGAAGGCGATAGAGTCAGCAGCTACGGGAAAGTGGCGTCCAGTGCATCTGCACCAGATTCGGAAAGCCGAAATGGCACAGTCGCAAAGCGTCCAGCTGAGGAGGCAAAGCGCAGCGTCGAAGGCATTCCGAAATTCGACGTTGTTCATTCTGTCCCCGCTCCGTTCAACATGCGAAACATCAATACCGATCTAGTCATTCCAGGAGATTTCCTCAAAACCACCAAGAGGACTGGCCTGGGCCCTCACTTGTTTCAGGAATTGCGCTACGACAGTACCACGCATGAGGAGATACCAGAATTTGTTCTGAACCAAGAGCCATATCGCAAGTCCAAGATTTTACTGTGTACGGGAGAGAACTTTGGATGCGGCTCATCTCGAGAACATGCGGTCTGGGCACTTGTCGATTTTGGCATCCGATGCGTCATTGCCCCTTCATTCGCATCGATATTCTTCAACAACTCTGGCAAGAACGGCCTCCTCGCAATTCCGCTTGACGACTCTGCGGCACTACAGAAGATCCATGCTGAGGGGCTCGCCAAGCGTGAGGTCAAGGTGGACTTGCCGAGTCAAGAGATTCGAGATGCCGAAGGTTACTTGATCGCAAGCTTTAAGGTGGATGCATACACAAAGCATTGTTTGCTGAATGGCTTGGACGACATCAGTAACACTCTGATGAGCGAAGAGAAGATCTGTGAGTTTGAGGCCAAGCAGCAAACGAAGTTTCCCTGGCTGTTTGGTCGCATACGGAAGCTGCAGTCTCCGCGGCGACTTGGTCTCCACCTGCCAGGCGCACAGGATGTCTTCGACTGGTAGGCAGGACGGCTAAGGACGCTCGGCTTTGGTGGCGTCCGTCACTGGTCAGACATAGCCCCTGATAGTATTCGTGAATCGAAAGCTCATCCATCTGATTGGCAATCCTCAGTTTGCTTCCATGGGATGTTCCCAGCGCTCGGGATAGTGGGGACTCGGGATCTCCATCTTCGTTTGCAAAAGGTACCCGGAAATTGAACATAGCCGACTTCCTAGTTCCAAGTGCGCAGTTGCTGCCGTTCCTGGCAGCAAGCAGCAGCATTCCCACGCCATATGCCCCCACGACTTTGGAGATATAGGCGTGGAGGCATGGGGGATTCCAAAGTGGTGGCGTCGGAGTTCGGCCGCTGGACATAGGAGACATCGCCAGTCTTGGCGTGCTGTTGACCGAAACCCAGCTTGCTGTGCTCGACATGAATTGAAGGAGCATCATCCATAGTTCAAGAGACCATCCCGAGACAGCGGTGAAGAGCACTCGAGCCAAGGACCTCATTGCCATGACTGTCACGTATCCGACCGTGTCACCACTCAGCTGTGGCTACCTCTCGCCGCCAGCGTCCAAATTTCTGGCAGACGCTCTAGAGGGAGAGAGGTTGACCATGCCATCGATGGCATTTTTGATCCAGCATCCAGCATCGAAATCCAAGATCGTCTTTGACCTGAGCATCCGGAAAGACTTGACCACACTACACCCAGGGCTCCAGGCACATCTGAAAACGAGGATCCCGCTGAGTAGCGAGAACGATGTGAAGTCAGCCTTGGCTCTTGGAAACGTGGAGGCCTCAGATATTGACTATGTGATAATCACCCATGTGCACTGGGATCATACTGGCACTCCGTCCGACTTCACATCAGCGACCTTCATTGCTGGGCACAATACGGACAAGCTTCTCAAAAACGAGATGGGGCCAGATCTGTACAATCCCTTCTTCGAGCGGGACTTGTTGCCAGCAGATCGCACGATTGAGCTGCCACCAGTGCCAGGCTCGAAGAATGGGGAAGTATTTGACAAGACCCGTGGGTGGTATTGGCAAAGTTTGTCTCCCATCCACAATGCCATCGACATGTTCAATGATGGAACTGTTTATATCGTGGACAGTCCGGGGCATCTCCCTGGCCACCTCAATGCGCTGGTCCGAGTTGCAGTTCACAAATGGATATACCTTGCGGTTGATGCATGCCACCACATGCGGATCTTCAGAGGCGAGACAGACTTCGGATCGTGGAAGGATGAGAAAGGTCGGACCGTCACGATCCATAAGGACCTTGACGCGGCTTACGAGACCCTGGGCGTTTTGCGGAAGTTGCAACGTGAGGGTCTGAATGGAATCCCGGTAGAGGTTGTCTTGACCCATGATGGGGAATGGGAGAAAGCGAACGGGGACCACTTCTTCCCCAGCCATCTGTAGTCGAACAACGGGTCGGTGGTTCTTACGCGTCGTAATTCATATCAATCGTCCTTGAATCAGCGAGGCAGACACAAGCCAACAATCACTCCTGCTGTTCTAATCTCTTCGTCCGTCCAGCACGTGGAACGCCCCTCTCGTGTCCCATGTTCTCCACGCCTATGCAAGAGGCAGAGCACGTCCATTCGCACTCATTCACTAGGCGAGCAGAGCAATCATGTCGGCCGTTCTTGCCGGAGTTAGAGCACCGGAGTCCAGCGGCGGAGGAATGAACCATGATCACTCTTGACAATCGTACCGCTTTCGTCCAGGGCTGTCGTCTTCCAGACACGGGATAGTTAGTTATACGCGGAACAACTCGTTGGGCCGTGTTGCTTTCAATGCCATGAGCCATGTCTCTTGCGGGAAGATGCAATGGTGAGGTTTGTACTGCGTCTTTGAAATGAAGCGAGATGGCTCGTGTCAGTCGTACCCCCGGCGTCCGGGATGTCGTCTTCCTTGCTCGGTATACTGGAAGGTCTGCAAGATACACGTGGGGTCATGCCGTCCTCAATCCCACTATGCATATCTCCAGCAAATAGATGCAGTCCCTGCAGCAATGGTCCTTTTGCTTTGGACCACATGGGGGTTCGTAGCCTTGTCCATACTGGCCTTGCTCACCCCCACGAAGCGAGTAATAGTCCATCCATATTTCCGTACCATATTGGAGATAGTTGGAGACAAAGCAGGTGTGCCTCGTGATGATAGCTGCCTTGTTTGAAGCGGCACATTTGGAGAGCTTCTCGTATCCCTGGTGATCTACCGCGGCATTCCTTCTCATGGCTAAGCGCTGGACAGCATTCAAACCGACTCAGCCCCGAAGAAGACCTCGCCTTGCCAGCTCTTGCTTCAGAACTGGGCTTTGCACGTGAGACTTGAGATGCTCGAGGATTGAGGGAAGAAGACGACGCAAGAACAAGCAAATAGCCAAGACACTTCGACCACGACCAAGCTTTGCTGAGGTCACCTACCCATCACTCACTGTGGGCTACGGGCTCGGTGTGATCAGGCATGAATGATCTGACGTACACTACGGAGGAGTTCTTGGCTCACGGCGCCCATTCCGCTCCGCACGCGAGTTGAGTCGCCGAACTTTTTCCACAACGCATTCAGTGAACACGAGAACGGTGCAGAACAAGTTGCCGGCAGGCTATAGGTCTGGTGTACTGTGTCATGGCAATGAGTGTGGGTGAGGCGAATATCGAACGCAGGTGACGATGAATTCCGTCCCAGGGACACTGATGCCCTTTCTGTACCCCTGCCTCTTCCAGTCCACCTCAAAAGCGCTTCCCGCTCGTTGTCTACGTCTACGTCTACCAAAGCGCACACACCGAGACTTGCACCGGACTGCACGAGTCCACATCCCTTCATTCGCTGAACAGAATGTCTCTCCCCGGGCTAGCGCCCTCGAACCACCACCGCCACCCTCCTTAACCTCGACAGCAACCTCCACCTCCACACACCTCAACCCAGCCCCCGATGACTACTCGCGCAGCATCTTTATTGACAAATGCGTCATCACCATCTCCTCCGGCAGCGGCGGCTCCGGTTGCGTTTCTTTCCTGCGCGACGCCCACATTTCTGACGGTCCACCCAACGGCGGTGATGGAGGCAGCGGCGGAAGCATCTACATCCAAGCCGTGCCGGGGCAAACCTCTCTGCACAAGTTAGCCCGCAGGGGGATCATAAAAGCAGGACGGGGCATCGGCGGACAAGGCAAATCGCAAGGCGGGCGGCGAGGAGAGGACATCTGCGTCCAAGTCCCCGTGGGCACCGTCGTGCGGGAGATCTGGCGGAGCGATCCCTCGGTGGAGGAGGAACACCGCCTGAGAGAACTGCGCGCCACAATGACCGACGATGAGATCCTGGCCCTCCCGCCTGAGCAGAGCGGCCTGCGGAACAAATTCGTCATCTACGCCGGCGCGACAACCACCGCCGACAGGACCCAAGTCGCGAGCACCCTCCCGTCTCTGACGTCCTCGATCATGAAACCCCGCCGCTCCCACCTCTCCGTCCTGCAGCCCCCCGCGCCCATAACGCTAGACCTGGACAAACAGATGGAAAGTCCCATGCTCCTGGTCGCGGGCGCAATAGGCGGCCTGGGGAACCCGCACTTCGCGACCAAAGAGGACCCGAAGCCGAAATACGCGACCAAGGGTGCCCTGGGCGTGCGCATTAAGCTGGAACTCGAGCTGAAACTGCTCGCCGACGTCGGGCTGGTGGGCCTCCCCAACGCCGGCAAAAGCACCCTCACCCGCGCGATATCCAACTCCCGCACTCGCATTGGGGACTGGGCATTCACAACCCTCTCGCCCACCATCGGGACCGTGACTCTGGACAACAACGTCGGCCGGCCTCTGGTGCGGAGTGGCGTGCCCTCTGACCACACGTCAGACTCGGCGTCTATCATCCCCCGCCAGCAATTCACCATCGCGGACATTCCCGGCCTCATTGAGGACGCACACCTGGATAAAGGCCTCGGCCTCTCCTTCCTGCGGCACATTGAACGCGCGCGCATCCTAGCCTTTGTCGTCGACCTATCTGCCGGTGACGCCGTCGCGCAACTCAAAGCCCTGTGGAAGGAAGTCAGCGAGTACGAGAACCTCCGCGACCGCGAGATTGCCGCGCAGTCGGAACAACACGGTGGGACGGTCTCCTGGTCGCCATTCGAAGCACGGCCGCCTGCGTCGACGGCGAATGGAAATGGTCTCCTCAACGACGAAGGCGCTCCCATCTCCGTCTTCCCTTCTTCCCGCGGCGACAAACCGGGCCTCGAACCACTGAGTTACCCGCCCATTAGCGCGAAACCGTGGTTCGTGATCGCGACGAAAGCAGACATACCCTCTATCCGCGGCGACAGCGCTCCTGAGAATACCAGCAACAGCCAAAGTACCACGCAATCCAACTTCATCTCTCTACAGGCATACATGAAATCCGTCGAACACGGCACGGTCGCCCATCCAGGCGGGAAACCCAATGGCTGGAAATCCCGCATCGCCGCTATCCCCGTGAGTGCGATTCGAGGCGAGGGCATTGATCGAGTCATTCGCTATACGGCGGGCGTCTTGGATAGTCTTGTCGTGGGATAGTAGGCCGCGCTATCCCTGTCTGTGAGTGCAATTAAAGGCGAGGGGAGGGGGTCGGTCGGGTCATCCGCTACACGGGCGGCGTGCTGGATAGTCTTGTCGTGGGTTAGTGGGCAACAGGGGACGATGCCTAGAAGGGTGCGTTCCCGACTATGGTACTGATGGAAGAAGTGATCAGGGCGGAAAAGCCAGAACGGGACTACGTACAGTAGGTGGTTCCATGTTGCGTGTTGCGCGGAATCTTAGAAGACAGACGGATTCAGATCCTGTATAAAAGACAGCGTCGTAGAACGAGTAATCTACATGTACGATACTAGGGAGGTGATTGTGGCGTCCACCTCCATCGAGGCTATGTTCGCCTCTCTTGGGGGACTAATGAAAGGTCTAGGGGATATCCAATGCTGCTAATACACGTGGGATTAGCACCAACAATCGCCTCGCCCGACGCCACACTATCCACGTTATTACTCCAGGCGAAAGCGGTGGGTCTCGGGCTCTGCAGTATTGGAGAATGCATCGGCAGTATTCAGCTATTGTGCCGCAAAAGGGCTAAATCTGCCTCGGTAGGGTGATGGGCGCCCCTTAAAGACAGCGAGCATCCCCAAGAGATACTGGTGCTCTTAAATATGTTCCCTGTTGGATACCAGTTCCTGCCTGTACAAGAAGCCCAAAAGAAGTCTGTGCACGGAAAAAGGACCGCGCCATCTCGAACTCAGACTGAAGATACAAGCAAACCATAGTGGCCACGTCAGCATGGTTAGATTGCCGACATGCTCCTCCCATACTCCTGCGCGTGCAGCTGCAGCAGCGAGCGGTAGCACTCGGCATGCTCTCTCTGCCGCCCTCTCCCTGTTTTGATTCTAGGCGGAGTCAACCACTAGAAGTTCCGGCCCGGAGGTCCAAAGCTGCTCCCCTGGCCCACTGGACCGACAGGCTGCCCGACGATGCCTCCAAGCGGACTTGTGTGGTGAATGTGTTGACTGTGTCCCAAGATCGGACTGCCAATCTCGCCCACGCTGCCCCGGGGTGGTTGACTAGGAGGGTCTTCGACAAACTTGACCACTTGACCTCTGGTTTTATCCATGATCACTTCGAAGGACCCACCTCCATTCTGTGAATTGCCTTCCGTATCACAGATCCCTAGCATCTCGTCCATCGAAACCGACGGTTCTCCAGGTGCTTTGAGGGTCTCTAATTGACGCAGAACCGCTTGGACAGGATGATAGCCTTCGGGATCGGCGGCAGGACTTTGGGACAGCTGACGACATGCTTGAACAAGCATCAATCTTACTGCGATTGGACGAGGTAGATGTGACCTTGAGATAGGCTGAGGGCCACCGATAGCTCCAAATGGCGGCTGCCCCCAACCTGGGCTAGGTCGCTGTGCGCCGGGTGGTCCCCAATTCGGACTCGGAGTCATGGCAGGATTGAAGCCGCCCCAGCCAGGTCCTCCCATACCAAAGGGTTCTTGCTTGTGTTCCGGGAAACTGCTAACGAAGGGTAGCCTAGTAGATCCGGGCGGACCAACGGGTGGGAGATTTGCTCGTGGGTCGGCGGTATCGAATGGGGCATCTGAGTCGTCCAAGAGGGCTTTGCTACCCAGCTGCGTCGTCAATTGCTCCACCTCAGCATCTGGCGTCTTTCCTACCGGTTTCTGCTTGTCTGGCGTCGTGCTAGACGGTCGAGCGATGGGACCTAATCCTACGGGACGTCCTGTGAGCGCATGATCGTTCGATGGCTGTCTGGAGTGCACTTGAGGATTTGGCGGCACTGGTTGTGGATTGGCCATAGCGGGTGCCTGGCCCTGAGGTTGCGGAACAAAAGGCATCTGCTGACCTGGCTGGAACGGTCGTGGAAATCCTGGTGGGTACTGCAGGCCATTCTGAGCGAATCTCTGCTGGTTGATCATTGGAGGACCTTGATACATCATTGGAGGCATCATAGTCGGCATCATTCCAGGGGGCCCCATCGGCGGGCCACTGACTCCCAATCCTGGCATGCCGTTCATGTGAAACGGATATTGTCCTCGGCCGTGATTGTTCAGTGGTGATCTTGGGGCGGAAGGCTGCGGATGGTGTAACGGCGGAGGTTGACCATGCGTCTTTACGGGCTGACCCTGTGCAGGAGTTTGAGGCATTACGGCTGTGGCAGGGGACACGGAGCTTCTCGAGATATCGGTGCTGGCTTTTTGGGACCGTGGCGATGAGCCATGAGAAACCGGACCTGGTTGTGAAGGCTGTCTATTTCGTACAGGGGTCGGAACTTTGGGAGGAATCGCTGGTGTTGCAATGGCCACATGAGGAGAATGTAGGCTAGAGCCCCGGGATGGAGGTTGCAGGCCTGGTGGAAGCGCCACAGGCTGGTGTTTTGGCGGCTGATGTTGCGGTGCACGATCCCGGGCTTCCTTTTCTGACTTTAGCACAGCTTCCTTTTGCTTGCGGACGTGCTCGTCTTGGGCCTTCTTCTCCAGTTCCTCTTTAGCCTTTCGGTCTCTGGCCTCCTTTTCTTTGGCTTCCCGTTCCTCACGTTCCTTCTTCTTGACCTCTTCTCGCTTCTGGCGTTCGCGTTCTTTGGCTTCGCGGGCCTTGCGTTCCTGTTCGATCTGACGTTCGCGTGCTTCTTGCTGCTTTCGGTGCTTTTCGGCTTCCTTGCGGAGTCTTTCTTCCTCAGCGGCCTTCTTTTCGGCTTCTCGTTTCTTTCTCTGTTCTTCTCGGCGCTGCCGTTGCTCCTCTAATCTCTTCTCTTCGGCAGCTCGGGCAGCAGCCTCTTGAGCCGCCTTTTCAGCATCCTTCTTGGCCTTCTCCTCGTCCTTGACTTGCTTTTGAAGGCGTTTCTTCTCCTTCTTCTTGGCAGCTTCTCGCGCCTTCTTCGCTTCTCGTTGGGTGTCGAGGCGAGTCTCTTCGTCGAGTTCTTCGAGCAACTTCCTCTGTCGTTCTGCTGCTACTTTCTCTCGATATGCTGTTAGTACACGTTGTTCGAACATCCGAGCGGCAAATATCTGGAACATCCGGCGACCTTCTTCCATGCGCTGTTCTTCGGTCATGGAGTCCTAAGGCAAATCTGTCAGAGCTTCCCTGCACACAATCATCGAGCAGCACTGACCATGTCATCGCCCTCGTAGTCGTCTTCATCCTGCGAGTCATATTCCTCGTCGTCTTCCTCGTCATCATAATCATCATCGTCGTCTATGGGAGGATGATTGTGACCTTGATGGATATTTCGATGAGCAAAAGCCGAGGAAGGATAACGAATTTCTTCCTCACGTTGCATGCGTCTCTCCGCCAATTGCTCCATCATGTCAATGAAATGCTTCCCGTCATTCTTGAGCAGATCGTCTGCTACCGTAAGGATGCCATCTGTATAATGTGTCAGTCCTGCCCAGCCAAACGGAGTCACAGTAGGCCCAGACCCTTGACCGTGAGAGAGTTGCCGAATTGGAAGAAATCCGGAGGACCAGGCGGCAATCCATGATCGTCAAGCTCGCCATCATCGTCGCTGTAACCTTCGTCGTCCTCATCCTCGTACTCCTCCTCCTCCTCCTCCTCGTCGTCTTCGAGATCTTCCTCGTCGTCATCGATCTCATTTATCCGACTCCTCGAGGGGTATGACCCTGCCATCGGATGCCCTCTGTTGTACGTCGTTCGGGGTGGCATTAGATGCGGCGCTTGCGAGAGATCAGTATTGTGGTTGGCAAACTGCTCGAGTTCCTCGTAATAGGCGTCGTAAAGCACTTCGAGTTCCTCCTCGATGGCTGTCCGCTTCCGACCACAGACTGAACAACTACAAGAGTGCTTTTGCTGTTCCTTCATCTTTCGCAGCACAGCCTCCTTCTCGACCTTGACCAACGATCTCCGCTCCTCTTCACCCAGCTCCAGCCAAAACTGCTTGATGTTCTCCCGTTCAGCCTGCGTCGAAGTGTTCCAGATGTGGTCGCTCGATAGACGCTGCGAGGCTCGCATAGCTGCACTCGACAAAGGTGGGATGTTTGAGCGAGACAGCATGGTGGAAGTCCTAGATAGCGTCTCATTTGCCGTCTTCGACTTTTTTCGCTTGCTTGTGTTTAGCCACGAACTGTCGCGGACCGCATCTGCTCCTTCTGCACCCTCGGGACCCTCGTCGCCGCTGTAGAAGGCTTCTTCAGGGCTCTCAATTTCGGGGTATGCAGGATCTGCAGGATCTTGGTAGTCCGGTTCCTCGGTGAAATAGCCCTTGACCGGCCCTCTGGCTTGTTTGACGGGCGGTAATTGGCCATTGGGCTTGTGTCCCGCGGTTACGTGGCCATTTGGAACAGTCTTTACGGTTTTCTCCTGCTCCGCGGCTCGTTTTGCAGCCTCCTTCTCTCGTCTCTTCTGCTTTTTGCGGTTGACAGAGGGAGTTGAAGCGGGTTCACCTGCGGACTCAGTGGTGTCGCCCGTTCTGAAATCGGCATCCGTCTTGGTGGCAGCAGCCTGACTGTTTAGAGAAGGGGTGGATGAAGTGGCTGGGCCGGAGTTTGGCAAGTGTTGTGGAGAGGCAGTCTTCTTCAAGGGCAGTGGTTGCGGGATGGCGGGATGAACCTGAGTGTTGGCTTTCTTTTTGGAGGGCATGATGCCCAGGCAGTCAAGGGAGAGTGGCTAAGCCCGGTAGCGACCTTGATCTGGAGAGCTTGACATCAAAGTCGGGCTGGTTGTGGTTTTCACTGCTGGTGGGGTATCACAAATCGGGAGGGAACAAGCACGGACAAAGCGGTATTGTGATGTCGAATAATAGCGAGGACCGCAAGAAGGATCGAGGCAGAGAGCGAAGGTGCGACAGGCGGGCGCGGCAGGAAGTGTGCGTGGTTGCAAGTGTCTGGCGAGTCTGAGGGAAGTCGTTGGCTGCTGAACAGTGACAGTGACAGTGACTGCAGTCCAGTCCGGCAGCGCAGTCAGTCAGTCAGTCCAGTCCAGTCCAGTTTCCGTGGGGCGGCGACGGAGCCTCAAGACCGGCGTGGACGAGACACGCAACTTGCGCTTGACGGGCCTGTGCGTTGCCTGAGAAGTGCCACTGCTGTGCCTGTGCCTCGTGGCCGTGCCTGGCAGAGCAGGTAGAGACGAGCCCAATCCAAGCCGCTGCTCCCAGTCACTTACACCACCACCGAACACCGCTGCTACAGGTCACTTCACCCGCCTACAGTGCACTCGGCAACGTCGCAGCCTGACTAATTGACAGACTCGACCTAGAACCCAGGCGCTTTTCAGCGACAGCCTCACACCTCCCTTCTGCCGTTGCATCATTAGCCGTCGAGTGAGAAGCAAGCAAGCACTATTCCTGGCTGCGCCTCAAACATCCGTACTCCGAACCTCTTCACATTTGGACCCCACCGACTCCCAGCGAGCTAGTCTCAGACATCAGAGCCGCGAGGTTCAATCCTTAGCTACAACAACACTCCGTGGTTGGCAGTGCCGGGTGCCGGTGGGTGAAGATACCCGCTGCATGCGACCTCACCTGCAGTTGTGTCTAGTTACACCACGCCAAATCCACTCCGCTTGACTTCTCTTCAGCTAGCCCTGGGCCTGTCGATTATAAGACTTGGGCTCCTTCTATATCTTCATCATCTCTACCTGCCTTGCGACTGCCTGTGTTCGTCGTAGACTCATTCATCCGTCTGTCCGTTCATCGATCGCAAAGTGGTGTGGCAGCTTCGCGCGGACGGAGCCACGAGAGATATACACGACCATGGCTCAGAATCAGGCTCAGCAGAATGTTATGAGGAGGTATGTTCGCTCGACGGCCGAAGTCTGGATCCTCGTGGCTAACAGGAGTCAACAGAAAACTCGTCATTATCGGCGACGGTGCCTGCGGCAAAACCTCACTATTATCAGTCTTCACTCTCGGCTATTTCCCAACCCACTACGTGCCGACCGTCTTCGAGAACTACGTCACAGATTGCCGCGTCGACGGCCGGTCAGTACAGCTGGCCTTATGGGACACAGCAGGTCAGGAAGACTACGAGAGACTGCGACCCCTAGCGTATGCGAAATCACATGTCATTCTCATCGGCTTTAGTGTCGACAGTCCAGACAGTCTAGAGAACGTACGGCATAAGTGGATCGAGGAAGCCCGTGAACGATGTCCAAATGTGCCTGTCATCTTGGTCGGTCTGAAGAAGGACTTGCGAGAAGATCCGATCGCAATCGAGGAGATGCGCAAGAAGAGTCTGAGGTTCGTCAGTCCCAGAGAAGGCGCAGAGATGGCCCAGCAATGCGGTGCGCGGAAATATCTCGAGTGCTCGAGTTTGACCGGTGAAGGAGTGGACGATGTCTTCGAGGCCGCAACCAGAGCTGCTCTTTTGACTTTCAACGGCAAACAAGGTGGAGGTGGATGCTGTGTCATTCTATGAGCTATGAGCTACCGTGATGGACAGCACCAGGCGACTAACATGCTGAGCTGGGCATTAATCGAAGAACATTCGATATCGTCCTGCCTTTAAGAATGGCGCACTCGGAGCTCAACTTTGATCTAACCATTATGGGTTTGAGAATGCCAGTCCGGCATGTACATACAGTACACTTCGCCCATATCATGCTTGTAATGCATGCCTAACGACCAATTTCTTACTGATACATTAGCGAATGGGCAACGACGAGGGATATTTCACGAGAGGCGTGGAGACCGCCGGCCATGTGATCGAAGATATGGGCGGCTTGGCGTCCTTGGAGAGAGAAAGACAAAAGTTGACAGCATTTCCTTGTTGTACATATATGTCCCATTGACCTTAATGCTTCGTTTCACGCGAGACTAGCCCATGTCTTCTGAGTGCGTTTGACCGAATCCAGATCCACCTCAAATCAGTATCGGTAGGAAGTGCGTCTAACGTCAACAGCCTTGTGTAGCCGTCACCAAAAGTGATGCTCTCCGAGCGTGTGGTTCGTCGCCAACCCATCGAGCCATCCAAAACCACTGGACAAAAGTCTCGAATTTGAGTCTCAACCCTGCCTTGTTCTGGAGCCTTGTCCCACCCGTTCTCCTGTATGGTATAGACGGGTGCTTCCCAAGTCAAGTGACCTCCTACAAGGCCGCTTCCTTTCTCCTCGCTCGCTCGCGTGCCTTGAGGGCCACGGTCCACCATCCACCAAGCTGCAGTATACCACCACCGTGATTCCCTCAAGCCTTTCACCCTTCTCTCCAACAACATCAATGCCTCTTCCACGCGTGATCCCAAATCTTAGCCTGCTTAGCCGACGCACCGGCACCGGCACCCTCCCCTTCACCCGCGCCCTCCCCCTCTCCACCACCCTCACTTTGCGTCCCGACGCCCAACCCGCCCGTACTCCCCACCCACTCGACCAACCCCCTCGCATACTCGATCGGTACGCCACCGCTTTTCCTCGCGCCGGACCCAACGTGACTGGACCCAAGACCCCACACGCCCGTCTTCATCTGCGCCTTGCGAAATAGTCGGCCCCCGTCGCCGGCGCCGAGGCGCAACTCCTCGTTCGCGTCCCTCATCGCGTTGTACTGTCTCTCCAGCTCCATTTCGCGGGCTTTCTTCACGTTGTGTCGGTACAGATTCCACGCGCGCGTGATCGTCCAGTGCCTCAGGTGTCTGTTTCGGGAGAAGCGGAGCGGTCGGGGCGTGAGGGTCGTGGGATGGTGGAGGAAGAAGCGGATCAGAGCTATGGGCCACAGTTAGTTGGAAACGTTGAACGTAGACGTGCCAGACCCGGTAAGGGGCCGTCAATTTCTTTCAGATGGGGAGGTAGATTCAAGACAAATCAAATCGAGTGGTGCTTCTGACGGGCACACAAGCAGAGGAGAGGAAGAGGGACAGACGCGGCTAAGGAGAGTGAAGGGAACACATACTTATCCGCCGGTCGGGTCTCGCGCCGCCGCGACTCCTCGCATTAGTGGCTGTGGTCGTCGAGAATGGGGACTTCGACAGTATACTTGCTCGGACTGCGGGTTGTGTTATCGAGCGTAGGGGTCCATGGGCAGGTGGTGCCCTCCGCAAAGCTGGCCGAAGTGGGATCTGGAAAACATTCGCCAATGCGGCTCGTAGGGAGGAGCCGTGCATCGTGGTTGTTCAGGCGCAGATGAGGGGGAGCGGCCTCTGCGATGACAGGTGTAAAGCGACGCCGCTGCGGGGGCCAGAACGATATCAGTTTCTTGGATGGGAGCCGTGAAAGAAAGCTGCATTGACCTCGAGGTCTGGTACGTATCAAACTTTCTGCAGTAAGGCTGAGCTTGGCGTGTTTGTGTGTTTCAGCCTTGCTGCCACTGGACTTTCTTAGCCGCGTCCGGTGAGCCGTCGGTCTAAAGGGGCGCAAAGTTCAACATGTGCCTGAGCATATTGTCTTATTGGGTATCTATCATTGAGTGAAGAAGACGCTGCCGATTCATCATAGCTCATCGTCTGCCCGGTCGCTTACGCCATTTCAACATCCATCGACAGTTTGGTAAGCCTTGCTGCAGTTCATATCATACCGAATACTTCTTCGTCTGCTTATCGAAGTTCATGATCCTCCTCTGACGATGCCCCTGCGCCAACTTCCATCTGCAGTACAGCATTATTGCATCCTTGAGCACAACAAACAGACAACCGCCAACCACACTTCTGCCCCACTTCGTCGCCAGCAGTCCTGGCCGACCATTTGTGTAGTTTCGGTACGTCAGCCATGATGTGGGTAGGGCAAAGCTGATCAGGTTGCCCATTCCTGCTGCGACCGCTGGGAACATTAACGCGCCAAGAATCGTCTGCCCGATACTGCCAGTTTCAATGAATTCTTGGCGCAATATTCGTTGGACGTGTTGGTTTTCTTGCTGCGGCTGTACTCCAGCTCCGTCATTAGCAGCACCTGCTGGGCCGCCCTCCTCATCTTCCTCTAAGGCTGCGCCATGATCGTTGATCTCGATTTCGACAAGCACGTCTCCTTCTTGCGCTTCTTGCTCCTGGAAATCCTGGGCATTCTCAGCTTGCACTTCACCTGGTTGCTGAACGTGCCCAGGCTGCACCTCTGCCAACCACTTTCTGTTAAGGTCACAGAAGGCCTTGTGATAGCACCAGTTGTAGAGTGACCTCATGGCGGGAATGCAGGCGAATACTGTAGTTGGTAAAGGGGGCCAGATGGTATAGTCAATGTCGAACTTGTCGGTGATTTGGGTGGAAAGTAGAATCAGGCTGCTGCCCGGTAAGGCGAAGTCGGCATAATCTGTCCGGGCCAGGATCAGGTTGATCGGTATGAGGCTGTACATCCAGGCAAAATCTGGACGCGAAGCGGTATATCTGAATATTCGATCCGCGTCATCGTGTCCAAACACCAAATAAACTGATTGAAATCCGTGAAACCACGCTCCAGCCCATAGAGAGCCGGCCAAAGACAGCCCTAAGCCAGGTAAGACAAACTTCCCGAGAGAACGATCGATAGTGCGAACGCTGTCTACCACATAACTTCTCGGTCTCGATATCTTGATCTCGGATTTGCATTGTGGGCATTGAATAGGCCCTGACTGTTTGTTCTTGTTCTTCGGGTTCTCCAGGTCGGCTACCCAGTCTAACAGGCATGCTTCGTGAGCTGTCAGACTGCAGGAGCATGGTGACCGCCAGACAGCAGGGTTATTAGGGTCATCTTCACTCTTGTCGCTCATGCATATCCAGCACTTTGGTCCGAATGTTGAGGCACGTGAGGGGGCTGGTGGTCGGGATTCTGACTCTTGGGGAGGATCCTCAAGCGGTGAGGAGGGATTGTCCAGCAGACTTGTATGAGAGTCTTCTGAACTCATTGTGAGGTTGGGGCCAGAGAAGAGGAGATGAGGCTCGGGTAAGTGAGCACCGATGCTAGATGGCGGACGTCTGCCCTAATTGAGAGTTAGACGGCGCACATCTGCTAAGCGTATCATGAAGCCCTAGAACGAGGGGCAAGATGCGATACAGGCACACTGGTTGGTTTCACTGGTGTAAGGTCAATCTGGGGAAGCGACGTGATATTGGATCAACAGGTTGCAGGTGTCCAGTGCCCTCAACCGCGAACGCGAAGACGTAATGGCTGCGTTGAGCTAGCCAATTGTGGTTAGACTGGATAGTACGAGGACCAGGCGGCAAGTGATTGTTTTCCTCGAACCTTTCCAGTTTCCAACGGCCAGCTTCCTTCTTAACTCCAAGTTCACTTTATTTAAGCTATCATTTCCTTCATTGTTGTGTCCAGAGGCTCGACAGGCACGCCACATGTACGTGGCACCTTCCCGCAAGCCTTTTACCACACACTCCTGTAGATCCATCATCGTATTGTCATCAGGCTGGCCGACAGCTGCTTTCCGACGTGTCCTTCGCCCGTTTCAGCTTGACGGCTCCTGACACTTCGGACACTCCAAGTCGACCAGCCGGTCGGATTTATGTGAGAACCCGATCAGGCCCTACAATGCGAGGCCTGACTTATGGTCACACTGCTTCAAAGGCTCAGCAGTATGCTCGCTGCAGTCAACGAAGCTTGGCCTGTTTGCCTTAGGTTGAAGGCCGTATGGCTTGGATCAACGTGTCGAGCTCCCCCGGTCAAGGACAACCATGGCCATGTTGTTGTAAACCGTCCACAGAGCACGGGACTTTCCTCCCGCTGCTGAATGCCTTGAGTGGGGATTTCGGACCACGCCGATCCTGCTTCCACCTGGCACCGACATACAGTGACCACGCCAGATATCTGTTGGTATCTGCTCAAGCAGAAGACACCTTACATTGTTCCAGAGCGTGTTTGAGCGTACTCACAAATCGGCTGTTACCATATATCGGCATACCCATGATCTTCGGAGCATAGCCTGTCCATCAACGGAGCTGCCCCGCGGTCAATGCCAGACCTTGACGTGCTAAAATGTGGAACTTGGCTTCATCGGCGTGTTCTCCATGTCGGAGCTAACCCCAGGCTGCTCAAGTAATAGTTGAGCATTCGGCTATGGAAGACGAATGACGAAGCAATGAAAGAAGTCGCGACCTGAGGCAGAGGAGGGAAGGTCACGCCGCCAGCCGATAAGCCTTCATAGCGCATGATCCAGCGACCTTGCTTGAACCAGTGTACGCGAATTTCGTGTTCAACGGCAAGAGTTTCAAGAGTAAGCCCCTGTCCGACGACTAGGGTGAGAGGGTAATGGGATGCGAACTCTCGTGTTAACATTGTTCCGCTCCGGAGTGACATCGGCGTGGGTGCCCCTCTTGTTTTCCGCTCTACGACCATGGGTTTTCCGCTTTCCAGCCAGGGCAGCCTGGACAATGTTAATTCGTCAATCCATCTATTGTGGCGCATGCTAGCAGACCTTGCTCACATAAAAACGAGAAAGTGCGGGAGACAAGTATACCCATCGTGTCTCTGTCAATACTCACCTCTCAGCTGGAGCACGCGACTCAGTTCGGCAGACGTCATAGCGACGAACAGCAACAGAGTGGATGAGAAAGACTATCAGCCGAAGTCCAAACCGCTGAGCACAGCCTTCCCACTCAACATGGCTGCACTCGTACCGAAGGTCGACAACCTCGATCATGTATATGCGGGAGCTGGCGAGGGCAACGACGTGCCCGCTGAGCTGCGACATCGCTTCAGAAATTTGATCACGACCTTCGGAGAGAAATACGGCCAGAAACCAGAATTTGTATCTCGAAGTCCTGGAAGGGTCAATATTATCGGTGAACATGTCGATTACTCGTTATACAACGTCCTGCCGGCTGCGGTCACAGTTGACGTACTCATCGCTGTCCGTGTCCTCCCACGCGATGGCGGAGCTGAGCCTATAATCAAGATTGCCAACGTCAACCCTGACAAATACCCCTCCAATGAATATACGATACCGAGCTCGGGAACAGTTGACGTCAATACGCAGAAGCACTCCTGGAGCAACTACTTCTTGGCTGGACTGAAAGGGTCAATGGAATATCTCCGAAAGCATTTCGGCGACTCTTTCGGACCCCGTGGCATGGAACTCCTCATCGACGGCAATGTCCCGGCCGGGGGCGGCCTCTCCAGTAGCGCAGCCTTCGTTTGCGCCTCTGCTCTGGCCGTAATGGCGGCGAATGGCCACGACATCTCGAAGCAGGACCTCCTAGACCTTTGCATAGTGTCAGAGCGCTCTGTCGGTGTCTTTTCTGGTGGTATGGATCAAGCGGCGTCCATATTCTCAGAGAGAGGGTTTCTGCTGTATTGCCGATTCTTCCCAACCTTCTCAGCAGAGAATGTCCCCATCCCGGTGTCCGACCCAGAAGTGACTTTTCTGGTAGCTCAGTCATTCGTCACCTCCGACAAGGCTGTAACGGCGCCGATACATTACAACCTCCGAGTCGTGGAATGTACCCTCGCAACTGTGGTACTGGCCAAGTTGCACGACATTCCTCTCGACCCAGACCAGAGCTCACTTGGATTCTGCCTGCGGAACTTTCAGGAAGAGATAATGAGAAAGGAAGGCCGCCTCGACGAACCCATGGCATCTCAAGTGGAATCGGTAATCGATATCATCAAGTCGAAGCTCGACAAGCAAAGCTATACAAGAGACGACATTGCGAACATCTTGGGCATTTCGGTCGAGGAACTAGAGAAGCAGTATATGTCCAAATTCCCGATCCGAGCGGAATCTTTCAAGCTGAGACAAAGAGCATTGCATGTTCTCGAAGAGGCTGGACGCGTGCTCAAATTCCGTGATACCTTGACGACGTCCGGAAAGCTGGATGAAGAGAAATTACGGTATCTCGGTGAGCTCATGAACGAGACGCAGGATTCGTGTCGGGACGTCTACGAGTGCTCATGTCCCGAGATCGACGAAATTTGCGCAATCGCGCACAAGGCTGGTGCTTATGGCACTCGACTGACAGGTGCTGGGTGGGGTGGCTGTACAGTCCACCTAGTGCCACAGCACAAGGTTGATGCTGTAACTGAAGCTCTCAAACAAGAGTACTACTACAAGAAGTTCCCTGACATCACCAAGGAGAAGCTTCAGGAGGCTATTGTCATTTCAAAACCCAGTCAGGGATCATCGTTGATTGTTGGTGCGGCCCTTGACCTATAGATCGGGCCACTTTGTGAAGACTACTGGCTGGCCTGACGGAAATAGATGGCAGGGGACATGGTACTCTAGAATCTTCCGGCACAGGATGTTGCTGGCAGGCAAATATACTTCCACGATAGGCACTCGTCGGGAGATGAGACCATCTTGTGAGGTGTGTGCCACGGAATTTCGAGGCACGGCCAATCGACGGTCCGAACAATCGCGTTTGACATCGGCCGTCCTTGATGCAGGCAATGGTGGCATCAAGAATCCAGTAACACGAGTCTTTTTCCAGTAAAGAACGATGGCTCCGGGTGCTAGATTGCGCCGACCAGTAAGGATTGCACCTTTCCATTGGTCATGGACTCCCTGTTCGGTGGAATCGTCTCGCATGTCTGGGGTCTTCGAAGGGCGTCGTGCCGGTGATAGTTCTTTTGGTATGGACCAGCAGTGCTAGACTTGTCGGCCTTCTGACAGCAGTGCATCGTTTGGATTATGCTGGCCTGGCCGTACTGTTGGGTGAGTAGCGTCTCCTGAGCGAGCCATGATGGCCATTGGAACGATTGATATCATTTGAATATAAGAGCATGTTCCACCCACCTGTCACAGAATAGCTCGTACGGAGCTGTGGAAAGTAAAGATTCCGTTTGCGGCATCAGACATAGGCTTTTCGAGCGGGCAGACGGTTTCAGTTAAGCAGTGACTGACTACAGTAAGGGGCAGAGATATTTTTGAACGTCGTCTATGAAACTTGTTTGAGGAGACACCGGCCTCGTTATCGATAGCATAGCGGACTCCACGTCTGAGGACGTCGGTAGGGATCACCGAAATGGGCTCTGGATGCGGAATTCCGCTATAGATATTCACGTGATCGCGCGTCATCCGCAAACGGGCCTTCGCGTCACACAGGGCGCAGATGAGCGAGAGGTACTCTCGATGTGTCATCCATTCGACCTTCTCGCCCACGCATGAGGCGTTGACGCGAATTTTCAGAATGACGCCAGGAGAACTGGCTGCCTTTGCCAGCACGGTGGGCGCGTTCTCCGCCGGTCAAATCGACCGACTATACCAGCTTGTTGTGGGACCCCGGGGTGGTGTTGGCGCATCCGCGCTCCGCGAGCAGTGGCGCTCTCTCGGACTCCAGGACGGCGGCAACAGCGTCGCTGGGGATGTCGCCGACGACTTATGCCTTGAGTTCATCATTGACGTCGCCGACACCGACCCGGACACCCCGCTGGAGTCCAAATTCTTTGAAATTCTAGACGCAGCTAACATTGCCTTGACCACCACCACCACCACCACGTCCTCTCCTCGACCATCCTCCGCATACTCCATCGAGTCCATCGACGAGAATGAACCGCTCTGGCGCCAGGCCGTCGTGCTCGACAACCGGAGATTGGTCTCCCAGGTCATAGATATCTGGCAGGATCGAGTCATCGAGCGTCGCGCCGCTTATGAGCAATATGAGGATCCCGAAGCCAATGCCGTTGCTGATAACCAATATCGAGACAAACTGGCCAAGAGGACAATCGATCACTGGCGCTCGCGTGTGCAGCATGTTAAAACCTTAGAAGCCATGGCAGCCGGCTTGCTCTTTCGGAGAGACGCGACAAGAACACTGACGGCATTGATACTCGCCGAGCGCGAGACTGTCTTTGTCCGAGAGCGGCAACGGCGATCAGCGGCCCGATTCCTCGCCATCTGGCGACAGAAGACCGCGCTGATCCGAGAGATGGAGGACCACGCCGACAACTTCCGCAACCTCCACGCAGCACAAAACGTCTTGGCCTGCCTCTCCGAGACACGTCAGCACCATGAAGAGGCCGAATGCCGCGCCGTCACGATCTACGAAGGCACCCTCGCACGGCGGGTCTTCAATCAATGGTTCGCACAGTCTCAAGCTATCTGTGTCAACCATGAGCGTGCGGAGGCCGCGGCCGACTATTTCGCCGCGAAACACGCCTTCCAAAAGCTCCGCGCGAGAGCTCAATCTCGACTGGCCCAGAAAGAGATCACTCAAGCGCGCATCCACCTCCTCTGCCTCAAGTACTTCCGAAAATGGAGACTGGCCGTCCGAGACATCAAAGAGGCCAAATACAACGCGGCCTACAAGACGATGCGTCGCAAAGTCAAAGAAAACATCGCGAGAGCCTCACTGACCATCTGGAGAGAAAAGATGCGGCGCGTCAGAGCGATGCACGCCACCGCGGACGAGATTCTGGCGCAAAAGCAAGGAGAAAACGCCAGAAAGATGGCTCACAGTGCGATAGTCGCAATGTATCGACACACTGAAGAAACGCGACGGGCCGAGAGCCTAGCAGACGAATTCTACCACCAGACGTTGGTTCGACGGCTCGGGATTTTCGGTGCGCACTGGCTCGTGCCCGCCAGACAGATTTTGGCAAATCAGCGCGTCGCCGACGAGTACCGCGCCACGAGACTGGCCACATACACATTGAGCGCGCTGAGGACGATGCGGAACTACGCCTTTCGAGCGAAGAGACTGGAAGAAGACGCCGACACGCTCCGCCAACGTAACGAGAAGAAACGCGCTCTGGCGTTCTTGCACAGATGGAGACAGGCTGCCGTGCGAGCTCAAGAGGATGGAGGAGCCGCAGTGGAGAATTCTCTGGTGCCAGCGACGCCCGCGGCTCGACGAAGCCAATTGCTCGCATCCACCACGCCGGCATACACGCCTGGTACGGGCCTGTTTGGTGCCACTGGTCGCACGATCGACGAAGAGCAAGACGAAGCCGAAGAGGAAGAGGAAGAGGTAGATGAGCCGGATGAGGTCCGGGCGTCATGACTTGCTGCAGGAGACTCAATGTGACAATGAGCTTATGAACATGAATATGATACCCAGCGGATGCCACATACTGTATATGATGGATAGATACCCCAGACAGTTGCTATAGATGGACTTGGCTGTAAAACAGACGCACGTACAGCATGCATACATGGGTGAACCCCAACAATGGCATCTCCGCGCTCTGCAGACATGGGGTTTCACTTTCTGGATTTGATTCGAGGACAACATCTTCACTGAGGTCAGGCCGCATAGCGGGATGGCATTACTTTTCATGATGTCCCCTGCCTGGCACGACGTACGTCTACTGTCTTCGGGGCGGAGCTCCTACGGTGCAGATATCCGACCGACACCGCGACGCGAATGTAACGACCCCGGTGCATACCGCCGCTGCATGTGGAAGTGTAAGACCTCATTTAGCGCCTTCCACCTATAGGTGGTTCTTTTGCTCTGGTCTGAAGGACTCACAGTACGTTTAATATTTTTGAGGGTCCGATAGATCGACGAATCCGGGTGGTGTCCGCTATCTCGTACCCATGCTGATGATGAGTTCCTTCCTGAAAGGGTTGTACCATTACCTAAGCCCAGCCAGGGTTTCTAGCGGGGTCAGGCGTGGACAGGGGTAAGCGTCGACTTCGTTCCCACTGTGGTAACTAGGGCCGACCATGGCCGACCCTACACTGGGTCGCTGATCTGACAGTGCTCGGTATTGCAGTATTGTGTAACACGAGTCGTCGCGCTCATGACGCGGGCAGCGCACACCCGTCGAGCCATCAACAGTCGCTCGTGCAACTCGCTCTGCAGAAATGGGGAATCCACAACTGTCATATGGGGGTGGGTGGCTGTGAGAGGCTAACGTGCGTGACCCCGACGATGAGCGGCTGGGGGGCCCTTATCTGTATATACGTGCAGACGGAGCCCAATCCAGGAGTACTCTTTCTCGAGTCCGGTGAGAATTATGCCGAACCAAGTGTCGGACTATCTTTGGCAAAGACCCACAGGTAGGTATGTTGAGAAAGGGATAAGCACCTACACAGTATCGTTGCATAAGTCTAGTCAGCCGGTGAGGTTGCGGCCGGAGGTCCAGTCAGCGATTAGGGGGCCGTACCTGAGGCTTGTCGTGTCTGAGGGATAAATACAATGAGAAAGAAGAGAACTGGAGGACTTGCAATATCATTCCCTCGTCAGCGGAACTGAGAAGACACCATGGTTCAAATCGGCGCAATGCAAGGCCTGGTCGCCACTGTTGCTGTACTGACAGTAGCAGTGCTTGTGTACCGATTGGCCATTTCCAACCAACGCCTCAAAAGCAGCCATCCGCTTCCACCTGGTCCTAAACCACGCATGCTCATCGGGAACATCCCAGACCTCCCACCTGCAGGCGCGAAAGAATGGCTCCATTGGCTTAGGCTCAAAGAGCAGTATGGTCCCATCAGCTCGCTGTCGGTACTTGGGCAGAGCATAATCATCATCAGTGACTACAAGATTGCCGTCGACTTGATGGAGAAGCGCTCGGCCTTCACTTCCTCTCGGCCGACTCTCGAGTTCGGTTCCAAGCTCTGTGGTTGGGAGAGAGGACTCGCGATGATGCCGTACTCTCCCAAGGTGCGTGCCTATCGAAAGGCACTCCACGCTGTGCTCGGGACTCACTCCGCAATCGACCCGTTCCGACCACTGATTGAGTTGGAGACGCGCCGGTTTCTGCTCCGAGTCCTCGAGAAGCCCGAAGACGTTTTGCAGTCGATACGTACCCAGGCAGGCGCCATCATTTTGAAGATCGGCTACGATTATACCGTTGAGCCTCACGGGCATGACCCTTTGGTCGACCTGGCCGATAAAGCTCTCGATCAATTCTCCAAGGCCTGTGCACCAGGTGCATGGATGGTAGATGTCATTCCCACGTTGAAATTTTTGCCAGAGTGGTTGCCTGGTGCAGGGTTCAAGCGCACAGCACGCCAATGGAAGACTACCCTTCATTCCGTGGCAGACAAACCGTATGCATTCGTGGAGAGGCAGCTCAAGAAGGGCGAAGCCGAGCCATCATACCTCTCCAAGCTGATCGAAAGCGAGAAGGGTACATTAACTCCTGAGGCTGACGAGATTGCTCGCTGGTCAGCCTTTGCATTGTACACTGGCGGTGCCGACACGACTGTGTCTTCGATGTCGTGTTTCGTCCTCGCAATGGCGTTGTACCCGGAAGCACAGAAGAAGGCGCAGGCAGAGATCGATGCTTTCGTCGGCACGTCACGCCTACCCACGTTCAAAGATCGCGCATCTCTGCCATATGTTGACGCTCTGATCAAAGAAGTCCTCCGCTGGCACCCCGTGGGTCCCATGGGTGTGCCTCACTTGACGACGAAAGCAGAGGTGTACAATGACTACCTGATCCCAGAGAACAGTCTGCTCATTCCAAACATATGGGCCATGCTGCACGATCCAGCGGTCTACCATCAGCCCGATGTCTTCAACCCTTCGCGATACCTCGATGATTGCGCTGAGCCTGATCCATACAATATGTCATTCGGCTTCGGACGAAGAATTTGTCCTGGAAAGCTCTTCGCCGATTCCACTCTTTTTTCAACGATCGCGAGTTTCCTGGCAGTATTTCAGGTAAGGAAATGCAGAGACGTCAGTGGAAAGGAGATCGAGCCCGAAGTCGATTTCCTGCCCGGGATCATCAGCCATCCGAAGCCGTTCAAATGTGACATCAAGCCGAGGTCGGCGGAGCACGAGAGACTGATCAAGAGTGTTGAGGTTGAGCATCCGTGGCCAGAACATGGGGATGCAAAGTACCTGGACTCGGAGATAGCGTAGTCAAGCGGACAGTGAGTGGATTGATCTTCTGGGAGATTGAGAGTGCTTCAAGTTACCATGTATCTCCAGTGGGAGACGGAGGCAGCGATAGATTGTGCAGAAGGACTCGGGCTGCATGACTGGGTAAGACGGGAATAACATGCAAATAGTTGCGAGGGGAGCAATATCGACATGGAGTGCATGGCAAGTCAATTCAAAGTGAAAGAGAAAAGAGCACGACCTGAAGTTTTCAACCCTTTTTTGTGATTCTCTGACTTTACTCTCACCTCACCTCACCTTCACCCTCACCTCACCACATAAAGTGTCAAGCACGATCGAGCTGACTCCGAACGGTAGATCTCGCGTCAACTCTTCCTCCTTGCGCTGATCGCATTATTGTAGTAGCCGTAACTCCTGGTGACTCTGAACCATCCACCCAACACGAGTCGTATATGGCAAAGTCCTCCACATGATCCCAGCCTCCCCTAAATCCCTCACATGCTCAAGGAACTGGTTGCAGCACATCCAAACTCTCTCCCACAGGCCCTTCCCGATCGTATCCTATTCCGACTCCTCTGTCTCTCGCAACAATCAGCTTCTAAGCCAAGATCACCTCTCAAAGATCCCTCTGCGAAGTCTACCGTCCTCTGTCTCCCTCTACAAGCAGCTACTAAGCCAAATTCTCCTCTCAAAGATCCATCCGCCACCTGCCTCCTCAGTCGACCCCAGATTGTAACCAACTCCAGCTGCAACCAGTTCCCATCCAGGCCACCATCAGATCCTCGACTCCGAAATGGATGCGCAAACCGGACCTTGAATGCCGACAAGAGGTTGTCATGACAGCCAGCTTCCCACACTGGATTTGCGAACTTGCTCGGATGTGACCAATCCAGAGCAAGAACACACTATGGTCAACCTTCCCTGTCTCAGACCAAGATGAAGCCACGTCCCCTGCTCTTCAACAGGATCGGCACCTTGTCGGATATGGCGGGTCCGAACAAGACACCCTATGATCTTCACTTGTCTTTCCAGTGCACCACAAAAGCCTGAGAGTCTTTCAGTAAGGGCTACCACCATGGTGTATGGCTTCGGGGACCTACCTCACCACCACTACCACCGCCATCGCCATTGCCACCACTCCACCATCTCCACACAGCTAGAGGTATGTCAGCGCTAACTACGACATGTTGGACTCGTTAGGGAGGCTTACCACCTTAGAACCACGATCGGACCCAAGAAGCCACCTTCGTGACTGCAGTGTCGAGTATCTGTCCGCAACAAGCAAAGAAGCCGGGGGAGGCCGCGGGCTCCAATGCCGTATAATGTCTGAAGGCGGGCTCGGTGCGGAAGCAGATGACACTGCCAGTCGGCGAATCCGGGACTGGCGATTCGGAGACGTCACCAGGAGTATACACGGAGTCGAAGCTGTCCTCAACGACACCGGTATCTGGATCAAACTCTGCCGGGGTGTTGTCATCGCCAAAAAGAGACTATCTGCTGGGACTATCGGTAACAAAGTCGCCAGGGGGTGATTTTCGGTCACTTGGAGACGCAGAGGGAGGCTTCCGGGTGCCCGCAGCCTTCATGGCACCTAGGAACTGCTGGAACAGAGCCTGGGGGAAACTTGACTCAAAGGGGCCGGTGTGAGAAGCGTTGTTGTCGTCATCCTCCTTACCGGTGTGGACTTGTCGGACTCTGGGACCATCGGTGGTCAAGTCACCAGAGCAGGGGGATTGTTGACCGGCTGAATGGGCGAGACAGCCTGGCACATCACAGACCCATGGTAGGTCTGGACGGGCTGACGCCGGAGACAGTGGCGAAGGAGGTGACGAGTTGGCCGAACCCTGAAGAATGGCCAGGATCTGCTGGGGCAGTGGATGTGGTGCAGTGGCCTCCTGGGGAGTACTCTGAGTATCCTGAGTACTGACGGAGGACTGTTGGCTGGGACTGCACCAACATCGACTGACAGTGTCGCCAGGAGAGGAACCAAAAGATAGGGCGGAAGAAGCCGACGGGAACTTGTCGCTCGAACTGGTGGCGCGACTTCCAGTGGAATGCTGGAAGCGTGAGCCCTTGGTGACGCGGACACGGCGCACACTGTTGACAGAAGGGTTCGTTGGAATCGCTGGCAGTTGAGGGTGAAGCTCCTCCCGCTGGACCGATGGCGTCCGAGGGAACGGTGGGAGCTATATTGGCACCGTGAGTATATGTTACAATATCTGGTTGTAAGAGACGTACCTTGGCCACATGGCTAATCTGGTGCGGTGAGAGTAAGACAGGAGGCAGGCGGAGCAGCTCTTGGACAGAAAGCCCTCCGGTGTACTTAACCCTCGTTGGCTGGAGGACGGTGCTCGTGGTGGCCAATGTGCTGCGCTTGGCGACTAGGGGGAACACCGGCCGGATTGTCTTGACCGCAGGCGGCGAGAAAGAGATGGGAGGAAACCGGCTAATATCCCGAATAGTAAGCCTCCCGGGGCGGCCGAGCCTTGTTGGCAGGAGAAGGCGCCGATGTGAATTGATCGGAGGCGGCGGGGATACAACACGCCTCTGTGATACTCGGTTAGTCGGACGGACTGCAAAAACAGGAGGGCACTCACGCGGCATGGCGTCTCTGGACTCGGCGCTCGACGGTAATGGAAGGGCACGAACTCGGTCGGGGACACAGGTTCGATCTGATACTGTCGACGACGTCGGGGAGAATCGGCGGCTCGAAGCTATCGACCGGGATACTTGACGAGGGGAGTGTAGGCAGAAGGAAGAGGACGAGAAGGGGGAGAGGGAGGAGAGAATCGTGGAGAAGAAGGGCCGAAGCCGAAGATCGAGTTTCTGGATCGGGTGGGAGACCGATGGAAATCACCTGCTCGAATGTTTAGCGTGTCACATGAAGACGAAGTGTAGATATCGCCAGCCCAGCACCACTTCCCTAATGCTGGGCCAGAGTATGAGAAACCACTGTTGCTGCTTGACATTGTGATGAGAGCTGAGCACAGAGTATGGGAAGGAAGAAGAAAGGAAACACGAGGAGGAAGGAGCGAAGAAGATGTTTTGTGTACGCGCCAACTGGCAGGCGCGTCCGGTCCACTTCGCGCGCTGGTCCACCACAACAGAAGCATGCCAGTAAATGGAGGAGTCAACGTCATGAGGAATACGCTCCCAAACCACTGCTGAGACCAGGCCGCATTGAGTCCGTCCAATCGAGTTGAGCGATGACAACAGGCACGGTGGGCCAGACGTGAGATGCCAGGAAGTGACCTTGATCTTTCATGCGAACATGGCAGGATTATTGGCAGACTTTGAGGATACATCATGCGTATGTAGATAGGTGAAACTGCCGGTTTGCTGGTTTGAAGAAGCATAGTCATCGAGAGATCAGCCCGACGGTGGTGGCAGCACCACCATGATCGCGGTCTGGGGTCCAGCCACAGCAACAATGCCCTTCGGTTCGCAGTGTTCGGCTCTGATGTTGCATCCTGCAGAGCAGAACCAGCGTACAGTGCCACAATGAGCACCAGGCAATGGACCTCCATCTTCTTCAGCGGGCACCTCGTCCCCTGCGAGTCTCTTCTGCATGACATCGTCTCATCGCATATCGACGGGAAGATGCGACCACCAGTGCACGCGCCTGCCGCAGTTCTGTTCATTGCGATTCTTGCCCCTGTGAATAGGATATTTCTGTCAATCTCATTTCGACCTCACCTGGGTTCCTACCGATAACGTGTGGAAGCACTCCTCACAGATCAACCCCACGTCTGTACCATCATCGGAGCATTGTGCAAGACGTCTGCTAATCAATGAAGTGGGCGCAGCAAGAGATTGCTGAATGTTTCACTGTGCCCGACCAAGACAAACAGAGAGTGAAGTTGAAAACAGGTTTGAGTTTAGGAGAGACTCCGGGTACAGCACCCGACTTCGGAATCTTGCCGGCTCAAAGATCAAATCCCCACAGCGCAAATATCCTTTGCGACATCTGCCTCGTACTGGAGAGCAGCCCAGCGTAGGCTGTTTAACTGTTAGGACCCCGAAAGTCGCTCTAGTCTACAACGCGGAAGACGTTCGGTGAGTGATCACAATGTCGACACAACCACCCTGGCTAGAGGGCTATGCGACTGACCGTTATGACTGGGCGTGCATGAGCGCTCGACCGGCTTTCTGCCGACGCATTGGCATCGTTGAAAGCCTCTTCAATACCGATGGCACAGACTTCGAAGGCAGGGCGGATCTCACTATCCACCTGCACGTCGAGGCGCGGGCTTTTTTGTCTCTGGAGTCGCTGCAATCGCGAATTCGGCTTGTCTGGAGCATTATGCGGCAGAAGCATATCTTGCTCTCTAGTAGGGTGGCCACGCCATTCGAAGTGGTTTCGGGCTGTCTCCAGGATACTCCTTCAGATCGTTTCTACATCTATGAACCAAGTCAAAGCGTCGAATCAATGCGGCATGAGGCGAGTCAGCACATGGTCTTCGTTGGGGATCACTATCCGCATGTGGATGATTACGAGTTTTTCGTCCACACCCTCAACTCCAGCCGATGCATTGATGAGTTCAAAGCTTTGAGCAAGCTATATGTCTTGCCGGTCAAAGCCAACCAGGACGGCCTCTTTCGACTCCACTTCATGTTCATTGCTGGGCATGAAATAGTCGACGGCCTCACCTCGATGCGTTGGATGTCTGACTTTATCGACCTCCTAAACCGGTCAGAGGAGCAGCTCCTATCTGACGCTCGGCAGCTATGCGATACGTCGCCTATCGAAAGACTCCCGCCCGCACAGGAAAGTCTATACCCTCCCGTGTCTGGATCTCGCGCCCGACAGCGGTGGTCCTGGCTGCTTACTCGCATCCTCAGACATACTCGCCGACCTCCCCCTGCCTCCTTCCAGAATCCACTCCGACGGCAGACACGACTCACCACAGCCACTCCCCCGGAACCTAAATTCTCAAGAGTCCTCGACTACTCACGCAAACCGCCACTGAATACATATCCTCTACGCGCACTCCTCAGCAGCTCATCAACCAAGCGACTTTCTAGAATATGCCGTTCCGCAAGAATCAGCATTGGAAGTGGTTGTTTTGCTCTCGTTGCCATCGTGATGATGCTTCTTGAGGAGCAGCGCAACCCTTCCATCCCAGCACACGAACGCCTCCCCTTCGTCGGCTCCTTCCCAATCAACCCGCGCCCGTTCCTCCAGGGCGCGCCTACAACAGGAAAAGAAGACAGTCTGATGCTGGCATTCAGCGACGGCATCACACTCCCTTTCGTCCCCAGCAACCTCGATCTGGAAGGCCGGATACGCCTGCTCGGGAAACAAGCACACCGCCAACTCCGGCAGTACCAAAAGCGCCCGAGGAGCCTGGCGCAGGAAATCCACCTCGGCTCCCGGAGTCCCACTCAACTCATTCCCCAGCTGTACCTGAACACAATGGAGTATCTCGAGAGGAAAAGCAAACCTGACAGGAGACGCGGTTGGGCCATCCAAGGTGCGTACCCTGCCGGGACGGGTTCGCTGTCCACATGCGGAGTGAGCTCGGTCGGCGACCGTGGATCCATCATCTCGTCAGGCAAATACGACACGAGCAAACTCCCTCCCCGAGGCGAGGTGATAGCCGACTTTCGGAATCTGGAAACCACGGTGCGGGCGCGGGACGGGGAGTTCCTGGTCGGCGTCGTGGGAGATAAAGACCGCCTCAGACTGGGCGTCAGCTATGACGGATGTGCCATTGATCCAGACCTGGCGGACCAGTTCAAGACAATCATCGAGGGCATCCTGGATGAGCCAGAGGTGTCTGCATCAAAGCGAGGGGACGGGTCGGAAGATACAAGCAGGAAAGCAGACAACACCAACACAGAAGGCCCGCCTCAAATTAGGGAGTTGCGCCGGCTTTCCAGGCTTTAGACAGCAGGTTCATGAAAACGTGAAGAATGTGAAGAATGTTCTTATTGCGTTGAGTGCCGCGTGCTCATGTCTACTGTAGAAGACATTGCGAGTTGACTGACACTTTCAAGCTTTTGCCACACGCCTGCCTGTCCTGTCCAGAGGAGAACTTTTCCTAGTAAACACGACACAGCTGGACTCCCATGCATCCCATCCACTGTGGGCCACTCAAGGGCCAGCTGTGCTTTGCTTTTGCGATGAAACCCTCGTCTCCTCTGGTCTTATCTCCCACGCGAACAGCTGCAGAAGAGATAATGAGGGCTGATTCGGCCCCTCGTTCGAAACCACGAAAAAGAAAAGAATGCGTACGTTCGCCTATACAGATAGATTGGTGACCAGACCATACCCCATGCCCATCCATGCCTGGCCAGTATGTGGTGCGTGGTGAAGTGTCAAGAGTCAGAGTCATAGATGTCGCGTCACGTATCAGCGATCGATGGCCTGACCGGTGCTGCATGACGGATGGCTCTCCCGGTCCTTTCGTCACGGAAGATCGCGTCAACGATGGATGGCCTGACCGTTGTTTCATGATGGCTCTCCGTTCCTTTCGTCATGGAAGGTCGGCCCGCGATCAATGGCCTGACCGCTGCTTCATGACGGCTCTCCGCTCCTTTTCTTTGGCTGTGGTGGCAGGAAGAGTCAGCAAGATTCTTAAGTATTTAAAGGGAGATGGATCGCGAAAGCGAAGCAAGTCAATTTCTAGTATACGCATGCGTGGGACATACCTTCATCGTAGACCAAAAACTCATGCAGGCCCTTCCCGGCGGGTACCATCGGCAGGACGGGCACTTTTTTATCGGTAATGACTTCGAGCAGGGCCGGCCCGTCGCCAGACTCCTCGATCAACCACTTCAAGCTGGCCTCCACGTCGGCGGGCTTGAGACACCTGCGCGCCTGCACGCCCATGGCCTCTGCGAGCTTGACGAAATCGGGGTTCTTCTGGTGCGTGTGGGCGAACCGGTCCTCGTAGAAGAGCGACTGCCACTGCGTGACCATGCCTTGTTCCTCGTTGTTCAGCACAATTACTTTCACGCCAATCTGGAATTGGTTGGCCGTGCTCAACTCCGTGAGCGTCATGTTGAATGAGGCGTCGCCGTCGATGTCCACGACCAGGGCGTCCGGCTGGGCGACTTTGGCGCCAATCGCCGCAGGTAGGCCGTAGCCCATGGTCCCGAGACCGCCCGAGGTGATCATGGTTCTCGGGTGGCGCCACCGGAAATGCTGCGCCGTCCACATCTGATGCTGACCCACGCCAGTCGAGATGATGGTCTTGTCCTTCTTGTGGGCGGTCATATTGGACAGCTTCTCAATCAACGTCTGCGGCTTGATCAGGCCGTCGGGCGTTTCCTTCTCGTAGCTGTTCAAGGGGAATCGGGCCTTCCAGTCGTTGATCTGGGCGAACCATTCCGGTCGCTCCTTCACGGCCTTGACCTTGGGTACCAGTTCCGCCAGGTTAGCGGTTACGTCGCCCACAACTGCCTCCGTCGCTTGGACCACCTTGTTGATGTTCTTGGGCATAATTTCAAAGTGCACTATGCCTCCTCGCTTTTCGGCGGCGGCGGCCTTTGCTTGCGGTGCAAACTTGCTGACACTGAGCGTCACACGGTCGTCGAACCGCGCGCCGAGGGCGATGATGAGATCTGCTTCCTGCATCGCCATGTTTGCATACGCAGAACCGTGCATGCCGAGCATGTGTAGGGCCTTGGGGTCCAGCTCGTCAAACCCGCCGAGACCTTGAAGGGTCGTGGTTACAGGTATGCTGGCCTTGTCGGCCAGTTCTTTCAAGAGCTTGGGCCCATCAGGGGAGCCCAGAATACCCTGACCAGCATAGATGATCGGTTTCTTCGCAATGTCAATGAGTTGAGCCACGCGGGAGATGCTGCGGTCCAACTGTTTCTTCGACAGATCTCTTGCTGCCAAAGTGGCGGCTGAGGGATGCGCGGGCAGGGTCGATTGTGTGGGTATCGGTCTCCGCAGAATGCCGGCGGTCACATCTTTGGGCAAGTCGACAAGGACGGGACCAGGACGCCCCGAGGTTGCGATCTCGAAGGCCTCTTTTATCCGCATGGGCAGTTCGGCCACGTTCTTGACCAAGACGTTCCATTTCGTGCAGGGTCTTGATATGCCGACGACATCGGCTTCTTGGAAAGCGTCGGTGCCAATGGCACTCGTTACCACCTGGCCGCAGAACACGACCATGGGTGTGCCGTCTGAAAAGGCATCTTGCATAGGTGTTATAACATTGGTGGCGCCCGGACCGGAAGTCACAAGGACGACACCGGGTTTGCCCGAGGCTCGAGCGTAACCCTCTGCCATGTGACCCGCGCCCTGCTCGTGTTTGGGAAGGATAAATTCAAAGTGTTTCGAGTTGTAAATGGCGTCGAAAACTGGGAGGATGGCACCGCCAGGGTAGCCAAAGATATGTTTGACACCTTGCCGCAGCATCATTTCGTGGAAGATTTCTCCGCCACTGAGACCGACAAAGGAGTCGTCGAGCTCAGGCACTTGCCTGTTGATGAGAGGCGAGGGTTCATGTCGGCGGAAGTCGTGGTTGAAGGCGGGACTGGGAATGGGTCGGCTGCTTCTGCTCACGGTCAGTGCACATGACACATAGTGGTCCCATGCTCTCCAACATACTGTGCTTGTGCAGCCGCGGTCGTCGCAGGTCTTTTTGAGTTCTCGGGTGAGGGTTTTGATGATTTTCGGTAGGGTGAGAGAGCTGCTGCTGGAGCGGTGGAGGAAAACGGTTGTGAGCAAGAAGGTCTCCGTCGGGACATTGAGCGTATGGCGCTGGAGCCAGGCCGTATGGCCGTCATCTTGGTCGCCATGGTGCCTGGCAGGTCAACGTGGAAGAAAACAAGACAAGATCGCACGTACGGACTGAGAAAATAAGAAGCGCAAGAATTATGAGTCAGGTGGGTGTGAGTGTGGGTGTGAGTGCTTCGAGGTGCCGGAAGTGGGAGTGGCATGCGGCAACGACCTCAATCTGCCATTTTTGCCATTGATTTTGCGGAGAAGGAGGACAGACCAATCATGCCTCAGTGGGCGGGGCCGATGTCGCTCTTGGCGGCCTTCGAGACGAATCCAGAGCGTCGGCCACGCACCAACCACGTTTATTCTGTTGTCAATCCGCCACTGGTGTCATCGCAGCGGGAAATGCTTTCCTTATGGCCGGCAATATAGTCAAACATTCTACCACAGTATATTTTCGGGCCAGCCCTCGTCGGCGCCGCTCACTCACTATGCCCTTCGCCCAAATATCCGCAGCCTCTTGACACCTCCGTCAGGAATAATGGTCATCTTCACATGTGTCCAAACGTGGCCTTCGGGCGGCTCGGACACGACCAGCTGCTCGCCCTCGAACTCATGCTCGTGGTCCGCCTGACATGGCTGCTCGCCCTTGACCAGCTCCGTCCACTCTTCGCCGTCAGCATCAGGGTCAGCTTCTGTGCCCAGAGCCGCCTTTGCAACCTCGGTCGCCCACGCCTCGACTTTGACAGCACGGGGGAAGTTCCCTCGAAAGTCCTTGGTATCGACGACCACCTTGTCAATCTTCCGTCCCTTCAACCCTAGCTTGATGATAGCCCAGTCGGTGTGGCCCTTGACCCGGCTTCTCGCGGTCTCCCAACCATCACCCATATCCTTCCCCCGTCCAGGCAAGACCAAGTAATGCTTCCCCCCAAAATGCTGGTCCGAGCACGCAATGGCAACCCCGCCATTCAGCGCCGCTGCCAGGTCTTCTTGCGGCCTCTCCTCTCTGCCAGACGTCACGCTGGCGGGTAACGACGGGGGAACCACGGTGCCATAGACGCGTAACCGCGCGATCCCGCCGTCCGGATACTGCTTTAGCCGTAGATGCGTGAACTCCTTCCCCTGCACAGCCGGACCCGACACTTTCCAAGCCTGCCGCTGTGATGGGCCGCATTTACTGGGCGGCAGAATCTCGCCCCAGCCCTTGAAATCCTCCTTCTCGACCCCACTGCCTTCTTCCTCCTCCTCTTTGGTCAATGAGCACCCGTCCAGCCCTGCTAGCGGTGCCTCATTTCCGTTGAAGTACGCCGTATCCACTTCTACGGCGTCGATCCTGGCCACGCAGCCTAGCTTGATCACCACCCAGTCGTACTCTTTCGGATTATGCCGTCGCGTTTCCCACCCATCGTACCACGCGCCGGTGTGTACGAATACGCCGGGTTTGCGGATCGGAGGTGTCGGCGTGAGCAAGTTCGAGGCCGAGGCAAAGTATTCGTCCGAGAAGGAGAGGATCGACGCGCCGAGCACGGTCGTGGTTATGTTTGTGGAGGAGGAGAACGTCGTGTCTATCAGGGACGCGGGGATGGGTGTCACTGTGACGTTGGACGTTGATGATGTGCTCGAGGGTAAAGCTCGGTCGACCACAGTGTCGACGAGCGTGTGCGGTTGGATGTTGACCTCCATGATGGTCTGCCTATGCTGTACCTGGATTCAAGGACTGGTTTTGGATGAGATCAGTCAGGGTGTGGGCGGGGGAAAGAGGTTAAGAAGAGCAAGGATTTCTATGCTGCGCCCTAAAAGGACCAGCAGGGAATATGGACTCGAAAGCGGTGCGCAGGTTAAATTTTCTCGATATGCCAATCTGTTTACTCGATATAAACTGCAGGCGATGCCCGGTAACGGAGGAGGCCGACTGTACACAGTAGAGGAAATATTTCCCCCGCTCTCACGTTTGTCCCCCGCTTTCACGTGTGACTGAATGAGGGATCGATCTTGTGCTCGAAGTTACTCGAAGCCTTTGCAACCTCTCCTCCCCTTGGACGAGGCTGACGACTCCCGATGATGGCATCGCTGTGTATGTTATCGTGGAGTCTTGAGTCTTCGGGTGTTGGGGGCTTTCGAACCCAGATTTTGCTTGATAATGTGGACGCAGGAAAGGACTAATCCCCCCTTCTCCTCGTACCAACATCGTGTCCAACCCTTTCCCACCGATCCACTCTATCTAGTACCATGCTCTGCTGACATATCCTGAGCCGGCCTTGAACGCAAAACAGACGCTGACTCCTGGGTATCCGTGTCCCGTCGCGTACCATGGCTCCGGAAAACGCCCCAACAAGCCGACAAATGCCAGGTTTAATCATTCTCTCTATCCGAATTCCTTGCACCAAAGATTTTCCGCCGACATTCTCACAGTACCCAACACCAGCAACATCGGGCGCGCTAGACTCATCAGACGTGCGCAGTTGTTCAGCGCCAACAAAACAACTTCATACGCCTTCTTGCCCGCCTTTTTCGCTGGCCTTTTGCGCAGCCCTATCGCTTCTCTTCTTCTTTTTCCGGTCATCAACAGCATGTCTCCAACCCTCACCCCATACGGTCGTCGCCCACACGCCGACCGCAGTGATGATCAGAAAGCCCGTAGATATCGTGCTAAACCAGCCAACACCAATCGCCTCGATGGCTGGCAGACAGATGGCGGAACCCAGTGCAGCAAATGCATACCGAATCATGTAATTTCCCGCGACGACCTCTGCGGACATCCCCCTTGCTTGCATCACGTCCAGGCAGTACGTGTTGAGACTCGGGAAACAGAACAACTGTGCGACACCCTGGACAAACATGGCTGCCACTGGCAATGGCACGCCCCCCACTGCCTTCTCCACTGACCAGCCGTAGATGAGCATGCAAGCAGGGATAACACCGCCAATGAATGCATAGCACGACCGCAGGCGGTCCTCAGCAACACGGCGGTTCTTCTTGCGAATCCACTTCTTGACAATGTGATCAGCCCAACGTCCGCCAAAGAAGGTGCCCAACAGGTACCCACAGCCTGGGGCAATGTAGAAAAGACCTGACTGGATCGGTGACGTGAGATGGAAACGTGGGTTAAGCACAAAGCGAATCGGCGTAAGCAGCGAATACATATTGAACACTAGGGAGCTCGACGCCAGGCCCGCGATGATCAAGTTTGGGTAGGAGAAGAGCAGTATCGAGACGCGGAGAGGCGACACCCAGTGCAAGACGTGGAGTGTCCGTTGCTTCCGTGATAACTCCCGAAGTTCATCGATCTTCTTCTTGGGGATCGTCTCCGGCAGTAAGAAAATGACCATTATCGCCGCGAGCCCTCCGAGCGCGGATTGCAACCAGAAAATGTCTCTCCACGACCGGAATGTCACGATGATGCCGCCGATGAAAGGCCCAAAGGCGGGTCCAATGAGCGTCCCCGACAAGAACCAACTCAGCGCCGTAGCTCGTTCCGTTGGGGTGTAGATGTCCCCGAGGCAAGACGTCCCGACGATGAGGAAGGCAGTCCCTTGGTATGCTGTGAGGACTCGGAAGATGAAGTACGAAGCCAGGTTGGGGGCAAGAGCCGTGCCAATGCTGAAGGCAAAGAACAGGATTGCTGTGATGATGCAGCACCATCGACGGCCATAGATGCTTGAGATTGGACCCCACAGGCTCGGCGACAGACCCATGAAGATAAGGTAAAGCGCATTGGACAAGTTGATGATACTGCCATTGGTGTTATAGGTTGCTGCCACTTCAGGGATGGCTGCGAGGATGGTGGTAGAGGAAATAGGTGCGAGAAAACCGCATAACGACAAGACGCAGGTGATGACGATTTTTCGTCGTTCACTGAAGCGTTCATATTGAGCAGCGTTTGCCTCAACATATGAGCTGTCACGGGTAGGAACGCCTTGAATCTCGTGTGCGGAGACCGTCGAACGTATGCGTGCTAGATCTGGCTTCTCACCCTTGAGTCGGTCTTTCGTCTCGGACGTCGGCGTCCTCTCGAGATCAAGCACACCGGACTGGTAGGAACGCGATGAAGCAGGACGGATCTCGGCGGTGCCGTGGTCATCTTGGATGTTGTCATGGTGAAGCTCGCCTGTCATTGTGTATTCGAGTCGCGAAGTAGTTGCAGGTCGGGTATCATTGCTTGAAATGAGCGACTCAGGTCAAAACCGGAGACTGTAAAGAGCGTAGAGAATCGTACCGAGCAGTGTGAAAAGGTAAGAAAGGGCAAACATATGAGCATACCCGAAAAGATAAAGACGGCAAATCACAAGAAAGCTGCCCTGAAAATGACTCAATAGGAGCCAGGAAAGACACCGCCTACTCACAATCACCGTTTACCGTTGTCTTCTTGATCCCATATCTTCTCTGGAGCGCAACCTCCATGGTTGTTGGACTGCTTTTGGGTTCGGACATGTCCAGATTCGCCAATAGCAGTTCCGCACGGGAGGAGAGGCCGGTCTCGGGCTGCGGGCATTCTCCGCCTTAGAAGCTTTTGCCTCCTTGATTGGATCATGATTTGCCGAGTTACCCTGCCACCAATGACACGAAGGTGAAGATGATCGGAGGAAATTTTCAGCGGCCGGGTCAGAGTCCGCAGACGGCGCAATCAGCGAGGGGCCGATAAGCTTTGGTGATGCCGACGGAACGGAAGACAGACACAAGTTACCTGCGGCAGCCGTAGGTGTGAAGCGAAACTTGAGGTCGCTCACTTCTGCGAGGCCAGCCAAAGACGGAGAGCCTGAAGCCCTAGCCGCTGACGATGCTTGTCACTTGGAGCATAATTACGTCATCTACCCGCGGCAAGGCTGTGTCCCGTGTTACGAGGCTGAGCCACTCCAACAGGCTAACAGGTTAAGCCAACTAAGCCTCGAAGACGAAGCCCACTGCCTGCGATGTGACCATGGGAAAACATCTGCCTTGTGGCATACAGTAATAACTCTATTCGGCTAATGACCAAACTACATGCAGATATGCCCGAAAGGGACATTCTCGTTCCATTTCCGGCCTCTTACAACTTTGACCCGGACTTTGCAGGCATTGCTTTCAGCTTTGCGGCCAGTTCGCGTCGCAAGATTTTGCCCGAGGGTGATTTCGGGATTGCATCGATGACATAAATTCCTCCTCGGAGCTTCTTGTGGTTGGCAATCTTGGTATTCAGCCAGGAGTGAATACCCTTAACGACTGCCTCCTCGCCTTTCGCCTTCGCCTTTTGGTTGATGACGACAAATCCGACAGGGACATGTGTTGCTTGCTCCTCAACCCACTGTGGCACGACGCAGGCGTCTTCCACGTCGGGATGGTCAAGCAGCTTCCCCTCCAATTCTGAAGGGATGACCTGCAAACCCTTGTACTTGAACATTTCTTTTATTCGGTCGACGATGGTCAGGAAGCCGTCGGCATCGATTTTTCCAATATCGCCTGTCCTGAACCATAGTCGGCCCTCCTCGTCGGTCGCATAGCTATTCTTGCTCGCCTCTTCGTCTCGATAGTAGCCTTTCGTCACGTTAGGACCTCGACACCACAGCTCACCCGGAATCGCCGAGCCGTCCGCTTCATATCCGCTGTCTTGCAAAGTCTCTGGGTCAACTACTCGGTACTCCATGCTGGGTGTGATGTTGCCGACTGTATGTCGCTTATCCGGACGGTCAGGAGGCACATAAGCACCGAGCGGGCTGGTCTCTGTCATGCCCCACGCCTGCAGACCTAGTATGTCCGTCCCGTACATTTTCTTGAAGCGTGCCTCGACAGCTTCTCGGAGTTCTACGCTCAACGGGGCTGCAGCGCACATGATTCTCTTGAGGCTGCTCAAGTCGTATTTCTCCACCAATGGATGTTTGGCGAGGAGTAACATGACTGGTGGAACCACGCTTACGACTTCGGGTCGATGTTTCTGGCAGCAAGAGAGGAATCTTTCAAGGTCGAAGCGAGAAAGCACAATGGCTGTGTTGCCCACATATGTGTTTATACAAACGAAAGACATGAGACCGTAGACGTGACTGAAGGGCAAGAATGTAACCGTTGTTAGTTTGCCCGTGGTCTCGACTGACATATGTGCCATCCATTGTATGATGTTGGAAACGAGGTTCTTGTGCGTCGTCATCACTCCTTTCGCTCGCCCGGTTGTACCTGAAGAGAAGCACATAAAGGCGAGTCGATCATCGGCTTCGCTCGGCTTTATGCTGACGAGGGGACTGGGCGGGCAGTCACCGGCCAAGGTTTCCGCCGTTGCTCTGCCCTTCTTGTCGCATGCTCCATCTGCCTGAATGATCTGAACAGAAGGGTCGAATTCGATAGCCTTCTCTGCTGTAGCAAGGAGCATTGAGTGACAGATCAGGTACTTTGCTCCGCTCGTCTCAAGCTGTGCCCGCAATTCCGTGGGAGTGTATGCAGCGCTGGCGAGCGAGACCGTGGCTCCACAGCCCAAGATGCCATAACAAACGATGGCATAGTCGATGCTGTTCGGACTGAAGAAAGCGACGATGTCTTTCGGTTTGACTCCGAGATCCCGCAAGCCTCGAGCTAGTGACCGTGTCCTTCGTTGAATTTCCCCATAGGTTCGTGTGTCGCCCGTGACAGCATCAATAAATATGGGTTTGTCTTCGGGCGTCCTGTTCGGGTTGGAGAAGAGGTAAGTCAGCAGATCGCTGTCCACCAGCTCGACCTGTGGATAGGACGACCGGTAAATTCTGGAAGGCATGTAAAGCACGGGGGTGAGTTGACAGAAAGGGTAGTAGGAAGACGGACGGCTTGCCAATATGATCCGTTGCAATTACCAGAAACAGAACGGGTGAATGAGGGATACCGACGCCAGGATTCACGCTGCTCTTAAGTATCAAAACATTGTGCCTTGGGACTGCTGCTCGTACGGCTGACGTCCGGCCAAGTTGACCTGAGGCCAGTAGTCAGCTCCACATTCGCGAGTGGACGTAGGATTCACTGTCAGCTTATGATCTCCTCAACGTTAATCGAAAGGGGAAAACCGCTTGATTAGCGGTAGCCGTGAAGTATTCGTATACAAGGGCAAGCGGTTGTGAATCGCGGCTGTTGAGAGACCCAGTATTACCATGGCGGCCAGTCTGACTACTAATCATGAGGCCAACCCCCGTCAACCGAGTTTCAAGAAAGCCAAGCACGCATCCGGGCGAGATGAGAAGTGACGGTGGCTCGTCCGAACAGATATTCGCGAAGCTCAAGGTGCCCAGTCACGCCAGCCCATGGCTCGGTGTCCAGAGCGGAACCTCGCCAAGTTGCGCTGCCGTGTCGTTCGTCAGCTGAATATTGAAATGATACGAATAGGGTCAGACAGGTGTGTGGAATCGGTGCCGACTGCGTTAGTCAGCACGCAGTCATAAACCACGGAACTACCACAGTAGGTAGCTCTAGCCTGTTTAGAAGCACTCAACAATCCACCTTTTCTGCTGTTTCACTGGCACCTAACCTCTTCGGTTTGACGGACCCCGGCGGACTGCAATATGAACTCGGGCGCATCGCGCTCTGCACTCCGGTCATGGTCGCCGTGGTGTGCAATGACCAAGCCCCGGTTCGCCAAGAGCACCCGATCCCGTGCAACGGTCGTCCACTTGCAGCCTCCTCCCCAGCAGGCTGAAGCCGCCCTACAAGACTTACCCATTCGACAATCCATTCCTAAGATCAGCCTTACCCTGGACCACCTGCACAATGCAAGTCCGTCACTTCCACCTGCGCTATGAGAAATATCCGTCCAAGGTGACTTCCTGCGGCGACCTCTTTAGGGGCTTTAGAAGTGTCTTGGACAGCAGGAACACGAGCGGGGAATACTCGAGGATAAAAGCACTGATTGTAGCTTTGGTCATGCAGAGCCTTCCGGCGGTCCTGCGCTTCTAGCCGACCGCCAGTGAGTCTCTGCGGAAAGGAGTTTGTCGCGGGAACATGAGATGGCATTAACCTCGAAGTCACAGTGGTAACAGCCTGCGAAGATCTTGAAATGGGAGTGCATACCTAGGTAGGCACGTATGCTCAGGGAAAGCAGGGAAAGGAGTCCGCCGTCGCCATCAACGTCTGCGGCGTTGGTGGGTTCTTGTTTACGTGAACCCTTTATCCCAGCTGATCTCCCCGAGCATTGTTGGGTCTCATCAATGCCTCCGTACAAAGACTCGGATCCCAGTGATGAAAATCTCGAAGTGAAACTCACATGAAGATATCAGGACTCAGATATGGATCTGCACATGTCGCCGTCACTACAGTGTCGAGGGCTGGAGTCCCGCGTGGCACTGTTTCAACTCGCCCGATCGCAAAAAAGCTTCAAACCAACAGGTCTTGGGCAAGACTGGAGTCACACATGCTGCGATAGCACTGAATCTAGACCATGGCGACCCAAGTCTGTGATAGAGTAGCCGAAATCCCCTTGTGATATATCTGTTCCATAACTGACGCAGCAAACTCACTTGCGCCGTATCGTCCCCCGCAAGAGTTGCCCCATCGGGACGGAGTTGGAGCCAACCTCATGCATGGGTCGATCTACGGTGTCACCATGCCATTACCGACCTGCCCAGCCTGCCCTGTCCATCCCCCCACCAGGGCCATCTCTGCACCCGTTCAACCTATCCGTCACCCGGTCTCAAGTTTGCAACGCCTGCAGTCCTGTACCCGGCTCGATCTCGAAAATGTCCAACCAAACCATCTCCGACCAAGACACGCCCGACCCATGGATGATCTCGCACGGGCCCAACTTCTACCTGACATTCACGGCAGGTGATCGCATCGAGATCTGGCGGTCCCCCAACATGGAGAATTTCCGCTCCTGCGCACGGACCGTCGCCTGGCGTCCCGGGCCCCCGGAGCATCCGTGGTTCGTCGACCTATGGGCGCCGGAACTCCACCACCTCAACTCGACATGGTACGTCTACTTCACCGGCGCAAAACCGCGCAACGGACCAGGCACCTACAATGCGGACCGAAGGACACTCATCCTCCGAAGCAGGTCGCATGACCCGATGGAGGCCGGGGCGTGGGAGTTCCTAGGCCAGCTACGCGGGCTGCCCGACCACTGGAACATCGACCTCACGGTGTTTCACCTCCCGCACACGGGCAGGCTGTATTGCTGCTACTCGGGTTGGCCCATGGGCGACTTCTCAGACAGACAGCAGGACTTGTTCCTCGCGGAGATGGACGGGCCCGAGGCTGCGAAGCATGAGACCGTGGTGTGCATTTCGCGGGCAGAACTCCCCTGGGAGAGGGCCGACCAGGACACACACGGCATCAACGAGGGGCCTGCGTTCGTGGGCGTGAGCGTCCCGCCGTCGGCAGGGTCGGGCCCCACGGTGTTTCAAGGCATAGTCTACAGCGCCAACGGCAGCTGGACAAGCGACTACCGGCTTGGGATCCTACAATTGATAGACTCGGCCGACCCGTTGAAGCAGAGTTCCTGGAGGAAACGGCCCACTCCGTTGCTCGTTAGTGACAGGCAACATGGCGGGCCTTTCGGGCCCGGACACGCCAGTTTCATTTCTTCGCCCCATGGTGACGGCCGCGTGTATTGCATCTATCATGCCACTGAGCATTTCGATCAGGGTTGGGCCAACCGTAAGGCTCGCGTGTTGTGTTTTGATGCCCAGCATTTCCACCCGCAAGCCCCGACCATGTGTTGTGCTTTGGCTCTTACGGGACAGTGGAGTGGCGGGGCGGCGATTTCGAATTTCTCATCGCCAGCACCGGCACCGGCACCGGCACTATACCAGCACCAGCAGATGCAGTCTGGTCACGGTCACGGACAGAGAAAGAGTCTAATTGACAAGATCGGCGACAAGATATTGCAGAAGTTGCGAGAGTTTGCTTGACGGTGACGCCGACATTGGATATTTGACATGAACGTGCAACGTCTCACGCGCGTGTAAATTGGCAAAACACACACACACGCACGCACAAAATAACACACAATGATTAATGCCTCAACGCATCATTCAAGCCAGCCGAGGCTGCTCTTCTCTCATCCCTCTCCCCTATCCTTTGCCGCCTCCAATCACATCGGTCCGCATCAACCATCCACCGCCCGTATCCCAGACATATACCTCGTATGGCACTTCTGAGACCTCAGACGTCAATATCGCAAACGATGAAATGCCTCTCGACCACCCCTCCGGCGATCATTTTGCCGTGCTTCGGATCGATCGCCGCGGCCGTCAACACGGTGATCAAGCTCCCGTCGTCCCAGTACAGCAACTCTGGCTCGTAGTCTTTGGCCTTGACGAGTCGAAGCACCGCGGCCTCGGCTTTGGTGGACGAATCGAGGATATCGTCAGGGTGGAACAGGCGTTTTCTCAACGCCGCGACGTCGGGGAAGACTGCGATAGACAAATTAGGTAAGCAGCGGTGGTCATGGTCAGGGTGTGGGTTGAGAATGAGACAAGCGGAGGAGACTTCGACGTCTAAATGCATGGCTAATTGATGCACTCACCTGCGACAGCGATGTCTCCGGTGCCGGGTATTTCCGAAAGATTGTCGGCCGAGGCGCCGAGTCGCTACAGTGGTGTTCTGAGTTAGCGGACTGTAGCTGGCAGGGACAGAATCAAGCATTGTAGGACCGCCATACACGGTCCAGCACGCGACAGAAAAGGCTACAGGGATCAATAGTGGAAGTCGGCCACGTACCACCTTCTTCCTCACACTCAACATCTTGGTCTCGGGATCCACGTCGTACACCGTCGTCGTGGCTTCCACGACATCATTGATCAAGAGCGTCTTGCCGCCGTCTACCAACAACGCTCCGTTGGCGCTGGGGTGGCCATTCGGTGGGGATACGATCTTGCAGTCCAGGTCCCCGGCAATCGAACTCGGGGTCTGGTTCCCCACGGAACAGTGAACCACGCTGGAAGCCCACTTGAAGGGACCCCAGTGGTCTTCGTGGCTGCGGAGGAGCGTCGCGAGAGGGCCACCCCCGTAGAAGTAATGGTCGTTTGTGATGAAAAAGGAGCTGTAATGACTTTAGCGGGACGTCTCGAAACATTGATTTGGCTCGGCTGCAACCAGACGACATGGTCGCGGCCGGTAGATTGTCTCTCACCTGAGACTCGTCGCCGCTACGGCGTTGGGCGTCTTGATCAGCGGGTGGCTGAAGTCGCGGACAAAGGTCAAGACGTCTGACCCAAAAATGTGGTAGAACAGGACGATTGATTCGCCTTTGCGGCCGTGGTTGACGGCGAAGAGGTAGATCTGTGGACAGTGGTCGTCAACGTACCGTGCTGTGTACATGAGATAAGACGGGGCGTGATGCGACGCGACGAACATAAGAAGGGAGCGTTAGGTAGGAAGGCAGATGGACAGATAACATACCCTGTCAGGTTCCTCCTTCACCTCAAACATGTCAATCCCATGGAGGATCAGATCGTATGACGAATCGATGCCCTCGAGCTTGAGCTTGGAGGCCGTGTCTGTCTGGAACGGGCCAACTAGTTAGCTTCAAATGGGTTCAAGAGTTCAGCCCAGCTCAGCTCAGCTTGGCAGGGTGTATCCTCCGGTGGCCACGGGCCAGTCGAGGTACATTACTCTCTCTGCACGCTGGAAGCCTCGGATGCGGCATGCCCTGCCTTTCTTCACGCTGGAAGTTTGCGGCTGCGGCATGACCTCTGCCAGTAGGACCAAGCACGGTGGAAGAGTAGTCACAGTCCTTACCTTGATATCATACTTGAGGAAGTACTCATGGTACGTGTCGGCCGAGGACGTGTCGAAGCGGTTAATGGGCGGGTAGAAGACCTTGCGAGTCTCAGGGTATCCGCATGCTAGACCACGCGACGATGTTACGTTAGTTGTTGTGGGATCGAGCAGTCACTGCAGTCGACAGCGAGTAATTCAGTGGAATATGTGTGTGCATACGTACCCAGGAATGCCGTCGCCGAGGGGTGATGGATCCGGACGTCCTCGCATGCCTTGCCGACTAGAATGCCGGGTTTTGTCAGCATGATGCTCACTGATGGGACAGAGGGACAGAGCGCAGGATAAGATAGAACACATCCTCGCTTTCTTTTCTCGCTTGGTATCTTCTCGTCGCAGGTCCATGTGCAACGAAACGCAATGCGATGAAAAGCAGGATGGCCCTTGAACCGAACAAAAGGGAGCACGAACGCTTATTCGTCCAACACCGCTCGTTGTTCAACCCGCCATGGTGCATCCACGCTGTATGGACCTTTGCATCGTGCTTACGCCCGCCGAGATTGTTCAGCACCGGGTAAGGGTACGCGTAGAAGGTACTGAAGAGGAGAACAGCCAGAGAGAGTGGCCCGAACCACACCCAGTTGTTGACGGCCATGGTGGTGGTGTTTGTCACAGTCTGTTTCCTCCGCCCCGTAAAGAGGATATTGATAGATAGAAGACAAGTCAGGGTTCTTGAGGATGCAGGGTTGGAATGTTCGGCTGGCTCGCCGTGGATACATCCGGAAGAGGAAAGTCGGGGTACATGGAGTATCTCGTGTAGCAAGACCTCGGCTACGTTCCGGACATTGAAGCGCTCTCCGAGTCCTTCGTGCTCCGCAGATCAATCCACACACGGAGAACACAGTGGCTTGGATCAATGATCTGGCTTGTCATTGTTCGAGTCAACGTGTAGGTGTTATGTGCATGCGAACTTGCCCTCGGAGATATCAAGCGCCGGCGGGTTCGGCATATGAGAAGCAACGGATGCAACAACGACGGTGATGCAAGCTACAGTGTCATCCTACCCTTCAATCGAGTCGGCCAGCCTCGCGGTGTGCATGTATCTCATCTCGCTGACAGCTTTATATTCCGACTCGACTTCCCCTGGCGATTCGAAAGTCTTACAAACCATCATCTGCCCAACAGGCAATTCCAGCTTCCGTGTCTTGGACAGCATCGAGGGGCGTCCAACTGCCCACCTCCCTGGCTCATCGTACGGAAGCCCCGACCTTTTCCCTGAGCACCTCCTGGTCAACGTCACTGAATTGCTCCGGGACATATTCAGGTGGATGCGGTCCCCTGGCCACCTTGACCCGCCCGGCAGGCCCGTCTCACCTCGCTACCTTCCCTCGCAGTCTGCTCACCAGCTCTCCGGAAATAGAGAGCACGCCGCACATTGGCAGTTCTTGCCCGGCTGGCAAAACTCATTCAACTACCGACAAGACTGTCCCGCGTCTCCTCATGACATGCTTCTTCGTACACCTCTTCATCTTCTGTGAGGTCCGTGGAATCCCGTAAACCCTGTGCGGGACAATTTGGTTGGCCGCTTTCCAGATATGACTGGTCACAGAGTAGCCAAAGATGGACGTGACGAAGCCGTACAGCCGCATAAGGTTGTACAGATGCCTCGCACCCTCAGTGGTACCGCTATATCGTCAGGGTTGGAACTGTACGCCAAGCCCGGCAGGTAGATTCGTAAAGTGCAGCGACGTCCACATGTTGGCGCATAACAATCCCGTAGTCGAAGGCAATGATCCTAACCATAGGAGCTTCACAAGCAGCATAGCCAACCATGAAAGCTAGGAGTGTTGTTGCAGGTTTCAAGAATCGTCCAAGGCACGATCACTCAATGCCCGACAAGGACCGCGATGAGCGCACTTCGCTGGATGTTGATGTCTTTCAGGCACAGAATAGTCAAATCGCTCGCGGCGGAACTACGAAAGTCAGTGTTCGAAAGTCAGTGTTCAAAACCGGTACATAATGCATGCCAATCCCGCAAAACAACGTACATGTCGTTTACCGTACCGTCCGTGCCGAGTTGCGCAACATACATGTTTTGCTGTCGAAACAGTCATGTAAGAGAACGACCCCCGGATTGATGTTCTCGGTTCTGGGCTCATCTACTCACCAGCGAAGAAGGCAGGGGCATGACCACCATGGCAACGTTTCACTGCTCGACAATGGTCAGCGGGTCCCATGAGACTCGCCATATACAGATTTGGAGGCTCGACGTCGTCATGATGCCCCCGTAACGACGCAGACCGTAAACACCGCGGATAGGAACAGCGAATGGATGTAATTATTGACCGTGCGTTGTCTTCGCATATCTTGAAAAGCCAGCCACGTTCACGGGCCAGCGTCGCCCAGTCTGTCACGGCGGACATGCACGACGATCAGATCCAGACGCGTTGATTTCCGTGTACCGTCTCAGGTAATTAGAGAGAAGACCGCGCCGCCTCCGCCGGCCTTGTAGACGGTTCCGCCATGCGTGGCAAGAGCAGTCACTGGAGCAGCGATGAACTTCACGCGAACCGATTCCTCGTAACGGAGCTGGTCGGGGGGGATGAGACGCCGCAGGGACGACCACTATATCGAACATGAACTCGAGCGTCCCAGCGCGTGGGGAGATGAGATGTTCTTCTGCGGACTGCAACATCGGAGAGCGCCATAGCTGACGTCGTAGCATGTGACAATTCCACGATATCGATATCGATAAGCAGCCACACGCGCAATTTTCACATGCTCCATCCAGTCGCACTGCACATTTCAGCCCTTTGAGTATCACCCATGTTTTACTTTTCTGCTAGATTGCGCCGGCCATTGCTTGATGGCGTTACGTAGGTAGACACGAGCTCAAGATTCTTTGCATTCAAACAGAAACTACCATTTCTATGCGCTTTCAAAAGGCAAACAAGTGTATTCTATCGCTGCAAAATTGAGGAGACTCGCGTCAGGCGCGTCCTCGAAAAGTCGCAATACTCTACGTCGTTGATTCCTGCGAGGAGTTTTTGAGGTACTCCTCTGGCATAGGCTCCGGGGCTGTGAAGGAGCATTTCGCCGGAGACAGCAATATGCTATAGTTGGTTTTCTTGCCTGGGTGACGGGCCTCCGGCAATCTCAGGAAGCAGGTAGCAGGGAGCAAGGAGCCACGGTCGTAGATCATTTTGGGTGTCATAAGGGTATCAACAGGCTGGCGCCAATTTGAGTTGTACAGGTGTCGGAGCTTAGGCTCGGTGTCCGGCGGCTTAGGAGAGGTACTGCATTTAATTGCTGGCAATCTCCTTGGCTTGTTCCTTCTTGTCCTGGAGGAAGCCGCTGATCCATTTGAGGACATCGGAGCTCAGGACAAGCGAAGTGGTGATGACGGCCTTGCCACCAGCGACATAGCCTTCACCGCCGCACTTCTTGTATTCATCCCTGTATGTGTTCAATGCCCAGTCCTTGGTGGTGTTGGCAGTCTCGAGTGGCCAGTTGACGTAGCTCACAAGTGTGTTCTGAATCTCCTTTGTCTCCGTCTTCACGATGGGTACTCGCTCGTCGAATTTGCTGAGGAACTTGTCGCCGAGCTCGTCGGCCTTGGCAACGTACGGCTTTGCGTAGGAAGCGGGAGCCTCAAAGTAGGGCAGGGTGGGTTTGACAAATTTCGCGTAGCCGGCGTTGGTCAGCTCAATCGATTTGGCGCCGTAGGGGTTCTGCTGGATAGTCTTGATGGAGTCCGAGACGAGAGGATAGGATTGAATGTGCTACACGGCGCGAGTATCAGTACACTTGTTTACAGGATACTGCAACGACAAAGTCGCGCCGGAACTTTTGCACTTACCGAAAGGACCGCGGAGTGCGGGATATCGCCATTGACGGTAGCTTCGCCCATTGTGATTGATGCTGTGATGGTTGCTTGGACTGCAGATGGTCAGCTTTCTTCCCGAGGCGACACGAGCAGCTCTGAGAGCCCGTTGTGAGAGGAAAGATAAGAACGAGCTGAGGGCGGAACCCGCGGTGTTCCAAGGCACCTCTGGTATGGTGGAGGGCGGTAACGGAGAATGTGGGATACGGTACTCACAAGTAAGAGTTGATGTGGGAGTTCCTGCGACGTGATGCTGGTATTGCGGTTGAGAGAAAGAGCTCGAAGTGCAGGTGGGAAGGAGTGAGAAGGCAGAGTCGGCGCGATAATATGGTGAGTGACGGCTTGCAGCTTGTTGAGCTTTCACACGCTTCGAGCCTCCCTCCTCGGCTGCTTGCTGGGGGCCACTGAGGCAAGAACGCCAGCGCCAACCCGATCAGAACATGGCAGGATGATTTCATGCCTCAGATCCCGCCATGTGATTTGTTGGTGGCCGTCCCGCCGCTGCAAGGCGTGGAGGTGCAACAGGCGAAAATTTGGCATGTGAAAATCTGCAGCCGAGAAGCAAGGCCTCCCCGCCGCTCAACCTCTGCAAAGCTATACCCACAGTACTAGTGCCCAGGTGCCCTTCTTCTCCTGGCGATTCCCCTTGTACATCCAAGCTCAGTCATATGTCAACCACTGCCATTACTGCTGCGGCAATCTTGTCCGGCTTGCCAGCTGCCTAACTCGTACTTGGGTCGCCTCAGTAGACCAGTTTCGAAACTGGCACAGCCACAGCGCCACACTTCGCCGCGGTCCTGATACGGCCTTCCCACCACCTTCAGCACTTGAGTTCGTGTGCCTGGGGGTCTGCAACACATGGTGCGACTATCTCTCCTGACCCGGGCGTCATGGCCATGCCGTGTGGTGTCACGCTTGCGGCCACTGTGTACCGTGACGTGAATGCTTGTTTCATCGTTATCAGACAACCTCATCATCGGGCGAGATTGGGCAACACGACATGGCTCATTGGCAGTGATTTTCCAGACTCTCATGGGAACCTTGCTGTCACTGCTGCATGCGCATCCTGTACCCCCTCTCCAGACTGATTATCTGACGCAGCACGCAACAAGGTTCTTTTTCGTGGGGTACGGGTCAGTATGTCACGGGAGGGTCTTATCTTGATAACTGCCCGCCAGAAAAACTGCGGATTGCTCGTACTCTCCACCTGTGCTACAGATACTCGTATGTTGAGGGGAGGTCGGATAGTTTCGTTTTCCCTTCACTATCGGATGGCAGCCGCAGGGTGTCTCTTGCATGTTCTTTTCGCATGTGTCACTTATTGGACTCTGCATGTCGCACGGCCGTGCATATAGCGATATATGCATCGAGTGACTTCAAGCCCCAAAGGTTCTGAGAGCGATCTGCATCATGGATTTCGCCAAGTAAAATTTCACGCAAATATAGTAATAGAGTTATTTAAAGTGCCTACCATACCGTGCATACGTAGTAGCCGTCAGCGTTGTTCGTTCTGCAGCCGAGCGGAACGTGCCCCGCCGACGGGAATACGCTGTGAAAGGGGAGTTCAATTGCTGCTAGGAATTACCTAGCGGAGATCGAGTCCCATTGCGGTCAGGAGATGGCGGCTTGAGTGTCCCGAATACCCAAGCCTGGCATGTAGACGCGTCGGAAGGGAGACTTCTTCGCCATGACAAGCGTGGACAAATGTGAAGTCCCTGCTGTTGTGGCGAGGAGGTGAGGTGGAAAATGCGTGTGGCTTGCACATCGCAACGCTAGCATGTGAAGAATCGGAACAAATGCACATGTCAATCGGCCTGATACTGGTTTGATTGCTTCATCCCGCCCTAACCCCATCGCTTCATGGGTGATTAGCTACGGGGTACGGACGGCCACAGATGTTTGCGTTCACAAGAAATGAGAGAAGTCGAGTCCTCAACAATTCTGTCTGACTTCCCGTACCAATGGGAGGTTCACCCTGGTCTCTGATCTCACGCTCCACTCGTAGCTCAATTTCAATATCAGCTCTTCTGTACCACCCCAGCTTTGTTCCCTTGTTTGCCCTCTCAGACGCCGATGCGAGGCTGTATCCCAGGCGCCGTATGCCAACCCTAATGCTTCGCTATTTAATAATCCCCTCTTCGACAAAATCCTCCCGAAGCATCCCTGAAGCGGTTTGCACGCAAAGTGGCCTTCTTCACTGCGAGATCGTATCGAAGCCAGCTGGAACCTGCCAACCGTGCGCCTGACATGCACGAATGTACGCATCAATGGCCTCGCCAATACCGTAGGTGCTCTGCCCACCATTTCGGGACGGAGCAGCCAACCTAGCCGGGCGCTCTGTGTCCATCAGAACGAGCCGTACCTGAAGCAAGAGACTCTCAATGCTGAGACTGGCGCTCCAGCCGTTGTTGGTCAGTACTTCCATACACATCGCACCTCCTTCGGTCACGTTCCCACCTCCACCTCGAGAAAAAGGAAGAAATCGAGGCCTAACTACTCGAATGAATGGTGGACTGAAAGGATATTGGCTTGTGAATCGCATCTCCATGATAATCGATGTCAGCTCTGCCGCCTTCATGTCCTGTGCCAGACCTAGATCTCCTGGAAAGCTATGCAGCTCCACAATCCACTGGTACATGTTGTGGATGAGATTGCGGTCAATATACCATCCGAGCGTTGCTGGTGCTGTATGTTGCTGGGTGTTCAAGGCTTCCTTGAGTAAGCGCATAAGTGCTTTGGTTGCAGTTGGGGTAGCGTTCTGTGGTTCTTCCATGATATTGATCCCCTTCAAGTCTAGCTTACCAGGCACAAAATTGGTATCAATCGTTGGCTTCGCGTGACCCTTCGTGTCACCAATGTCCGTTGCCGCGGTATCTGTTGGAGATGCGCGAGAAGTAGGATCGTTTCTGTCGTTGGGTTCTTGGAGAAGGGACAGATCTTCTGCATCGGAAGAAACACTCTCGTCATCGTCGGCTCGACATTCAGCACAAGCTTGATCAGTGTGGTGGACGGTCTTCGAGCGCTTCTCCTGGGGTCTTGAAGGCGATGCAGTGCTGTTCCAGGTTCTGCGGGACTTGGAAATGGCCGTTATAGGGATCGAGATGGACTGACCAAGTTCATTGTAGACCAGCCGTGCCGGATCCTGCTTGTACACTGCACGCTTCGACTCGTCTGCGTTAGTTGCCCCATTTTTGGTCTTGATGAAGAGGTATCGTGTCTGCACCCAATCGATATCGGCAACCACATAGTGAGGATGCTTGCAAACGAATTTGTCCGTGTTGTTCACTACCTCCTGCAGAGACAGGACGCTGGCGATCTTCAGTGCAGAAGGTTTCCATCCTGCTGGACCCGCGCCGCTGATATGCTGACTGTAAGTCAAACTCGTTGTTGCGGCGTTGCTCATGTAGATACCGTTGCCGAACGCCCTCCCATTGATGACTTCGTCATAATGGAGGCCTTGGCGAATTATAGAATGCCAGTTTGCAATGCGGCTTCCATGCCACGCAAAGAGGGTTGGATATTCAGTTCCTGTAGCCTTTGCCTGCTTTTTCACGCAATCATTGAAGCGCTTCTCTTTATCCGGAGCACCTTGTGCAAAGCGAAATTGCATCCATGCGTCCATTCCGCCTACCCGGTCTGCAGGCCTTCCGGGGATCTTAGAGCTTTCCTCCTCGCAAATCTCATCGACTTGTAAAATGCAGGATCGGTTCGAGGCGACGATCCAACGCAAAAGATTGAGTGCTGAGTCGGATATTCTGTCACTCCATGCCTTTAGGTTGTGGCTCTGAGTTCGTCCCTGGATTTCTAAATACTTCCGCATGTCGTTGACGCCTGGCAAAGTATCGAGCAACGCTAAGATGGCCGTTTGTTGGGAGGTTATTGAGATTTCGTCGAAATTTTCATCGTATAGGTAGCAGTCGACTTTGTAAAGAGAGTCCTTGTGATGGCATGCAGCTCCCATCTCAGGTTCTGTGTTAGAGTCTACCACCGAAGACTTTGAGGACACGAGGATGGGCTGGTGAAGCGAGACCTGAGGTAGGTCGACGCTCCTGACCCGGCAATGCGCAATAAGTCCATTCTTTGCCGAACACAGTGCGATCCAATCCTTAGCCTTGACCTTCTTTACCGAGGCCTGTCGTGCTGTAGCGTTCTTCGCCTCTTCATCCGTCTTCTTCGTTGCAACACCCGCTGACCCTTGGGCCTCTTCCGCCACCAGCCTCAGTGCCCTCGTATCCCACGAGCCGATGAAAGACGGTTCTGGTGTTGTGGCTGTAGGCTGGGTCGACGGATTGGGTTTCCGAGTATATCCGCGATACGAGAGTACCTCAATGTCAGCAGCTTCATATTGTCGAATAAGAGGAACCAGTAAATTCATGCCCACCGGCAAATCCTTGAGTCGGCCGTTGGATGCGGCAGCATAACAGAAACTAACCAAGATATCAACCACGTAAGGCTGGGTCAAAATCTCCCACTCGAGGCTAGGGCCGAATCCAAGCGCCAGATACTGAAACAAGCAGAGAGGTTTGAGGCAGACGTATGGTTTCAAAGCTTCGAAGGATTCATCAACTGGGCAATGGCACACCAGGCAGAATTCTGTGCATCTGACAACGTGCCTGAGGACAAACTGCATAATCATCAGTGGTAACGAAGCCTGCGGGAGAGGTACCTGAAGCATGTGGTCGGCAAGAACGATAGGCGGCAGATTTTGGGCACTAGCAGAATCGTCGCAATGATACGGCGTTAGGTCGAGAACAATGTCGCTAGATGCAGATGCTTGTCTCTCTGCGATAAATTTCTCTGCTCCAAGCCAGGTCAGGTGGTATAAGTGCCGAGTGTGGATGATCTTGAATACGCGTTCCTCCAGGAACTGATTCAATGCTTTTCCGACGAACAAAGGCTCGACAGCACAATCATTCGCGGCTGTGTCATTCGCCTGATCTCTCGAAGTACCACTGTCCGTGGTGGCACGCTGGAAGACGACGAGGACGTGGCGTGCGGAAGGCTTGTAATGTTTACAAAGTCCCACATGCATTTGTACCGAGCTCATGAGGTCCTTGTTATCCGCGACTCTGGTTGCATCACGGTAACCTTGAGTGTATCTAATCAGTAGCAACAGGTAGTGCTGTCGAGGAATACCCCATGCTTCGAGAGCTTCGTCCGAGAGACCGAGCTTGGGGATCCGAATCGAGACACATAAAATGCCAGACGTTGCAGGGTTTCCAAACGCTCCAACACGAAAGCCTGATTCCTTGAGGGCCTTGAGGTCTGCCCGCACCCGTGCCAGTTTTTCGGTGTCGACCTCCGAAGTAACGCCGGGGCCGAGAACCACGCTGTCAATATCCGCGCTACTGGATGGTTTGCTCTCGACTGGGCCGAAGAATTCATTGTCGGAGTCGCCCTCGAAGTCGAAATCAAAGTCGTCGGCATCTTGTATACCCTCTTCTGTTTTGTTGTCGGCTGGATAACCCGCGGAGATGGCTATTGTGAGGCTTTCCGAGACTTCGGACAGAAGGCTGACGAGCGACTTGCCATGCGCGCTCCCAGTAAGTCTTTGTAGCACTGTGGAAACCACATGCCCGGCAGACTCATCTTGAGTGCAAAGCACGAATGAGTTGCCGTCAGGATACTCTCCTAGATCGGTGGCGTATGCTTGAATGTCGACATTGTCAAAAGGGCTTGTCGGAGAGACGTAGGTGAAGATCACGGTGCCTTCTTCGGGACTGCGAACGCCATGAATGCGCTCGTTATCGAGACGACCGACGTCTGCCAGATGGCTGAGGAAGAGCTTTCGGCCCATGAGTGGTAGGGATCTTGTGTCGGACGCAGTAGAAAGACGAGTGGCATGGACACAGTGTTGACTTTGTAGGATGTCCCTGCCTTAGAGCTTCTGAACGGTCAGTCGATGAAATGAATCTGAGGGAACGATTAGGCTGGGGATTCTTGATAGAGTTTCACCTCCGGAAACGCAGTCAAGCGTCGGTCTGTGCAAGGAGTGAGAGGAGCAGTGAGTGGAAACTACAGCATGTCGTGTTGTAGACCAGGAATATGAGAGTTGAGCGCAAGGCGGCAGTGAGCTGAACGTGAAAGCAACAACTAAAGAGTGCAGCCGCACTCGTGCTGGTCGTTAGTGACGGGTCGACTGCCTACTTAGCGCAACGTCGAGTGTAGCTGCCTCTGTGAGGAAGACGCGACCCGCGTAAATTCTGCTGCTTGGAGTGATGAGACTCATATGGCCCTCACTTACATCACGATAGTAACAGACAGCATGAGCCTGAGGACCTGCGTCCGTAGGGCAATCAGCGGTTGGAGCTGCCCTGCAGTCTCCTCCTGCATCGGTGCAGCCTGTGCGTTTGATTACTTCTTTGTTTCCTTGCCTGAGAGTCGCTTGCTATACACTTAGTCACAACCATCATCCCTCCTACAAAGGCGGCGCAAGATAGAAGGTTACAAAAAGATGCTCCATAAAACCGAGGCTGGCATGGCTGGTCATGAATCAGGTAGTGGCTTTGCTTGGCATGGGCTCCTTCGGCTCCCACTCGGCATATCGTTTTTCCTTGCCGTCCAACGAGGCCAAAGGCTTTCACTCAGTCACCTCGCTGGTAGACAACTTGTGCCAGGGGTGCTCTGGGGGTTGTACTGTGTAGTGCTTCGATCGAGGAGTCCGGATCATCATCTACGATGAATCGAAGTCTGCTTCAGAGTCACTTTCGTCTTTGCTGAATGCTGCTGTCGGACTGGAACTCGACGTCAGCATGCCTTCGAGCGTGGATACAGATGAAAGAGGCGATGATGGAAGCAAATCTACGCTCACGAAGCTTGGTCAACCCCACTTCGATCCTGTGGATTTCCTCAATGATGCGCTGCCGCACTTGACTTTGTCTACACAAACGCTGGCTTCCAAGGCCAGCAGATCCACCCAAGTGCAAGGCGCCGCAACCGAAGCCCTTGCTTTATTCTCAAGTCTCAATACCATCAACATCCGGTCATCTTCAGAGTTGTCTTCGCTGACGGACGAGATCATTCGCAGCGGGAATCGCTTGGCATACGAAGTGGAGGTTCTTCGAGGCGATGTGAACGGATTTCATGAGTTGTTGACCGAGTCATCGCGTGAAGATATCGATGAGTTTGTCAAGGATGAGGCAATGGGCCACGCGGCACCATCGCTTGACCCCGAGGTTGACGGCGGCGAAATGGTGCATATCCAAGCGCCGACAGACGAGCCTGAGTTCATGGCTCGTTTACGACTGCTCAGCAAAGTCAAAACGCGTCTGGAGTCGGTCATTACGATATTCGGTGAAGCAATGAAGTGGCCAGTGCCGCCATCCGAGGTCTCAGGGGCTTCGCTCATTTCCGTCTCCGCTCCAGAGTTGGGCATACAGAGCTCAGCAGAGGATGATAAAGCCAATGAGATCCTGAAACAAATTCGAGCGGAAATAGGTGATATACTGGCGTCAGACGCAGGAGAATATACTGGCGTAGAAGCCGCATCAAGGAAAGTCGAAGAATACGCAAAGCTGGCAACCCTCTGGAAGGGAACGGGGGAGGAGAAAGCAAGGCTAAAGTTCGTGGACTCGTTGGCCAAACTGGTGGAAGACAGGAGCAGGGCACTGGATGCACGAGGTGCCGCTCGGAACCAGAAGCAAGAAAGCTCTGCCCGTTCCAGCTCGGCGACTGCGAGGAATATGAAAAGCGCAAACGAGGGTGGTGGTGCGACGGGATTGTTCAGAAACCTGCAACGGCTGAAGGATGATTTGTATTTTGAATGACGGGCGAGCGAGACCCGTGTCAGCATGCTATGATACTGTGCAATGGTGTCTTAATTTGACTGCCCGTTGAATGGAGCCCTGCCGTGCTTGTCGAATCACATTCACCTAATTGCTCGACAGGTTGCGAGTATCAAGTGTCGCCTCGTTTCCCCGGTTGCGGTTGAGGCCCGATCACAGCGTTTCGACGTTTACACCGCGCTTGCCTTCCTGCGACACGCCCACGAAGGCCATGACTTTGGATGGCCGTAAAATGCAATTCTCCGCAGACATCGCCTGCCTCTCCACCTAGAATCTCAGAGGCGTGAAGAACCATCTGTTCTTGCCGCTCAAGTATCTCTCCTCCAAAGCCTTCTTCACGTTCTTCTTCGCATCCTCCCTCTGTGAAACCTCCTTGAAAGTATCGTTCGAAATGACACTCTTCAGTCCTTCCAGCTCGAGGGTATAGCGCGTGGGCATGATGTGGTTGTAGTTGACCATCTTGATGAATGGCTTGACTTTCGATCGCTTCTCGACTCGCTTCTTGCCCATGCGACGGGTGACTTTGGAGGGGTAGCGCTCAATGCCTGCGACCAAAGCGTAGGAGAACGGGTGCTGCTTTGTGCCGGAGTCGACGGGCTGGATTATGACAACCTTCTTTCCGGCATATCTGCCTCTGGTGATGCTGTAAACATGTCAGATCCAATCTCAAGATATTTAACAAGGTGGGAATCATGGCGAGAGCCTCGAAACTGGCCCGGCGCTGGTACCCATGGTGTAATTTCGAGAAGAAAGCAAGCTTACATTGCTACACGTCCCACTTTGAGGAACTTCATCTTGAAGTTTGGACTTTGCGCTGAGGATGTGGTTGTAACAGGGCAATGGGCTGACGTTGAAATGTACAAGTCTGCGGCGGCTCTGAATTTCAAAAATCCTCTTGGCAAGGGATTTTCGTGGGTGCCGCCTGATTGGTGTGCGCAACGCCGCATAAGTAGCCAATTAGCTCTTTTGTTTACTTTTTGTGGGGTTTCCTCGTCACTGCATCGCTACCCAAAGTCCAGCGATACTGTCTGCTCTCTCGATAAACGAGGAACACTGCCAGAATTGTGTTTCTTCATTTGCAGCTTGTCATCGTTGAATCTGTTTCTGTTTGCACGGGAGTTTTGCTGAGAGCATTATGAGCACCACGGACTATCATTTGTGACTGACAGCATTCCTCGCGAAAATCCCCGAAACAAAGGCATTGGCCATGTCCACCTACTCTGCAAGCTCGAGGGATGCCTCGAGGGACCGTGCTGAGTCTCGACTGGTCAAGCATCAACACTCATTTTCCGAGTCTGGGAGAAGCTCGGTGCCCATGTAGGTTGCCTTTGCACTGTATTCACCCTGCGAGGTATACTTACGCGCTATATAGGTGGGATAGCTCAGACCCAGAACGAGCACCTCCACCACTGCCATTGAATCCGGGGGTCCCGGGTAGTCCTATCACCAGATCCAATACATCGAAACGCATTGATGAAGCAGCTGCCCTTATTGCCGCCCGAGCTCGAGAAAATGCGCCGAGTAGCTACACGACCAATCCTCCTCCTGTATCTCCCGACCGGAGTGTCATGCGGGCGCAGAATAGACGAATGCAGAATCTTCAGAGTCCCACCATTCACAAACTGAGTGACTCCCTTGAGAGACGATCCCCTGACAAAGGCCTTCGCACGGCCAGGTTTGTCGAATTTGACGACCTCCCCAGCACCAGATCACCAGAGCGCAGTCCAACACGGCAGAGACCAGAAACACCCACACCCGCCGACCTGAACTTGAGGTCCAAGGAGGACGAGAACACCCCACCAGTGACAAACATGCTGGCGTTGCAATCTATGAGGAATCGGCAGGAAGCCGCACCACTCGGCGATATTACCAACAACGCATCACCTGCGGTACAACCGTCCTACTCCTTCAATGCCCTTGCGGACCAGATATTGAGCCTCACTTCCATAATGTCGGCCGTGCAGAAGGAAATGGCGAGTCTGAACAAGAGAAGTAAGGACAACTACGGCGACCTTATGAGTCTGAAAGAGGCGACTTCGGCTCGGGACGAAGATATCCGGAAGAGTCTCAGAGAACTTGTTGCGGGTTTGGAGACCAAGTTCACCAACCTCGACTCTCGCTTGCTAGGGCCCCCGCCTGAAGTGAGCAGATCAGCACCCAACTTAGGCTATTACCTCGACGACAAAGCGCACACTGGCTCTCCCCGTCCGAAGAGCCTTCAACTGCCACGTATTGGAAGCCCTTCGAGCTTTGCTGCTGCTCTTGATCGAGACCTGACAGCATCGCCTTCCCTCACATGTGTTGATGGCGCAGCAAGCATTGCCCTCCTGGAGAAGGTGTTGAGAGAGATGGCAACTCGCGAGGGACAAGACAAGATCATGAGCACACTGGAAGCCGTCAAATCACAGGCTTTAGTCCAAACCCAATCTACAGCTCCCACTAGACCGTCCTTCGACCCCACGATGATGTCCAAACTTGAGGATATTCTTCTTTTTATGAAAGACATGAAAGAAGAGTCAGGGTCCAGAGCGCTAATACGGGCAACTGCGAACGACACCGGCAAAGGTCCTTCCAACCTCGACCTGTACCTTGAAGGAGAGTCGAAAGCTGGTCCTTTGGCCAAAGCTAAAGCCAGCAATGAAAGACGAGCCTCGTTGTCCGGGTCCGAATTGGGTGGGCTTGACGAGGTTGTCACCATGCTGAAGAGCGTGAAGCAGTCGCTTGCGCAAGGAGGTGGTCTGACGAACGAAGTCAAGCTCCTGGTCCGGGAACTGCGAGGTGAAGTTCTTGGGATGGGTCGGGAGATTGCAAAGAAATTGGAACAGACATCAGTAGCGAGCAAAGGTACTGATGCTGATATTCAGGCCACCATGAAAGGGCAAATCGCGCTTATTGTCCAACAAGGTCTTGCTGAACTCAAGGAGCATATGCATCGCATCGTCGAAGAGAGCCAAAGGCAATCAGTGGAGCTTAGCCACCCAGCGGTGGATACGCAGGAAATAGTTCGGGCAGTCGGAACCATTATCGCCCAGATGCCTCCACCTCCTGCTCGGGATCTGGTCGCCGAACGCGACGAACTGCTAGCAGCTGTCAGAGAAGCCTGGGAGGATTGTAAACCAGAAATCGCTCTCGAACATTTCGGCCTCGAACGAGACGAGATTCTGGAGACGCTAAAGGAGGGTCTGAAGTCCTATCAACCTCAGCAATCCACAGTGAGAGATACCGCTGCGACTTATGACGATGTCCTTGATGCTGTAAGGAAAGGTCTGGCCGACTTCAAGCTTCCGCCAGTGTCGTCGCCACCAGCTGGAGCTACCCGGGAAGACGTTCTAGCAGCTGTATCCGAAGGCCTGCGGAGCATTCAATGGCCGGACATGAATGCGAATCGCGGTGGAGAGGTCGACTTGACAAAGGATGACGTCTTCGAAGCTGTGCGGGCGGGACTGGCTCAACATGAAGCAGTCAACCCAGAGCAGATTATTGATGCTGTGCGACAAGGTCTCGTGCAACACGAGAGTGTCTCGACCGCGCAAACTCTCGAAGCTCTGCAAGAGGCTTTGGCCCACCATTCAGCGGTACCTACGGACCAAATCATTGACGCCGTCCAACAGGGGCTTTCTCATCAGCGTCCTCTCGCCAAGGAAATTGAATTTAATCGTGAAGATCTGTTCGACGCAATCAAGGCTTGTCTCGAAGGCGACCAGAATCCCCTGGGAGGGATGGGAGAGCGTGTCATTGAGGCTATGCATGAGTTCTTGGGAAGCATGAAGAATGAATTCCAGCAATACTCTGCTGCCAGTGGAAAAGATACAGAACAAGTTCTTGACGCTCTCAAAGACGGCCTCGAAGACCTGAGGGCTGACATCGAGAGTTACGTCGATCGTGCTGCAGATGTTACCGGAAAGGACGAGATTATCGACACAGTCAAGGCTGGCTTTGCGGCAATGCAGGCAGATCTTGACAAAGGCTTTGCAAGTCGCGGTGGTGGAGCACCAAATACACCGGAGCTTCTTGATGCCATGGAAAAAGAGTTCGAACATCTGCGTGAGACCATCAGCAAGAGTATGGTCAGAAGTAACGCGATTTCAGAGAAGGATGAAATTCTCGACGCTATCCGCGACATCACCGACGACAGACATTCCGCACTTAGCACCAACAGCGAGGACATCGTCCGCCTTGTCAAGGAAGAACTTGAGCACATGCGGACAGCTCTTGCTACCACACTCATCAAGAGTGGCTCTGCCATCGACCGTGAAGAAGTGCTTGACGCCATTCGGGAAGGACTGACTTCGTCCCGCCATAAGGTGGACGGGAATGAAAGCATCTTGTCAAACACGAGTGAGCTCCTGGATGCTTTCCAGGATGGCGTCGACGGTATCCGAAACGACATTCAGAAGTTGTCCGACCGGCCTGTCGATCTCAGCTCCAGCTACGAAATCCTCGATGCTCTCAAGGCTGGTATTGACGATGTGCGGGCAGATATCGCACGTCTAGCTGAGAAGCAGACGGACGAATCCGACAGCACGACTGCTCGAGGACAAGAGATGGTCTTGTCCGATCAGAGTCGCATCTCGACAGAGATCGAGGGCTTGAAGGTGATGATTACGCAGTTGCGCATCAAGGTGGAAGCTCTAGACGAGACGGCGCCACCACCTCCACCAACTGAAACTCGCATTCACAAGGACGATATGGACGAACTGCACGAAGCGATTCAGCAAGTCAGGGAGTCTCTTAGTGCTGCGATTCCCTCGGAAACTCGCGTACACAAAGATGATCTGGATGGCCTGTACATTGCCATAGATCATGTCACCAACGCCGTCAACCAGGTTCGAGATACGCCCATGCCGGAAGTCGTGATGCCAGAGAATGCCGCTTCGAAAGATGACACGGAGGCGATCGAAACTCTCCTACGAAATATAAAGGCTACACTGGATGACATGGTCCTCCCTGAGCCTGAATTGTTGGCCAAGTCAGTCCAAATCGACGCCCTTGAAAACGCCTTGAACGACATGAAGGTAGCAATCGAAGAGACCAGCGAGCGCTCCTCCGAGCAATCCAGCAAGGAAGACTTTACTCTTATCGAGCTGATGCTCAAGGATGTCCAGAGCAGCATGGAAGAGTTCAAGGAGAAGCTGGACAAGGCCAAGGACGATGATGAGTCCGGCCTGGTCAAAGCTGATCTGCAAGTCGTCGAATCGCTGGTTTTGGACATCAAAAGTCAAGTCGAAAACATCAAACTACCGGATCTCGGAGCTCTACCGAGCAAGGATGACATCTCCGATGTGAAGAATGACCTCAAGTCGTTCCGTGAGCAGTTCGAGGCCGATAATGGACTCACCGCACAGGCTTTTGAAGCTCGCAAGATCGAGCACGGAGGCCTAGCGACAAAGATTGACGACGTCAAGAACGTCATCGGAGATCTGCGGGATGAGCTCATGGGCAAAGTGGAAGGCAGTGCTGAGGGAATTGTCGAGTTGAACAAAGTACTTGGTATGCATCACGACAACATGACCAAGTACGCCACAGCTGCCAGCATCGAAGAGATGTCGAATGTACTCAAGACTGAACTCGAGAAGCACATGGAACATCAGTCCACCATCAAGGCGGAGATGGAAGAGAGAGACGCCACGCTATTTACCAGGCACGAAGAAACAAGCGCAGAAGTCAAGGCTGTAATTGAAGAGAAATTCGATACACTAATGGCCAAATATGACGATGCTCAACAGGCGAGCGAAGCGAAACTGACCGCCCTGGAGGAGCGAGATGCTGCGCATCTAGAGGCGACAACAGGCACCAAGGCTATTGTGGATGATCTCAAGTCCCTCATGGACACTCTTGGATCCACGATCGCGGAGACTTGCGACCGCGTTTCGGAAGATTCAAAGACTGTTTTCGGCTCCATCGAAGAGACCAACTCCAAGGTCGACAACCTTCACACTGCCAACGCCTTCGAGCATGGCGTGACCCGCGAGGAGGTCGCCAAAGCGGTGGCTGCCGCTATCAAGCTAGAAGGCACCATTTCGGACAATCAGCCGGCAGTACTGGCTGCAATTCGTGAAGTTCTTGAGGTGGTGACACAGCACTACGAGCATTCTCAGCAACAGACCGAGAACTTTACTCGAGCGACTGAAGAGATCAAGTCCGGGGTCGAGTCCATTCCTGCAGCCATCCCACCACTGTTGCCAGCCCTGCCTGCAGTCCCATCTGAGCCAGTTCAAGAACCGCTCCCGCCAGCAGAGAAGTACGATGATAGTGAGCTGCACGACAAGTTGGACACACTTTTGTCTCATGCCGACTTTGCAAAAGAAGTTTTCGTCGGCGTTCAGAACAATCAAAAGGAGACCCAGGAGTCCTTGGCTAGCCTGTCGAAACTCGACCAAGTGCATGAACAAGTGCTGTCGACGGCAGCGGAGGTTGCAAGCATGGTCTCGACACAAGCAAGACTGATGGGCGAGCACCATGACTCCAAGGTTGCAGAAGCTACCGAAGCCGCCATTGCCCTGGAGAAGAGAAATGCACAGAAGGAGAAGGTCGAAGCGGACATCGTGGCTCTTAATGCCGAGAAGAATGCTCTTGCAGAGTCAATGGCAGCCATGAAGAGAGAACAAGAAGAGTTGATCGCCCAGACAAAGAGGCTAACTCGAGATGTGGCCAAGCTGGAGACGGCTCTTCAGATCCGACAGGAGGAGATGCGTGACATGAATAGCAGAGCAGAAGTCCTAGAACGGCGCATCCTCGAAGGTCTCGTTAACCAAGCACGCGCGGTGAAAACGTCCTCAAGATCCATCAACAAGTCGAAAATCACGCCGGCCGAGCGTGATGCATCCATGAGCCTCAAGCGGGTGCCCAGCACGACCAGCACGGCAACAGCCAGGATGTCTACCAGAGGTGGAAGTTCGGCGATTGGCAGCGCGGTCGGCACGGCTCTAAAGAAAAGGACTCCGCTAACATCGAACGTCAAGGTATCTTCAACTCCAAGGACTTCTGTGGTGGACAGGCGAATTCTCAGCACCAGCCATGTCACCGGCAATCGGGGGCGGAATACCCCCGATATGGCCTTGATGTTGGCCCCTGCACCCAAGTCGACCGGTCTTGTTAGTCTCAAGCGAAGCCAATCGGTCAAAAGCAACCCAAGCAGCTATCTCAATGGGCGCAAGGCCAGCTGGAATGGTGGGCCCACTGAGCTCACGGACAAGGAGAACTTCAGCGCCGAGCACGAGAACAGCGATGACGACCACAGCGATGCAGACACGGAGAGAAGAACCAGCATCGGGACCAGCTACATGTACACGGACAGCATGGTTTATGGGACCGGAAGTAGCCTGAGTCGCGATAGCAGACTATCGACGGGTACTAGCTGTGACAGCAGTGTTGTCGGAACCATCAGCGGGCAGACTGAAAGCATTGCCGAAGAGGACGAAGAACCGGAGGCGGATGAGGAGACCGAAACTGCCATGATCCTACATGAGGGGCCTCCAGATCAAGTCAACGGTGGTCAGGACAATTCCATGGCAATGACGAGTCTCGATGGATTGGAGACTCCCTACATCGAGGCAGATGCATTATCGGAACTTCAGCCTCCACCGGTCATGACGGATGAGGGGCTCAAGTACCATGGTAGTGACAGTGGTCTGGGAACTGAACCGTTGACTGCTGGGTGCGAGTCACGCCCTGTGGGAGAGGCAATGGAATATTTCCAGATGACGGCACAGGACATGCAGACCTGAAATATGACGAGACGGCAGGCGGGCGTTTGGGTGTTTGTTCCTTCAGGGCAGTGAAGCGTTCAGCGAGTGTTCAAGAGATGAAGAATGAGTCGATTAGGCCTCACCATAGGATAGCAACATGAGAATTCTCGATAAAGCGGCCAGGGAAATCCAGCCACTAACACCGAGGCTCGGCAGGCGGCATGTGACGTCTTCCCCTTTCCGGATTTGTATAGCGACCGCCCAGTGATGCCCCAACATTTTGATGCGGCGTCGCCTGCTGGGTGCGTCATTGCTGCCTCTTCCAAGTTGTCTTTGTTGTCGTCGCTTGTTGCTCGATCGCGGCTCTTCGCGTCGCTCATTTGCCCACCTAATGATCATTGCATTCTGACAGTCCACGTTGTTCCTATTCTACTCTTATCGGCTGCCTGCTCATCCTTTAGTACAGCATTAGAGATGCTCGACCCCCTACCACCTCCGCCTCCATGGCTCGTCAATTGGGTCAAACACTATAGCGAGGCTCTATACCTGCCCTCATTGCCCTACCACATCCATGAAGTACTGGGCGCCTTCGTGCTATACCAGACCACACAGTCCATCATCTCCCCTTTGCTCTCGAATCTCCTCTTCCCGCACATCTATCCGAAGCTCAATCGCCGAACACGTATCAACTGGGACGTTCACGTGGTATCATTACTCCAGTCACTCCTCATCAACACGGCAGCGTTGTGGGTCATGTTCAACGACAAAGAGCGCAAAGACATGAACAGCAGTGCGGTGGAAAGAATATACGGCTACACAGGGGCGTCGGGTCTCATTCAGGCAATGGCCACGGGCTACTTCCTCTGGGACCTGATCGTGAGCGCCCGCTACCTCAAGATCTTTGGGCCGGGCATTCTCGCTCATGCGGTTACTGCTCTGGCTGTGTTCTCCCTGGGATTCGTGAGTCTTTTGCATCTGCCACGTTAGGGACCCGAGGCTAATTGATTTACTCAGCGACCGTTCTGCAACTACTACGGCCCAGTCTTCATCCTGTATGAACTCTCGACCCCGTTCCTCAATATCCACTGGTTCTGCGACAAGCTCAACATGACAGGCGGCAAGCTCCAGTGGTACAACGGAATGCTGCTCCTGTCCGTCTTCTTTGGCTGTCGCCTCGTCTGGGGAACCTACCAGTCGCTGCGTGTTTATCAGGACGTCTGGCACACTATGCATCTGAACACTCAGCCTGGTCCTGTGCTCCGAGAGATTCGAGAATCGCCACATTCCTCAATCTACATTCCCAGGGACGGCCAACTTTGCCTGGGCGACGCAAGCTGTATCTCGGCTCAATCTGAAGTCATGAAATTCACTGGTTCACAGACGCTTGCGGTCCCATTCTGGTTGGCTCTGGTGTATCTGACCTGTAACTTGGTGCTAAACACGTTGAACTGGTACTGGTTTGGCAAAATGATTGAGACAGTCCGCAAGAGGTTCGAGGGGAAACCCCACGACGAACGTCCTCGCGAGCGGCAACGAAAGCAAAGCATGGTGGAGCTGGCGGCAAGTGAGCTCGACTATGACACGCTTTCAGGACCGAAGACCCCGTACAACGAGAAGGAAGATGAATTTGCAAAGGCTCCTGCTCCCTCCAATGACAATGAGTTCGCTAAGGGCACCGAGTTTGCGACAAGCACTGCGGTTCCAGACGGGAACCACGAGGTCAAGAAGCGATAGAACCATAGACACTCTCATATGGGGAAAGGTGGCTTTGTTCGATGCTGGGAAACTCGGACTTTGGTCAGACTCATGTTCTGGAAGCGAGTCTTGAACAGTATCAATTATCATCAGCCGAGATTGGTCGACAAGTTCCTTCCCAGTGAATCGATTCAGACAGAAATGATGTTATTATCTCTTCACCTGCAGGCTTCAACTGGCGACATCCTCGAGTTATTGTTTTACTGCATCACTCCCTAGGTCGGATTCACGCCACAACCATAGACCTGTCCTTGATGTGAACCCAGAACCTTCACCTTGCTACGGCCATGACGGTGAATAAGAGAGCACTTCCTGTCACTACGTTCTGTCGACAGTGAATATGGGAGCATTTCCTGTCACTCCCTTGGACAGTGAATATGAGCATATCTATCCTCACTCCCTACTGCCAGGCGCCGTCACGGCCTATATATTCTTCTGTTGACACCCTGCCTTCTGTCTTTGCCTCGTCACCATCACCTCGTCCTCTTTCTCCAGACAGACTGCACTGCAACACCCGAGCCCTTCTTACAACAAACGACAACCATCGTCAAGATGCGTGCTTCTTTTGGTGTCTCTGCTGTCCTTGCTGGACTGGTGACGCTTGCTACTGCTTATCCACCTTTCGGACCGCACCGCCCGTTCAAATCCGATGTCTCTTCCATTCGGCTTCCTGCACCTACCGGCTGGCCAAACATTTCATTCTCTGCGCCCTACAAGACGGAAAGTCATAGTCCCGACTCGATCTTGATCATCACCGAGACCCAGACCTTGAGCAGCACGCCAATCGTCCCTGTTTCTGACTCTGTCTTCGACACCGTCTCCACGAGCACCGGCCGCTCAACCCTGGAGCCGATCTTCACAGATGTCTTTCCCTCGACCATCAGCCTTGAGCCTGCCACGTTTACAGCTGTCTTTCCATCAGTCACCAGTGTCGAGCCCACTCCGGTCATCAGCATCGAGCCCGCTCCGACAACAGACGTCTTTCCCTCAATCATCAGCGTCGCGCCCACTCCCTCCATCGAAATCACTGCGACACCCCCGCTTTCATCCATCTTCAGTCATGTCTCGGCGCTCCTGGGTAATGCCACCACCGAGACCGCATTTCCACCCACGACCCTCATGACCAGCACCGTCAACTTCACCATCAGTGTGACTGTCAGCGCCACTGCCACGCCAGTCGAATCCGTTCTCTCCGAAGTGTCTTCAGTCCTCAGCGTTGTCTCTTCCCAGATCACCACCACTACCATGACCGACTCCACAACTGCGACAAGTCCTGCCACGCCAACCTAACTCAACAAGATGATCGTTGCGACTGAAGAATCCGTCCAGCTGGGTGTTGCAAAGGCCTTGACAAGTGAAAAGTGAGTACCGGGTCATATATTCAGACAGTCAGACGGGCGAGCAGTTGAGAGGTCTTAGACACTGATGTCTTTTGTCCAGATATTTCCCCTTTTTTTCTTCCTTCCCTCTCCCGCACATGGGTTCGGCTGCTTGTGGTTCATTCAATGAGTCTAGACGGCGTTGGAGAGCGTGTGGCATCAGAGCAAACCAATAAGGCGAAGTCAGTATTTCGGAGTGAATCACAGCGTCAATCGAATGAAATCAAATCAAACTGAAGGCGACGAAACCAATCGATTGAACCAAACAGAGTACTTGACTTGGCTTGACTGAGCCTTCATCTTCATCCTTCGCCATTGTCTTGTTCATATCTCTCCTTGTCTCATGCCCCGTGTTCCCTCTGCCTTTATGCTTCGTCATTGAGTGACACTGTGATCACGCTGTCTGTGGGAGATCGCGCCTGGAGAAGTGCTCGGAGATACGCCAACGTAGATCAGTAGAAGGACGAGGGACGGTTGCACCTCGCATCGGTCGACTAGCGATAGTGGCGCAATTACTCCGTACTTGCAGTGTGATTGGCAAGCCCGTCGGTAATGGTCATGTCACCAATGTTTGCAGCCTCAGCTCAGAGTGTCAAGTCAAACAACTCGGGGGTGAGAGACTAGAGGAGAATGACAAAGAGACAACATTCCTTGAGGCTCCTCGTTTATCTGCCATGATCGGAAAGTCTCGCAAGATGAGATTTTCGGACCAGTCTTGCCCGTCGTCCAACATGAGGACCTCGAGACCGCTGTCAATGAAATCAATGTAGGCGCGTGGCCTCTTGGCTCTGCATATTCGGAGATCATCAACCATACGGACTTGGGTGGTGCTGCAATCACGGTGCCATCCCTTCTCCTCCATCCAGAAGCTCAGGAAATAGCGGGTCCGGTCGAAGCCACGGCGTCGAGAGGTTCCCAATGCTAGCCTGGGTGAGCCATTCGCCGAGACGGCGTACAGGCAAGCATTGGGTCTTGCTTGAGACGACTTTCAGCAAAAGCGAGGTTTAGCTAGCCCGGGTGCGGATCTATCTAGGATGAGGCACCATGAGTCTGGATCTCCGGAGGACGATGAATTAACTTGCGCCGCAAATCCTCACACCATATACGGTTGACAGAAAAGTCCAGAGAGACACAACCTTCAAATTCTACAAATCTCGGGCACGCGTCGGCTATGCTACCGACCTTCTCCAAGAGTGAATGGGTAGTGACCGAAGCCAAGTAGAGTCTTTTGGGAATACCGCCACCAAAATGGGTTCTTTCCGGGTTCACACTGCCTAACGGGGAGACTTGGCTACAGCACCACCGCGCCAACTTGTGCATGAACAACCGCCTCGTGCGGAGGCACACGCGGGTGGGATGATCGGTTTTGTAGCCCAGGTTGACACCGTGCTTGAGGATTGTGGAGGAGACGCTCATAGGCTAGAGGCCTGATGTGGGAGCAGCACGTCGCTGCTGGAGTCTGGATCGTGGATCATGTCTTCCATACATGTTGGTCGCGTTCATATTGGCGATTGCCAACCTCACCTCGGATCTTGTCTTGCTTCACGACCGTGTTTTCCAAGACAGGCCACTTCCAAAACGATTTGTTGTTCTCGTCTCGAGACACGCATTCGGGATTCGAGTCCAGCATCTACCTTCCCTCGGGTCTAGACTTCTCAGAGCCCCCGGCCAATTGTCGCTTGGACCATCTCCCAGCCAGGAGGCTTCCACGCACGTTGAGCTCGCACAGACGAATAGTACATCTCATCTCTTACAACGTTCATCCGTCATGGCATCTTCCTCTGAGCAACCGAAACAGCCAACGCCTTTTCCCCATGGCGTGTTCCTCCCGAACGGTCATCAGACCGACCCAGCACTGCCTCCCGACCACCCTACAATCGGCTACAAGCTGAATCACTTTATGCTTCGAATCCGTGATCCTGCCAAATCAATCCCATTTTATGTCGACCTGATGGGCATGAGGACTGTCTTCACAATGAACGTCGGTCCCTTCACGATCTACTACCTCGGATACCCTCAAACGGACGAGCATCGGGCGGACCTCCCCAAGTTTGGCGCCGACACGGCTGGTAATCTGCAGCATACGCTTGGGCTGTTGGAACTGTATCACGTCCATGGATCGGAGAAGCAGGAGGCCGGGTATTACTCCACGGGCAATGAACCAGGCCACCTAGGGTTTGGCCACCTGGGTTTCACGGTGCCGGATGTTCCCAAGGCGTTGCAACGATTAAAGGATGCGGGCGTCGAAGTTGTGAAGGACCTAGGTGTCTGTACCAGACAGTGGATTCCGATCACTGACTGGGAGAATGAGCGAGGAGTCGGCGTGGAGGTGAAAGGTACCGACAGTGAGATTCACCCAGAATATGCAAAAGTATTCAACAAGATCGCGTTCGTAAAGGATCCGGTGAGTTTATCCTATCCTTGTCCTACCCTTGCTGGGCTTTAAGTCTATGGAGCTGACACGTTGATGGCAGGATGGATATCTCGTGGAGCTCGTTCCGCAGAATATGGATCCCAAAAATCCGTGATGCTTGCCTCTGGGCCCGAGCTGCTATCACGGTTCCTTAGGCGTGTTCCTCGCTTCAGCATAGGCCGAAGTGCAGGTTAAGTATTAGAGAAGCCAATGCCGTCCCAGAGTCCCCGAACCGGTTGGATGCATGCTGGCTTTGGGAGGAGGGATCACATAAACATACCACCGCAAGGAAACTTGCCGGCAAATGAGATTTCATCTTCGCCTGTACCCGGGTTCGTTGAGTCCTGTTGCTGACTCCGTCCTCCATCAGAGCCATATTATTTGCCGGCCACCGATAGTTTTAGAACCAGCAAGACTCGCACGGGTTAGCTGTCTTCTTCTACAGCTTTCTGCCATTCTGTCAACTCCAAGGACGGAAACAGCCGAGTCCTCCTAGGAAGCGCTGACCAGTGTGCACGCTGGTCCCAGAGCCCCCGATAGTAGTGCGAAGCCTTTGTTCCAATGTCCATCATGCGTCTTACCTTGAACAGACGGATCGAGACAACAAAACTCTGTCCTATGTGACAATGAATCAGGATGCGTACACGACTGTGTACTCCACCGTAGCGACAAGACTACAGTAGATGTCTGCTGACTTGACGTGCTCAGCTACGAATTCAAAGCCAGAGATGAAGCTCACCACAACTTCGTTCCTTTACTTAACTACTGCCCAAAGTCGGTTGATCTCAACCTCTGATGCCGCCCATCGTTGTCTCGCTCGTACATAGGGAAGAAGTCCGTTCCTGACATCGCCTTTTGTCCATGGAACCCTGCTGCGCTCGCCATCTGAGCATATAGGCTGAATTCCTCTCTGTCGAAGTTTAGCCGATTCCTGATGTCACAACTACCGGCACCATCTTTCCATATGCCTGTCGGCAATTGAGGGCCCGAAGGGCAGATCGTTTACCTTTTACAGGGAATAGGTCGCTAGCCATGTGCATGAGTACTGGTCATGACCAGTGAGAGCTACAGTCGATTCTACGGAGAAGCTCCTAGCTTCCTGTTCCTGGGGTATGGGGATGCATCAAGCTCCAAGCTCAAAATGGAGGTGATGCTGCAAAGAGCCGGACGGGCTCGCCACTACAGTACATATCAGAGATGAAGCCCAAGCTCGTCTATGAGAGAGTCTTCAGCCAGCCTCTTCACAATCATGCGGTCTCTCCTTCTCCTCGCGGCTGTGGGCCTTGCCGCTGCAGAAACTGGCATCGATGGCTGGCTACGGTATGCACCTGTACCTAATGCCAATGCGTCTGGTCTGCCGATCAACATTGTCTCGCTTAATGCCACAGCGAATGGCCCGGTACATGCTGCCGCTTCTGAGCTACAGAAAGGTCTTTCGGGCATCTTCAATCACAGTCTCAATGTGATCTACCCAACCAGTTACCAGCTTAGTGACACCGCCTCCTCCATTGTCGTCGGCACAGTTGCAGAGTACGCCAACGCATTCGGTGCTGCCCCTAAGACCCCTCAACTCGAGAACGACGGATACTTCCTCAATACCACAGGCTCTCGCGTTCAGATTCTCGGACGCAATGAACGGGGTGCTCTCTATGGCGCGTTCCAATACCTCTCGATGCTAGCACAAGGCAACTTCTCAGAAGTGGCATATACTTCCAACCCAGACGCTCCGATACGATGGGTCAACCAATGGGTAAGCTATAGGGACGGCGTTGTCTCGCCGTGGCATGGGCTGAGCTGACAACGAATCTTAGGACAACCTGGACGGCTCGATTGAGCGAGGCTACGGCGGACCATCAATTTTCTTCTCCAATGGGACTGTCAAAATCAACAGCCTCGATCGAATGACGCAGTACGCGCGCCTTTTGGCCTCAATCGGTGTTAATGCCATTGTTGTGAACAATGTCAACGCCAACGCGTCGATTCTCACAACCCAGAACGTGGAGGGGCTGGGCAAAATAGCCGATACCTTCCGCCCATACGGTGTGCGAGTTGGTATTTCTCTCAACTTTGCGTCTCCCACGGCCAATCTAGTGTATGGCAATCTAAGCACTTTCGATCCGCTGGATTCCGAGGTTATCGACTGGTGGCAGAATGTTACCGACACCCTCTACGCTCGCATACCTGACATGGCAGGATACCTGGTCAAAGCGAACTCGGAAGGACAACCAGGTCCATTGACGTACAACCGGACTCTGGCAGAAGGAGCGAATCTCTTTGCCAATGCCTTGGAGCCTCATGGTGGTATCCTTGTCTTCCGAGCATTCGTGTACGACAGCCAGCACTTGAACGAATCGGTCTGGACCCAGGACCGTGCCAACGCCGCCGTGGAGTTCTTCACCGGCCTGGATGGCAAATTTGCGGAAAACGCGCTTGTGCAAATCAAGTACGGCCCAATTGATTTCCAGGTCCGCGAGCCTGCGTCGCCTCTCTTTGCTTACCTACGAAACACGAGCACAGCGATCGAGCTGGAAGTTACACAAGAATACCTGGGCCAGCAAAACCATCTAGTCTACCTGCCGCCACTATGGAAAACAGTTCTAGATTTCGACCTGCGAGCCAACCACTCAAAGTCGCTCGTCCGCGACATCATCAGTGGTGAGCGCTTCAACAGGCCCATGGGAGGCTATGCAGCAGTCGTCAACGTCGGCACCAACAACACTTGGCTGGGCAGCCATCTCTCCATGTCCAACCTGTACGGCTACGGCCGCCTGGCATGGGATCCCACTAGCGACCCACAAGCCATCCTCCAAGACTGGATCCGTCTGACATTTGGTCTCGATCCGGCCGTCATGCGCGCCATCACAAACATGTCGATGGCCTCCTGGCCCGCATACGAGAACTACACTGGCAATCTAGGCATCCAAACCCTCACAGACATCCTGTACACACACTACGGGCCCAACCCGCAGTCCCAGGACAACAACCCTTGGGGCCAATGGACCCGCGCCGACCACGACTCGATCGGCATGGACAGGACCGTCGCCAACGGCACGGGCTTCGCAGGCCAATACCCGGACGAAGTGGCCGCCGTGTACGAGAACATCTCAACCACCCCGGACAACCTGCTCCTCTGGTTTCACCACGTCAACTACACGACGCGGCTCCACTCCGGCGAGACGGTCATCCAGCACTTTTACAACGCGCACTACGCCGGCGCGGAGACGGCCCAGACCTTCCCAACCCAGTGGGAAGCCCTGCAGGGCAAGGTCGACGCGCAGCGGTACAACGAGACGCTCTTCCGCCTGACGTACCAGGCGGGCCACTCCATCGTGTGGCGCGACGCCATCAACAACTTCTACCACAACCTCTCGGGCATTGCCGACGCTCAGGGCCGAGTCGGCAACCACCCCCACCGCATCGAGGCCGAGACCATGAACCTGACAAACTACGAAAGATACACCGTCTCGCCCTTCGAGACCGCGAGTAACGTCACGGCGATCGTAACGTCCGCGAACGCCACCACGGGAACCGCCTCCACCAGACTGACCGTCCAGAACGGCACCTACAACGTCGCGGTCAACTATTACGACCTCTACGGCGGCAAGGCGCAGTATACACTGACTATAGGGGGCCGTCAAGTCGGGGCTTGGTCAGGTAATAACGAAGATAGGCTCGGAAACACACCCAGCGTAAGTTACTCTCGCCTCATCCTCTTGTCGCGGTTTACACGTTCCTAACTCGAATTCTGCCCTGATCCTTTTGTTGCGGTTTACGTTCCTGCCTTGAGATACCTCGGACAAGGACACTGGTGGACAGACTAGGTGGCTGACGAAACACGATTCCAGATCTATCTCGACGGCCACTCCGCCACGAGAATCACCTTCCGCAACGTGACCATTCGGCGGGGCGATGTCCTCGAGGTCACGGGCAAGGCGGACGGCGTGGAACCCGCGCCGCTGGATTATATCTCGATATTGCCCTTGGGGGTTGTGGACTAGCGTCCGTGATTGTGTCCGTGTCCGCGTCCGTGTCCGTGTACAGGGCGTGTGGAGTATGCCGCTCAACGGCAGAGGCGTCCAGTCTGCCAGTGTATAGTGGATAGTTAGTTGGTGCTGTGGGTCGTGCCATATCTACTCTACTCTACTATACTATACTATACTGTACGCCATGCCATGCCGTGCCGTGCCATACTACTGTACTGTACTGCCTGCCGTGCCGTGGGAAGGCTGCCGTTGGCGCGGACGCTCGGCTTCTTGCGCAGAGTATATGCGACGACTTTGATGCACAAAATGAAAAGTTTGACTCCAATTTGATTTCATTTTTCGTTCTGTCCATTCACCCCTGATGCATGTACAAGTACCCTGAGTACAACATGCTCGTGACGCCCCGACGCCCTCGGGATCTAGGTGTCACAGTGTCTAACGCTTGTAGCAACAAAACAACTCTTCCACTATCTAAACCCGCTCCCTCCATCGCCTCGCTCAGCAATACTCCTACTCAGCGTGCCCGCGAATCTGCTGACTCTGTCCGCATCGTACTTGGCCGTCTCAATGGCCTGCAAGACATGCTTGACGCCCACGCCGACCTGCTCCGAGCGCGTGATGTCCTTGATCTCGGCAATAGCCCTGGCGACCTCCCCGGGTTGGAACGTCTTGGATTCATTCATGATGTGCTCTAGTTCGTCGTAGGTGCGGACGTTCGCGACGGGGATGTCGCTGTTGAAGTGCCTCCAAAAGTCCAACTGTTGCAGCACGGATCGGTCCGTGGCCGTCACGATAATCAGCAGGCTTCGGCCCGGGGGAGGCGCCTTGCGCAGCAGCGCGACCAAAGACTTGAGGATCGGATTGCTGAAACGCGGCCCGATGGGCGTCCACTCCGTATATTCCTCTATGTCGTCGAGGACGACGCAGGACATGGGTGATTTGTACGCGTCCATGAACACTTTGGACAGGTACCCGATCTTTTGCGACTCGGACATTTCCAGCGTGTCTTTGTTGCTGATCAGTTTGATGAACGGGTAGCCGCTGTCGATGGCAATCTTGGCGGCCAGGGCGGTTTTGCCGCATCCGGGCGGACCGTGCAGACAGACGGAGAAGAGGGGTGTCGATTGCGGGTTGCGGACTTGTTCGACGAAGAGGTTGCCTTCCTCGAGCACGTCCTTGATGTACTGGCTGAAATGGATGACACCGCCGCGGAGGCAGTAGGTGAGTTCTTCTTCAGAGACACCGAACGCCGGCTTGACTTCTTCCAATGCATTCTCAAAGTCCTGTTGCTTGACTTTCATGTCGGCGACGTCGTCTGTGATACCGGCCATGGTGCCGACTTTGATGTGCCGGGAGAAAGCGAATGATGTGGCCGACTTGACTAAGCCGGCGATCTCGGCGCCAGAAAAGTTCTTAGTCCTGTGCGCAAGGTCGGTCAGGTCGACATCAGGATCGAGGACATGGTTGACCCGCATCTTCTCGGTATGGATTTTGAGGATTTGAGCACGGCCATGTTCGTCCGGAAGGGCGATTTCCATGTGTAACTCAAGGCGACCGGGGCGGAGAAGAGCATCATCGATCATGTCTTTCCGATTCGTCATTCCGATCAGGAGGATGTTGTTGAGTTGGTCGACGCCGTCGAGTTTAGAGAGAAGTTGGTTTACCACGCTGTCACCGACACCTGTTCCTCCGCCGGCTCCACTGCCTCTTTGCTTGCATACCGCGTCCAGTTCGTCGAAGATGATTATGTGGAGACCTGACTCGTCGCCCTTTTCCTTGTACTCTTTCTCCGCATCAGCGAAGAGTTTACGAATATTCTCTTCAGACTGGCCGACGTATTTATTCAAGACTTCGGGACCGTTAATAACTTTCGGCTCTCTAGCGTTGAGCATCTTTCCGATTTGTCGAGCGATCAAGGTCTTGCCTGTGCCAGGAGGGCCGTAGAGCAGAATACCCTTGACGTGCTGAATGCCCAGTTTCTCGACCAGGCCAGGAGGAAACACTCTCGAAGCGAATGCCCTTCGGAAAATAGTGACGAACTCGGAATCCAACCCACCAATACCCATGTCCTCAAATTTGAAGTCGGGGGCAATGATTGAATTCGCGGCGGGTCGTCTCGATGAGGCCTTCAGATTGATTGGAGTCTTGCCATCCTTAAAGAAATTGATTTGGGTCTGGGGTGTCAAGATACCCCTGGCGCGAGGATCTGATGTCGTCGGGGCAGCCTTCTCGCTCAAGTCGGCCAATTGGACCGTCTTGACCACCAGGTTCAGGGGAATGCTCTTGAGGTCCATCAGGAATCTCTGGCTTGGGGCGAACATTTGACTTTGAAATAGCTGCCTGGTGTCAGTGCGATGCTCCCAGATTGTCTCCAGAGGCTTCTTACCTTTATAATTTCCTTCGCCAAGTCATCTTGGTCGTAAGGCGTATCTGTGGTCTTTCTGGTACTAGCAAAGCCGACCTCGACATCCATAGCACCAATATATGCTTGTCCACCCTCAGCGAAGGGATCATAGATCTCCGCTTGCAGCATATCTGTCAATGCCACCCCCATCCACGATCGTTGCGGTTCTGACAGGCCGATACTGCCTCGTGGGAATGGATCAAGCGGTCGTGCCGAGACAACGTACATGCCATTGATGAGCAGGAATATGTCGGTGCCATCACGAGCGGGAGGGAAGTCCTGGCTCGAGACTGCGACCAGGTTTCGAAAGGTGTACGTATTATCAGGCGCTTTTGTAGGCTGTAAAGTCAGGGCGCCTCCTTGCGATCTATGGCCGCCCCCGCCTCTGCTGGAATTTTGCTGATGGCCCATCTGACGCGGAGGAGGCATATTCCTTGCCGGCAGCCCGGGGCTGCCATAACCCGACCGTGGTGAATCGTATGCATTGTTCATAGGCGTGTCGTATCCGCCGGGAGGACCACCTGAGTAACCCGGGCGCGGGCCCCGGTTTGGACTAGGCTGTTGCCCGTATTGATCGCGAGGCTGGCCACCAGGACTGTTGCCGAATAGGTTGTTTCTGTTGAGGAAGGACATGGCTGCGAAGTGGCAGAAGAGAGACTATTTGGATGGAGGCAGCAGGGTGTCCTGCGTGAGATAGTGAGCGTGCTAGGTAAAGACACCTTTCGCTAAAACAAACTCGACCGATACAGGCAGCCACGAGGTAGCTCGTAGCGCAACTTCAAACAGTGGTCTCATCTGCGCCGCCTGAACACAGCCCTCCCTCAAAAGATGACATCCTCCAACGCCGCAAGCCGATGTTTTGCCGCTGCCTCAGCCTTACCTCACTTTCGTCTCAGCCTTGCCCGCTTTGTTCTATCCTGTGACGCACCCCCATCTTCAACGGTAGTCAAAATGCCACTCCATCTGCTATCCAAGAAATCTTGGAACGTTTATTCCCCGGCCAATATCGAGCGGGTGAAGCGCGATGAAGCCGAAGCACGCCGCAAGGCAGTTGAGCAAGAGAAGCGCGGCCTACAGAACGAAGCGGATGAAAGATTAGAGCTTCTAAAGCAACCTGGCACGAGAGATCGGAAGAGCTTGAAGCGCAAGCTAGAAGGCGAGGATGACACCGATCGCGATATCAGACTCGCTGTGGAGGGCACAAAACCTGCTCCGAGCGCTGGCAAGCAAGACCCCGGCTTAGCCTTGGACGCGAACGGCCATATCTCTTTGGTGCCAGCGCCACCTCCGAAGAGAACTCGCACCGAACAAGAACAAATCAAAGATTCCTACACAGTCTATCTCACAGACGCCACTGGCCGTGACCGAGACCTCAAACCCACATGGTACACATCTCTCGAACCCGAGCACGAGAAATGGGGCGACGAAAATCCGCGTAGGCAGCAACGGGAACTGGCACGTCTCAATGCGGACGATCCGCTTGCTGCTATGAAGAAGGGTGTCAAGGCTTTGCGTGAGAACGAGAAAACAAGAAAGGACTGGATGGCGCAGCGCGAGAGGGACTTGGGAGAGGTGGAACGACTGGCGAAGAAAGACAGGCGCGACAAGAAGCACGAAAAGAGAAGAGGTAACGAGCAAGACGACCTGGCCAGTCTTAAGGGCTTCAGCTTAGAAGAGGGGTACACCAGAATGAAAGCTTCGAGGGACCGCGCCTCAGAGCTCGAAGAAACCTACAGCCACCGACACCGTCACCACGGTCGAAGTCGCCGACATCGCCACGAATCCCACTCTCCGCGAAGAGCCCAAGATCACCATAATCGACATCGACAGTATGAGGATGGTGAAAGCAAACGGATCAGCCAACGGCACCATGGCTGAAGCAATATCCGCTAACCACCAACACTTACTCCGCAAGCTGATCCACTACGGAGTTCCCTGCTATCTCGCACCGGGGTTAAGAGGCAAACCGCTTTCAGGTCAGGCCTTAACATCAATGATCAATGTAAACATCGAAGGTCGGTTTTCCTGCAAGCAGCTCGCACAGTCGACGATTGGCCCCTCTCGGGCTCGGACTTAGGTCATCTCCGATTGGTGCTGCACCACGCTGTATAAGAACATCCTGCCGTATCATCAGGATGTGAAGGTATAAATCTCATGTCCTATAGCCGCAAGCCTCTTCTGCAAGGCCACCATGATGGCAAGCTCGAAAGAATTTCCATCCGCAGCAGAACTGCGCGAGAAGCTGATGCATGCTTCACATATCCTACATCACCACGATATCCTTGATGGATTCGGCCACATCTCAGTCCGCAATCCCGAGGACCCCAACACGTGCTTTCTGACGGGTACGGCTGCCGCGTTGATCACCTCTCCAGATGTGTTCACAGAATACCGGATCAATGATGGCCAGCCTGTCAAAGATGGCGTTTTTGTATCCCCTTACTCGGAGCATCACATCCATGCAGCGATCCTCGCTAAATTTCCGGGCGTGCACAGTGTCGTGCATAGCCATGCTCTAGATGTCCTCGCCTACACCGTGACATCAGGCTCCGCAAGCCAAGGCCAGTCGAATCCATCAACCTCGAGGCCAGTCATCCACAAGACTGGGTTTCTTGGGGACTCTGTGCCAGTATGGGATATTGCCAGGGCGTACACACCTGAGCACGAACAGCAGAAACGGCATTTGTTGGTGAATGACTACTGTCTCGGCGAGAGCCTCGCAGCGGCCGCGGTCAAGCCGGCAGGACAATACCCCTACCACAAAGTCGTCCTGCAACGTGGCCATGGCTTTGTGGCTCTTGGTGACTCGATCGAAGAGGCCGTTTATAACGCCATTTACACTGTCGAGAATGCTCGTGTGCAAGCCCAAGCCGAGCAGAGATGCAATCTTCACTCCCATCAATCTATCCATTTTCTGGGCCCGGAGGAAATCGAAGCCTGTTCACGAATGGATCGGGAATGTATCACGAAAGTGTGGCCGTTGTGGATGGCTGAGATCAAGCAGAATGCATTGTGGCAATGACAATCTGTCTGTTTCGCCCTGTCGTCAATCGAAGGTACCGTCTGGCCAACCCGGATGAATTGCGACCTTCTCATGGTGTGCAGTCAGCTTCTGTAGGAGCAGGGCAGCACGTGCACGAAGATGCACGTGGTGAACCTGACCGATAATCAACTCCAAAGCCATCACAATCATTTCGTCAATACTGTCGTTGTCCGGTCCAGACCCTCTCGTTTGCTTCTCAACCACCAATCGTTCATATGCTTCCAGCAGGTGCTCGACGGCATTCGGAGTTGCCTGGCAGCTGAAGGTACCGGCTTCACTTTCGGGCAGAAATGCCATACCAAGATTGAAGCAGAGTTGCACTGTCTTCTTGTATACATGCGGCTCTCTTGTGCTGCGGCTGCAATAACTCCGCGTGGCTTTGAGCCAAGATTTGATGTAGAGTCGCTGCAATTGAGCAGAGTGGTCTGTCTTCTCAGACGCCAAATACCTCGAAATTGAGTCCAGCAAGAGGTCCCTCGCGTGGATCAGCGATTGAACAGGTGGGATGATGAGGTCTTCCGTACGAGCGACGATGGGCTCATCGGCCAAAGTCTTTAGGAGGTCAAAGTTGTCCTCGCAAATGGCCTTGGTGTATGATGCACAATGTTGGACCACCGATTTTATCTCCGTTAGCAGACCTAACATGGATTTCTCCAGCTTGTTCGATGGCGCCTCTAGCTCCGACAGCAAGCGTGAGGCCGCCTGAACATGGATCTTTGCAGCAGAGTAGTCCTTTTGCAACAGTTCAAACACCCAGGCGAGCATCGATGCAGGTGTCCAACAGAATTTGTCGGGTTGTGTTGCCGTGGCCATCCTCTGGATTGCAGCATGATAGTGCCAGATCACCGGGGGGCTGAGATCTGATGATGTTGCCGTGCGATACAGACCCAGCTGTTGGTCGCTGAGTGTCGTCGCGACCAGAAGATGTCGAATTATGTCCGACCGCCATGCCCACATGGGAATCAAGCCGCACCAGAAACCGAAGTTGGGCCCGTAGTTGGCCACTGTCGGACCGGTCTGGTCCAACCAATAATCCAAACTTCGCCGCTCGTCGGGGCCACCGCCAAAAGATGGATTGACTGACACCAACGAGGGCGACTCTTGCTGAGCTAACAGCTCCTTCGCTTGCATATCGACGACGTCAGCATCCTCGGCCAACTCCGAGTCAACAGAGCCATGTTCGTCTCGATGCACTGTTGGTGTCTTTGGGGACCCTCCGTCGAACATCCACGTTTCAGGTACATTGTATCCAAGGCACTCGCGCCCCGCGTGTAAGCATCTGTGCCAACAGTGAGCACGGGTTGACAAAGGCGCAGGATAGTACTCTCAGACCTTCTACAGTTCGGCTTGGCTTCGTCGCGTTTGACTCTTCTACGTTCTGGAGCCGTAAGCAGAGTGAGGGGCGGAGGAAGAGGAGGATGGCCAAGCACATACTGCAGGTATCGCAGCCGCTTCTTACTTTGCTGTGCGGCTGCTTTAGGCGAGGTTTCGCGGTGGCGTTTGCGTATATTTCAACACTCTCGTGATATCGTACTTCGGTCTCACGGGAGTGGCTGCATTGCTGGCTCCTACTCAGAAGAGGGCGCATGGTCTTGCTTCGGCTGGAGTCAGCAATGATTTCAATCAACAACAGCGACGAGCAAGTGTATCGACAATTTTAGGGTAGGCTCACCTGCTACGCGGCATTGAGTTGGTTTCCAATCCCTTTCCAGCCTTCGTCTCTACCACATGAGGCTTCTGCTTCGGTCGCTGTGCGATGAAAGTGTACATGACTGTCTCACAGAGATTGTCCAGTCTGCTTGGAAGGACGGTGTGGGAAGTGTTGGCTCTTGGCTGTGAGTGCGGCGATTTATTGACACGGCATTCAAGGCGACCCCACATGTGGCTATCTTCTTTGAATCTGTGCTAGCCAAAGTACAGTACGGAGTAAATGGCCATCACCCGATCGATGGCCAAGGGCCCACGATCCACACGGCACACAAAGCTGAGGCCATGATGATATCCATCAGGCCTCCTGCAGGACAATACGAGGTAGGGCTTAGCGCGAACTTGGTAAGCAACAACGTGGCAACCAACGTGACATCAAAGACGTTATTCAGGCTCATTTTAGGTTCACGGAGATGCTCATCCTCCATCCGCATCAATGCTTGTCTCGCGTGTGTGGCCGATGCTAGCGAATCGACCAATAACGACAGGTATCAGGCGCCCCCCCTTCGTATATACCCCCAGATCTATTCAAGCTTTGCGCCCAAGCAATGCAGGCGATCACTCGAATCCGACCATCGATTCTGATCTCTGGAATTTCTGCACGGGAAGTCCGTGGTCGACATGCATTCTAATTCGGGCAAGCAACCCCGAGAGCTGAGCCCCCTTGCAACCACTTTCTGATATCCTCGAATGACGATTGAGCCAGCTATCGAGGTCATTATCCCCTGTAGCAGTAGCTGCACAATCGAGGGGAACGTGTTCAGGGCCTCTTGCAAGTGAAGGCGAATACGGGTAGGAGGTACGATTTGCGATGACGCCGATCAACACAGTCCGCGCAGGCCGAAACTCGGGTATGAGAAACAACCAGCTGAATATATCATCCTTAGGGTGGCGAAGGGTCTTCAGCTTCATGTGGGCTAGTGTGCGAGCCTCATGGTGGTAAGTGACAACCCCACTTCTACCATACACCTGTGCACGGACGTCTCCTACCACCACCCATTTCAGGTGACATTACCTCAGCCAGTCAATCAATCAATGGCATAAAGCCACCGATCCGGAGACTTTCACCTTCTACAGGCACAGGGACGCTCCGCGTCACCAACATGACGGTTTTCATGCCATTGAGGATCTGTTTAGGAGTCTTAGCGTCCCCAGAAGCAAACGACACCTCTTTGCATCGACTACCATGGGCAAGTGCGATGTAAGTCTTGCCCTGCGTCCGAGCAAGCAGGGTCTGTCCAGTGTCGGATCTGTGACCTGCTGCGGATACGGCAGTCTCGTAAGGGCCAGGAGTTCGTCTTTTGGTCAAGAACTTGAGCATCTAGCGGCTGCATGACTCGATCCTCCGCCCGACACTCGGACTATCATGTCGATGCACTGCAAACACGACCAGAAGATGCCGATCTTGCCAAAGCATGGTAGACGAAACCAGTGCAAACCCATTCGTCATGGTAGTGCTTCAGCAATCCGGGCCATTCTCGGAGCCTCCGCAGCCACATTCCGTCAACCAACTACTAGCCAAATGCCTTAAGACGGTTGAGAATCTGGGCAGACTCTTGCAAGTGGCATTTGTCAGCAGAAGCACTCTCAACGCTCGCCTAGTGGCTCTTTTGCAGTTGCGGCAAGACTGCAGTACCGGCCCGTAGGGGTAGACTCGCTTGCTAGGCTCCAAGAAAGACGATGACGGCTTTTCGGGTCGGCTTTTCCGTTTCGCGCTTCTTGACCAGACTGGATACATGTGAACGAAAATCGACCAATTTTCTATAGTGGCTATTGACTCGGGGGTTTGTTCAATATTCAGGGAGGTTTGGAAGCAGTCTCTCGACCAGATATACGACGACTTGCGACGAAAACACGACGCTTACGCCGGGGCACAGTCCTTGGTATAGTACTCCTCAAGCAACGGTCATTGGGGATTTACAAATGTACGGGTGCTATAGGAGCGACACCATTCGGGGCGAAGTTACAGGGTCATCCTCGGAGTCAGCAACGACCGTGAAACAGAAGTCGGTATCTGGCAGCTCGCTCCAGTCCCCCAATCTCCATGTGCAGTCTCAATGACCAGAAGAATCAAGAGCTGGCATGCACAGAGAATACGGGAGCCATCTACTTCTGGCTCTGCGCCATTCACTTCACCACTGTATGCTCCGTGCCCCGCATCGGCCTCCAGAATTTCTTTGACAAGGTATGAAAGACAGCACGCTGGTAGCGCTACTTAACCTCTCCACTTTCCCAGCTTCGCATGAAGACAAGTCCGACATACAGTACGTGTGACATGCCAGGGACCAGTGGCTACAGAATGTTTGCGTGTGGGGACGAGGCTTCCTCTCATCAAAACTGTATCACATGCACTGCAAGTGGCAGGTCACCCCGGAATGCAAGCAGTGCTCTGCGTGAGTAATTCAAGTTTGAGGTTGACGGGTCCGGTTACTAGCTGGTCGTATCGCGAGCCAACATCGGGGCGAAAGGGTTCCAAAATGCGAGTGCTTTCTCCATAGCCAGATTTTCAACCATGGTCTGCTGTTGCAAGCGGTAGTACTCCTCCAGCATTCGCTGCCAGGCTTGAGATTCGCGCCACCTCTCCAAACGTCGTCGTTTCTTGAGCACGGGATTTTCTACTACAGAAGGTACCATGCTAATGACGCCGCTGCGTAGGGTAACAGATGTTTCTTCCCGTGACGGTAATACGGAGGCCGAGTGTTGCCTAGTGTCAAGATACCAGAAATATCCATGTTGAATGCCACGGTAGACGAGGGTAGATAGGCACGCGACCATGATAAATTGGCACGTGAAACAGACGGCCAGAGCGGTTCGGAGCACCAGGAAGTTTCGAAGTGTGAGGACATCGGTATGATCCGCCGCGTCCATGCCGTCTCGCTTATTTATCGACCTGTCGTCCGCCTCAGGTTTCGAGATAAACATTCCAAGCCCCATCGGGGGTGACAAGGCCGCTCGGAGGACTTCGACGCAAGATTGTGAGACGTGGCCGTTCGTCTCCTGCGCAAGAGATCAGCGGTGCCGACGCCGATTTTGTTAGGCGTTACCACTCATATCTTACATTCTGGCTGCGGCAATCATCGCGGTAGTCTTTTGCGGACGACCACATCGCAGTACTTAGTGCTAAATACGCCATGACGGTAGCGGCAACTGCCACGAACGTTTTCGCAGTCAAGGTACAAGCATGGCGAATCCTTCGCCATGGAACGCGAGCTCTTGGCTGAACATTGTTCGTGGTTGGCGGGGACGGTAGGTTCGGGGTACTCGTACTGTTTATTGCAGGGCTCGAACTTGAACTCGGGTTGACTGGTTTGCTTGGGGCTGCGGGACCGGCAGGAGCCGGCGTTGACATTTTCTTGTCTATATATATGGTGCGATGGATTGTAGATGAAGATGTGGTTTCGTTACTTGAGAGATCGGCGGGCTCTGTCCGTTTCGTCAAAAGCTCGATGAAGGCTGAGTTCTGAAGTGGGCAGAGCTGCGCCACGCTTGTGACTTCATTCTTGCCAAGCCAAAAGGACGCTCCACAATAACGCGGGGATAGCTCGTGGCTGGTCCGTGGCTGATAAACAGGGCCAGCGAACCAGCATGGCCTCGCATGCGTATGTAATCAATTCCCCGAACTTCAGACCTTGGCGAACCTACTCGCGCATCTTTCCATTCGACGGTCAACTCCATGATCACGGAATCGGTACAGGACGCACCCATAGGCAATGTGCCGCAAGTGGAATGGCTCCGATGTTGCGGTTTGGCAACATGCGATGATTTGGACACTGATCGAAGAAGAGGCCGCCAGAGATAAGGCCCCATCTCTGAAAGGATGCCTCTCTGCATGGGGAGAAACGACTTGCTTGAGCCGACGTTACATAACTGCCGATATAAATGACCGCGGTCTACTCCGTATATGTAGGTACTATGTGGAGTATCAAATGCAGGCAACAGGATATAAGCCACTGTGATGAAACAACAACCATACGCGGGATGAAAGGCAGAGGGAAGTGAGTGGGGAGCAGAGACCTCCGTCTTCCTTCACCTCAGCTCCATCTCCAGCTCCAAAAAAAGCATCAATCAATCAAAGTCTTGACCAGGGCAATACAACAAGACATCAGCACGCGTTACTCCTCTGGTTCCATTCCCCCTCCGAATCGACATTACCGATGAATACTCTCACTCTCATTCTCATTCTCACTTTGACTCCCACTCTTCCCCATCACCTTTTCACCTCCTCAACTCCTGTCTAGTCCATCATCCATCTGTCCACTCCGTCTCTTTTGCCTTTCTTTCCACTTACCACCAGTCCGCCGCTACCCCCTCCGCCTTCATTGACTCCCCCACCGCCTCTTCGCGCAACACCCGAGGCCAAGCCACGCGGTTCAGATCGATCCGCCCAAACTGCGGACCGACCCGGAAGGGCGAACTCCCATTATTGTATCCCAACCCAGGAGACCGTCCCTTGCGCAGCAACGCCGCCGTTTCTCGAGTCGACATGGGGCGAGGAGTCGAGCGTCGAGGACGCGGTGGCGTGTACCACGTCGATTGATCCTCCGGCGTCACGGGATCCCAGGTGGGTGCGGGAACGCCGGGCTCGTCTCCAACCAGGCGCGAAACGCGAAATCCCGGTGGCCAGAGAACGGCCAGATCGATTCCTGTTCGGCTTTGAGTTTGATCCTGACTGTGACCGCGGTGGGGAGTGCGAGTGTGGATGTGAGGGCTCTGCGGGCTGCGTTTGATCGGCGTCTTCGGTGGGGATCGCGCCTCGGTCGGGCGAGTGCGTGTGAGAGTGCAATTTCTCCACAGCCTATGTATGATTGGCGTCCCCGTGGCAGATCGCACCTCGGTCGGGCGAGTGCGAGTCCGAATGCGAGTGCGAGTCTGAGCGCTCTGCGGGCTGCGTTTGATTGTCGTCCTCGCGGAGTAAGGTGCCCTGGTAGGGCTCGCGTTGCTGGTACCAACACCGAGCCCGAGACCTCTAGCGCCAGGGGTAACGGACTCGACTTTGGTCCTGGGACTGGGACGAGTATCCCTATCCTTGCCAGTGGTGTAGAACCGCCGGCTGGGCGAATCGTCCGTGTCCGCTGGAGTGTATGGGCGCCAGGACGAATTCCTGTAAGTATAAGGGTAAGCGTACGGGTAAGTATACGGGCGCATGTAGCGAGGCCTCGGCGGAATATACGAGTAGTCGTAGGTCGGATCTGGCTCGGCAACATAGCGAGGCGACCTTGGCGTGTAGACCGGGGCTGGGATCGAGGTGGGCTGGTAATTCGGGACTGGGACCGCTGACTGAGGGGGGAAGTAGGCTTTGTCGGGGTTACCCGGATTAGACGGGGGCGGCATGCCCGCCTCCTCTGTGCCGAGATTGTTCCTCCAGTTTGCGTCCGCCTTCTCCCTTACTAGGTTCTCGTAGTACGCCGCTTCCCAACCGTCTACAAACTCCGCCAGCTGCGCTTCAAAGTCCTGCTGGTACCGGGGGCCCATCCAGCTCCATTGGCCTTCGAGGCGAAGGATGCTATGTTTAGCGGCGTAGTCGTCGGCAAAGGCACGCTTGGCGAGGTTGCGTTCCCGCATGAGAAGCGTGTAGTCGATCTCCGTTTCCGCTTCGCTGATGGCGGCCTCTTCTAGGAGGGAAGCGTCGATTTGTGACTCGGGTGCAGCTTCAAGTTCTATCTCGGCCTCAGACTCGTGGACATCCTCGTGGACATCCTCTGGCTCAGACTCCGGTTCGGGCTCCGATAGAGACATCGAGGCGCTCTGGGAGTCCGTCCCATCGACGACCTCTTCCTCGGAAGTAACACAGTCAGGGAGCTCGCCGTCCGCACCGTGGAACTCATTGTTGGTGTGCTGCAATTTGTCTCGAAGCCCGTCAGATGCAAGCATGCCGTGGGCGTCATAATCACTACCCGCTCTGACGTCCATGCTGGAAGTGTGACCCCCATTGCGCCTGGACCTCTTGCTGGGTGGGATCAAACCCTCGCCTAAGTCGCTCTCGCCATCGTAGATTTCTTCATGGCCTCTCTTGCGTGACAACACGATGAGCGCGGCCGGGTCGACGTGGTCGACAATGCTCATCAGCTCGGAGTTCTGGTCCTCTAGAATAGCGGCATAGCATTCCAGCCTGTCAATCTGGCCGGCTTGCTCTTGTTGCGTAGCCAACATGTCGGCCTCTCTGCGGATGAAGTAATTCGTGAGGATGTCCAGAGTATTGGCTTCCCGATATTGGTCTTCGACCTGTTGAAGGGCGGTGACCTCGTCTTGGACTTCCTTGCGGAAGTACTTCTCGAGCTTGTTGAAGACGCTAGCCAGCATACTCTGCACGTACGGTGTTGTGAAGAGAGAAGGTTTGTCGTGGAGCGCTTCTCTACTGGCGACATGGTTGTAGCTGCGATTGTTGTTGGTGGCGACCGTGTCCAATTTGTTACCCCTGTTGCTGGCTTTGGCGACGCGGTTGGCAGCGTTGTTTGCCCTGGGGTTGCGAGTATTTCGCGCTCGACCGTCACCACGGGCGCTGGGGCTAGCGCTAGCATTAGTATAAGCATCGTCGTGCTCGTTGTTGTCGGCGTTGCTGTGTGTATTGTCGTTAACGTCCTCACGCTCGCCCTCCTCGGGGATCCTTTCGTACAGGATGACGTAGGGTGTAAACCGACGCTTTTGATCCAAGACGGCCTTGAGAGACGTCTTCTTGACACTGTCATCGTCGAATTCATGCCAATCATCGCCCCTGCGGACGTTGGTGATGTAGTGGCCCCCATCACGCGTTCCCTGGTGACTGATGATGCCCACGAGCGTGTACTTCGAGGACAAATCGTGAGCCTGACCCCTCTCCTCAAGGAAAGGCGCCAGGTCGAGTTCTTCGGGGATCTCAACTCGGCTATTGTCCTTTTCAAAAAGCACATTGCCGTGTCTGTCAAAGCGGTAGTCGCCTCTGGCGGTTCTCGCCTCTTTAAAGCGCTTGAGTTGTACGAATAGCACTTCGGGCGTGTACCACATCTTGCTCCAAGCACGCCTGGGTGTCTGGTTGGCATCGGCGGCGTCGTCGTTGTTCTCGGGCGCCGATCTGGGCGCACATGCACAGGCGTCCATGTCGAAGCTCACGCTGTGTTCAAGACACTGCTCTAGTGTTACATTCTGCTGCCCGCGCCGCCGTCCTGGCGGTATGTTGACACGCAGCATTTGGCCTTCTTCGAGTTTCGATTTGCGGTGTTTGACACGGCGTCGCTGCGAACACGGGTAATGCACTGATTGATAGACTGTCATGAGTTCTTTCACATTCCTGTTCAGGATCGTTATCCTGTAGTCATCCTGTCAGTTGGGGGGATCTCAATATCTTGACCAGACATCGACCTTACCTCCATGTGTCGTCGTAGTCATGCAATGTCAAATAAGAGTCCAGTTGGCGAACACTGAAGTCTACAAGCCATTCGAACAGCTCAGGAACGTCATGTTCCCTCGTCTGGTCTTTGAAGGCGCATGTACCTTCATTGGGCATCTCGCCAACCTCGTATTGTCGGTTATCATTGGTGACGTACGACCAGAACTTTCTCATTGCCCGGTCGATCGTGCTTTGATCAGTGCCCTCGCCGCGCCAGTAAACGTTTGCTAACTCCAGGAACTCACACCAGATGTCGGTGTACGCTCTCTCGTCTTCCTCCAGCGGATCGTCCCGCCGTTGCTTGATTTGGAGGGCGAATCCCGCGTTTTCCAAGTTTGGAATATGTCTGTTCTCGATCCAGGACAGAATCCGATTGCAGTGCAGCAGCATGATGAACAGGACATTGCGGTAGCATAGGTGCGAAGGATTGCTTAGTCCGATGCCGTGGGCTTGTGACAAATTGTCGGATCTGGCTGCTTCCAGTGCTTCCAGGGGCGTTTCCACTGGCCTGGTGGGATCTGGTGGTGCAGACTCTCTATGAAATGCTGACCCTGTAGAACTTGTGGGACTGGCGAGCGTTCCTCCGGCAGTAGCGCCATGTTGTCCGCCGGCCGGTCGTGGAGAATTTCCTGATGCAGCTGGGCTTGTTCCCTTGTCAGCAGGCTGTTCCGGCGTTCTTGGCGGCGGCTCCGGTGCTCCTGCAGGCGGCTCTGGTCCACCTGATGGCGGCCCTGGGCTTCCTCCTCCTTGGCTGGATTCTTCCTTGTCGCGGTCTTTGAGCGCCTGGATAATATCAACCGCCTTCCTGCTCTTGATACCAAGCGTCTTCCATGCCGGCAAAAGACGAGTTCTGTAGTCCCAGTTGTCATAGTCTTTGTCTGCGTTTGCCGACGAGACTCGTTGGTTCTGCTGATCATTCGATGTCTGGGTGGCCGTCTGTCGAGGACCGGCTGGCTCTTTGATGCCAGTTTTTGGATTCCCCTTTTCAAGCTTCTCGACAAGACCTTGCTTCTTCAGACCCGTAATATCAATGTTGCGGAGGCTGCATTCGTTCTTGAGGTCCTCGACTGTCAGCTTGTTCCAGTCCCTAGGACCTTTGTCGCCAAACTTCGCCAGACTCTCTTCAATCTTGTCGACATACTCTTGCCTCTTCAACTTCTGCGGAGGAACAGGAATTTGACGTGACTTGCACTGCTGGATCAGCTTGTCAATGCTGTAACTGCTCCAATACTTTTGATTGGCACTGGGTGCCGAAGCACCCCTTCTCGAGGCCTTTGAAGGTTTCTTCTTGGCCATGCTGACGGAATACAAATGAAAATGTGCCTAGAGTCACAACGAGGCAAGCTAGACAAGGAAGAATCAACACCATCGAGGCTCGGGATATGAACGAAAAGAGACAACATGCTCGGACAAAGGGCTCGAACAGAGCATACGCAAACGTGTTTGAGCATCAGACAGCACGTTTCCGGATGGCTGTTGAAAGGGTGCGGCATTGTGAACAATGAATACAAGTAGCTGAACAATAACAATTGCCGGAAACAGACAACTCAACAAGACTGTGTGCCTTGAGTGGGCAGGACATCAAGCTGGTATCCAAAGAACAGACAGGACCGGACATGAATTCAATGGATGGAAATGTCGAGTCCGAAGTTGTTGTGTAGATTATGGAATATATTCTGGACGAGGGCTAAGCATGCTGAAGCACGTCACGTGCCAGACTGCAAACAAACAAGGCTCGTGCGTCTGTGGTATGTGCCCTCACTGATAAACGGGCTGCGGCATTGGGATATCGTAAACATGTAATAACATGATCGAGCCGTACAAGCCCATCGCTAATGGGCCAGAATGCATCAGAATCGTTCGTGGTTTCCGTAGGTCCAGGGGTTGAACGTGGTTTCAGGAGGGGATCACTGGCTTCTGGCCTTTGGCGTTGCCGAAAAAGCGTCTCCAGTCTTCCGAATTCCGATTATCACCGATCTTGAAGACTTCAATCCGAGGGCCACAGCCATCTGGTGAAGGTGATGGTGAGGCTGCCGTGACCGCAGGCGTTGCTACCGCCCCAGCCGTGGTACCTTTTTCAGACGGCGTTCGATCGACTGAAGATGTCGCACTTCTCAAGGTAATCATGCTCTCTAACCTGTCGATTCGCCGTTTCATTCGGAAGTAGAAGAAAATCGCGGCGATCAGAGCGACACCAAGTATGACGCCGATGGCGATGCCAGCTTTGCCGCCACTGCTCAGGCCGTCGGAATGATTGCTAGCGGGCGCAGCAGTCTGATCGGGTGTCGAAGAGGTTACAACAGCAGCGCCCGTCGTAATCGACTCTGTATGGCTTACTGTCGATGTGGGCGAATTACCTGCCGATGGTGAAGCAGTAGCCGCTTGTGTAACGGCGAGGGCGTAGGTCGTAGCTGGTCCCTTGGTGCTGACCATCGTGAAGCCTGCACCAGTGGTATAGTCCGTATTGTTCTCTGCATTGCAGAGAACGAAGTTGCAATGGGAAGGGAAATAAGGTATCTCCATCCCTGCTTGAATGGGCGCAATCGCATAGGTGCCATTGGATTGCACTGTGGCAGATGTCAGAACCTCCGTCCTACTGATTGTGCCCTTCGAAAAGAGACTGACATTTATTTATCCTTGCTAATGAGAATTCATTCGAAGCTTCACCCATTTCACAGAACACTGTGAGGTTCACACTGCCCCAGACGGTTCTGTAGCCGATCTGTATCTCATCGATGTTGTTCAGCGTCATCGGGACTGTCGGGTAGACGAAAAGGGCATGAGGCATGTCTGTGGCCGTCTCCGGCTCTGGTGTGGTCGCCACTGAAGTCGTCGTCGGGGTCAGATCGGTCGTGGTAGACGAAGAGGTTGATGTTTGAGCCGCAGCGTTGCTGTCAAACTCCGGACGCTGGTGCCTTTGAGGTGCTCGTCTGCCATGTTGGCGCAAGAATTCCTGGAACATCTACGTAGTCGGGTGGGCAATTTGCCAAGGTTGAAGTCCGTAATCTCAGCTCTTGTAGGAGTGTATGGCATGGTTCTTGACAAATCGTGCTCATAAGGCTCGTTTGTAGGGCGTTCGTCTCATGTTCACGATATTTCTGGGTTTTGATACACCCCGGGATCCGATTGATGCATGACAGAGTTTCGTGAGGCGCCTACCCGCGTATTTGTTGCATGTCGAATCTGGAAGTGTCAGGGGTCACGCCATCAACGGATTAGCCCGATCTGGGGATATCCGGCTATCGGGGGAGCTAGTTAGGTTTCGAGACAGACCGGCACATGGCGTAGGACTTTGGCGAGATTGCAAGCATCAGCAGCCACCAGTCCAAGTGGAGCCACAACGGTTTCCTCTTTGTTTGCATTTTGTAACTCCATGCGATAGACAGGACCCAACGCGATGGATACGAGGTAGCAGCAAGATCTACTTCGTGCATTTCTGCGTTGCCGCGAACATGGACCGACGCCGGAATTCGAGAGTCGAGCATGATAATTCACAACACTGGAGAAGCACCAGGAAGCAAGGGGAACGGAGCCTTGGAGATGATTGGCTGCCCTGCTTCGGCAAATGAACAAGCCGAAGTGGAAGTTGTTCTGCCCAATCGTACGAGTACCCCAAGTGGCTGAAACCGGCGCGGATACTCGGATGTCCCAAGCTCTGCCAGGATTAGAAGCGCGCTTGATACTTCGGTCATGGACCTAGTTGGCAATCGGCGGGGACGCGGAGGTCCACGTGCAACGTGACACAAATGTCTGAATGCCAGAAAGAAAAGATGGACAGATGTTGCTGCTTTTTGAGGCCCTTCACTATAACCACCATCGCTCTCTTTTTTTAGTTGAAAGTGGTTGATAACAAGCGGAAAGGATTCCGTGTCGAGCCAGGTCCCTCTCAATAAGCAGTACTTCGCCATCCCTGCACTGTCGTCCCAATGGTGCCGATACTTTCTCTCCGCCTGATGCTATCGCCGTCAAGGTTCAATTTACTCAAAACCTCTGTTGGCACAGTCGGAATATATTTCCTGGCTTGTTCCCGGTTCGTCCCGCCGATGCCTGCGCCATAGCTCATGAGCATGTCTGTGGAAGTCGGGAGAGAAAAGGGAAGCATAAGAGACTGGTCCAGGGTCAAGGCGTTGCGTTTCATCGGCGGATCTGTATCTTGTTCGATAGGCGAAGATATGGGTGGCGCGCCGGAAGGCCTTTGTGGCGTGTTGGGGTCTTTGTTTGCTGGGACTGGTGTTCCATTCCGCTTCAAGGGAGTTGTTGTTCCCGACTCTGGTGCGTCTACTGCGGGAGTCAATGGCCGCTTGATCAGAGACTGTTCGCCTCTCTGCAGTTGCGTCAAGAATTTCATGTGCGCCTTGGGGAGACTCTTTTCTCCCACTTCTGCGCGATAGTTCTTGACAGCATGAATCATTTGCGTGGGAGTGAGGCGTTGCAGCTGAACCAAGGTCCCTACAAGAGATTCATGATCCTCTCCTAAAGAGCTGAAACACTGCAACCACTGAAGGAGTTGGATGACAGGCGCAAGGTGCCGTCGTGCGCCATCGACTGTATTCTCTCCTGTGGATATTGTTGAGCCGTTTTCGTAGTGTTCCGGTTGTCGATTGTTTGTGCGTGCCCAGTCCTCAATGACCGACACGTTCATGCGGATCTGCATCGCTTTCGTCCTTGAAAGGTATTTCTTGGTGGTCATGACTCGGTTGAACAGCTCAGCACCAATCCAGTAGAGGAGCTGTGACAGAATTTGCGCCGTGATGACGGAATGCACATCGTACAGGTCGAGGACGAACAGAGTGGAAGAGAGAAGGGAAGTGATATTGCGTGGAGATGTCTGAGCTCTTGTTTTGGGCGAAGGTGGCCGGAAGCGCTTCTCGGGTGGTTCATCCTTGGTCTTCGGCTTCGACTTGAAGACTTTCCATTCTCCCTGGAATGCAATATCGTCCAAGCCCGGAATGGTCTCGTGATCTAGCATCGCCACATCAAGGACTTTGTTCATCCTCCTTTCCGCGTCTCTGATGATGAGGATGAAAATTTCATTAATCAATTCCGCTAGCTCGAGCTGATACTTCGACGTCACCTGAACCAGGCCAGCATCTTTCTTGAGGTAATGAAGGAGCAGGGTGGCGTTGGAAATCCAGAATGCGAGCATGGTCATGTCCCACTGACAGCGTTCGATAACGTCGTTGATGAGGTCCATAGCTCTCGTCAGCACACCGTCTAGAAGAGACTCGGTCATGTGGTAATGCGCATATCGCGCCATGAGGAAAATCAGGTTTGCTGGCACAGGTTTCTGCGACGGTGACCGCTGAGGGGTCATGTTGGTTATGATGAGGTCGAAAATAGCCTCTAGCTTGTCGGCTTGGAAGACAAACATCTGGTCGCCTACACACCTGTCCCAGATGAACTCTTCGTCGACGTTCTCGAGGTCGGTGGGTGACTGTGTGAGGTTAATAGATTTCTCAGCTGAAAGGCTCGTCTAATTACCACTGGTTGTTCATCAAACCCTAGCGTCGACAAATCGACCTCTAGATTCGCGGCGCTTTCCTGCATCAGCATCCGTCGTTTCATTTCGTTCTCTGCCATTTCCTCTTCAAAACGATCTTGGGAAAAGCCCGAGTTGTAGAAGTCGTCTGTCAAGCTCGAAGATCCGAAATGATAGCCGTTCTCGTGAAGATAGTGCGAGAAGTCGGAGCCTGGCTGGACGAAATCTAGGGCAGTCCCTCCGGAAGAAGACCTGATGTCGGGGTCGGCGCCGTGATCGAGCAGCAATTTGGCGATCTGTTTATGGCGGTTCGTCATAGCCCACATCAGGGCACTCCATTGATTCCGGTCCTGCTTGTCTACTATCGCTCCAGCATTCAGAAGAGCTGCCACCACTTCTTGATGTCCCTTTTAGAGTCAGTCCGAGCAGCACACGGTTGATTTAGAGACAACATACAAAGCAACTGGCATAAATCAAGGGAACTGTGCCTTCCTCATCTGGTTGGTTGACATCCACATATTGCTTGGCCTTGCCTCCCACCAGTTTCTGAATTCGAGAGACATCACCATTGCTCGCGGCCATGTTAAGGCTTTTCTGTAGAGTCTCTTTCTTCTCGTCATTGGAGAGATTGTCGTCGGTTGCAATGGCGTCTTCGTCTTGTCCAGGACTACCATCTTGCCTATGATGTGCCTGTGCTGCCACCATCTCCATCAAGCGCGACTCGCTGTCCTGTATTCGAGCGAAGGTCTCTTGGTCATCGTAGGCCGGGGTGTCCAGATGTAAGTCAAATGTGAGAGTTCTTGCGGGAGTCGGGGAAGTGATGTACTGAGACGAGCCTGCAGATAGCAAAGGTTAGTAGGTCGTCTTCAGGCGAAGCACGAGACTAGTCGCGCATTGTGATCTGCCTACCTTGCCAGCCATCATACATCTCTGTCTCCCCTCCATAATTGGCGAATGCGCGGCGGTCGTCCAAGGAAGTCGGAAGGTCATCTGGTAGCTTGCGCGGTGTTTCATGAGTAGGGGACTGCGGTTGGGAGGGAGCCTCGGTCGGTGTAGCTGGGTCTCCTACGTCCATCTTGTCGTTGCGATCTCATGTCGAAGGAAGGTCTGTGAGGGTCGATACGGGTATCCCGTAAAGTGTCATATCATTCATGCATGCAAGTGATTTTCACCGCAGTCGAAACAGCCTGGATCCCATTAATTACCGGTCTGCTTCAACTTTCCTCAGACTACCTCTCGTGTCCCGCACCTGCTCCATCCGAATCCGAGTCGGGGCTTCGTCGACATCTCCGTGCTTGGCAGTCCGTGAATCACGTGCGAGCTGACAATCACCTCTCTCCAACCTCACCTCAACTTTATGCAGCCGTCTAGTCAGCTCCTTCGACCTTTGGTGGTTCGAGCATTCCTCTGCTGCTGAGCTGCTCTGTACGTACTGTACGTAGAGAATCATTGCGCGCATATCCCGTAACAGATGGAGAAATCAATAAACAGCGGCAGACACAAGCTTAGCCCGTCACCACATGTCCTGAGTATTCAACTAGAAAACTCCTCGAGGTGTGTCCCGATCTTGAGCGCGCTCATCCGAGTAAGGTCAAGCCTTAGCTACGATTGTATAATCTGGAAGGGCCACTCTTGGAACTGGACAACTGAGTCCAATGCGGAATTGCAAGCTTGTGTCAACCGCTAGACTCAAGGTATAGTCGTCAGGTTCACAGACACAATGAAATTTGCCTTTGACGTATGCTGTTCTTCTTCATCCGTCGTGCGCAGCAGGAACAATCTTGACACAATCACTGGAGAGGGAGCCATTTCTTTAGTCCGTACTGTGGGTAACTCGTGCCCAGCAGATCCACAAGCCTGACTAAGCCGGTTTATGCCTACTGTGTAAAGCAGAGCTCCGGTGACATGATTGGCTTAACCCCCGTCTCTATTTTGGCCCGTGAACCCTTTTCTACTCGGAAATCACTGGTGTTTCCGGCACGATCTCATAGAACACACCCATCCTGTGTACAGGAGTCGACGCACGGCAATGAGAAGCCCTGGAGCTGGTGCCTTCCGGTGCATCGCACTGGCTCTGGTGATCTTTGCACTGTTGAATTCTTCGCTGGCTTCTCTGGGCGACCACTTACCTGATTTCCGCGAATGCGTCAAGGTACAAGCTCATCCGATTTTCCGCACTGACCGACGTTCTGACAGCTACAGGTCTGTGTGGAGGAAAATTGTGACTCTGGCCGAGCAGCGCTTCGTGAGTGCTTCTCTTCTGGCTCGACGTTTCCAGCTGAGCCATTCCAGCGTTGCACCTTCGGATCTTGCTCTGGGACTGCCCGTCTGAGTGCGACTACACATGTCAACATGTCATTACCGACCAACGCAAAGCACGCGATCCACCCATGATTGAGCCTGTGGTGCAATATCATGGGAAATGGCCTTTCTATCGGTTCAGGGGCATCCAGGAGCCGTTTTCCGTTCTGTTCTCCTTGATGAATCTTCTCGCTCATCGAGAAGGGATGCAGAGAATTCGTGAATCAATCCCCGCCCGTTATGCCCTGCGACCTTATTACTTGGCCTTTGGCTACTTTGGACTGGCGAGCTGGATATTCAGCATGATTTTCCACACGCGAGACTTCAACGTCACGGAGAAGTTGGACTATTTCGCCGCTGGAGCAAGCGTCTTGTACGGACTTTACCTCTCTCCAATTCGAATATTTCGCCTTGATAAAAACGATGCCACAAAACAGAGCGTTCTCCGGGCATGGACGATACTTTGTATCTCCCTCTATGTGGCCCATGTGACCTACCTGACAGCTTGGAGCTGGGACTACACGTACAATATGGCAGCCAATGTCGCGGTTGGCGTTGTTCAGAACTTGCTCTGGACTTGGTTCAGCATAAGCAGATACCGCAAGTTGAAGAAAACGTGGGCAGCATGGCCCGGTCTTATCGTGGCTTGGATCGTCATGGCGATGAGTCTGGAGCTCTTTGACTTCCCTCCCATTGGCGGCATGATCGATGCGCATAGTCTATGGCATCTCGGAACTGTCGTTCCAACAATCTGGTGGTACAGGTACGACCGTCTCCGGCCTCCACGTATTGGTTGCTAAGTCGTATGCAGCTTCTTGATCAAAGATGCCCAAGAAGACCTTGCCAGTGAAAGGCTCAAGGCCTAAGCTAACTTTGGTGGCGAAGCTGCCATGTCACAAGACCTTTCTCCGACATTCAGAACCCAGGTGTTTCTGGTCAAAAGACGAACTACGAATATAGTCGATGGCACCAGTGAAAGGCACCAAGACGCAATCCTGGTGAGCTGCAAAGCTCTTCTTCCGGCAAGAGGGGTTGAGGGGACGGGAGCTGCGTCAGTGATACTTAAACATCCACCAGCATCCTTTGGCGCCGTTCACGCCGGTGGCCGCTTAAAGCGGGGTTAGTCATTGGCCCCTATACCGCCGAGACACCCACTAGCCAGGCACAACTTCACTTTCAACGCGGGGCGTGGCTCGGCGCGGCTCCTTGCGTGGGATGTAGAAGCGAAACGTCTTTTTGGAGATGCATTCTTTCTTACCTGCATTTCATCCCACCATCATCGCTCTTCCGCGCAATCCACGAATTCCTTGTTTTACCTTCTTTGTCTGTCGCCTCTGTCTCTCACGTCAGCACGTGAGTCGCCATAGCAGCTTGTCGCCATCAAAGGGTTATTTGCGATTGAGCGCACCTGTGTCCGCTGATCCTCTCAGCCATCATGGCGTCGTATTCTGACCCCCGGGACTCGGTGCTGAACAAGCCCAAGCCCATCATCCACCTCGACAAGATCCTTCTGGATCGCATTACAGAGGGAGTAGAGCCATACCCTATCCCAGAGGGCAGGAAGTACGAGTATGGCACTGCAGGAGTATGTTTTCGTGCCTGTCCATCTGAGCCTGCCACTGACAGAGTCTCCCCGTACAGTTCCGTATGAAAGCGTACGTTCGTCCCGCAGCCGCACCAAGCTGACATTCACAATCCTCCTGGTCGCTCTGAGATCCTCGAGACTGATAAGAGTCGGAAACACAGTTCACTTCTCGACCATGTCATCTACACTGTTGGTCTCATTGCTGCGCTACGTTCTAAGAAGCGCAACGCAACCATCGGGATCATGATCACAGCCAGTCACAACCCGGCGGAAGACAACGGAGTCAAGCTGGTGGACCCCATGGTGAGTTATCATCAAACACAAGATGTCGCCATGCGACTGACAGATTGGCTCATAGGGTGACATGCTGGAGGTATGCATTGCATCTTACCTCGTCCTCGTCACGTGACTGATTCTTGGGACAGCAATCGTGGGAGGGTTATGCTACGACTCTTGCCAATACCCCCAATGACAAGCTCGCGAAGGAGTATGAGGACCTGCTGAATGAGACCTTGATCAGCAATATCAGCCAGCTCCATGAGAGACAAGCTAGAGTAGTGTTTGCACGTGACACCCGTGCTTCTGGACCCTACCTCGTTACTGCCCTGAAGGCCGCTTTGGATGCCGTCAACGTCGAATACACCGATTATGGCATAATGACTACCCCTCAACTGCACTACATCGTACGATGTATCAACACTTTGAATACACCATACGCTTTTGGTGAACCGACTGAGCAGGGTTATTATGAGAAGATAGCGAAAGCATTCAAGACACTCATGCATGGTCGCACCATTCAGGGCCCCATCACTGTGGATTGTGCCAACGGTGTGGGAGGCCCGAAGTTGAGAGAGTTGATCAAGTACCTGCCTACCGCCAAAGAAGGTGGAATCGACATCAAGGTCGTGAATGATGATGTGGTAAAGCCAGAAGCTCTGAATTTCGAGGTATGTCCCGGTGCTGCAACTCTACCTACCCACTGACTTCTACAGTGCGGCGCCGACTACGTCAAGACGAAGCAACGAGCTCCGCCCAGCTCCAACGCTCAGCCTGGCGACCGGTGCTGCTCCCTTGACGGTGACGCAGACCGGGTGGTCTATTACTACACTGACGAACAGAAAACCTTCCACCTGCTGGACGGCGATCGCATCGCGACACTTGGTGCCGTCTTCCTTGCAGACATGACTCGTGTTGCTGGGATTGAGCAGAAGCTGAAAATCGGAATAGTTCAAACCGCCTACGCCAATGGGGCCGCCACTGAGTACGTCGAAAAAGTGCTCAAGCTGCCTGTCACAGTCACGCCAACTGGTGTAAAGCATCTTCATCATGCTGCTGCTAGATACGACATCGGCGTCTACTTTGAAGCGAACGGCCACGGAACCGTTCTCTTTTCGGACAACGCGATCAAGCTCATCAGAGAATCGGAGCCTAAATCTCCTGGGCAGAAGCACGCCTTGGATTCTCTTCGAGCTTGCATCGACCTTATCAACCAAGCAGTGGGCGACGCTATATCAGACATGCTGTTCGCTGAAATTGTGCTTGCTCACAAGTGCTGGACCCTGGAAAACTGGCGAAATACCTACATCGACCTGCCGAATCGCCTGGTCCGTGTTGTGGTCAACGATCGGTCTATTTTCAAGGCTGTTGACGCAGAGAGAAGGCTGGAGTCTCCCAAAGGCGCCCAGGAAGAGATCGACAAGTATTGCCAGATGTACATTAAAGGTCGGGCCTTTGCTCGTGCGTCTGGCACGGAGGATGCTGTTCGTGTCTATGCCGAAGCATATTCAAAGTCCGAGGCGGAGAAGCTGGCTAGCCAGGTCGCGGAGGTTGTGAGGAGGTATGGTACATCGTGAAGCTTGTGTGCATGATCGAGTGAGGCACGTCATTCCTACAGCGTGCGTAGGAGACATTGGATAACCCATTTTACGTGGCATAGCGATGGCGCAATCGAGCGTGGCGGGATATGGGAGGCATCTTGGGCGTAGATTGGTGAGACATGACAAGACCGAGCTGGATACCCACATCAAAAGTTCTTGTTTACCCTGACGCAGGTGACGGGCCCTACAAATGCATTCAGTGACCATGAAGTCCCGTTGACACATTGGACGGCGACCACGGCATTTGCAAGCAGGGTGCCTAGACTCATAGAAATACTGCGCACCTCGTTTTGCATTGCTGCTTGTGTAAGGGCTATCTACGGTATCTGATCCAGACACAGTGATATGACGACAGGCAATCCCCATTCGAAACAACCTGGTGACTCTCACAGTGCCTGTAGTTTGGCATGTGGCATTGTGTCAGCCATGTACGAACGGACGTCGTTCTCCGTCGTGTATGTAATCGGAGGCGGAAGTGTCGGGATTTGTCCTAAGAAGTATCCATCGCTTTACATTCGATAATCGGACGTCACGATTCCGACTACACAGTATGAACAGGTCCCGGTGCGGTGACTGGAGGATGCTTCTAGTCACATCGAGTTCTTGGAGCACATTTTGTCCAGAGGTCCCGATACCCGCGTACTACCGTCCACATCTGCGCAGCATCACAGCGCAGACAGCAATTCGTGTAAGCCACCAGGTGATGCCCTATGCCAAAAAATGAAGATCAAGCATGCAATCCTTCCAGGCAGAGATCCAACCTCACGATGGGACGTCGAGTTTGAATGCAACACCATCACACGCATACAACCGGCGGCAGCGCCGGCTGATTGTTCGAGAAACCCGTCGCCGTCCCCGTTGCTTCTGCCGCCTCTGTGCCACCCACACATCCATCTGGACAAGGCATATCTACTGACGTGCAACCACCACCACCACCCCCACCATCATCCGTCAAGTGAAGCGGACAAGCACCCGGACTACTCGGACCTGACGCCCCAAGACGGCTCATTCGCCGAAGCCCTCAGGTTCACGTCCTTGGCCAAGCAGCGCTACACGGACGAGGACCTCTACCTGCGCGGCGCGCAGCTGCTGGCCACGTCCCTCTCGCAGGGCGTCACGGCCTGTCGGGCCTTTGTCGAAACCGACCATGTCACGCGCCAATCGTGCCTGCACGCGGCGATCAGGCTGAAGGAATGTTTCAGAGGGAAGATGAGGCTGCAGATCTGTGCGTTCGCACAGGATCCCCTCTTCAGCACGGAGCATGGCACAGAGAACATGCGGGTCTTGCAGCACGCGCTGCGTGACTTCGGTGAGCATGTCGAAGTGCTGGGCACGACGCCGTACGTGGAGAACTCCACAGAGGCGGCGCTGCGGAACATCGAATGGGCCATCGAGACGGCGTTGGCGTATTCTCTCCATCTCGACTTTCATCTGGACTATAACCTTGATGGGTCACGGGAGGCGATGGTCTGGGACGTGCTCCGTCTGCTTAGGGAGAAGGGGTGGACTGAGCGAGCCAAGCCGGGGAAGACGGTCGTCCTAGGACACTGCACGCGGTTGACACTGTTTAGTGACGGTGAGATGGCGAGACTGGCGGGGGAAATCAAAGACTCCAGCCTGCCGGTTCATTTCGTGGGGTTGCCCACCTCGGATCTGTTCATGATGGGCCGGCCTGCGGGCGCGGCAGGTGAGTCGACGTCCGCGGACCGGCCACGCGGGACGCTGCAAGTCGTCGACATGATCAAGAAGCATGGCATCAATGCGTGTCTCTGTGTGAATAATGTGGGCAATGCATTCACGCCGTGGGGGACGGGGGATCCACTTGCTCTGGCCTCATTGGGCGTGGGGCTGTATCAGGCTGGCACGGATGAGGATGCTAACCTCCTATTCGAGTGTGTGAGCTCGAGAGCCAGGCGGGCAATGGGCTTGGGCCCCGCGAGCGCGCTTGAGGCTGGGCTACCAAGTCAGGAACCAAGGCCGGACCAGGACCAGGAGGATACCACGGAACTCCAGGAAGGTCGGAGGGGCGAACTTCTGCTGATCAAGAACAAAGAGTACGTGGCTTGTCCGGGGCATTTGGGCGTCAAGATCCCGGCGAGGCAGCAGGTTTGTGTCAGGGATGTGGTTTGGGAGCCGCCAGAGGTCAACCTTCGTCAGATCCTGAGGTGTGGTTGAAACGAGCATGGGGAAGAGCACGGCAAAGAGTATGAGCATGAGCAAGGCATCGAAGCCGCATCTCACTGGCGAAGGGTTGATCACTGGTTAGGCGAATCATCCAGCGCAAGTCCGCCGTACAAGCATGCTACAACTGCAGCGGACAGCATGATTCCAGGTTCTGGAAACAGGACACTCTAGCTGCCTGCGAGCAATAGCATTGCTGAACAGGGGGGCAAGGACAAGGACAGGGAACTGGCGACTGCATTTGGCACTGTTAGATAAAGACGGCGAACTGCCAAATGCTTGGGAGCGGTATGTTGTTCGATTGGGAGACACGGAGATGGCAGGAGGAGGTGACTGTGCTATGTATTGTAGCATGCAAGGCATCTTCGGGTTGATACGGAAAAACATCGTGACAGCTGCATCTGTCGAAATGGCTTTTGAAGCTTTTGTAACATAATCTCATACCTTTGCCTCGTTCTCGCTGTCCCACTCGACGTCGCACACCTCTACCAGCTCGCCTTCGCTTCCCACTCAACGACCGTGTTGGTAGGGCAGTTTGCATCCAACCAGCTCGCGCGGTTGTCTGTTTATCCCTCCATCACTTCCTTTCCTCACGACAGTAGTCGCTTCTTCTCCTTCACCACCACCACCACCACCACCGCCAGCACCCCACCAACGCCACGCGGCAGCTCACAGTCTATCACTCCTTCACTGGCCCCTCCGCCTCTCAGCCTCCTTCTGTATCCACCCCGCCGCCTCATCCTTGACCTTGTCATCCCACCGACTCAACGCGCTCCTCCCCTCCGTGATATCCCCCGCCGCCCAGCTCATCCGCGCATTATCCAACGCCTCGTCAACATCGGTATCCGGACATATAATGTAGAACTCCCCCCTCTCGATCTTCGCAACACCATACTCGGCAACCTGACTCGGCAACCACGCACCCCTCGGCTTCGTCTTCAGCGCCTCCTCATCCGCCACGGGGCCCAGGTTCCCCGACAACCCCGTGAACGTCCACCCAGGCACCAACAAGTGGGCAGAAACATGCGGCGCGTAGATGCTCGAGCCACTGGTCCGGACGTCATGCGCGAGCTGTTCCGCCGTCGTCTTCACCGCGGACTTGCTCGCATTGTACGCCGGGTTGCCCGGCGGGTTCGTAATCCCCTGCTTGGACCCGGTCATCACGATCGCTGCGGGGCTGGGAGATCTCGTGACAAGCGGCAGAAACGTGACAAGCCCGTGGATCATGCCGAAGTAGTTGGTCGCGAGTGTCTTGTGGAAGTACGCCGCGTCTTTCCAGGGGGACGTCGTCCGGATGGCCATCCCCGCGTTGAGCATCAGGAAGTCGATCGTCTGGAATTTGGTCTCCACGTCGGCGCGGATCGCGGCCCAGGCGTCCATGTCTGACACGTCGATCTCGTATGTCAGCGTCAGGAGTTTGTTGTCGATGGCTTGGAGGGCCGAGGACGCGGAGGCCAACGTCTCCCGGTTGATGTCCAGCAGGGCGACGTGCATGCCTTGGCGGCGGCAGTGGGAGGCGAAGGCGAAGCCCACGCCGCTGGCGCCGCCGGAGATCAGGGCCAGTGCGCCCGGGCGGAAGACTGAGGCCATTATGCTCGGTTTGGGATGGAAAGGTCCTCGGACGAATGCTCGCTTGATGCTGAGGAGGCGTGCTGTGGCTGGCTGGGGGGCCAGCTTCGATCAAGCGTCTGCGACTGCAATCGCAAGTGGTAGGGTTGATGATCTACTCAGTCCGCGGTAGCCAGGAGTGATATATCCCAACACCAGTCAATACACAGAGTACAGTACTGTGGGCCTGGAGATGGAGAGGAGAGCATGAAGCGGAGTGGAGGAGGGGAAGCGCTGATATACTCGGCATATTCCGTCCATCCGTCCCAAGGCACGACGGCCATCTCCAGCGTTCTTCTACGAGCTGCACTGGCAAGAGCCGAGAGGAATATGCATGTTAACCACATCTTGTATAACCGTTTCAAGCATTGGTTTTTGGCGTTCTCCTTTTTCCCTATATGAATGCGATGCGAGAGTTCTGCAAGGACATGCGAGCTACGCGCTATTCCGCTGCAATGAAATTCTTGATGCCCTGCTTTAGGATTTTCTTTTCAGTCCACCACCCAATTCCCGTGCGCCCTCACTAGAGGATTTTCCGGGGGAGGAAGAACATTGACTGGATAACAATGAAGCCAGACCTTTCCGGCATCGGTGAGCTGAAGAGCAATCATTGAGCAGTCTCGGCAGGGGTGTTCTCATTGTCCTCGAGCTTGGCCTCGGCCAACTCCTTGGTAGCATCCGCCACGCCATCTTTCTCTTGAACTTGCTCACTTTCGGCAGAGACCGGACCGTTGACCAGAGCATCTTTTGCCGAGACCTTCTTCGCACGATTCTGCCGTCCGCTGTTCGAGGCCGATGCAGCGTTCGAGGCCTCCGCAGCTTCTTGCTCGAGCTTCTCGATCTCCTTCTTGGCTTTTTCGATGTTCTGTCGACTTGTTAGTACGAATTCAGAAAAAGCGTGGAGATGACCTGACGCTTACCTTCTTGGTTTCGGCGTCCTGGTCTCTCTTCCAGGCGGCCAGTTTCTCCTTGAGCCTCTCGACAACGCCCGGAACATCGGCTTGGGTGCTCGGTGGATCCACGCCGACCTTGGCCAATTCTTCGATGATACCGATGTTCATGTTCAGCTTGCCAGACTCGGCAGGAGCGGCGGCACCTTTCTTGCTTTTGCCCTTCTTTTTGCCGCCACCGCCAACAAAGAAGTCCTCGTCTTCCTTCTTGACGACCTTCATGCCCTTGAAGCCGGCCTCATCAATCGTGCGCTGAGCTGTCGCAGCAAACTGTCCAGGGCCTTTGTCACCTTCGTCCGTGGTGTATGTTGGGTCAAAGTGCCGGATGAGGCCTTCGGCAGTGCGGATCTGGTCCAGGAAAGCGGGCTCGGAGGCTTCTTCCAGCTTCTGCTCGGCAATGCGGCGACGTCGATCCTTCTCGTATGCGTCCTTTTCGGCCTTCTGTCGCTCGCGCTTCTGTTGCCAGATGAGGTCCTCGAACTCCTTGTACGCCTTCCGCTGAGAATAGTAGTCGTCCTTGACCTTTCTGATGGCTTGATAGGTGGTCTGCTGCTCTTCGTAGAGTTTGTCCCGCTCAGCCTTCAGAGAGTCGAAGTTCTTGTTGGTGTCCTCACGCGCAGCCTTGATGTCGTCGAGCTCCTTCTGATTGTCCTCGTACTTCTGAGACAGCGCTCGGCTCTCGGGATTGTCAAACGTCTTCTTGAGTTCCGCGTTCTCGGTCTTCTTCTCGTCGATCTTCTTCTGCAGATCATCGAGACCAGCAAAGCCCTTCTTGTTGCGGCGGAGCTGAGAAATCTCGTTGAGCGCCTTCTTTTCGTCAACCAGTTTCATTGTGCCGGAATCGACTTGCTTCTGGAGGTTGTCGATCTTGGAGTCGATCTCCTCCGGGCTCTTGAAACCGACACGGGTGCGGGCATCCTTTTGCTCGGCGATGAGCTTCTTGATCAAAGCATCGTTCTGGTTGAACTTTTCTTGTTGGCCTGCCTTGGCAGACTTGTGTTCCTGTTGCTTCTGGCGGATAGACTTTTGCTCGTCGACGAGTTCCTTGAATCGGTCATTCGCAGGAGTAGACTTGCCAGGACGAGCGCTGTCCAGCTTGGATCGGATGGCGTTCTGAAGATAGTCAGCTCGGGGGCTTTGTCGCATGAAGATGGCGGAGACATACGAAGCGAGCCTGCGCAGCTTCGTGGTCTTTCTCGGCCTTTGCGAGATCGGCCTTGAACTTGGCTTCATCAGGCTTTTCAGGTCGCTTGTGAGCTCCGTCTGTGGCCGGAGCAGCCTGGGTGTCCGCCATCGTTGTAGGGGTAGATAGATAGAGGACCAAGGTAGAGTTACCGGAAGACGCGACGAAGTGGTGAGTAGTTGGGGAATATTTTATATACCTCTGTCCATGCTAGAAGAGCATGGCAGTTGATGCTAACGAAAGGCTGAAAGGATGCTAGCGACAGTCGAAGTAGTCTGCCGAGTGACGAGTGACAAGCGATAAGGGCGGTATAACTGTTTGCGTCTGTTTGGTGAGACTGACTGGAGGTTGTGAGGGTGAGAAGGAAACCGTCCCGGACTGTCGAGTCCAGCTGCAACTTTTGGCGGAGAAAATTGTGGATTTCACGACATCCTTGCACATCGCATTGTGTGCAATTCACCGTATTCTTGCATCCTGCTTCAAACTGGCTGGCCATATATATTTCGTCACCATCCATGTCGAGCACCGTAGTCTGGCAGTGGGTACACGGTCGTCGTTGGGGTCCTCTCACCTGGCCTTCTTACCACTCTTCGGCTACAGCTCCGTGGTGAATACATACCTGACCATACCCCAGACGGAAGGGCTTCCGGAGCGCCATGCGTGTCCCCGATGCAGCTCTTTGAGCACATGGAGGAGATGAGCCGTCAGCGGCAGCAACGGGCGTCGACCATACCCAGGATGGAATCCAGCTCGTGAAGATTGACCAGTGGAAGGGCCCAAGCTGTCTATGCGCGGCGTCAACAATGAGGGGCATAAGATACAGGATAAACGGCAAACATCCAAGGAATTGCACATACCTCAAACATCCTCAGAAGCCTGGAGCATCCCACGAGTGAACAGCGACTTCCCTTGCGCAGGGCAACCACCGTGAAGCTTGTCACGGTGCCTTTTGGATTGTCTTCCTACTCACCACCTACCTCCTGATTTCATGCGAGTCAATTTCACCACGGAAGACATGCACAACACCTGGCAACTTGACCTACGACCTGTTCTAAAAACTGTCGTGGAAATACTGCCCCATCATCCCCTGAAGGCGGTATCCGCCCGACCTCGGTTGTCTCATGGTGTGGGCCGTCCTCTTGCATCTTCCAGGACCCTGGGCTTCAGCGCTTTTGGCAGAGTCACGTACTGGGTCCGATATCACCCAATTCTGTGGTTGAGCCTGGGGTCGATGAGATGAGTGGGCCAGTACTTATGTCTGGTTGCCTCTGTCGCAGGGGAAAATGTATCCAGTGACAGCATGGTCGACCTTGCCAGCGAAGAGGTCCGAGAAGTTCGCACCTCTAATGACCTTGGCATATGAACCCCAGTGGTGGCAGGTAACACAAGGGGAGGATGGACCGCCTAGGGACGGTGGTACCCCTTCCGTTCATGTCGTGGAGCCTATCGCAGATGTTTTTGAAGTGGTCATCAACAGACACTTTGCGCTGAGGTATGTCCGCCAGATGATCTTACCTGGGCAGCTCATGCCAACCACAGCTGGCTGATATTTCCTGAACACTCCTGGATCGTCCTGTCCAACAGTGACCGGAGCCCGCAAGCCTTTCGTTTGGGTTTGATGTATGGTCAAGTGAAGGGAGATCTCTTCTTTCTTTCGGTTCAATCGGTATCCTAGTCCCCACTGGGATTGGTGCGGATTTGAACGACACCAAGCTGTATATTGACAATACTCCTGTCAACTTATCTACAGTGATGAAGCGGTGCAAACCTTCAGCGAACAGCTCCTTGCGAGCAGTGCTAGCTTGGCCAGACGTATGGTCGAAGAATGAGGGTCCTAGATTCTCCGCCGGAGGAACCTTGTGCATGTCTGACGGGGGGAATGAGCTGAACGCTGGCGACTGTGGCTGATCTGGACAGGGAAAGCAGATAGGACAGTAGCTGGTGGTCCTGTTGAAGAGATATTAGACACGGTCTGCACATTGACAATCCAGAGTGCTGGGCTCAGGGTTGCGAACCGAAGTCATCTACAGCAGTGCATGGGCTGGAGAACTTACTGATGGCCGTGCCATTGAACAAGATATGGATCGTGGAACTCACATCCAAAAGTAGAGGAGGTATGCTCGAGAACGGCCGCGGTAGAAGGAGTGGTTGGAGAGGCAGGTAGACAGGACATGGTCTGCTAGGTGTATCAACGTAAGCATCGCGCGGTCGATCAAAATCCCAATCCTCCAACGAAAAGGAGAAAAGGGCGTGTGGGTTTTGCCTCGCGTACTGTTCTTTGCTGATCTTGGTCCTCACAGTCACAGGATCGTACGATTGCCTCCAATCTCAAGACTCATTACAGACAACATCTGCCTTCTGTTTTCATCGCCTTTGTGGGCACCTATAATCAAGGATTTCAACCGCTACGAACTCCACCACGTTCTTCGCCCTCCCTATCGTCTTCCCTGGTGACTTCCTCGATTTCCACGATGGCTACAATCCCAGATATCGGTGCCCCTACACTCGCACCTTGCACGAATCTGCCTCCGACAACGCGGCCTCAACCAAAATCCGTCAAAAATATTCCCGCTGAGCTTCTTCTGTGGATCTATACATCGCTATTGCCGAGATCCAAGTCAAGGAAGTGAGCTGGCTTGAAGAGGCCACAAGCGCCCCAGCAGCACAAGGAGTCACTCGTCGCAAGCTAAAGCCATCTCGACCACTACCCATCCTATCAGTCAATAAACTGACCAGGGCCGAAGCATTTAGCGAGGCAACTCGCTGTCAAATCCATCTCCAGATCTATGGCCCTCTTTCCCATAGAGGATTTCCACCACCGCCAGTGCCAACACCTAGCCAACATGTCCAGCCCATCATGACCAACAAGCCTTCCTGGAATTCCGACGGACCCTGCCCATACGCCGACAGATCGCAGTACCCTAATATCGCCTCATCAGATTGGAACACGTGCTGTTGGATGCCAACCATTCCTGCTGCTCTCATCAGGTAACTGCTCACGAATGGCCCCACAAAGTTCAAGCTCCCACGCTACATCTGCAATCGTTGCAGCCAATGCCTCGGCCCCGACTCAAATATGGTGATGAGGATCCAGTCTGTCACTTCCTGTCAACGCACGGTACAAATTCCACAAGTGGCACATCCATCCCATGATGGGGTTCGATGTTCAGGCTGTATCGCTGAAGGGATAGGTACATGCACCCCTGCTGCTGTCTCAACGATGCTGAGGCTACGGTCCAGGTGCTTGTCCGGGATTGGACCGGGATGATGCTGATGGAACTAGAGGCGTGCGAGGACGAGCCAAGTCAGCAGAAGATGGATACTGAAACGCTGCAAAAGCTGCTATCAAAGGACAATGAATAGCGGTGCGATAGAGACACTGGCGGCTTGCTGTGCTGGACTATGATGGTTGGCGTTACGACCGTGGGTGCTAAGAATAACGCACACAGCAGCAACAGGCGATATACCCACGAATATAATCTCCGACAGCCACAGCGTGCTTCCTATCCAGGCTATCGTGCCCCGGAACCCTTGTGGAACTCCCTTGTTAACTGCGCCTGCTATGAAGCACCGCTAAGCCAGACAACGTTAAAATGCAGTCATCACCTCTCATCTACTAGTGTCCCTAGGTAGTCTTCCTTTTCATCCCTGTTGACCATAGGCGTCGAATGCGCGTGACGGAGGAAGCTCTTGACCGCACTTTCTATCGATCCTCATTGTCCACCAGGAATAGGTCGTTAGACTCCAGTTTCATCGATAATGACCACAAGAGGCTCCGTCGATCTCGCTCCTATCGGTGCCCGTTGTCGACCGTGCTTGCTCAGGGCGTCCAGGGTACATTGTGCTTCACTTGGACGTGGTCAGAAAGGAGGTGCCGGCCGAACTATTTTCCGACACAAGGCTTGCAGCATTTGCGCTGCCGAGGTTTATCCATAATTTTTCTCCAAAGTCGTCCTCAGGTTCCGTTGTCACAGCGTCTCAGATCACGCATTTCTTCTCAGTCCCTCGATCATTGTGTCTCTACCACCTACCCACCATGGACACCGGCGGGCGATCGGAACTGGCCGTGGAAGGAGAGCGAGAAGTGACCAGGTTATGGCGGACATGGCGGACAGTCCTGGAGATGCTGAAAGATCGGGTATGCGCTGACACATGGATGGGTGGCTTCTAAGATGAATGCTGGTTGACCTGTATCTCTAGGGCTACGAGATATCAGCCGACGAACTGAGCATTCCGCGCTGGAAGTTTCAAGAGAAATACACCGATTCCGCGACCGGTTTGGCCGAGTAAGTTTGGGTGGAGTGAAACAACTTTCTCAGCTCCCTCTCTCTGACAGTGGATTCTCTTACAGCCGGAGGTTGATGCGCCTCCAAGCCCTTCCCTCCGAAGCCATGATCAAACGCGACACTCCCCGTCCTACGAAGTCCAACCCTGAGCCTCAAACCAAAGCCGGAACCATCTGGGTCGAATTCAGCCCTGAAACCACGATCGGCATCAAGCACCTCCGTGCCTTTGCCCAGCACCTCGACGGCCACAACTTCACCACGGGAATCTTCGTCACCATTGGCCCCGTCACAGCCGCTGCACTGCGCGCCTTCGAACCGCTCTCGGAACGCGGCATTCACGCCGAGCACTTCCAAGAGCAGGATCTCCTTGTCAATATCACGCGTCACGAATTGGTCCCTAGGCATGTCCTGCTGAGCGCAGAGGAGAAGAAAGTCCTGCTGGACAGGTATCGTTTGAAGGAGACGCAGCTGCCGCGCATTCAGCTGGGGGATCCCGTGTCGAAGTACCTTGGATTGAAGAGGGGTAACGTGGTCAAGATCATTCGCAAAAGCGAGACGGCGGGACGGTACGCAAGCTATCGGTGGGTCTTCTGAGCGCAGGCCTCTTTGCTTTGGAGCGCGGAGTTTAGGATCCGAGACTGGTTATTGAGAACGCATAGGGAGGTGTTTTGATCAGACGACAAAATGAGCGGCGAGATAGGCCCGAATACAGCATTACGTTTTCTCTACGAACTACCGAAAGATTCCTGCCTCTCGACAAATATTCCTTGTCTTTGCAAGCAAGCAGAATTGATCAACGGATCAACTTGATGGTTCGGTCCCGTTCAACGCCTTCTGCCCGATCCTGACAAGATCCTCATTCAGTAACGGATCCTTCTCGAACCCATTCATCACCTGGTCCAGCATCGCCGCCGCAATCTCAACCACAGTGATACTCGGCAGCGAAACCACAGCCCACAAAAGCCAAGACTTCAGCCAATGGAGAACATTACCCGGCTCCAGAATGAGTCCAGGCTTAGCGACCGTGACTTCTACCTGATCAGGATGAGAGGCCGCAAATGCGAGGATTTGATTTTCCGTTTCTCCCTGCCCACATTGTGAGGTTAGTCCGCGCCTGCATCTGACATTGACAAAGGGCACCACATACCCGCATCAACAAATACTGGGTCATGAGCCTGGGAGTTTTCGTTTGATCCCGCTCGGCCGACTCCCCACTCATATACAAGAATCGGAGGGGTGTTGATCTGGCCGAGCCACGGCGCCGCGCCTCAACAATGGCCTGGAGCCCCGTCATCGTGTACTCACGACACACCTTGACAACCTCGTCCCACGGCATGGACTTCGCCTTGGTGGGCGTGATCGCGAGGGTCCTGTTTCTCGGACGGAGGCGTTAGCGTCATACTCGCTCTCGTGCTGCCTGCGTGATGAGGTACGGGTGCCGTCTTGTTCTGTAGCATAGATAAACAAGTAGCGTAAACGTACGTACCAGATACAAGCGTCCACATTTTCCAGCTGGGCTTTCACATCTTCCGAGTACTTCGTGAAGTCTTGGAGCAACACGCTCTTCAGCTTCGATGGGCCTACGTGGCCCCCTAGATTCTGAGGCACCTCGACAGGTCGGCGTGCCAGTGTTACTACTGAGGTTATTTCCGGGCTGGCCAGGCTCTGGCGGATTATTTCTGTTGCGACGAAGCCTGTTCCGCCGACTATGAGGAGTTTCATGATTCGTAGAATATGATCGTGACCTGTGGTCTCTCCGTCGGACTATGTCGGGTGCTCGAGGAGCACGATCGTTTCATGCTCAATGTTGGGTGGCCTGAATGGGAGGGGTCAAAAAGTTGAAAAGTTCGCCCACCAAGTAGCCCGGCGGTTTCCTCTTGTACTGTTCATGTCAACCCTCTCAGTCTGCGGATGGATACAAGCTCAGTAAGGACGACGACGAGAAGAATCGGTGCTCGATCTGGTGGTCCACTGAGAATAGCGAAATACCAGGCGATAACTATGCGGTTACTTGTCAAAGTGATGAATGGCACGCCAATATGACTCCTTCCGGCATTATGACCCCGTCATGGGCATCCGCCACTTAACTGGAAATCTAAGCTCCATTCCCCTTTCTCTTGTGATCATGCGGCTTAGGTCGTGGTATCTGGACCGGGACATTAACTGCAAACGGGGCCTCTTCGAAGGCCAGTTTCTAGTGACCAAACAACGTTGTCGACATTGCCACTCAGAAAAGGGCAGACGCCCGTCAACTACATAGTTGCAGACCCGTGCAGGCCTTTGATGCCACCAGCTTCACCCAAAAAGCCAGGAGACCCGCTGTCGAATGGCCAGACTCTGGTAAGAACATTCATCGGCAACTCAGACGCACCATATCAAGGCGCAACCCGATATCGCACAAACTCCACCGCAAACCGTGCCTGAAACGTGGTCCCCAAGTCAAGCAGACCTGCTTACTGCACTTCAACATGGCAAGAGAGTCGTGCGAGCGGCTGGCTGCCCTGTGCGACAGACGGATCGCCTTACATCCTGGCGCCGGGGCCGGCTCTATCATTGCGGCTCCGAATGGATGCCGCTCTTACGCCTTCGAGTTACGGAAGCGATTCATCCGACCGAAGAAGGTGGGATCGAGTCGTGCACTTCGCCTTAGCTCGACCGAATCCTTCCTGTAGCGATGGTAGTAAGCTCGAGTTAACCCAGCCTTCCTGTAGGAGATGTTGCCAAGGGGATCGACCCGTCAGGCCAGCCTGAGTTTGTGCTTTTTCTGAGTCAAAGGTTGTGCTGAGGAAGTGGAAGAATCTTCACTATATGAGTCAGAATGGCAGCAGGGACGAGGTTACAACCTGCTCGTCCACGTCCGCTGTTCGACAGGGACAAAAGCTCCGTTCCTGCGTTTATCTTCATGCCGTCCTCGACGAGAGCCTGCAACTGCGTCCCCCAGTCTCGGCAGCCCAATGGTATGTAGTCACTCCCGGCGGACAACGTTTCAACGGCCACATTATCCTCGCGGACACAGAAGTCGGCACGAGCCCGTACTCGCTCATCCATAGCCCGGCCTACTTCGACGAGCCGTGCCGGTTCACCCCTGGCCGGCGGATCGAGAGCGAGAGCAAGGCCAACAGCGCCTAAACAATCGCGATCCAACGAAAGGCGTGGGCCCCGTTTCTAATGGGCGTGACGAAATGCGCGCGGCGAAGAACATGGCCGTGGCCAAGCTGTGGCTCACGACCGCACCGGTGATTACAGCATGGATTTCCAGCCCGCTGCTGGGTCGGTGGGCGAGCTAGCTGGGTCAAGGCAGGATCGGGAAGGGGTTCGGCCAAGAGAGGCCCGAGGATTTTCAGCTGCTCTCACGTCTTGTACCTGTGGGCGAAAGAGCGTCCGTGCTGCATTTTGAACGGGAAGACAGAGACGGTGGAGGAACAGACACGAGTGGGACAGTTGGACAGGGGAACGCATCACAAGCAGGCAAGCAAGCAGACGAGAGACATCATCGTCGCCATCACAGACGAGCACACAAGCGACATCATCAGCGACATCATCTTCCACATCCGCTCGTGGGATTGGTCACTTGGTCACTTCACTTACCAGCAGCGACACTTTGGCCGATGGTGTCGCCCACCATCGACGGCAAGGTATATAATACATCCTAGGTATCTTTTCCCGCAACCATTGTCACGACTCTTCTTCCTTTCTTTGACCTTTCCTTGCAGTCTTGTCGCGTCACATAACATCACATCACAGCGCACCACATTCAATCCAGTCCATGCACACCTGAACTCAACCCAATCCAATCCAATCCAATCCCAACAGACAGGCCAGCCAGCAAAGCCCAACGACGCGGACCACCGTCCATCAGTTCACATCAACAAACAGACAGACGGGCCGCCCTTCCCCAACAAACACGTCACACGTCAGAACGAAGTAAGTACCGCATTTCCATGTCGTCAAACTGGAGGCAAAATCAGACTGGAATGGTGACCGGGTGGCCGTCACCCTACATCTTTACGCATGTCAGATCCTGACAATGCTCCCACAGTCCCCCGTTCCCCAAACATGTGTGTCATCACGTACACCCGGTTCCTCCTGTGCGGTCACGTCTACCGTGACTGTCGCCTGTGCCATGACGACTGGCGCGAGAGGATGAGGCTGGGCTGCTGGAGCGGCAGTTGGACATATTACCGCGTGATTCTACAGGAGAAGTGTTGGACGTGTAAGAGACGGCAGGGCCGGGCCAGTAGATTGTGATCCAGCGGTTAAGCGGTGAGAAGAGACATTGGAAACGGACGCCCTTACAGTCAATCTAGCTAGCTGGCAATGCACGCGAGCGGACGTTCCTACTGCACACAATGGATGCCAAAGTGGCCATCATACATACACCAGCCACAGCGCAGAGATAGCCACGTCTGTCCAGTGTCCAAAGTCCATGCATTCCACTCTACTCGTGCTCCTTGTAATTAGCCCCCCCGGTCGCCCCCGATTATCTAGCCAACAGTCGCGTCATTATATCGTGGCGTGATGAGACTCCAGACCTCATTCCCGGCCATCTGGTACTCCAGGCCCTCCAGGTACGCGGCCAGAGCAGGGGACGCACTCTTCTGCGTGACCTCGTCGACGAGCTGCCTATGCCTGACCTCCCACTCCCGGCACATCTGCCAGAGGATGCGTTTCGCCCCGGGCACGTCCACGTTGGCGATCGTCTGCATGATGGGCACGGACGAGCACAGGGCGCCGCCCTCGTGACCGCGCGCCGCGATGCGGACCTCCTTTTCGTAGCTGCAGATGTCGTTGACGACCGAGATGCTCTTGGAGCAGTTCTCCTCGACGGGTCTCGCGAGGTCGAGCTCTTCGCTGGTCATGTGCAGACCCATTGAGAAGCGCATGATTGCCGAAAGGAAGCTAGGCTCCCGTTAATGGGGGTCCTTGCACATTCGGAAAAGACGGTCAGTACTCACGCCTTGCCCACGTCTTGCTCGCGATACTCAAAGTACGTCTGCAGATCCATCGGCTTCAGGCGCTGCTTGTCGACCTGGGCGCGCATAAACACAAACGCCGGCTCGAGGACTTCGTCGGCCAGCGACTTGTCGTGGGCTCGCATGCTCTCCCAGATGTCGTACATCATGTACTCGACCGGGATGGAACGGTCGGGCTGTTCGTCCCCGCGGGCGAGCCGCATGAGTTTCTCGTTGTATACGATGCCGTCGTCGAGGGACATGTGGTCGAGGACGTCTGGGGAGGTGAGAGGTCAGTCAGGCGGCAAGTCACAGATGCCGCGGGTGACCCACCGTCTGTGAGAAAGGTAATGGTAATCAGCTTGCATGCAAACGCAATTCTGTCGTCGAGGGCATTGGCACAGTACAGGCACGTCACTCGTGGGATGCCTTGGGACATGAACTTGTTGCGTTGCTTCTCGTCCTTGAAGGGCCAATGCTCGGAGAAGTAGGCGTCGACTTCCTTGGTGACCTCCTCGACGAGCGGATGGCACTTGGCCGTGAGGATAGACGGTTGGAGTCCGAAAGGGGTGTTGGCTTGAGGGAGTGTTTGATCCTCGACTGCTAGTGAGCCCATGTTGGCTGTTGGGGTGTGTTGGAGAGTCAGTGGTTCGATGGCTTGTGGTCTGTAGGTAGGAGGAAGTACTCAGTGTACACTGCAGCCACTTATACTGAATATTTCAAAGCTGGATCTTGAGAGAGAGCAGAACCAGCATCAAGATCACAATCAGAATCAGAATCAGGATCACGATCGGTCGGTTTCTTATCTCGACCACCGAGAGCACATGGGTGAGAGGAGTGATTTCACGGCTCACTCATAGGTCACTTGTGGCAAACGCTTGTAACTTAGGGTCAGTAAGTTAGTGTGATTGTTTTGCATAACGGCCGTGGTCGGTGCGAGGGAAGCTACAGCATCCTCGCTGCGACCCGCCATCCTGCAATCGACTTACATATGGGATTCTCGCTTGGGTGCGGGCCTGTCTGGCTGACTGCTTGTTTGGCTGTTGGACCCGCTGGTGCCATACCATACCCATATGGCCGACAAAGATCGCCTGCTTGGGCTTCAGGATCAACATCCTGTGCTGTACATTCGTCGCAAACATGGCAGGGGAGGTACTGATCGCAGAAGTGTAGGCGTACTCCGTAATTATCCCGCATTGTCTCGCGTCAATAGTCGTATCAGCCAGCCCTGGCCGGTACGGGCCATGACCATGGCCATGACGGGCCATCCCTCTCGCTGTACGGCGTACTCGTGTAACGCCCCACCGGACGATGCCTGGGCACTGACTCTGTTCCGCGGTCGCTCGTGCTCGGGACGAGCCACGTACCGCCACGGCAGTCCTGGCAGTGAACTGGTACCACGACTACTCGTCCCGTTCCTAGCTCTGGCTTCAAGCGATCGTTATCCATGCCAAGCTCAACACTTTTAATAGTTCTCGTACTTTATTTTGCCGACGCAGTGGCCCAGATAATGAACGCCGAATTGCGGTGCTTGCTTACGCCGTAGAGGTAGACGTGCACAATCGATAGGTCCTGTATTACATGCCCGGAGGGTACATCCGTCTGCTGGAATCGCGACCGTCTACTGTTTCCATACCGTGCAAGGACTCGTGCTGTACACTGTACAACGCATCGCCTCGGACGATGATCGGGAAGCCCAAGCCGTTGGGATCCGCACAGTCCGCACAATCTGCAGCCGTTGTGACGATCTATCTTTCGGTTCATTGGCCTATTCATCCACACATGGTCCCCATTCTTTGGTGCCGGCTTTTCTGGCGGGGATAGGACCCGCGATAAGGGTAGGGTATGCAGTGCATATGCAGGGCGGCAGCTGGTGGTAGGGTAGCAAGGTCAGGGTCGGGTCGATGTCTCCAAGACTGGCGCCAGTGAGCTGCTCCGTGGTGGATACATGAAGATTACACGGGCACAGGCTCAACTTACCAGGTACGCTGTGATATGTTTCCATGTTCAAGACGTGAGGGTGAGGATCCTCTCTTTGCTCGTTTCTCTTCTCCTTCACAACTTCCCTGCGCCGCAGGTCAAATGCCAAATGCAACTCGTACACGCCGACTGCTACCCCGTGTAAAGTACATTATCGTCGGCTGTATGCAGACGTCGAGCCCCGCGGATCCCACAAGCAGCTTGCCCAACACGGAGCGAGCTACTCGTAATTATATGGGAACTAATCAGCATCACTAATGCAATGTCCAATCCGCCTAGGAAAATTCCCAGTGCGTATTCCGTACTTGGCTTCATGGAAACGAAGTAGTCCCCCGTATAGTGCCGTGGTACACAGTAGTCTCCGTGTAGTGTGCTGCTCTTTTCCCTTCACCTGCATGACAGAACGACGAGAGGCTCAAGCCCTGCTACCGCCAAGCCATCGGTGAACGGTCCGGGCCCTTGTTTCGTTTCCTTTCTCTTGCGAGCCCGCCGGTTTGTTTCCACCGAAATTTGTGATTAACTCCACCTCATGCATGCAGCATGCAGACGGGCAGGTTGGGAACTGGAAACTGGGAATTGCAATTGAGGACAACCTCGCTTCTATGCCACTTGGCGAGTACCCAACACACTAACTTATGCGGGTGAGTGACATGGGAATTACGACGCTCAGGCTCTCTATTCCGGACGAGTCTGAAACCGACCTGCAATTACTCCGTACAGTATCTCGGACGGGTAAATCCAGTGCCAGTTACTCGCTTTTGGACGTCGCCTAGTCGAGCAATGATCTGTATCTCGCTACTAATGTAGATAGGACGAGTGCTGGCGGCTGGATCCGGTCGAGTGCACACCGCTGGTGCTAGGAGTGCTCCATCACGGTGCTCCTTCTGGTGTTGATTGATCCATTGAGTCCGGGATACAGACGTAACTAGGTAACTAGGAGTCAGTGTATAAAGGCAACAACCAGTGCCAAGCACATCAGGTGCCAATTGCCATAGCAGCCGGCTCGCAGGTGTAAGTCTCGATTCGCTCCCGTCCTCCCGTCAAGCCATACCGTTCGTTCGGCCGCAAGCGAGAATTGCATGTGGATAGAGATGTGAGTACGGGATCATCACGAGCAACAGTACTAGCACCAGCGCCAGCACCAGTACTGGTACTAGTACTAGTACCAGCGCTTGAGGCGATATCACCAAGTACAGCACATCGCCCAATTCGTTAGCGACCACACAATCAGAAATTTACATGACTCCAGCCAACCAACGATAAGATCATGCGATCCCCCTGCTCTTGCTGTGGCAGGCACGCAGGCAGGAGCCGTCCTCGTTCACATCTCGTCAGAAAGCACGGAGTAATTCGCATTCACATGCCCGATTTACCACTGAAGGATCAGCAATCAGCAATCAGCGATCCATCTTCTTGCAATCTTGTCTTTTGAGAACGTCCGTTAATTCGCTATTACCATCACCTACCGCCCCCCGTTGCTCAGACACAATTGTACCGTGTTGGGCACTGCCGAGTGTGGACGACTGACTCAGCGTATCGCCGCATCTGCCTTGCAGGCTTTGGGCTTCAGAAAACAACGATAGGTCAGCCTCTTCGACCGAGCGACGCACCGGGCGTCCAGCCTTCAGCCTTTTCCTTCAACAAACAACGACAAGACAACCTACTCGGCCGACCACCTGACACGACCATCCACATCGACGACATTCCGGATCACACAACATGGACGTCTCTCTCTGGTCGGCATTGCGAGTCCTGGCAATCGGGGTATGTGTGTCCTTCGGGGAGTTGATTCCCCGTTACGAACCGAATCGGTGACTTACAGTAGAACATGTATGTAGCTTGGGATCTGGTTCCCCGTGCACATCGTATATAACTTGTATTTTCACCCGCTCGCCCAGTTCCCCGGACCGTTCTGGGCACGGACGACACTCTTCTGGCGCTTCTGGCACGATCTCACCGGCCTGTCGCATTGGACGATCCAGGACTGTCACAGGAAGTATGGCGATGTGTTCCGCGTGGGCCCCAACGAGCTGTCATTTGCCTCTGTCCAGGCGTACAAGGACATATATGCGGCGAAAGGGCCCAGACCGCTGAAGAGTGAATTCTACGACATGCTGGGCACGGGATTTTCCGAGTCTTGTGTCGTCACCGAGCGAGACCACAAGCGCGCGTTGCAGAAGAGAGCGCTTTTCACGTCCGCCATGTCGAGCAAAGCGCTGATGGAGCAGGAGGTGGTCATCCAGCGGTGTATCGACAGCTTCGTGGAGAAGCTTGGAAAGCTCGGTGGCGGCCCAGGCGGGCTGGATTTGACAAAGTGGTATATGATGCTCTCGTTTGACATTGGGGGCGAGATGGCGTTTGGAGAGTCCTTTGGCTGCGTCGAGTCCGAGACGTCGAACCACTGGCTTGATACCATTTTCGCACATCTGCACGCCATTTCCATCATGGATAATATCCGCCGCATGCCTCTAGTGGAGAAGACCGCCAGGCTGATCCCCACGAAGTGGACGACCGGCATCCGAAACCGCATCACTGGATTTGCGAGAGAAAAGAGCAAAAGACGGGTCGAGAGGAGTGGTGAGACAGTTGACTTCCTCTCGAATGTGGTCGAGAAGGTCAGAAGCGGCAAGATCTCGCACGAAGAAATGGCAGCTCATTGCTCCATCATCGCCATAGCAAGCAGCGAGACGAGCGCCACGTCGTTGGCAACCATCACGTATTTCCTCCTCCGGTCGCCCGCGGCTCACGACCGGCTGAAGGCGGAAATTCGAGACCAATTCAAGTCGCCGCAGGAAATCGACATCGCTTCGGCCACTAAGCTACCGTATCTGTTTGCCGTCATTGAGGAGGGTCTGCGCATCGTCCCGACAACGACGGTGGGGTTCCTGCGTAGAGTGCCTTACCCCGGAATTGAAATTGATGGACACTTCGTCCCAGGCGGAGTAAGTTTTGGCAATTGCGCCCCCACGAAGCATTCACTGACCTTTCTGCAGACCGAGGTATCCGTAAGCGGCTGGACGACAGCAAGGGACGAACGATACTTCCATGATCCCTTGAGCTTCAAACCGGAAAGATGGATTGATCCGGAATGCAAAGATGTGAAGGAGGCTAGCCAGCCGTTTTCCTTGGGCCCAAGATCTTGTCCAGGGAAGTTGTAAGTTCCCAGGCCCAGAGTTGAGCCAACTGAAACGTTTTGCTGACCATGACTACAGATTCGCGTATGCTCAAATGTCAGTGGAGCTGGCGAAAATGGTATGGACATATGACATGGAACTGGTCGATCCTTCACTGGACTGGGAACAACAAGTCCGTCTCCATTTCGTCTTGTGGAAACCAGAGCTGTATGTCCGTTTCACAGAGCGCAAGGTGTCGTAATGTAGACAGCTGGTGAGTCGTTCATGCGGATGCTGACACTGCGGGACTTGGCTGTTTCCACGAAGTCGGGTGACATACCAAGCTTGAATCTCTATTCCCCGCGGCATCTGCGCTTGAGACCATGCCGGTGTGCCGTCAGGAACGAGGTGCTAGTGCCGTGCCGGCACCATGCTCGCAACATGAAGACGGAACAAGCTGGCGGAAGGGACCGCGGTAATAAGGCGAACTGGAACGATAGGAGGCAGTGCCGGAGCATGGGACCGTAAGGTCCTGCACAAGCGTAAAAGAATGCATAAGACCGACTCCGAAGGAAGCTAAGACATGTTGGTGGTAACGCACAAGTCAGGTCGTATCGTGATTGACCCGTCCGTCCCAGAGCGCCGGACTGTACTCCGTAAGGGCTTGGAGATGAAGGAGGCCCTCGGCTAGTCTCAAAAAGAATATATTCATTCCTCTTCTCGTGACCAAGGGGGGTGGAACTATCGCCAGCTGACTGCGGTAGATACAGTATGCGCGCATCGGACCGGTACTGTATTTGCCAGGTATGGACGACCGCTGCCAAACATCACCACATCCACTCAGTATCCCCTCCTGCCCTAGTTCACATGAAAGAGCTGCACGCATCAAAGAAGGCTCAAATTCAACAAACCATATGCAAATGCATATCGCCCTCCAGCGCCGTCGCTCAAAGGTATATGCAAAACAAAGACAGAACCCAAAAGCAATCCATCGTCCCCCTTGCTAGGGAATGATTTCATTTCAACAAGCCACCCGCATCAGACAGATACATCTCGTCGGGCCCGCTTGGCCGATGTAGCGGCAGCACATCCACGTCCTCCTGTGTCGAGGAGGGCAATCGACTCCCCCTTGAGATTTTCCTTCGTTCCGATCTCATTGGCGAACGGCTCGGGCTACTGCCTTTTCTCGTGGAAGGCGTGCCAGCAGAGTGCATCTCCTCTTCTTCGCGGATGCGTAAAGGTCGGGTTAACAGGCCGCCTATATCTGCGAGGAAAGCTTTCGAGCTGGATCGCTGCTGCTGCTGCGCCTGAGACAAGCGGTGAGAGACTTCCTGGACGGATGCATGGCGCGAACGAGATATTGGGGATTCATTTGGCGGAGCGTCCACTAGACCGCCGACATCGAAAAAGCCCATTCGACTTGGTGTGTCGGGCTCGTTGTATTCATGCTCACCAGCACCATGAGGTGGTCCACTGATTTGCAGGCCCAAATTCCGCATTTTGATGTCCTCTGTTGAGGCGCTGCTGAGAGTGTCCAGAGACGGCTTTTTGCGCATGCGGGACGCTTCTGCAAAATTCCACTTGGATTTAAAGGTAGCATGTGGATTGTGGTCGTCAGAGTCGAGGGGGCCGGAAGGCGCCTTTGGAGGGGTCGTCGAAACCGCAGCCTCGGCTGGACGGGGTTGATCCAGATAAGTCCCTCGTCTCAGGAGTGCAGGCAAGGCGACGCCAACACCTCTGGCTAGATCCTCGTCAGAGCCCCAGTGATGGTGAGTCATGGTCACGGCGCGGGTCAGAGTGTTTGTGCGACCAAGGGAACTGCCGTCGTCGATAGACGCAGCTCTGAACTTTGCTTTCTTGACCCCCCTGTCACGGATGAAGCTGCCGATGACGATGGCATTTGAAACCCCGGCGGCGGCAAGAATCTCCAGCGACGCCAACAGCGATCGATAGTGCTGAGACGAGCGCCGGGAGATGGTGGACGGCACTCGGTAGGCGGTGATGGTGACGAGGATAACGGAGAGGAGGAAGAGGAGGATGAGGGAAATCTTTTTCGAGAAGCGCATCGAGGACTGCCAGACCAGTGGAATTGGGAAGACGATCAGCACCACGTCGGAGACGATGTCGCAGACACCCATGACGATTAACTGTACCAGTCCTTCTCGACAGTGGGCACCTGGGTCCGGCACGACCTGCCAGTAGTGCGAGAACGGTTGACATTCGACTAGCGTTCCAACCACAACGGCGACAAAGGTGGCGCCCAAAAACCCATAGATGTATCGGAGTCCGACCTCGTACGACTTTGCCCATGACTTTCCGATGATGCGCTTCAGGAATTCCAGAACGGCGAGTTTGGCAATCCAGATGTATGCGGCGTAGAAGATTCGAGCGGCCAGAACCAGTCGGCTGCCAATCTCGTGGTGGTGTATTTGAAGAGCTGTGAAGCCTTCAGTCTGTGTGTTGTTGGTACCCCATATCAATATCACATGTACAAGTGCCATCCGAATCATCAGTGGTATTATGCTGTAGAACATGATCCAGTCTTCGCGAAACAGTCGCTCCGTGCGCACCCATCGGCCAAACACGCGGATCAGGATGGCAGTGAGGGCGAACAATGTGCACCACCACGATACAATCAAGGTCGGGTTCATAGCAATCCGCGATTGGTAGGGCGGCGGTTCATCGTGGTATATGCGCCGCTCGAGTGTGTCGATGACAGCCATTTCGGCTTGAGCAGATCGAGCGTGAGGGAGATCGACTCAGACGTTTCGTCATAGCTCCACGAGAGCGGTCGTCAACTCGTGTCTCGCTGTCGACTCCGCACCGAGGCCATCGACAACCGGTGGCGGCAATTCGGCGCAGGCGCAATCAGGTAGATGCGGTTCGTTGTCCAACTCAATGGAACACGCAGGAAAACCTGGGCGTAATCGGGGCGGTGTCCGAGGATACGGAAGGCACGTAATGAGAGAGCGGAGGAGTCTGAACAAGGTGGCAGGAGGAGAAATGCTCCAATGCCATGACTCTACGGAGTACAAGATACAGATGAGGTGCAGGAGGTCTTGGACTGCAATGATAGTGGCAGGGTTCTCCGGGAAGCCCTGGTCGCTGGCACTGGATGCCGCAGGAGTGAGACCGACTCGTGGTTGCGTGTGGCCTGCGGGCGCGGCAACTGATCGAGGCGCAACGATCGCTAGGCCAAGTGGAAGCGTGCACCTGACTGGAGGATCGGGTGCAAAGGAAGCGAAAGAGGGCCTCGGGGATTGCCTGCTGCAGGCTGTGGTGGAACGAATAACAGGCTGAATGATCGGGCGTGATGCCTATCTCGGTTGGTGGTAAGCATGGATCCGCCAATCGCCCGCCACGCCGGGTAAGCATCACTGGTTCTGCCCTCGTCGCATTTCGCTCTGTGCCGGATCATCCCTTATCTAGCCTTTACGGAGAAGGAAGATAAGAGCGCACATGGACCTGTGCTGTGTGGACTCAGGCCAGACCCTCAGATTGGAACGCTGAATGTCCGGTACTGGCTGGACTGGAGAATCTCCTTCCGCCTCGGTAACTTATGTACATGGTACTCAAGCAGAGATAAGAGCTGTTTGCGGTCCTGACCAGACTCATGTATGTATTTGCATGTCTAATACGCTTCCACGGCACTGTCGTCCTCACAACTCGATGTCCTAGATATTACACATCTTGCTTACCTCGGGGTCTCTGGAGCACACGCCCATACTCCGTGTTCTACCTTGGGATCAGCCACAACGGAAGCGTTGTCCTCGAGCTTTGACCACCGCGGTCCCGTTTTGTGGATTGGCCGTTTCCCTTCAACGACCTGTCAAACTGTTTCACAATGCAGTCTCAGTCTGAAGAACAAACTACTTCTTTTGTTGGTACAAGTACAACAAGAACGCTTCTCGCTAACACACAGTTGCTTTTATGACCACTTCATGAAAACATGATGAGCGATATGCTGAACGAATGCGATCCGTAGGTCGAGAAAATCAAAGTTCAAGGTGCCTCGTCATCATGCCGGGCTGTGGCCTTTTCTCTGTCTGTAGCAGTACCTTATACAGAAACTGAACCACCACAGAACAATAGAGCCGCCCAACACCGCGACCGATACCAGCGCCGTCTCGCCCACTGCCAGAGAGAGGACGGAAACGGCAAGCGCCGCAAATATCAACGCGGCAACAGACCCCAGAGGTAGAACCAGTGCTGCGATAAGGTTCATAGCACGATGAAGTGGTTTGTGCCAGGTCCGCGTATGCTCTCCCTCTCTTGCCGACCTCGTCTTGCACACATACAAGGCCGCGAGCACGATACTGCTGAGACTCAGGTCCATCGTGAAGAGCAGCCAACTGATCGCGATGAATGTTCGAGCTCGCTTGGGCGTGATGTGTTTGTTCTCCGTCGTGTCGGGCATGGTCTGGAAGATGCATTGAAAGGTGATGGACCCGCCGAACGCGGCGAAGGCCACCACGGCCGTGAAGAGTTGCTGGTAAAACTGCTCGTCGCCGCAGCCTGATGTCGAGTGTGAGGAACCAGAGCTCGTGGTTGAAGTCCCTCGAGGTAGATAAGGTCGAGAGGGGTTGGACTGGGGAATGACAGGTTGGTGCACTTTAGGAGGAGAAGGAGAAGGGACAAAGTCCTTGGTATCTGTCTTGGCAGGCGCGATACCAGCATGCGACGCCTTGTTGTCCTTCAGTGCGTCAAGGATGGCTTGAAGCAGTTGCTCGGACTTGGAGCGGCCCTGGTCAGTGGATATGGCTGTCCTTGAGCTCTGGTCGCTAAGGCGACCCGGATGCAGGTACTGCATTTCCGTACCGCTGGCGGCGAAGGAGAGTTGGTCCATAGTGCTGAATTGCGGGATAACTGCTGGGCTTGTGCGAGTGTTTAGACCGGGGAAAGATGGTGTTGTCTTTCGACAACAGGACAGGCTTCCATGACGACCGGCGAGCTGCAAAATATACCTTACTGGAAACCCTCAGTTGCCTTCTCAGCGTATTGATGCACAGACAACCATTGTTGGCCACATCAAGAAGAGAATTTGGCTTCTAGGAGGCTGATGAGGCTACCAACCTTGTCGTCTGTCGAAGCAGTCTCCTTACCCTGGATGATTTACATAGGAAAGAACCAGGGTTTGCAACAGCCTGGAACGTCTGTTACAAATAGTATTCTGAGATGCGCGCATTCCACACAAAGGTGCACGATCTGCAGCCACCTTGATGCATCGCCAGCCCAAAAGCTCTACCATAACCAATGAAGGCCCAGCCAAGGCGGCAGCGACGAACCACAGCCTTACCACGAAGACGAATTTGGACTCGGAATGGGAAGCCTGATCGGCTGAATGGTCATCTTCCTGCATCTTTCCATCGAAAGGTTTGCCTGACATAATTTAGGCCCCACCTCGCTTGCGGCCTTGGGGCCTTCCCTCAGCCTCAACGGAATTGGCTTGGAAACGTGGGGTCCTCGTGTCTTGCTTAGGACCCATGCCATACTGTGTACAGTACGCAGCTTGTTAAGTGTCGAACAACGCAAAAGTCCCGACTCTCGGTATGACATCCGAGACTTGCCGTGCAAATTGAGCTGATATACTGATAACGCAAAGGCGGAGAAAGACTGGAACTTTTGCACTTTATGGTCTTGTCCGTGACGGAGAACTCGAGAGCTGCAAACGCAAGGAGTTGGTCTGAGGCGATTCGCAGTGGATTGATTTTCCAAGCAAAGTATTGTCCTTTTCTGATCCAGTAGATCCATAATGTAGACGTGGTTGGATTCAGAAGTGGTCATCCCAGTTCGTATCTGCGTTCCAATAGTTCGCTGCCTTGTCAAAAGAAAATCTATAGGTAGATTTCTCTTCCATCAGCTTCCACGATCTCTGTCGTAACACCCATTTCGAATGCGCTCTCAGGAAGTGCAAACCTGGGATTTTCCGGGAAGCAGATGTCAAATGTCATTTCGCTTCCAATCCTTATTCCGCTCTGTTCGAAGCAAAGCGGGCCCCAGACCTCAACGCCATTAAGGACTCCGCCTTGATGGAGGAACATATGCTCGAAGAGGCTCTGTTCACCGTCATACGTGCATGGATTCACCCGTAACATGACGCACATCAGACACCTGTATAGGCGTTTCTTCTTTTGGCTGCAGGCGAGGTGCGACTTGAATAGGAGCAGTGAGCGCCACCGGAGCTTGGCCGTGGAATGCGCTTCGTCGTCAAAACGTGGCCGACCCCCTTCATTGGCGGCGGGTATAGCGAATGGGCATTTCCGACAGTGGCATGTCCACTCCATGTTCTTCGCGGACAGCTGGAGGCCTTTCCCTAGCGTGCCTTGTTGGACATAATACGCACCCTTGCAGAACCCAGCCGCTGCTAGGACGTCGGTGGACGAAACAGTCGAGATTGGACTAATTGGCGGAGTCATTATTTGTGGCGACGGAGCACCATACATTGGCCCAGCGGAAGGCGAGATAGGCATCGAGTGTGGGGAGAGAAAAGGTGAGGCAACACGGGGGACAGGCCCAGCTGTTTGTGGAGAGATCGGAGTGACGGTCTCCATGATGTGGTCCGCTGAAGAGGTTCGCTGCAAGATCTTAAAGACGCCCCAAGACGACTTGCGCGATAGTCGCGACGAGCCAGAAGACTTTTCAGATTCGGGCTTGCCACTGCTTTTGGATTCGAGCGTTGCACTACGCTTGATCGACGGTCTGGCTGTGGACACTTCGGCCACTTCCTTCATCTCGTCTAAGCACGATTGCGGTATGTCTGGGGTAGGCTTCACCTGCGAGGCGCGCGGGGATGTCGAGACATCGGAAAGGGTATTGGACTTGGACCTGGCACGTTTCTGCTGGCGCAGATAAAGATCATTTAGGATGTTGACCGCGCGCAATCTGGCTCCTATCGCGGATTCGATGCAAGGCTCGAAGCTCATGGTGCCGTCATCTTTGCCAGCCAGTGTCAGAAACGCAGACTGGACTTCAATAGTCAAGTCTCGTAAAGCTCGATAAGCGATATCTGGGCCAGCGTCAACAGACTTGTCCTCCGATCTTGTAGCGCACCTGTGAGGAAGAACTGACCATCGCCTTGTTCATACGCCGCACCAAAACGTTGTACACCTTGTGCCTGAATCTTCTCGATCTCCCAGTGCCCTTCTTGGAGTGCTTCTTCGAGCTCATCGCTTGGAGGCAAAGCGCCCCTGGCCTTCCGCTGCTCTTTGATATTATCGACAATAGACCCGGCGTTCTTGTAGGCTGCAATGAGCGCTGTTACCGCGCTCGTCACAGCAGGACCGAGTTCCGCGTCGGACATGCTGAGCAGCTGGGATCAACGGCTCTGGTACGCAGAGGCGGGCCCCGTCTTGCCCGTTTTGGTGAGGCTGGCGTTATGGTCGAGCCGTGGTCATTGTTGCCTCGAATGGCAGGGTCAGTAGAAGCGCACGATGGGTGAAACTAGGTATGACTGCAAAACCCTGTGATGAATACTGTCATTCGAGTTGAAGCATGAGGCCGCCAAAAGCTAGCGAGAGCAGTGGGAGTATTGAAGCCGACCGGCACAGGCAGGCTGAGTGCCAGGCTGAACCGGCTCGGCTTGCATTGGGATGTTGTACGCGCCATGAAAGGTCTCGAGCGGACGTGTTCGCTTTGTGCCACGGGCGTCGATAGCCACGGTTGTTCCCTACCCGACACGCACATGCGGGAGAGCCAGCCAATTAAGAAGTGTTGGAAAGCTCGTGGCTGCATGGTAGCCACGAGTCCGTCGAGCCGGAGGCGGAGCTCGACGCTGCGCCCAGTTCGTCGATTGAGTTTGGCGCAACGCCATCACCATGAATGAGTCAGAACGAACTACGAGGGACCTTTAAGTGGAAAGCATGACTAGAATATTATCATGTGCCGAGCGAGGACAGTTGGAATCCGTTGAACCCTTAGAATGCATACGAATTGGCCTCCGAAGATCTGTGCAAGAACAATCGCGGCCGTTCGCAAGCGGGACGATGGCTTCCGAGATGGGGAGTAGCCGGCGCATGGCATACCGGGTCCACCAACCATCTCCCATGCTCAGCCTCATTCGAGCCCGCCTGTTCTCAGGCACTTACGGAGTACTGTGTAGGGGCTTTTGAACCCGCCTTCTTTGGTTGTTAAACGCCCCGCCTCGCCTTTCTCCAGCTATGTACTATGCATCCCGACAGAACCCTGTCCGTCCGTTCGAGCCGCTGATGTGCAGAGACTTGAAAGGCGTAATGCACGATACAGACAACTTTTCCAACAATTCAGGCCCTGTCTGGCCTGACCCGATCATCTCATCACTTCAATGTATACGTCCGTCCAGATTCTTTTCCTCTACCCAGCCAGGTACCGACAGCCTATTGCCCCTGCTGGATATAACGCCCCAGACTTGAGGAAAACCTCTGTTCAACGGTCCACCTTTGTGTGAGCTCCCTGGTATGGCGAAACGGGGAATTGCGTGCAAAGCAAATCCCTTCAACAACCCTTGCTGGATCAGGCTGAGGACCACAGACTCCACTTCAACCAAGGTCGGTGACTCCTCTGGGTCGTCGTCGTCAGGCGGATCCTGGCCGATGTATTCGTCATGGTATTGGCCTGTCTCTGGGTCAAAGCCCGTCTCCATGATCGCCTCGTCCATGCCCGCGAACTCGGGATCAAGGTATTTCTCTGTAGCCGGGCTATGCCCATTGACCACTTTTGTCGCGTCTTGCCTATCCAACGCCCACCTAGCTCCGTACTGAACATAGTTCAGCTTCAAGAAAGGTACCTTCTTCTCCTCTCCTTTGTATCCTACAAAAAGGAAACATTTGCGGATCAAACTTCTCCAAACAAGGATTTCGCACCTATTCCGCAGCTGGAACAGAACAGACCGCTTCAGGAACCACTGGCCGCTGTCGCTGGTCAGGTCGAGGTATTTGCGGAACGAGCCAAGGTCTCCGCTGCGAATAATCTTGCACAGAGGCGCGAATCGAACTCCAATGTCGGCAGCTTCTGGACGTGAAAGAAGGACTGGTGACGGGAAGCGGCCGACAATAATATTGGCTGCCACCAAGTAAATCAATATCAGCCTCCTGTGCTTCACAGCCTGGCGATGACACTGGTCGTATGCCGTCTGTAACATCTGTTGCGCCCGTAGGAAATGATTGTTGGCGAAATGGTATCGTCCAAGATAGTACAGGTATGTGACTCGTTGTGCCGCAGGGTAGAAGGAAAGCGGAGGGGACTGCGCATCAATGCTGTTGAATATCTGCTGCGCATTGCGCAGCTTGCGAGACCGCATGAAAAGCTTGAGAGCCGAATTTGCGGTCAAATAGATTCCGATTCGTCTGTCGTCTGGAGTAGGCCGTGACGTGCGCTGCACCCCAGCGCTGCCGGACAGGCATTTGATAAACGCCTCCCGCAGCACATTAGCCGCGTCCTCCACAAAGCTGACCTTTCCTGAACCTCCTTCCGCATCTTGAGCTTGTATGAGACTGCTGTCTCGTATGAGAGACGGATTGCGATCTAGATTCGTAGCAACAGCCGCTAACACGCGCGAGAATGAGAGCACAATAGGCAGCATGATGATGCCATATGTGCTATCTCCAAGCGCAATGACACACTGGCTTCACCTACAGTCAGCGCGTGTTTGACAATCAAACGATGCGACTAGCCTACCTTGTCAATTGCCGGATCTTCGTGGCTTTCGTCTGATTATCGGCCGTTGAAAAATCGCGGAGATACCGAAAATATTGGATGACACATTCCGAGAATGAGTTGCTGAACACTCCAAACTCTTCTTGTGGTAGAGATTGCTTGCATCTTGCAACCAGGGCACCGTCACTGCCTAGCGGGTATTTCTGGTTGAGTTCTTGATTCAGGTCGGAGTATGGCTTCCGCCGATCAGGGCTGAGGGCATCAAAGTCGAGCTGAATCAGGTCGGTGATCCGTTGTGCTGTTTTGTGTCTGACGCTGTCCACTATCTCTGTAAGGAACGAGTCGAGTACTGAGGCATTCGCCCCGAAAGGGGCCATGTTCTTTTACAACGCTGCCAGATTGTGCAGGCATCTGCTCTAGAGGAGGACAAGAGATGTTGTCTCGATGATTCAGAAATTCAAGTCCTTCGCCTCATTTCAGCATGTCGTCCCGACACGATACCGAGCAAAGTGGAGCTTAGAATAGATTAATGAGTGCGGCAGTGCCTGCAAGTTGTGTCTGGCTCACTGGTATGTATGTACCTAGGTATGTGATGAAAATTGCAGATGCTCGTTGTTCACGGCAGTCTTCATTTGCCGAAGCTTTCCCGGCTCCTATCTTCGGTCCTGCAGCACTGTACAGCCAAGTCCTGAAATCAAGCAACACCATCCTCTGCATTCGCCCTTCTATGTCACGTCGACTTGGCGGATATCATCCATCAGGCGGTCATGGTGCCCGAGCTTGCGAACATGCTGCCCAAGAACCTGGAAATGTACAGCATAGGCACGTTTCGAGTGCTTTTCTGCTGACGGACTGATGAGCTGAAGACCACACCTTTGTGACCAGAACCAGACGATCCCCTCTCTCGGCCCTGCAAAAATCGGGTGCCGTGGGCAGACCTCAGTCGTTGTGCAGCTTTGAGCTCGCTTCGTGGAACGCATGTCCACAAGCGTAATAAGGCAGAGGGTCACAAGCCGACACGTCAGCAAATGGCTCATTCGAATTGTGAGTGGCGCTAGCGCCAACCTGAGTGATATGAGGGGTCCTGACCTTGACAGACAGGCCAATAGCTCTGATAGGGAGATAGTTCATGTCAATTGACTGTCTTAGCCGAAGTTCACTTCTCGGTCCCAAGGACCATCTTTTCCCTCTCACTGTGGCGAGGCATACTCCCCTTTTTGCTGTGTTTTCGAACATTTTCCTCCTTCCTTTTAATCGCCTTGAGCTCCTCACCTTTGATCTCGCCAGCTTTCTTGACAGTCTTCGGCACGTGTCTGTGCCGCTTGATGCGTCGAATCTCGGGCATATGAGCATATCTCCGGATCAATGCCTGGTCGTATTCGAGTTTCTGCCGTTGTCTGGCCGACTTGACACCCTGGCGGCTAGAGGCGTCAACCCGCCAGAGTCGGACATTACCATCATCTGAGCCAGACAGAACGTAATTATTGTCGGGCGTAAAGCGACATGAGAATACTCTTTGCATGCGCTTGGTATGGTACACATCCCTTGAATGTCCTCGATCGCGATTCCATAAACGAACTGTTCGGTCATAGGAAGCACTGACCAGCTCCTCTCCAGTCGGGCCAAACTCGACGTCCATGACTGCTGCGACATGGTCTTTTAGGACATTTAGCGCCCTATCGAGCTTCCTCATATCAAAAATATAGATGTTGTGATCTTCGTTTGCCACGGCAAAATTGAATGCTTCCATGGGATTCCAGGATATAGCGTTTGAGGCTAATCGGAGAACAACTTTCGACAATGGTAAGGATGTGCGAAGATCGTAGAGTACAACCGCTCGATCGAGCGCGGCCGAGGCTAGGATGGATGTTTCGGTCTGGTTGAATGCGACGGCATTGATGGTGTCAGTCGATGTTGGCCACCGAAGTACTTGTGAGGGGCCTGAGGAGGGTCGCGACAGGTCATAGATAGATATGGAACTGGAGGCGGCAGCGAACGAAGGATGATCGCGATGGTGCGAGATACTTGTGAAGGCGCCTTGACCCAGGTAGGTTGCCAGAGGAACGCCACTCTTCTCACTGTTGTAGGGATCCCATACTTTGACTGTTTTGTCAGTCGCACAAGACAACAATCTTCTCTCAGGAGTCCAGCATAGTCCCCGGACCACGTTTTCATGAGCCCTTACACTCCAGACTTCATCGCGACTGCTGAGATCCCATACTTTGACCACGCCGTCGCCACTCCCACTGGCCAATCTCTCCAAGGATCCTGGGTCCTTCGCCATAGAATAGACCCCATCCACATGTCCTTGACCTAATTGCCCTATAAAAGGAGCGGCGAACATGCGTTCCATTTTGACTGCATTGAGTGCTCTGGTATATTCCCTCGCACGCTCGAAAGGGTGCTGCGCTGGGTCGAGATTCCGTGGTTGCCGCACAGCACCCTCGCCCGGAGGCGCAGGCGGCCTTGTTAAGGATTTGATTTTCTACGCTGAAGTTAGTCACGGCAAAAGGCAGAATGTTGCGGCGGGCATACCATATTGCGAGCAACATATCATGGACTCGGCTGATGCAGTTGTAGAGAGAATAGCCAACCCACACGATCAAGCGCAGGAACTTTTCTGTGGGGAAGAAGGCTGAGGGGAAAGCTGAGCGCAAGGCTGCACAAGGCTGACCAATCGGACAACACGCTTCCCAACCGCGTCTGCGGTTGCGTCGCTCATTGTGGCCTTTTGTCAATCCGTCTCCCTCGTTAATACCTCGCACAGCAACCTGGTTCTATTCAACCCTGCCACGAGAACACTTTCTTCCGCATCAGCCCACAATGGCGCCTCCTCCTTCGAACGAGACCAAGATTAATCAGGCCAAGAAATTGGTCAAATCAGATCCAGCGAAGGCAGAGAGTTTCTATAAGGAAATCCTCGCTCAATCGCCCGAGTCAAATCAAGCTGCGCTGAATGACTACGAGAATGCCCTGGTCGGACTAGGCGAGCTCTATAGAGACAACAAGCGGCCGGAGGAACTGGCCCAGCTGGTCAAGACAAGCCGGTCAACCCTGTCCTCGTTTGCGAAAGCAAAGACAGCCAAGCTGGGTATGTGGTGAATCCACTGCTGTTAAGGCAAGAGCTGACCAAGTCTCCAGTCCGACAACTTCTAGATCTCCTCGCAGACATCCCCGACACCCTCGAGATCCAGATCGCCACAACGAAATCGTGTATCGAATGGGCCAACTCCGAGAAGCGTTCGTTCCTTCGCCAGAACCTGGAGACAAGGCTTGTTCAATTGTACATGCAGAAACAGTCATACTACGATGCCCTCACCTTGATCAATAATCTCTTGAGGGAACTCAAACGACTGGACGACAAGCTTGTCCTCGTGGAGGTGCAACTGCTGGAGTCCCGGGTTTACCATGCTCTCACCAACCAAGCCAAAGCACGAGCAGCCTTGACGTCGGCAAGGACTTCTGCTGCTTCAGTATACACGCCTCCGCTCCTACAGGCTGGCTTGGATATGCAGAGCGGAATGCTGCATGCTGAGGACAAGGACTTCAACACCGCATTCTCTTACTTTATCGAGGCACTTGAAGGTTACCATGCGCAAGATGACACGGCTCGGGCGACATCAGCCTTGCAGTATATGCTTCTATGCAAAATCATGCTGAATCTAGGCGATGATGTCAACAATTTGTTGGCGTCGAAGCAAGCACAGAAATATGCAGGCACAAATCTGGAGGCGATGAAGGCCGTGGCAAGAGCACATTCGAACCGGTCGCTCGAAGAGTACGAACAGGCCCTGTCGAACTATCGCTATGAGCTGGGCAGCGACGTCTTCATCCGCAACCACTTAAGGCGACTGTACGATGCCATGCTTGAACAGAACCTGATTAAGGTCATTGAACCTTTCAGCCGCGTGGAGATTGACCACATTGCGAAGATGGTGGGTCTTGACACCGCCCAAGTCGAACGGAAGCTGTCCCAAATGATTCTTGACAAGGTCATTATTGGCGTCTTGGACCAGGGAGAAGGGTGTTTGATTGTGTATGATGAGGTTGAGCGAGATGCTGGCTACGATGCCGCCTTGGCAACTATTGAAAAGCTCAGCAATGTGGTTGACGTCCTTTACACAAACCAAGCAGCGTTGCTGGAATAGATGGCAATCGCGCTACCCCTTGGGTAACCAAGAAGGCCAATCTTGCCGTCCTAACAGCAAAGTATTTCGAACCCGGCACTTGGTCCGTCACATCTTCGGCAGGGCTTTTCAAATGGACCAAGGCCGCCTTTCCGATGCCCTGGCGATGCAAGGGAAGCTTGAAGATGTCAAGACGTCTCGGCGGTCCGTCGGCAGCGGCAATGCAGCATTCCAGCATGCTCGGCCAAAGTGTATTATTGCCGCGGCCAACTGGCTGAGCTGTAACCATAGAGACAAGGCAATGTGATCGTCCAAGGGTCGATCATGGAGTGCGTGGGTTGACTCTTTAAGCGGATAGAACAGCAAGTAAAAGTGACGTGGCGATAGGCGGGTTTATACTCCATAATTCTAGAACGCTTACGGAGTACGGAGTGGCTATGTATTATGGTAACTCGTGCCTGGAAGCGAGAACACCGTCTTTGTCATGCAACTGGTGGGTTCGTGGAATCGGTTTGTCTGGGCCCCGCCACTGAAGTCTTCAGGCGCCGAAGCCTCGATCACTTCCAAGCACTGTACAACAGATCTCCTGCTGAGGCTACAACCTTCTACCTTGCCGTTGTCAAACTTAATTCTTTGTAAAAGACCGTCCTTTCGACACCGTTTGCCGATTCTGGTCACTGGTTGTTCTTAGCCCCCATACGTAACAAAGCCAACACGGTATACTCAAAGCGCATTTGTTCTCGGCTCGAGAAGTGCCCCGCGATCGCGCTCGACGCCGATTGCGCTCGTCTCAGCTTGTCCGGAGCCCAACTTTTCCGAGTCGCATTTTGCATTTGCACTTGGACATCTGTTCTGAGATTCATATTACAGTATCAGGCCAGTCGGCCTTCCGGGGCATCTAAGATGGGTCAGAAGTGAGCGCGGTCTAGTGCAGTCGCAAAAGAGTCTCGGTTGGGACGCTCAGGCTGATTGCGGTGTCCAGACAATCCAAGTTATCGCCGCAACAGCTGGAAGAACTCCAGAAGTCGACGCACTTTGACAAGAAAGAACTACAGCAATGGTACAAGGGTAGGTCACAAAAGCAACCGGCGAGCATGTCTGCGCGGGAGTTTGCCCGTAAACAATTGCGGCTGACCATATTTCGCGTCGCAGGCTTCCTGAAAGACTGCCCGTCAGGCACCCTCACAAAAGAAGAATTCCAGAAGATATACCGACAGTTCTTTCCCTTTGGCGATCCTAATTCGTTTGCCGACTATGTCTTCAAGGTGTTCGATTCGGACAAAAGCGGGACCATCGACTTCAAGGAGTTCATTTGTGCTTTGAGCGTCACGAGTCGAGGCAAGATGGAGGACAAATTGGATTGGGCGTTCCAACTGTACGATATTGATGGGGATGGCAAGATCAGCTATGATGAGATGTTGGCGATCGTGGAGGCCATCTACAAGATGGTAAGTGGCCCTGCTACGGAGACCGACATTAGCTGACACTGCTTGCTGCAGGTGGGTTCAATGGTAAAGCTGCCTGAAGATGAAGACACGCCCGAAAAGCGGGTGAGGAAAATCTTCAGAATGATGGACAAAGACGAGAACGGTAGTCTCGATATGGCCGAGTTCAAAGAAGGGAGCAAGAGGGATGAGACGATTGTGTCGGCTTTGTCGCTGTACGACGGTCTGGTATGATTGGCAATAGACATCCCTTACTCAACAGTTGTCCTGCACCATATCCGGGCGACGAGCACACACAACAGCAGAATCTTTTCGGTATCTTCAGTTTTCATACTTCAGAAGCCGGCGGCTTTGTTGTGGCAGCAGTAGGCGAAGGCGGCGCTTTGAAACACGCAGACTCGGAATTGCATCGCATGAAAGAAAGCGAGAAGGGGCTTGGAAATTCGACGTCAAAGAGTTGTCCAGCAGAGGCATGAAAAGACGCCGTTCATGGGGAAGGATGACTTATCATGAGTTGAGACCTTAACAAGTTCATTTTGCATGCTGTACAACTCCGATAAAGGCACCCTGTCTGGTGACGTGAAGCCCGCCGCGTCTCCGCGCTCTGTGAACTTTTGTACCCACAAACGGAATCAGGCGCATGCGGGAGAATACATCTTTGCTCACCACCCTATCTGGATCACTATTACGATAGTCCAATCTCACGCCCGCAAAAGCACTGAATCTTCACCCTCTTTGTCCTCGACCGTACCTCGCACCCGCCCACCGAACCATGAGGTGACACACCGTCCGATCCTTTGCCGCCTATCCCCATTGTACAATTCCAGACTCGACTGAAGCTCGCCGGCCATGGTTCGAAAGCTCCCCTTAGCCGTTATCGGCCTATTGTGCTCAGGGCACGCCGCATGTTTCTATCTTCCTGGCGTCTCGCCCTCATCCTACTCACTAGGTGACAGCATTGAGCTCTATGTCAACACCCTGACACCTGCGATTTCCCGGCATGATGAGCAAATACACGCAGTGGTTGGTTTCGACTATTACCACCCGGGCTTCCACTTCTGCCAGCCTACGGGAGGACCACAATCAGTGAGAGAGTCACTAGGCAGCATCATATTTGGGGACCGGATAAAAACCTCCCCTTTCGAGCTGCGCATAGGAGTGAACGAAACATGCAAAATTGCATGCAAGGGCGAAGCCTGGGACGAGAAGTCGACGAAGTTTGTAAACAGGAGGATCGAGGAGGCATACAACGTCGAGTTGCTCGTTGATGGCTTGCCAGCCGCCGAACTGAGGGAAGATCCCCTGACACACGAACGCTTCGCCAGCCCCGGCTTTCCGCTGGGTAAAATACAAGAGGATGGAACCAAGGCACTGAACAATCACTGGGATATCATCATTGACTACCATATGGCGGGACTTCGTGGATTGAAGTATCGTGTCGTTGGTGTCCTTGTGCAGCCGTCATCCCATGCCGATGCCCGGTTGAAAGAGAATAACCAGCCCGATTGTGCATTCGGCTCGGGGCCTCTCGTCCTGAACGAGAATGGAGGATCACTGGTCACGTACTCCTACAGCGTCTACTGGCGTCTCTCAGACACTGCCTGGGCAACACGATGGGACAGGCTACTCCACATTGTCGACCCTAAGATCCACTGGTTTTCGCTCATCAACTCGGCCATATTTGTCGTATTCCTGCTGGGCATGGTCAGTACTGTCTTGGTTAGGGCGTTGCGCAAGGATATCGCTAGATACAACCGGCTTGACAACATCAACCTTGACGATCTTTCTGGCACATCTGCCGTCGAGGATGACATTCAAGAGGATTCGGGTTGGAAATTAGTGCACGGCGACGTCTTCAGACCACCACGCTATGCACTCTTACTGAGTGTCCTACTCGGAAGCGGGGCCCAGCTCTTCGTTATGACTGCAACAACGGTTGCCTTTGCGATGCTAGGCTTTCTCTCACCTTCAAACCGAGGCTGGCTGACCTCCATAGGTCTGCTCCTCTACACCGTCTTTGGCTGCATAGGTGGCTACGTGTCTGCCAGAGCGTACAAGAGCTTCGGCGGCGAGAAGTGGAAGCTCAACATTGCGGCCACGCCTGTGTTCGTGCCGGGCATCGTCTTCGGCTCATTTTTCCTTCTCAACCTCTTCGTCTGGGCAAAGGGGGCAAGCGGCGCAGTCCCTTTTACGACCATGCTCGCCATCATCGCAATCTGGTTCATCATCAGCGTACCACTGAGTGTCGCTGGTGCATGGTACGGCTTCCGATCGCCCGCGATCGAACCACCCACTCGTGTCAATCAAATCCCGCGCCAAATTCCTCCCGTGGCGCGCTCTCTCAAGCCACTACCTTCGCTGTTACTTACAGGCATCCTGCCCTTCTGCGCCATCTTCGTCGAACTCTACTTCATCATGACTTCACTCTGGACCAGTAAGATCTACTATATGTTCGGATTCCTGTTCATTTGCTACGCCCTGATGGCTATGACCTGCGCATGTACCACTATCCTCCTTGTGTATTTTCTGCTTTGTGCGGAGGATTATCGCTGGCAATGGCGGGCGTTCTTTGGGGCGGGAATGACCGGTGGCTATGTCTTCCTGAATGCATTGGGATTCTGGGTGACGAGAGTAAGTTTTGGGGGTCTTACGGGCGCGGTGCTTTATGTTGGCTATTCTGCTTTGATCAGTTTCCTGGTGGCAGTGCTCACAGGTAAGACACTGCAAGTGCTTGAAAGATGTGAAGACAGGGCGCTGACTTATAAACAGGTACCATCGGATACCTTGCATCTTATGCATTTGTTTACCGGATCTATGGGTCAATTAAGGTTGACTGACTCCATTGTCCGATAGTGTATTATCAGCGATGATGTCTGCTGCTTGGCCCGGCGTTGGAGGTTACTGTATAGAGGCGGATGTGAGCCTGACACCAGCATTGCTTGCAACAATCACATTCAACACACGAACATGAAATTCTCCTGGCCAGTCCAGCCTCATCACTAACTCGTTCACCTGCTGTCGCTGAGTCGTCAGCGCCTGTTTTTGGCAAGGCCACATAGGACATGTACCGTTATCCCCGCTTGCCGCCATGCCGCGGCGACGGAAGTGAACCCGGGAACGGATGTATCAAGTCATGCTAGAATCCAAAGTGATGCATACCGTCCGAGGTAACGCACGAAATGCTTATCGGAGTGGCGTGTTGCAATAGTGCAGCTCTGGTGCGAGAACTGTGGTCAACGCTGGAGCACAAGTGACGATCCCCCTACCGCCAGGAACAAGAAGGAGAAGCAGAAAAGGCAAAGCCACGCCTGATGTTTCATATGCATGCAGACAACACATGCTCACTCGTTGGAATCTTAGGCCTTGGTGGGTTAATACTGTGCTAGGCGGCCCCAAAAGGAGAAATTGGAAGCCGAATCGGAAGGGAAAGTGATCAGCGCGAGAAAAGTGTGATCGTCGATGGATTTCCGTTTAGGAAGCAGGTCACACAAAGTCGGATTATTACTCGTATTGCTCCTGAGTTTCGGCATATTGACTAATCGTTATGTTCGACGGTCGGAGGTTTTGGCGCGCTGATCTATGTGGTGCTGCTCATTGCCCTCTATCCGCCATTTTGACCAGTCTTACGGAGTACGTGCGCGTATGATCGAGGCACACACGCAGGAGAACGTGCGGTTATCTGAAAGGCACACAAGCAGTTAGATTCGTGTGGAGTAATGTAACAATCAGAGTCGCCGCCACCAGATCTGTGGCAGACATCGCCCTGACATACCCGGTACACAATACTCCGCAGGCTCACCAGTACGGAGTAGAGCTGAAGGTGACTGAGGGGTTCCCGAAAGGCCATGCTATCGTGCCAAACCAATCCAGTCAGTCTGCAGAATACGAGTGCATAAGCACAAAGGCCTATGAGCGGAAGACTGCCGTCGAAATCCCAAAAGCAAGTGGACGGAATGATGCGGGACACGTCCAGGGCCACCAAGAGGCGTGATCCACGGTTGCATCATGCTGTCTGCCACAGCACAATCCGTCGCCGAACAAGACGACTGAGACGGCTAGAAGTGAGACGCCGACTTGCAGTTGAAGACGCAGCAAATTGTCTCCTTTCAGAGACAGTCTGGTCGCGCCGGATAGGAACAAGCAAAGCTTCGCAGGGGATGAAGCAATGGCCAGTGTGTCTAGTGGTGTGAGCATGAATCTGCTGCAGGAGGTGCGTGGGTGGCACCCACAGCGTCCACTCCAAGACCCCAAGCCCCCAAGCCCCCAAGCCCATCGGTAGGCGCGCCGCAAGCCAGCCGATCTTTGTTGGCGGTCGGAACTGTCCTAAAGAAGTTCTACGTCATCTTGCATGATTGCAGCCGACAGCCCAGTGGCACACGCCGTTCGCCTCACAGGTCTGTCTCTTGCCAGTCTTTAGCAGCCGTTGGAGTTCCTTCTCTGCCAACAACACCGACTCAAGAGTCCCGTTCCTCGTGTGTTAACAGCACTGACTGACCTACGATTCTTTCCGTCCCTTCCTCTGACTCGGTCGCTGGCCGTCTCCACCTACCGTTGCCACTCTACCCTGTGCTTCCGGGTCACAGGCTCCCATTACATCGACAGTCACCTGCATTGCCTTGGCTGGGCCATACTTCGCTCAACTGCTCGATAATCCGTCGTCTCTCACATCCTCTAACCACGCCCTCCTGCCGATCTAGTAACTCCATGCCAAAATACATCGGCCGGCCTATCCAGCATCGGTTGATGTAGGAGATCGGAACCGTCGAGTAGTCTCGCACTTCCCCCGACCGATCCTGCGGTTTTGCTCTCCATGCCTATCCTTCAATTGCGACGAGGTTGCAGACGCCGAAGTTGGTGGATCGAGTGTCTGCATCCACAAAGATGAAATCATCAAAATCGTCGCGCATGGGGATGCCAGCTCGCGGACGATCTTCACGCAACAATGAAGCGCATGGCTCGTCGACAAAACCTGAAGATGATCTCGTCTCGAGGGAGAACAGAAGTGGTAACAACGCGCCTTCACAGACGTCGACACCAGTTCACCACCAAGTCACAAATGTATTCGCACGTGAAGGATCCAGTGGGATTGAAGCAATGCGGCGGAGGATGAGTGCGGCTCTGGCACAGAAACAACAGCAGCGCGCTGCTGCCGCTGCTTCGAGCGGGTCTTCAGACTCCACGAAACAGGACGAGTCGTCGGAGCCTACCGCGTCTCTCCAGCATACAGAGTCCAGTTCAGATGAATCAGTCAACACTGGCGGTCTTTCGACAGACTCTGCCCGAACTATCAGGGCTACTTTTGACTTGACGCCTGGCTCTGTTAGGACGCCCTCATATCCATTCCCCCGCATGGCGTTACGGCTCAACCGCAACCTTAGCCACCGTTCTGGTCCTCACCATAAACCCTTTACCCTGTTGTCTCCCACAAACGAGGCGCCTCTCAGTTCGGAACCTTCACAAGCCCCGCAGCCTCATCGGCAACCATCATCCTCAGATATGAGTACCCCGATAGGTCAGGCACCTACAAGCCCTGCGTACCCTGAAGACCCTAATTTCCCAACGCCTGATCTCTACGACATTATCCTTATGCTCAATGCTGAACCCGGCCTAGACATGTGGTGGGCCAATGTCACTGAAATTTTATCGGAGATATACGGCGCTGAACGTGCGTCTCTCGCCATTCCGGGTGACATTACTGACTTGGAAAATGTACCGTGGGGTCAGAAGGCCACCTACAACATCAACGGGAGCGAAGGTGTTGAACCTTCGCAGTTCAACTCGACGACGGCCTCCGCCGCCGATGTCAATTCCATAGGACGCCGGCCTGAACCCACAAGCAGGATACCGAGTGAGGCAAGTTCTGTGCCTATACGACGCCCACCTCTTTTGTCAAGACATTCTATTGCGGGCCCAGCTCCAGATTCAGCAGCAAGACTTGCCCGCCAACGCCCTCCTGGGCCTGTACGCGCTTACAGCACCATGCCGAAAGAGCAGGAGGAGGCCTCGGTAATCTCGTCCGTCTTGCCCAGGTTGACCAGGCAAGCCGCTACTCCTCGATCTTCGTCTGTAGCTGAACTAGACCCGTTATCACTGAAGGGGCAGCTCAACTCAACTGGGTCGGCTTCATCAACCCTCCGCTGTTACGTCCATCGTTCGATACAGCCTTTGGAAGCGGAGCCCGACCCGCTTCTTATCCGCACAGGAGTCGCGTCTCTGTTTGGTAAGAGAAAGCCTGTAGTGTTAACAAGGGCCTATACCGAGACTGCCCAGAAGCAGTCACCCATGCTCAAAGGTAAGGAGCAAAACAGAAGCGCACCACCTACGCCGCTAGGAGCCCCGGGTGAGCGCAGGAGCTCTGTCTCTGAAGACTCGCATGCGTCACAAGGTTTTCTTCGTGCTTTTGACGAATATGAGCAGCCGGAGCCCTCTCCATGGTCGCAGAGCCCGTCACCTTCGCCTGCTGCTCGACCTGATCCAGCCGAGTCACCTTTCTTCGTACAGCCAACGGCATCCATTGACGAAACCGCTTTTGAACAGAATCCTCCCGCTTACGATTATGCAACCACCGCCAATCAATCATTAAGCGCAATAGGCGCAGATATGTCGAAGACACTGATCCATGTACCGCTCATCCAACCCGTGTTGGCCAGGGGGACGATGGCGTCCAATTTACGCTTTCCTATTGCCGTCTTATCGTTCCTCTCTCCTCTAAACCCGTATCCACGCAGTTTGCGACATTCTTTGGAAGCTCTTTTGCCCCATTTGGCAAGCTCATATTCATTGGCGCAGCAGTACAGCGCGCTCCAAGACCGTCTGAGAGGTACAACAGGAAGCAGACACGGCGCAGCATTTGGCCTTGGCGGCACATTTTCCGACGAAGGCTCTGAATTGGAACTCGTGGCGGAGCTCAGCGGCCAGATTGCACAGGATAAAGAAAATTCCAGGTCATGGACTTCGCAGGAGGGTCATAGTCCGGGAATTTTACGGGACAGTCCCGGTAGCTCCGTAGTGAGCACGCCACTGATGGAGCAATTCGGCCTGAGCACAAACCAGCCACCAACGCCAGGCGGGAAGACAGGCGCCGAGATGGTCGACAGCTATTTCTCGGCCAGAAGACAGCGAGGCAGTCATCAGCCGCTCACGCCGGGTCCCAGACCTTCAAAGGACGACGGAGAGCAAGCAAAATCATCAGCCGAGAAATCTGCAGGGTCAAAATCGACTGGCAAGAAAGTTGTAGGTGGTACTGCGCGATCACAACCCGAGCCCCATAGTCCGATGCCGATCCGGACAGCAAGCACCGCTTCTGAAAGTGAAGGAGGAGATCAATCTTTCGGCACGTTCGATAGGATGGACAATTCACTCCGGCGAAACACGGCTCGACGTGTGAGCGAAAACAAGGACGATGGTGAGAGGCCGTTGCCGGAGCTGATATCCTCCTTAATGCTCAACGCAGTTCCACTACAGTTATTTCTGGCCAAACCAAACACAGGCGACTTGGTGTGGACAAATCGCAAATTCGACGCCTTCAGGAGTCAAGGGGAGGGCCGAGTGCGTGATCCTTGGAAGAATGTCCATCCGGCAGATAGAAATGGACTGGTTAAGCTGTGGAACGAGGCGTTGAGAACAGGCAGTCAGTTCACGCACTACATTCGCGTCAAGCGATTCAACAGCGATAGCGACTACCGATGGTTCGTATTCCGCGCAAGTACGCTGCTCAGCAACAACGGTCGGCTTATATACTGGATCGGCTCCTTCTTGGATGTGCATGAGCAGTACATGAAGAATCTTGAGGCCAGCGAGAAGGAAGCCATTATGACCCGCGACAGCAAGATCCGTGCACTTGCCGACGCAATTCCGCAAGTCCTATTCGAGGCCATCGAAGGGGATGGTATTGTGGCCGTAAACCAGCAATGGCATTCATACTCAGGCCAAACCCTCGAGGATGCGCGGGGATTGGGCTTCGCGAAACACGTGCACCGCGATGATCTCCATAAGTGCGGAATACTCTCACCGATGGAGGTTGCTGCCATAGTACGGTCACCGACCACGAGTTCTTCGTCCAGCGAGTCAAACAAAACCATTGGGCCGCCGCCGCCTGCACAGAAGAACCTTTTCTCGCCAGATCTGACTTCGTTAGACCGCATGATCAAGTCAGGGTCGGTGGTCGTGGAGAAGGATGAGAACGGACGTCTGTCTTATCTCACAGAAGTTCGGCTGAAATCCAAAGGTGGCGGATATCGCTGGTTTCTCGTAAGGCTTGTTCGAGTCGACACCGGGCTGTGGCAAAGCCAAAGCGGAAAGGCTTCGTGGTACGGGACCTGCACAGACATTGAAACACGCAAGACTCTTGAGCGAGAGCTGAATCAAGCAAACGAAAAAGTGCATTCGGAAATGGAGTCCAAGACAAAGTTCTTTGCAAACATGTCTCACGAGATTCGAACGCCGCTCAATGGCATTCTGGGCAGTATGCCATGGCTGGTGGACTCGGAACTCGATCACGATCAGAGGAGGACAGTAGACACCATCCAAAACAGCGCGAACAACTTGCGGGAATTAGTTGACAATATTCTTGACGTTACCAAGGTTGAGGCTGGAAAAATGACGCTGCTCCCAAAGTGGTTTCATGTCCGCAATCTTTGTGAGGAGGTGGTGGACACCGTCTCATCTCGAGCCATCGAACGTGGATTGGAGCTGAATTATTCTCTGGAAGCTGATGTCCCCACCATGGTGAGAGCAGACGCGTTCAGGGTCCGACAGGTGCTGCTCAATCTGCTTGGCAACTCGGTCAAATTCACGGAGCAGGGAGAAGTGTACATGCGATGTTCATTCCGTGAGACCGCTCCCGCAGCTGAAACGACCGGCTCTCAGCATCCCGGCCTCCTCTACTTTGACGTAGTTGACACGGGACGTGGGTTTAACGAAGACGACTTCAAGCGCCTGTTCAAGCAATTCGGCCAGGTCGGCGGGGCTAGCAGTCACGAGGCTGGCTCTGGCTTGGGACTCTTCCTTTCTAAGCAACTGGTGGAGATGCACGGCGGAGAGCTTTCGGTGAAAAGCAAAGCTGGAGAAGGCTCGACTTTCAGTTTCTTCATCAAGGTCGAGATTGCTCCTCCGGGTTCCGAAGTAACATCGCCGCCAACCACTGCACGAACTGCACAACAGAAGCACATCTCGCCCATCGCAAGGAGCCCTCGGACACGATCCGACAATAAGACCCCCACCATTGCTTCTGCCAGGGGCGCGTTACAGAACGAAGGTGTCATTCAGACACCTGGCCTGTCCCGATACGTCAGCTCTCCTCCAGCACAGACATCGGAGTTGCCGTCACCGGTTGTATCGTCGCCATCTGTTGTTTCACCACCTGTTCTTCCATCAGATAGCTCAAGTTTATCGAGGCGATCGAATTCGGGCAACATAGTGTCCGTCTCTTCGGCGACTTCCTTGATCCGCACGCCAGACTCGGCACCAGCCCACGAATCCGCGGTCTCTACGGGGGAGCGACGGGGCTCAACTGAGAAAGCCACTCCCACCCCTCCAGCCTTCAAGAGAAGTAAGAGTGACAACGATGGAAGCGTGCTGGGGCCTGAGCTGGCGCATCCACACACGTATTCAATTGTCATCATCTGCCCAGCCGAACATGCTGGGATGGCCATCAAGCAGCACATTGAGCACGTCGTGCCTCACCAGATTGCAGCCAACGTGACGACCATAGCGGACATCGGCTCGTTTTTGGAGCTCTTGAATGGCCCTGGGTCGCCTACGTTCACACACATCGTGCTAGACCTTCCCGCTTCCTCGGATATCATGTTATTCATGAGACAAATGGTCAACTACAAGGCGAACATAGTGCCTGCGCTGGTGGTCATAACGGATCATTACCAGAAGCGTGATATTCTGGAAGACTTTACGGCGCTGACTGCGAGTGGACGGCGAGCATACATGATTCACAAACCGGTCAAGCCTTCGGTGTTCGCGATGATTTTCGATCCGGCACAGTTGCGCAACTTGAGCAAGGACCGGGCACGCGAAGTGGCGCAATCAAGCTCAGACGACTTCCGCAACATCGCCAACCTTGTCAAGGAGAAGATCGGAGGGAAAAACTTTCGCATCTTGTTGGTTGAAGACAGCGATGTGAATCGCATGGTGATCCAAAGGTACCTCAAGAAAGTATCGCTGTCGAACGATTGCGCCAAGGATGGTCAGCAATGCGTGGACATGGTGCTGGGTAAGGATCATAGGTACTACTCGCTCATCATTTGCGACATTCAGATGCCGATCAAGAATGGCTATCAGGCATGCACCGAAGTGCGGGAGTGGGAGAGACGTCACGGGTACCGACCGTTGCCGATCATGGCGCTGACAGCAAACGCTATGCCAGAGGAACGAGCAGCAGCGGCTGACGCTGGATTTACTGACTATCTCACCAAGCCGGTGGATTTCAACGTGCTGGGAACCATGATGATGACGCTACTGGATACCTCCTTGCCACACGTGTTTCTATCTGATAGGCCGCCAGAAAATTGAAATTTCCGGGGCGCAGGGAAGCGATTGTCGGAAAGGAAAGGCTTGGAAGCGTGCGCTGTACATGACGGGGGTATGGGCGTTGCAGATGATTCACTCGGTATTTGAGCAGATCCCTCGCGAGCATTTTTTGTTGGCATTGGCGTTTGTGGAATTTCATGGCGGCATGTTTTGCATGCTGTTCCCGGGTATGGCGGGTGGGATACTGTATAACGTCCCGGATGGCGACAGCAGCAGCCACACAACGGGCTAGGAGGCGTGTGGACCATCAATCCAAAGGCCTGATGGGGAGCATCGGTCTACCGACACGGACGTCTCTATGGCAGCGGGTTCAAATGTCGTTGATAACGTTCAAGCAAAACCGGAGGGAAATTGCCCTTGACGAGAAAATGAGCGGCATGAATGGGCTAGGCAAGCATTAGCATTGGGAGAGAAAAGGATTTGGCTGTTGGCGATGACGGCCAGCTCAGCTGGCGTGGCAGGACCTGTTTCAGTAGATATGTGTTCGACATCACATTACGTCGTAATGTCTAAGTAATGAGCCGAGTTTGATCTTGGTGCCTGTGACGCTGTTGGTGCTGGCCTCTGTGCTCGCCAAGGCTTCCCCCCCATTTGGCGGCGCTTTCAGGCGGCTGTTGGAGGAGCGGTTCAAGTGACACAGCGCAGCTGCCAGTCATTTCCGTCCCACTTGCCCCCAGTGGCTGCATTGGCCCCTACCCGCTCAACGCCCACTGACTGGCGAGACAGGCCCAAGTCCTCAAACACACGGGATGCTCTGCTTCATGTCGACGTCCTTCTCCAGGTCGCTTCAAAACAACTCTTTCCCTGGATCGTCTGCCCCAATCAGAGCATGAACGCAAGTGCTTGACACACACTCCCAACGTCCACGCTCACCGTGGGTGTGGAGGCGAGTATCTCTTTCCGAGTGCTCGGCTACCCTCCGCCAACCAGTCCGTGACCGTCCTCGAGTGCCAATCCCGGACGCCTAGGTTGGTAACCTCCACGCACTGCGGAGTTGTGACTGACGCCCACAGCAGCCGACAGACCGCGGACGAGACCCTCGAGCCAGTGCCTGCACGTCCCAGACCGAAGCACCATCGCCCCTCCGTCCGCGCATTGCAGCTGCACACCATCACCTCACGTTCCCACGCCAGCGCTTGACCATTTCCTGACCCTGCCTCGCGCTGCTTTCAGCCGCCTCTCACGTCCTCTCATGCCGCGCTCAGGCTCCTGAGCCCCTCGACCCTCGTTTCCGCACATTGCGCGCGCAAAAAATATTCTGGAAGTCCAATACCACACTTTCCCCGTGCTCACTGGGCGTGCGAGACAGCTGCTGTCCGCGCTCGAGGTACCGCGAGACCGCCAAACCCTCAGCACTCTCTCTGCTCTGCTACCCCTTGCTGTCCCTATGTGAACGCCTGGAACGAATCGCCGCTCCTCCCGCCTTCCCCCCTGCCCATCTCAATCACGAACCTTCTCCGTCCTCGCTCCATTTGATGGCCACCACTCCCCGTCCGCCGCTTCGCCTCTAGATCCCGCGACTAATGGCCTCGAGTCCTGGCAAAATGCCTCATCGACCCAATGATCGTCCTCGACTTCCTGTGCCCTCCCCTCAGCTTCCTGACTCGGCTTCAGCTGAAATTCTGATCTCCCACCCTGGCCTCTTCTGCTCATGGAGGGGGTATCTCGACTCCCTATGGTCGGCTGAAGACTGATGCTTCTCCTCGGTCTGCCGGGCGGAAGGTCACGGACGGTGCCGACCCTGCTTCGAAACTGTCTTTGTCCGCTTCACATTGGTCCTGCCCGTCTCATCATCCTGTTCATGAAGCGGGGTCGGTGGGTGTTGCATGACACCACCCCCCCTTATCCATCAATCACGTTGATCTGCTCAAAGGTGGGTGATGACCTGGCAATCTCCTCCCTGGCTCCTCTGTGACGGGAGTAGCGCTCATCATGGCCTATAAAAACCCGTGTCATCGTTCCGGAAACCTTTCTTTCTCCTTCTTCCTTTCATACCACTCCCTCCCAGACATTGAACGAGCATCTCCTTGATCCACCAAGTCCTCTACTTGCCTAGGCACCTCTCTTGATCACAATTCGCTTGCACTTCACTCTCACCAGTCGCAGTCACTGAGCTTACTCCTCCTTCCCATCTCTTGCAATGGCCACCACCACCTATTCCCGTCATCCCGTCAGCTATGGCAGCCATCAGAAGGCCCTGCCAGTTACATTGCCACCATCCGGCAAGGGTCCGATCTACACTCAACCTATTTCGCGTGTTGCCGATGCCCCGGATTTTTCGGACTCCAGTACATCTTACAGCAGCAGCGGCCGGTCCGGCGGCTCCTTTTCCGTCAGGTCCGGCTCCAGCTATGCCGGAAGCCACAGCGGCACAGACTACGAGTCTCACTATTCACGCCCCGGAATAGATGTCGTCGACGAGCTCAGCGAGAGAATGAATTCAGCCTTCGATCCGATCCGGATGGATAAATCACTGGCAAAACAGGCGCAGACGTAAGTGGCCGGATTTTCAACTATCATTCACCCGCTGACCATGCGAAGATCCGGCGAGCTCAACGCCAAACAGCGGGAATTGCGAGAACTGCAAGCAATGGCACAGCGCAGACTGGGTCGCGCAAGAGTCAATTTCGCCGAAGGCGTGGAAGCGGCCAAGGAAGCCAGGCGCGACGTCGAGTACACATCCAAGAAAATCTCGTAAGTTAAGCGCGCACCGACTTTAGAAAATCCAGCTGACGCTCCGCTCTGCAGATCAATGAAATCCAAGGCTGAGAAGAAACATCCCGAAGCATATGCCAAAGCAAGCCGCAGCCGCCATGCATAAGTCCACGGCTATTACGATTCACGATGCTACGAATTTCTTTGCCTTTTCACGCCCGGAAGGTTTCTTTCCGTCCTCTATCTTCCTGGAACTCCGCGTGTCCGCTGCGCGGGTGGTCTGAGAATGACTCTTTTTCCGCTGACTGCCGCTCCGCCCAAACGATTGATCGACGTCTGACAGCAGCAAATCAGAATCCTTCAGCAGCCTCGAACACTCATTCGCCGGGAGCCTCGAATGCGGCCTTGGCGGTCTTCCGCCGTGCTGTTGACGTGGCAGTGATTTTAGGGTTCCGCTCCACCCCGCGAAATGGGTCCAGATTCTCGCTGCTTTTGCCCCGCATGGCCCTGCCAGGGCGATGGCGTGCATGACGCCAGCCCCATTTCTGCAACCAGGAAAACTGCCAGTGCCGAACTTGCACTGCAGCGATCGACTGTGCAGCAATCCAAACGATCCAGCCAGCAGACGCCGAGCGGGTGCCACGCGCAATCTTCATGCAGGTACGACTGTCATTTTTCTGACCCTTCGTCCCACTCTCCCTGCGGTCTGATTGGGTGTCGAGCTCCCCAGGCCGTTTTTGAGGTGTTTGCTACAGCCACCAGCTTCCCCTCCTCTCAGTCACATGGCCTGCGACCTTGCAGGTGACGGAGCAAGGAAGCTGCAGATGGTGTGGGCATGGTGGTGTGCTGGCTAAGCCAGATTTGGAGCCGAACCCGGCCAGGTTGGTTGTGACGGGGCTTGGTGGTGGGAGGGTTCTGCTGTGATCATTCTCTGAGTTCTGCCGCAAATGTGAGCCGAGCTGGGAGGCCTCTTTCTGACCGGTGGCCTGGATCTTTCCCCCTGTCTCCCTTTATTCCCCCATGTATATTTTACCGAGGATCTTTGGCAGTTGCAATCGAGAAGTTGAAAACTTGGCCGACCCGGCACTTAGCCTGGGCTCGGGGCTCTCAGGTCGCTGTAGGCTAAGGGCCCAGCGTATGGGCTGAAGTCAGGCCTACAAAGGAAGTCCTCGTAGGGAGGATAAAGGCAGCCCAGGGCAACTCTCCAGGCGTCAGAACAGCCCCTGTCCCAGAGCCCGTGCTTTGCTCTCTTTGCCCGACTGAATGTGCCTATTGTAGTGGTAAGAGGGGGCCCAAGTGGGTGGCCCCTAGGGTTCCCGCCTAACCAGGGGATAAAGCACCCTTATGTGCTTTCTACGGCCAGGGCCATCGGCCGTAACCCAAGTTCAGTAGGCTCTCTGTGCTGGGGAGCCGTGAAGACCTCTTTTGCTTGCACCCAAGCACGCTTTGGTCGTAAGCAGGTACCATATCGCGGACTGAATGACCACAGACCGACCACAGTAATCTTGATACTTGGGCCGGTGTGGCAGACCAATGCCGTAGTATTCTTGCCTTCTGACATGCCATGACCACAACCATAAGTTGCCACAGGTACAGTAAGTACCTTACTCGGGATGACTAGTATATACCTACCTGTACAGGCACAAACTCCAAACGGTATACATAGACATGGCTAACTCAAGCCTCCATACTCTTTCTAGCTGTTCTCTTCTACGGTACATAGAAGCCTACGTTGTATTCGTGACGCGGCAACTCCAAGAGGGCTAGATGCCGCCACGGGCCCGCCGCGGCCCGGAACGACGAGGCTCTGCTCTGCCCTGCCGCGGCAGCCATGACACGGCTGGCTGGCTGGCTGACGGCCCTTGGTTCGTTCGTTGGTCCGTGTTGCGCGCGCAAGGGAGCACGACATGATCACTACTCCGTACCAGTGGCGCTATCAAAGGTACGGAGTACTATCCATGCCAATGTCAAGATCACTGTCGATGTCCCGATGTCCCGTCGAGTGTTCGCGCCAGCCACAGAGCTTAATCAGTCTCTCGTTTCGAAGCGACGGACGCGGTGTGATCACTGATGGATGGGGTCGCAGAGGTGAGTACATAGTACGTTTTTTGAGTATCTACCGGTATCTACCCTCCGTTGCCCCTTCCTTCGTGCGTCGGCCCGTGTCGCGGGCAATGGGAATGTCAAGATGATGATCAATGTCATTGTTGCTGCTGACTCTTGGGCTTGAGAGCTCCTTGTGAAGCGATGGATGTGGTGATGAATGGCGCACGGAGCCTTTGAAGTGATTACGGTTCAAGCAACCCCGATCACCCCCCGTTTTGGGATGTTTCCGTTCACATACATGCGGCACGCCCGGCGCGAGGGCTTTGGATCTATTCGGTTCTGATCTGTTCTGACCTCGTCGGACCTGATCTGCTGTGGATCTATAATAATTATCTTCTTCTTCTTCTTCTTCTTCGTCTTCTTCACCATCATCTCAGCCCTACGCCACCATCCATTACCTACGTGTGGGGCGCTATTATTCGTGATATGCGGCTCCATGGCATGCATGCATGGATTGAGAAGTCTGGGTCGCTAAGCATGGATGGGTTCCTCATGTGTGAATGGACCATCATCTCCTCGTTGGGAAAGGGACTCACGTGCCAGGACTGGTGAGACAAAAAGGGAAGCATAAATTCATACACATGCACTTCCATCCTTACATACCTCGTTTCGCATCTTCAGGAGGCTTTCCGTCCGATGATCGCCATATCATGGCAGCTGAGGGCTGTCCCTTGAGACAAAGAGGAAGCATACATCCAAGTACATCCGTGCTCTTACATCTCCCATTTGGGCATTTTCTGGAGTCTTCTCTCAGGCATTTCTCACACCGCAGCAGCTGGGGCCGAAGAATGGGGGATAGTGAGTGAAACAGATGCAGGACGTGGGGCCGGAGAGGAGTCTTTGGTGACGCGCCCATCCTGTCCTGGCGATGCTAACAATGCCAGTAGTGAAGTTCAAGGGGCGCAGCTGGAGAAAGCGTGCGGATATGCTGCCTAGCTACTCGTTTGACCTTCCGAGCTTACCCTCTAGTGAGTCGAGTTCGCGTGCTTCTCCAGGAGGGACACAGTTGCGAGTCCTCTTGTGATTTCCCCTCCTGGGAATAGTGAAGAGGGTCGTTGCAATTGTATGAAATGCTGCTTGCGATGCTCGCGGACGGTGTTGACTTTCGAAGCGGTGTTTTCTCGACTGTTGCGAGGGTAAAGAGTGCTTTTGATGCTCGGCGGAAGCCTGACGGTAAAAGGATATAAAACCTGCTAGGCGCCGGTCTGATTCCGCCAAGCAGTAAGGCACTGCGTTTCGACCATGCCCGCACTTCTGAAGGCATCGTCCATCCCCCCACCTAATCTCAATGCTCATCCTCTGCTCATCTTGCCTTCTGTACAGCTGTCTTCCCCATACCTTCGCTATTGTTGCTCTTCGTCTCTCCTCTCTTCCGAAGTCGAGACCAAGGATCTTCGTCAACGAAACCGGGTTTGAAGTAGACCTTATCACCTTGATCGTTGAGTTTGCCTCGCGACCATTCATCGAGCTCCTGCTTTGTGTAGGATATGCCGGTTTGCGGAGATGTGAACACGTAGATCGCTTGTTGCTGGGTAGGAAATGATGGTACAATATCTGGTGTCGGGACAGTCGTCATCTGCTGCTGTTGGCCTTGAGCTAGCTCTGTAGACCGAAGTGTGCTTGTAGCAGTTGGCTTGGATCCAGTAGAGAAATCTTGGTTGTTGGCCGATCGGGTCGACACTGCTGGTGCCTGTGATGGGAGGTGTGCAGAGGTGGTTTCTAGATCCGAAGTCAGAGTGGACTTGATGGTCGAATTAACTTCAGAGAGCCCGTCCAGAGAAGGAGCAAATCAGGGGAGAAACAGGAGGTGAAGAAAGCTTCATGGCACAAATGACGCAATGCTAGAGCGTGTGCAGGGCATTGACAGCAAGCTGGTATTCAAGAGCTTGTACGCGTCAGCAGCTTCCACGTCTCTTGCGACCAAAGACTGCCGGTGTACCAGTCCCTCCGTGTGTTCGAGCAGCGGAGCCGCGGGAGTTTGTAGGAGAGAAGGAAAGAAGGCCGTATAACTCTGAGATATGAAGGAGTAGGCTCTTGTCTTCTGCGCCGGTACTGGCTGGCTTGACGGGCAGAAGGAAGAAATAGGCTTTAGCGACAGATCCCGCGGAGTTGGGCACGGAACAGAACCGTGCCACCGGGAGGAGAACCAGATTGTAGCAACTTGGGTCAGTGTATGTCACCTCTGGGGTTCTTCTCCGCAGATGCTATTAAGTTTGGAGGAAAAGGGCGCTCGTTTGAAGGGAAGCCATGTCTCGATCTCAGAAAAGACTCACCCGATCGATTCTTGGGGCGAGTGGTGAACGAGCTGAAACCCATCATCTCGCGCATTGCATCTTCCGCGTCCATCTCGCCACTAGCTGGGGTCTCCTGAGCTTCAGACATGGCAACGCTCTATGTCGTGATAGTCGTCTCAGTATCACGCGGGCAACTGGGTATGAATGGTCGAGAGTCAGGGATACCTCAAATGAACGGGGAAAGTCAAGCGTGGTTGAAAGAACGATGCGTTTCAAATGACCGTCAGACAGCGTCGCGCGATAATCTGCGTGGCCTCGGTGGCTTCAGGTCGTCTTATCGCTTTGTTCTGCGTTCTGTTTCTGCCTTGTTCATAACATCACTAAGATCGTCACCAGGGCACCGGGGTAAGCCATGGCCCACCGCTAGCAACATCTGGATAGCGGGCAAATGCTACGGCTCTGGTGATCTCCCTGTATCGCCGGCATCGGGTCTCCTACACATTAGGGTAGAAAATTGCTGAATGTCGCCACTGTTTCATACTGCATCTTCTCTCCACCCAAGCAGCCATCAAAAGGCATGTCCAGCATCATCACCAGCCCCGAGTCTCCTGTACCTGTAAGCTTCGCGTGGTTGATGCGCAATTCTCAAGATACAGAGACTGTACTTTACTGTGCGCGGTAGGCAACACCCAGAAACAAGCCACCAAAGCTCAGGCTGAGGCTGAGGCTTACGGGCCTGATTGGTGACACGCTTGACGCGCATGCCCCAAGCTGCGGGATCGTTGACGCCTGCTTGAATACCTTTTGTAGCTTGATACTCACATCCTCCGTGGACATAATACCTCCGGCTGGCTTGACACCGGTATTCAAGAAAACGCCATACCGGCTACCAATTAACTCGAGCCTCACGTTCCTTAAAGAGAACAGAAGAAGAAAGAAATAACGTTGCGGCAAGCGAAACCGGCAGCCCGAAAATGTCAGACCTTAAGACCCCAACCTTAGTTCCCATCAAGGCTGTCCCGGGGCTCTTCATCTCAGAGTTCGTCCCCTTTTCCAGACCCCCTTGTCACCTTGGAAGCTGATCCGAAACTACTCCTCCCAGCCGGTTCGCCGCCTCTTCGCGCCAACAGCTTCAGTCGCACAATATCGTCAGGATCGTCTCGGTACTACAGCGCCATGAGATGTCCTGGCCGATGAAGACTGGATTCGCTGGCGTGGAAGCCGACGTCGATGCTGAGGCTGATGCCGAAGTTGAGTCTGACCCCGCCGCTCAACGGGATTTTCGAACTGTCTGGCGCGGAGTTGAGATCAAAGTCCTGGATCTTGACGACGACCCGCTTGCCGATATACTGGAGTGGCTTGACGAGACGTGCAATTGGATCCAGCGGGGGCTTGATGGCAATGGCAATGGCACTGGCGAGAGTCCCAAAACCAGCAGTGGTGGACATCACACGCCGGAAGAGACAAGGCCGGGTGTGTTGGTGCATTGTAAGCAGGGAGTGTCGCGCTCTGGGGCATTCGTCGTGGCATTCTGTAGGTCGCCTTTCGAGTTATCTCACTGTCTCTACTCCCTGTCCCTCTGCCTGTGCCATTCTATGCCTATATATTTCCATGGGCACTTACACACGTACTTGATGAGCACCTACCCGTCGATGGGTCTCGGGGCATCTACGGACTGCCACCGAGGCTGCCCGCCTACGCGGCTTGACCGCTCCCGTAATATCACCTCCATGAGACACGGAGACACAGAAAGGTGAAACACATCGCTAACCATGCATGTCATCCATCCACGCAGTAATGCGGCGTTTCCAACTATCGTACGCCTCGGCGCTCAGCTTGGCGCGTGAGTCCCGCCCACAGATCACGCCGAACAGTGGGTTCGAGAAACAGCTCCGTGTGTGGGAATTCTGCGGGTATAGTGCTGATGACTGGGGCGAGGGGTCTGGCTGTTCCGACAACACGGGACGACGCAGCAAGGGCGAGAGGAAGGAGAAACCGCCCTATAGGGCGTGGAAAGCGGAACGGGACAACCTGCTTAAGAGAGGGGAGGAGGACGTGAATAGGGCGAGGTTCTCGAGCTTGGCAGATATGGCGGCACGGTTTGGGCGGAGGAGGCAGGCCGTGATGGCGGCTGAGGCGCCAGAGGGGGACAGTGAGGATGATGTGGAGAGAAGTCGGGAGAACAGCAGTTCGGGGAATGAGGAGGGACTAGAGCAGATTCTGGGCCAGGAGAAGAGGAACAAAGCGTGGGAAAGGGTGCATAGCATGGAGAGGGAGTGGAATGAAAGGTTGATCAGAGGTCAAAGTCAAGGTCAAGTGGGTGGTGACCACGATTGAAGGTTGCAAAGGTAATTCAAAAGCTCGAGTAACACTTTCTTGGAATCTCGTTTGTATGCTCACTCTCCTCCGTCATGTCCTATGCCTTCCTTAGGCACAATGAAGATGCTTCGGGATCAGCATTTCCGATCCTAAAAGGTATGCAATCATCAGAAGGCCAAAGATCACTTCTGACTTATACCTGCTTGCGAGTTACATCGGTATGCACAGCCGTGCCCACGTCCACCCATCTCCAAGCTCGCCGTATGTCTGACGTAGTCGCGCATGTTCGGCGCGTGCAACTTGCTGTCGCTTTTTCGACCACGTCTTCGCTTTGTCGTCCGGTGGATTACATCTTGGTGAGATGAGTCCTTTGTCGTCCCATTCTCTCAAAGAAAGGATAGCCAACATAAGCTTTGAGGCTTCCCACCAGGTAGTAGTAGTTTCCGGCATTCAGCGCGTCCAGCCATTTTTCCACTGCGCGTGTGCCATTTGGCCCATTCTGGCACTCCACGGTGGCTACCTCGAAGTCAGTGAACAGCTGGTACTGCCTCATCAACCACTGGAAGCCTGAGTAAAGTGACTCCATTGTCTCAAGATAGACACGGCGCAACTTGTTGCGCTTGTATTCCTCCAGATGTATCCGGTAAAGGGGATGGAAACGGTGGTTACAACCTCCTCTGGCACGGGTCATAACAGTAAGAGCCAGCTTCAGAGTCAGAGTCAGAGTCAGAGTCAGAGCAAGAGTAAGGACAAGAGTCAGAGTCGTGATCCCAGTCGTAGTCGCCATTGTCGCGTAAGAGGTCGAGGATTGCCTTGAGGCTTATCTTGTGGAGCTTGTAGGTCCCTGGCACTGGCTCGTCCTCGCGGTCGGGGCCGAAGGAAACCAAGGAAGCTGATAGCGGGACCACACTAGAGCAAGCTTCGCATATTGCATACCGTCGATACTGGCCAGCTTCCCCTCTGTATCGACAAGAATATTGTGATCACTAAAGTAGGGGTCCCAGAGGACTGTATCTTTGACTTCGTCGATATCGGGAATGAAGAGCTCGGGAATCTTCGCGATCAAGCGTTTGGCGACCGAGATGGTTAGTTAACCGAATAATGTCTTCTTCGCTGGCGTCGAGGTCATGTGAGATGTAATCCTCGGCAAAAGCGATTGCCTTGTTGAGTCGAGCTGTGAGCCAGTCGGAACGCGAAAGAATGGACCTCGCGGAGTATCCTCGTAAGGTTGCCACGACCCGAAATCCCAGTCGGAAAACCCCAGCGGCCGGAAATCCCAATTGTAAGGACCCACTGAGAACATCTTTTCGTGTCTTCCCAGGCGTCTGTACAAGTACCTCTGTGCGCTCATGTCATGGTAGATGCTGCCAATGCCTCCACTCCCGAATCTGTTTCTTCGTCGAAGGAGCTCAACATGACACTGTGCAAGGCTCTTGATGAGCATTTTTTGGGCCTCGAATTGCATGCCTTGCCATTCTTGCCCCAACCATTTCAGCCTCCATTGTTTCAGACACTTTGAACTGGAGCATCCTATCGTACGCTAGCCTGTTATCGTTATCGTGGGCGGAGGCAATGCATTGCGGTATTGTAATCATGGTATTCTGCTTGAGCCAGCTGACGGAGGCAGCCAAACTCTGAACTGCATCATCATGGGGGCTTTCCGGGATGATACAGAGTGTGGCTAGTGGGGCAGAGTTCCAGGAGATGTGATAAACCGGCGAGTCAGGTGGGCTGCTTGGATAATTGAAGACGTAGCAGTGGTCCTTGCTGGTGATTCTGAGATATTTCCGAACGACCTCCTCAATGCTGTTAAAGTCGACTTCTAGTGGCTTCGGGATATCGGCGTGCGGAGATGGGCTTTCGAATTCCTTTGCAGGGACGCGTGCTCAGCCGGTTGAGGTTTTTCTCGACCAATCCTGAGATGTAGTCGCGAATGTCGAAAGCCATGTCGCTTGTCGTGGATGAGTGTGGTGAATCTGCCAGTAATATGCTAACCGCTGCCTCGATAAAGGAGTGACGCCGCATAGCCGTATCATATATTTACCGAAAGAACCAGGAGCATGACACAACCTTCTCCCTGTGCTGACTTCGCCCGCTTGTGGCTGCGTGTTTATAATGCTTTTCATCAAGTCGATTGCTTTTGCCTCCTCCAGATACATCAAGCTGTCGAGCAAACTGAGCAAACGGATTGAGTGTCAGACATTACTCACGAACAGATGCGCATCTGGAGAGCAAGGAAGATGGATTGCCACAAGTTGTGTCAATCCAGCCACGCCGGGTACGTGGTTCGTTGCTCTCCGCCCTCTTCCCTTCTGGAAGCTCATCATCTCCAGCTGTTGTCTTTGTCTCAAGCGCCAGACGAACGTCGGTAGAAGAGTACAAGCTCCTCGACCCCGCGCCGAGGATGCTTAATGTCTAGGAGATGCATGCAATGATGATCTTCCCCCGCTATTGATATGGTGGCTTCACATTTACCCGCGGCAGAATTGTTGACACCTCCATTCGTGCATTTTACCCACGCCACGACTTGCTTCGCCTGCTCCATTCCCGTCCTCCCTCCGACAAGCAGCCGGCGAAGCGGCACGGGGTCGGGGACAGTTGCAGAGAGGATGCTACACAAGAGAGGGCAAGTGAGGAGGATGGGAACACAGGGTATGGTATATAAGGTATGCTGGGAAGAGGAGGGTGGCGAGCTGCTTTCCCGAAGCCGTTGCACGATACTGAGATCTGTTCCCAATATGAAGACGCTTCTCCTTGTTGCCTCGACTTTGCTAGTGTCATTTGCAGAGGCGACATGTATCTCCAGTCAGAGTCTTTCTGTCAAAGCTAACACAGGGATCTTTACTGGCCTCCTCAACCCAACCTATCCATCAGTGCGCGAGTTTCGCAATGTCCCTTTCGCTCAACCGCCGGTGGAAGAGCTTCGTTGGCTTCCACCTCAGAAGTTGCCAGCCTCGAGCAAGCGGTATGATGCCACTCAGTACCCACGGTCCTGCCCACAGTTTGTGAGCAGGGTGAAATCAGTCTGGAGCGACCAGATACCGGAATGGCTCATTTTCGATGGTGGTGAAAGCACGAGTGCTGGCCTTTATGCATACGGTACATCTGAAGATTGCCTGAACCTGGCCATCTGGACGCCTGCGAATGCCACAACGGCCTCTAAGCTTCCAGTCATCATGTTCATGACAGGAGGTAAGTGGCCTCAGACCCTGTCGATTAGTTTGTCTAACACATAATAAAGGCGGCATGGTTACCGGTGGCGTCAACATACCCGTTCAAATCCCAGCAGAGTGGGTATCTCGCAGTCAAAGCCACATTGTCGTGACTATCAACTACCGAGTCAATATCATGGGCTTTCCGAACGCTGCAGGGCTGAAGACTCAAAATCTTGGGCTTCGTGACCAGCGTGCCGCCTTGGAATGGGTTCAGGCAAATATTGCTGCATTCGGAGGCGATCCGACTGCTCTCACGCTATGGGGACAGTCAGCTGGCTCTCGTAGCACCGATTACTACAACTTTGCTTACTATGACGATCCCATTGCTCGCGGCTTCTTCATGCAATCAGGTACAGCACTGTCGAGCCGAGCAGGCACTGATTTCCGAGGGTCCAATTTCACGTTCGTTGCCAGGAATTTGGGTTGTGACTTACCGAACAATAAGACTGCCGAATTGCAATGTATGAGGCAAGTGCCGGTCAGCGATATCGAGAACTTTGTTGGACAGTACCAGGACAACTCAACCACGACCAATCCTCACCAGGTACCAATCGCTTTCACACCGATTGCGGATGAGGATGTCGTGTTCAGCAATTACACGGCTCGTTACCTCGCGGGGCAAGTAGCCAAAGTGCCAGCAATTCTCTCCAACACGGCCAATGAGTACTCGTCTCTGGCGCCATATCCGCTCAACAATCTCACGGAAGGGCCGAATCCTCAAGCAGTGATGGCAGGGACGCTCAACACCGTCTGCGGCATCTCTAACTCCAGCTTGTACCGGAATGACTTGAACATTTCCACCTACCGATATGTCTACGGCGGGAACTTCTCCAACATTAATCCGCTGTGGTGGATGGGGGCATATCATGCGGCAGACCTCGCGATGATGTTCGGAACGTACGGCATCAGGGCTGGAGAGCCGTCGCAGCTCGAGATCGCGACCAGCGCTGCCATGCAGGATCACGTCCTTGCGTTTGTCAAGGACCCAACCAATGGACCAGCAAGCGTGGGTTGGATGCCGTACGACTACCGGGACGATGGCGGGCAGATGGTCCTGTTCGGCGCAGATGGCAAGGCTGTCCAGCAGGTCAATGGGACGACCGTTGAAGGAGTGTGTTACAGTGAAGGCGCATACGATAGTACGCCATGAGTTGTTGGTACTGTAGCACGAAGATCTGCCTGTACCCGTCTTAGCCCGCTATGATCTTGAAATCATTGCATATTGCTCCCAAGTAGTCTCTGTAAATTGTTGTAGAAGTCACAACCCTCGCAAACATATCATCTTACGCTACAGGACCACATTTATGCAAGTAGACATAGTCATGGGTGTTTATGCTTGCGGACGCAAGACCTCGGGTGAGGAGCAAGGTGGAACGTGGTTCTAAGTGGGGGAGTTTGTCTTGGAGGATTCGTATGCTGGGAAGGCCGAGACTCCTAGGGAGGCGCAGTCAAGGTCGAGGACTCGACTCCAGCACCATCAGTCTCTACCGTCCAAAGGTCATATGTGAAATGGCCTTGACGAGCATCATGCCAACACTACTTTAAATAAATCGACGATAATGCGGTAGTCAGGGGCGTCCTTCGGGACACCACCTTTCGGCGACAATAAATCATGGGCGACAAAGCGCAGTACGAACACCTGCCCATTCCCACCTACGAGGAGGCCACCTCATCCCGCCCTGCTTCGTCGCAATCACGGCTCGGCCCAGAAGAGATCAGCGACGATGCCGAAAGGCAAGGCCTTCTCGTCTCCGCGCGGAACTATCGCCCTCCGACCGTCGAGTCCGCGCGACCGAGTCTCGACTCGCTCGACGGCATCGAACAAGATGGCGAGAACGAGGTCCGCCGCGAGATGCAGCAAATGGACATTGAAGACCCTCTGAGCGATGCCTCCTCGAACCGATCCCTCCTACGCTATCGCCTGTCCAAGTCGTTCTCCAGCTTCACAAACTCCTTTTCCTCCCTGACGTTGCCTTCCTTCCGCAATTACCTCTCGAACATACGATGGCCGAGCATAAATTACCAACAGTTGGACGCGAATCGCGTCGTCATTCTGGGACGGCTGTTCGGGGTTTTCCTCATCATGGGGGTGCTCTATGTACTTATAGCTTCAGACGTGTTATCCTTCGGAAGGAATCGGATGGGCATGGGTCAGATGTACGACCCCGAGTCCATCAGAGTATTCGTACAAAATCACATGAACGATCATGGACATATGCAGAAATATTTGGAGCACATTACGGATTTCCCACATATCGCAGGCACCGAAGGGAACTATGTTCTGGGCGAATGGGTCGCGGAGCTTTTCAAGGCGGGCGAGTTGGAGGACGTTGAGATGGAAAAGTACGAGGTCTATCTGAATTACCCCCGGAAGGACGGCAGGAGAGTCGCGATTGTCGAGCCAGAGGCTCTGAAATGGGAGGCTAGGATCGAGGAGGACCAAGAGCAGGCCCTGGTGTTTCACGGTCACTCCAAGTCAGGCGACGTGACGGGGCCATTGATTTATGCCAACTTTGGGTCGAGGGAAGATTTCAAGCGACTCGACGACGAAGGCATATCTGTCAAAGGCGCAGTCGTGCTCGTTCGGTACTATGGTTCCCAGGGCGACAGGGCGCTGAAGATCAAAGCGGCAGAACTGGCCGGTGCCGTTGGATGTATCATCTATTCCGACCCTGCGCAAGATGGCTTCGTTCAAGGGCCCACATTCCCTGATGGGCGGTTCATGCCGGAAGACGGTGTCCAGAGAGGCGCTGTCAGTCTCATGTCGTGGGTTGTTGGAGATGTGCTGACCCCAGGGTGGCCGTCAACTCCCGACAACAAGAGGCGGTTGAAACCTGAAGAGAGTGCCGGTCTCAACAAGATCCCGTCCATCCCCATCTCTTGGAATGATGCCAAGCATTTGCTAGAAGCGCTCAAGGGACACGGCAAGCAATTCTCAGGTGACTGGGTTGGCGTCCCCGAGGTCGAATACTGGACGGGAAACCAAGATTCCCCAAAGGTCAACCTGAAGAACATACAGGATGAAGAGACCAAGCAGCCCATCTACAACGTCCTCGGCAAAATGTCAGGCTGGGAACAGCCCGAGAAGAAAATCGTTGTCGGAAACCATCGTGACGCTTGGTGTACCGGGGCGGCGGACCCAGGTAGTGGCACGGCCATCATGCTCGAAATCGTGCGCGTCTTTGGTGAGCTACGCCGGCTTGGTTGGCGACCACTGCGCACGATCGAATTCGCGAGTTGGGACGGCGAGGAGTACAATCTGATCGGCAGCACAGAGTACGTCGAGAACCGCGAGACCCAATTACGCGAGGACGGGGTCGCCTACCTCAATGTCGACGTCGGCGTGACAGGCGCCGACTTCCACGCCGCGGCCTCGCCATTATACGAGCACCCGTTGATGCACGTCATCAATCGCGTGAGTGATCCTTCGACAGGGAAATCCATCCGCGAGATCTGGGACGAGCAGGGCCGTCAAATCGCAGGCCTCGGCGCAGGCAGCGACTTTGTCGCGTTTCAAGACATTGTCGGCACATCCTCGATCGACATGTTCTTCAAGGGCGCCAAGTTTCCCTATCACTCTTGCTACGACAATTTCGAGTGGATGGCAAGGTACGGTGACCCGGACTGGAGCTACCATAAAGCCATGGGCGAGATCTGGGCACTCTTGATCCTCGAGTTGGCCGACAAACCCCTCCTCTCGTTCCAGGTGACCTCCTACGCCTCCGCTCTGGCGAAGTACGTCGACGACCTGGACGCCTACGCCAAAGGCCCAGCCGATAGTCAATCCCTGGATTTCTCCCGCCTACGCGAGGCGACCGACTTTCTATCCCAACAATCCCAACAATTCCACACCTTCGATCAATCGTGGCGGGACTTTGTCTTCGGGTCCGGCGGCTTCGAGTCCAGCGCGATGGGCGCGGCTCGGATCGACCACAATGACCGCCTAGCGCAGTTTGAAACCCACCTGCTGGATTTACGGGACGGCGGCGGACTCGCAAACCGAACGCAGTTCAAACACGTGGTGTTTGCGCCGCAGGTTTGGAGTGGGTATGACGACGCCACGTTCCCGGGCGTGAGGGACATGATTGATGTGGGTAACTGGGACGGAGCCCAGGTGCAGGTCGAGATGATTGCGTCGATCATCAAGGATGCAGCGACGAAGCTCAACACGTAGCGAAGTGGCCAGACAGATGGGAGCGCGCGCGATGCAACTCCCAACGGGCAAGTGATGATGTTTGCGCCGCAATAGAGATCTAACCGAGAAGCATCGGGGGGAGGGTGTTGATCTTCTACGGTACATAGAACCTCGAGCTCAGAAGTGCAGTACAGTAGCAAGGCGAATGGAGTCACGGACAGCACAGCATAGCACGGGATGGAAGCGAAGTCTATAAAAGGAGTGGTCGCAAAGGGGTAAGGATGATGTCCTATGGGTTCTTCGTGCATGTTGATATGTTGATATGTTGATATCCTACTTTGATTGAATATATGTGTGTGTGTGTGTGTGTGTGTGTGTGTGTGTGTGTGTGTGTGTGTGTGTTTGTGTGCGCGCACCCAGTATGTGTCCTGCTTGAGCCGCCCAGATGGGTATCCGCGACTTGCAAGAATCAGAGAGATATCCTACGTACTGTGATTGAGATATGTGTCTGTATTCTGCTTCGCTGCCAAACAAGGTATCCCCAACTTCCAAGCATCGGAGAGATATCCTAAGGTACTCCGTACTGTGATTGAGATACAGTATGCATGTGTTCTGCTGGAGCTGCCATATACAGTACCCACAACCCCGACGTCTAAGAGATAAGAGAGAATCATCCACAGGCACCGCAGCACCGATCACGTTTAAATAGACGGGCAACTACCGGTTCTTTTCATGGCCCCTAGTGCGCGTTCCCCCAGTCGGAAGTGATAATTAGTCTCCTCGGGTTCGAAAGATGAATACGGAGTACGGAGTACTCCGTAACCATTACCAGAGTGCTGTCCAGTCAGTCAGTCAGCTATACAGCAGGCTACCCTGGACAGAACTGTGTATAACTACCTAGGTAGTACATACTCTGTATACTTTAAGAACGAACCCACTCCGCCAGCTTGATGCTCGTGCGCTGGACGAAAGGACCGACAGCAAACAGAGGTATGGGATGGTTGTGAATTCTCTCTCGGGCAGGAGTAAATGTACAACTGACTGCACTGACCATCGAATCATTATCCTCGACAACGACAAAACTCTTGCATCCCAGGATTTCTCCAGGTGCGGGAGTAAGTGCTGTAGGATGCGGTATGATGAGATTAACGGGTTGCGGTCTACATGGGTGATGCTTGCAGTCTATTCGACTCGACTCGCGCCAGACAACAGGCCTTCGGGATACTAAATAGTGTGATACTGTGGTATATGACAGCACTCCGCAGCCTGACACCAAGTTCGAGCCACTCGAGCCCGCCGAACCCTCGGAGTACCTACAGTGGTACTGTACTGCAGAAAGATACAATACATACCCCGGATACCTCCTCTACCTGCGGCAGGCATTACAAATCCCTCTTGAAACTCTTGGCCAATCCCCAAAAATTCTCCATCTTTGCCCGGCTCAGCACATCCTTCGCTTGGGCATCCGTCTCGCAGACCCTCGCGCCCAGCCATTTCCGAAAGCTGCGCTGCTTGGCCTCGCCCTTGAATATCACTTCACACTTGTTCAGACTCTGATCCTTCAGCTCGTTGCTCCCTTCTTCATACGCCTCGAGCCACTTGGCCAGGACCTCGCGATTGCCTTCCTCGACCGCGCGCGGGGCCTCCATCTCGGTCCAGCGGATGCGGTTCTGCATCAACTTGTCGTAGTTGCGGATGCTGTGCTCACCGCCCTCGACGACGACGACGTTCAGCTTGGGATGCATGATGCATACACCCGTCAGGGCATTCTGCTCGGCGTTGATGGATACTTGGTACCTGTGCTTGCCGTTGGCGAGACTGTCGATCTTGTACACCCTCACATGAATGCCGCGGGCCGCATCCTCGGCCTGTTGTTTGGCCAGTTTCTCTGCACGTTCCTCCTTTGTGAGCTTGCGGTTCTCGTTCTCCTCGACGTGCTTTTGGTGCCGTTCGGCGATCTCGCGGTTCACCCGCGCTTCGACGGCCGTGGGGTCTTTGACGGCTTCTTCGCCCAGGACGCGCATCAGGTTGCCCTTTTTGACCTTCGGTGGCGGAGGAGGCTCGAGGCCCAGTCGGACTTTGGCTTGTTGTTCTTGGAGTTCGGCTCTACGCCGTTGGCGGCGAAGTTTGGCTTGTTCCTTGGCCGTCAGGTACATGGGCTTGGGGGCTGGGTTGTTCTTCTCCTGTGGAGGCTCGATGAGCACCGGATGTTGGATGTAGATCGTGATGATGCTGTCCGGGGTGTCTATCTTGAGGTTTGCGGGATCGGAGATGGCGTCGTAGCTCTTGCCGTTGACCAGACCTTCATCCCACCACTCCAGGTCCGGTGGTGCCGGGACGAGGAATGCCTTCTCCGTGTCGAGATCTTCTTCCAGTCCTGCCTGCCTGGCTCGTTCGGCAATCTTCTTCTTCATGGCCTCGAGTTGGGCCTGACGGCGGAGCGCCGCAGCCTGCTGGATATACTTGCCCTTCTGGTTGAAAATCAGCTGCCGCGACTGACGACCCTTGGCCAGCGCATTTCGAGCCCCGAGGCTTTCATCGAAGTAAGGGTTGTCTCTGAGCTCGTCTAGCGATGGTGCCGAGATGTCAAGCTGTGCCTTTGACGGCGCAGGCGATTCTGTCCTCCGGTTGCCAGCTGCCGGCGCAAACTTGGCTTGAGGTGTGCGACCGTGGCTCCTCTGCACATCCTGCTGCGCATCCGCCAGCAGAGACGGGTGTAGACCAATGTTTAACCCTCCTCGTGCTTTGGATGCGTCCTCGGCGTAGATGGGTGGAGTGTAGGACGGCGCATTGGCCCGCGACGCTGATTGACCCGTTGCAGCAGCCACGCGAGCCTTCAGCTGTGCAATGCGATCAAGAGCACTTGACGTGGCAGTCGGCGCGGCAGTCGCTGTTTGCGCAGGCGAGCTCACTGCTCCCACCTTGTTCGCTGCCATCTTGGCCTTGATTTCCGCGGCCCTCGCCCTGGCCGCCGCGATCGCTGCGCTCATGTCTGGTTTCGCTCCAGGCGGGGCCGCCGAGGCCGACGGAGTGGTGGGACGAGGGGAGCCATTGTTGGACCTGGCGCGTTTCTGGCTGTCGAGATCATCGTCTTCCGGGTGAAGCCTTTTCAGCACATTGCTCGCCTTGTCTGCCATATCGACTGATTGTGGAGAGGATAGACTCACTGTAAGCAGGACCCGCGAGCTGGAGCAGCCTCTGTCGGCCTCGTTACAGTTACAGCAGGTGGTGGAAAGATTAGAGTACCTTCGTTCTGTCGGCGATGTGGAGAAAAACATCAATGCCAAGACCTAGAAGCCTTGCTTGATGCTCACCCGATTTTAACATGAGGGTGACTCCACGTTGCTGTAGTAGGAACTATTCTAAGGGCGAAGGCTAGAAGTAATATTATTCACTCGGCGATGGGGTATTGCCAAACAAGGGAGAAGATTGCAGGAGCCTACTGAGCAAAAGAAAACAACGCTCAAAGACGACACTCCAGTCCCTATCAACACAATTGTGATGGTGGCCGCTTCACCAACTTTCATACCAGTTTCTCTCCTCTTTCAGCACCCAAACCAAGGTCATACGGCTCACTCAAGCTCAGTTCACACTCGGTTTTCCGCTCTTGGCAATGACTCTTGAAGGAGGAGGAAGCCAAGTGTAGACGAACCTGCACCCCTGTTCCACTCCTGTTTTCAATCGTCTGATGCATTTTGATAGGCCCTGGGCCTTCCATATTCTCGATCTTGTCGAAGAGTTGCAGCATTCTCGAGATCGCGAACATTGCTTCTGTCCGCGCAAATTGTTCTGTGTTACAGTCAGCGATGGCACATTCAAAGCGAACCTATAAAGCACTTACGTCCAAGGCATTGGCGAGCCCCTCCGCCAAAAGGAATGAAGTCCCACCCGAATTTGCGATCTTGCCACCTTTCCGGGTTGAACTCTTCAACGCTCTCTCCCCAGATATCTTCACGGTGCTGCATTGAGTAGGTCGGAACAAGCACCTGAGTCCCTTTCGGCACAAACACGGGGCTTCGTCCATCGGGCCCACCTCCGCAAGGCAGCGTGGTATCTCGGACAGCCACGCGCTCGTTCATTGGGACGACGCCAACGGTGCGAATAATCTCATTCAGAAACCACTGCATGTACTTGCAAGACCAAAGCTGAGCGAAGGTGATTTGGGCACTCGGGTCGGCCGATAGGGTATCCAGCACTTCTTTACGCAGTATTGCGAAAATGTCGGCATGGCGCGCTAGAAAGTAGAAGGACCAGCCCAACAGCGATGCCGTGGTATCTCTTGCTGCATGGAGCACGTTCAGCAGCTCGCATCGTAATTCGTAATGATCTTTGGTTTTGCCTATAAGTTCGTCAAGAAGGATGAATTTGTCCCGTCCCCTCGTCTTTTCGTCCACTTTGCGCCCGTCCCAGGTACCATCGAGCCTCTTCTGAATAAAGTAATCGACGCAGTCTTGCACAGCTTTGCAGTGGTCGGGAAAGGTGTTGTCCCGGAGAAGCCAGCCGTATTTGGCCAAAGCCCCTCTCCTGTCGATGATGTGTTTGGCCTCGTCCAGGTGGTATCCGAAAGTACTAAGGTCAGGCGCGTTGTAGTCCCATGATAGCGGACCCGCGCGGTCTTCAGGGCTCAGGGTATGCACCGACTGGCCAAACAAGAATTCTGTCGAGGTATCCAAGGTGAAACTGTAGAATAAGGGAGACAAGTCGACCTTCGCGGTCCAGCCATCTTCGGATACTGGCATCCTTCGCAAGAGGGCGTTCAGGTGTCTCTGGAAAAGGTCGAGGTCCGCGACATTATCTCTGGCGAATTGTGATTGAATCAGTCGTCTTGAATGCTTCCATTTCTCTTGTCGGTTCGTCATCACCCCAGGACCCAGCAGAGACTTGAAGCATTTTTCACGGTGTAGCCCAATGTCAAAGTCCTGCGACTGCGTGGCGAACATAGCCTTGACGTTCTGCGCATCTCTTGTGATGATCAATTCGTAGTCGAAGATCGCCGCCCTGACCGTGTGGACTGTCTTGCCGATGGCGTTGAGATTTTCATGCATCCAGACTGGTCCTCTGTCCTCTCGCGTTGCTCGGATGCTTTCCCTGAGAGTGCCGATTCCAAGAAAGCCCTTTCGCGGGGCGGTAGGAGGTGGTATGCATCCAAGACGCGACGCTTTCCGTGCATTTCGTTGTCTCCGGATCAAGACTGAGGCGACCTTATAGCACAAAAGTCCCACCAGAATGAGGAGAATTGGTGCGAAGTACATGATGCTGCCAGCAGGGTCCGGGGCAGACCCGGACGCAATTCGAGATCCAACTGTCTCTTGGCTGCGAAGGGAGGTCCGCGAGCAGCTCGAGGTTCAACTGTCTCTTGGCTCTGAAGGGCGATCACCAGGGCTATAAACCCTGTGGTAAGTTAAGCGCCACTTTGGGTAGCCCATTGCTGTAGTGGCGTTCGATGCCAACCACCCGGTTGTCGGTGGTGTGTGCGAAAGGGGATATCAGGGGCCCAAGCCAACTCGTGCTGCTGTAGGCTTCAGGACATGACGGACTGTTAGCTGATTAGCTGGCCGGCGAACTATTGAACTGTCAACAATGTCAACTTGGACTCTGTAACACGTGAAACGGAACTAAGAAGATGAGCATAAAGGTTGAAACAACTCTGTACCTGCGTTCGAAAATGAGACATTGAAGCTTGATGAAGCTTGACCAGAGCCACATACTCCACTGATCCGGGGATAGCCAGTTCATGGTTGTCTCGTCTATCGACTTGGGCTAGATGACATCTGAGCTGGAGTGGAGATGATCGGGGGTGAAGGTTTAAAGCACAGGATCTGCGTCCGGACGCGGAATATTGAAGCTTGAGCAAAGCCACATACTCCACCACCCTCAGGACAAGCCTCACAAGCCTTTCTGTCAGGATAGGGGATAGGCGCAGAATGATTGCATCTCCGTCTGCAGGGGATAGAGATGATCGGCAACGTTTACGACTTCTCGCCGCGCGTTCACTCTTTTGCGTGGCTTCAGACCATAGGAACTTCCCGGGGCACCTTTCTTACAGTCTGTTCTGCGAGCACAGGAAAGTGGTGGCTCTCCACGCGCCTGCTTTCGAGATTTTGGAACTGTAGGGAGTATATTCCTATCAATAACACCTGGAATACTCCGTACACGTTTCGTCATCGTGGCAAGTGGCGCGACAACGCAGCTCATCAATCGATGTGAGCCAACTTCCACGGCAAGTGCTCCGTATGCCTACGTGGACTACCGATTTCGGCCAGCTCGTCGGGAACGGACCACCTGATTCCAAGCACGGATACGTATCTAGGTCCATGCAGGCTATGACTGCCCTCAAATGGTGCTGGCGAGGCATAGTTTGCACCCATGGAAAAGTCCTCTCGTCTGGTCTCGAATGACTCCAGCTTCGGTCCATCCTGCACACCCTTGCCTGGATCACAGAGACTGTGACGCCGGAGGTTTCTGACCGTGAACGTCTGGTGTTCCTGGTAAGCCAGGCTGATCCCGATGCATTGTCTCCCACCTTTCGAGCACGACATATTATACTTCTTCAGCTCGGGGTTCTTGACGTATCGATCAGCGAAGAACTCATTCGGACGCTCGTAGAGTTCCCAGTGGCGGTTGATGATCGGCGCTGTCATCCCCACAACAGTACTTCTGACGATTACGTAGTGTTGTCCGTCTGCAGACTCGTAGACCAGCTTTTGGTCCGGACAAGGACGATCTTGCCGGTGGGCGGCTCGAGGATGACGGCGATCAGAAACGGAAGGCCGTCGAGCCTCGAAGCGACCGGTAGTAGCTGGCTTGGGCCAGGACGCCAGCTTCCAACTCAACTTTCAGCCTGTCCAGGAGCTCTCGATCTGCGAGCAAATGATACTTAATGGCCGCGAGAGTGAATGCAGTTGTTTTTGGTCCAGTAATGACGATTCACCATGGCCTTGTCTACAAGCCGCCGGGTGTGCTTCTCCGATTCAGGATTGTCGCTTCCTATGGTTTCTCGAAATATCGTGCGATCCTCAGAAAGTTCGTTTGCAGCCTTGACGTGTTCAGTTTGATCGGCGACGCCCTGTACCTAGTCATTCGATCTGCCCAAAGCCATAGGTGTCAGCGTCCTACCACGACGGACCTTGCAGTGACAGCGACCCGCGGGAGAAGGTATCGTGATGGAGGACGGCGAGTTCGCCGTGATATAGGCCAGCCAGTACACCAAAATCGGATACAGTGATCCGCAAATCGCCAGCTTAGAGTATTCATCTCAGCTCAACGTCGTCTGGAGGCATCTTGCCACCCAGTTTCCTCCTGAAACACATCAACATGGTACCGTACACAGACCCCAGCAGCCAAAGGACCAGGTTCGCAACATTGAACCCAGCAGCAACGTGGAAGCGGGTAGTGTGATTCTGAAAATATCGCCTCCCAAAGGCGGCAACCACCCCAACCCAAGCGAACGCCAAAACCCATTGCCAGAACAAATTCCAGAGCAGCCACAGACGACTTGGAATCGGGTAGAAAATGTCCAGCGCAGACAGGACGGCTGTCACTGTTGATAATGTGGCGATAACAATGGCAAAAACCTGTTCACATACCAGTTCAGGCATAGCCAAGGGTCGCGTTCAACTTCGAGGCACTTACTGAGATGCCGGTATTTGTGGGACCATTTGCGATATCTGAGGCATTGATGCCAATGACAATGATAGCTGCGAGGAACTGCAAGGAGACTTGGATCAGGTGGACGATGCGACTTGTTGGGGCATCCTTCCAGTAGAAATTAATGCTGATCATGTTAGTCTTTCTACAGATATCTCTGGAGGGTTCATATCAGCGTAGTCTCATGAAACTCGATGGGCATTGTAGAGCCGTTGGGACTGATGAATATAATGTGGTCCAGGCAGCAAGAATTCCTGAAACAGGAAAGCCGCTTCGGATAAGCTCTGCGTATTCGCATTATTGTACTCCGTACTACGTAGATATACCACCTGGCCAAGATGACCAGTCCATGGAAAGGCATCTCGCCCAATGTGGAACAGCGAGGACCAAGGGGCGGGGTGCATGTAGGTGGTGAGAAGAGCTCCTCGGTTCTTGACGAACCTGCAGTGGAAGATCACGTCCAGGAAATTTAAGCCAAAGGATGGTGAAAGGGAAAAGGGACAGCTCTCGGCCACGTACACCGCGGTAATAAAGCTCGCCGTAGGACAATGTGGCGGGTGTGCCACTTGCTTGACCAAAGCGGCCGCTAAGCACGGAGCAGATCACGTGGATTGAGCCTGGCCGTGTTCCGCCAACCAGGAATCGACTGACTCGGAGGCAGCTCTAACAGCTCTGCACCTGACTCGGTCCAAAATTTTGTCGCAAAAAAAGTTGCTGTAGTCCCCGCAGCAGTAATTGTTCGACAGGTCCAAGACCGTTGCAACTCTTCCTCCTCGACATCATCGTCGGTCGTTTCCGCTCCTGTCACTGGGTCATGGCATTGATGCGCAATGGCAGGATATGTCAAACCAATTCCGTCGGCCACCGGCGGCCTCGCCTTTTCTCGGCTTCAGTCACACGAGGTCCGCAAGATCTCAGTCAAGCGCATTCATGTCACCCCAGCATTAGATTCTATGTTTGGTCCGATACCAGGAGGCCTTCATGATCCGGCATTGGGCGCAATCCAAGCATTGGATGCAAAGTGAGACACTTGTATTCTTGGTGCTGAACCGAGGCTGACACCTATAGTTGCTCGACATGTCGCATGAATGCGATTCATTGCACCGGCCATTGCGGTCATATTGAGCTGCCTGTCACTTGTTACCACCAACAATACATCGAGTCTACCTTGCGTCTCCTACGTGCAAAGTGCGCCTACTGCCACCACTTCAAAGCCTCCGAAAATTTCATCAACCAAACTATATGTTTCCTACAGCTGTTGGAGCTTGGCCTCGTCGATGAGTACCACAAAGTCCGGGACCTCCGTCTTCGCGGTGGGTTGCCGAAGACGCCGAAGAAAACTGACCACCCGGACGATATTGTGGAACAAATACTAGAACACGAGCCACTAGAAGAGATCCACGATTTCATTGAACGAAGGACGGAGGTGACGGCTAAGGCTATAAGAAGAGCTACGCGAAAAGGGTTGGTTGACCCGCAAGCCCTCATTCGAAATCCTATTGCTATCGCCGCCCGTAAGGAGGTCATCACAGCGTTCATGAAGGAGGTGCCGAATTGGAAGAAGTGCGCGAGGTGCGGTGGTGCCAACACCACATACAGAAAGGACAGAAGCGTGAAGATTTTTCGGATGCCACTCGCGAAAAAACAAAAAGAGGCCATGTCAGTCGTGGGACGGAAAGCTCCCAACCCTCTCCTGTTCCTCAAAGCCGAGCAGCGGCAAAGAGAGGAAGTTAAAAAGCCATCAATGCCAAATGGTGCGAACGGAGTGCATAATGATGATGTGAAGATGCAGGATTCCGCGCAAGCAGAAGACACCGACGTTCACGGTGCCGAGGACGAGATTGCCTTGCGTAATGCGTTGGAGACAGCAGCCCAGTCGAAGACTTTCGCACTCGAAGACCAAGAAGACGACATGCAGACATATATGACGACCACCGAAGTACACGCGGCGCTCAGTTTACTCTTTGACCGTGAGCAGACTGTTCTCGGCTTGCTGTATGGGGCTCAGCCTGGTCGAAAGCCTGCTCGGGTGTCTCCGGATATGTTCTTCATCACCGCAGTCCTTGTACCACCGAATCGATATCGTCCGTTGGCGAGACAAGGACCAAATCAAATGCTCGAGAATCAATTGAACGCAGTCCTGAACAAAATTATCAAAGCCGCCAACGATGTCCGACGGATTTCACGCGAGTCAAGACGAGCCAAGATCGACCCCAATGCTAGACCGAGGACCTTGAATGAAAGCCTCCAAGCGGCAATTGTTCTACAAGAAACAGTGAACGCACTCATCGATTCTCCAGCACCGCCCTCCGGCAGGCCAACCGACCAGGGCGTGAAGCAGGTCCTGGAGAAGAAAGAAGGTCTTTTTCGCATGCATATGATGGGAAAGCGTGTCAATTTCGCTGCTCGCAGTGTGATCTCGCCTGATCCCAACATCGAAACCAATGAGATTGGCGTGCCACTGGTCTTTGCAAGGAAGCTCACTTATCCCGAACCCGTCACCAGCCACAATTTCGAGCAAATGAGTAAGGCAGTAATCAACGGCGTGGAGAAGTACCCTGGAGCGGCAGCCATCGAAAATGAGAACGGCATGGTTCTGAGTCTGAAGCGCAAGACCCTCGAGCAAAGAAAGGCCCTAGCAAAGCAGTTGATGACCTCGACAGCTCCCGGCGCCAAGGGCGAAAACGGCAAAAAGGTCTACCGGCATCTTCAAACCGGTGATGTGGTTGTCATGAATCGGCAACCCACCCTACACAAGCCCTCGATGATGGGTCACCGTGCACGCGTTTTGCACAACCAGAAAACAATTCGCATGCACTATGCGAACTGCAACACGTACAACGCCGACTTTGACGGTGACGAGATGAACATGCACTTCCCACAAAACGAGCTCGCACGGACGGAAGCTCTCCAGATCGCAGATACAGATCATCAGTATCTATCAGCTACAGCTGGCAAGCCTTTACGTGGTTTAATCCAGGACCATATCTCTATGGGTGTTCAGTTCACCAGTCGAGACGTGTTCTTTGACCAAGACCAGTATCAGCAACTACTCTACAACTGTATCAGGCCAGAGGACAACCACACTATATTCGAAAAGATTCAGATGATCCCACCGGCAATCTTGAAGCCGAAAATGCTCTGGAGTGGTAAGCAAGTGGTCACGACGGTATTGAAGAACATTGTCCCAGAAAGATTTCGAGGTCTCAATCTTACCAGCAAATCATCAACATCTTCAGATTCATGGGGCGAGAAGACCTCGGACGATGCAAACCAGTGGACTGTAACTAGGGACAGGATAGTCTTCCGGGATACGGAGCAGGTGGTCATCTTCAAAGATGGCGAGCATCTTTCTGGCATTCTCGATAAGTCTCAACTCGGCCCCAGCGCTGGTGGCCTTGTTCATTCCACGCATGAGCTTTATGGTCATATCATTGCAGGCAGACTGTTGAGTATATTGGGCCGACTACTCACGAGGTACCTTAACGAGCGCGCCTGGACCTGTGGAATGGATGATCTGTACCTGACACTTCAAGGCGATAACGAACGGCGTCTGGAACTCAGCAAAGCCAAGCGCATCGGTCTCGAAGTCTCGACCGAGTATGTGACCCTGAAGAATGGCGAAGTCGACGAAGAAAACCCCGAGCTATTAAGCCGACTCGAAAATGTGCTCCGCAATGACGACCAGCTCAATGGGCTCGACCAGCTGTACAAAGCGAAAGTAAAGACCATTACCGACGCCGTCACCAAAGCTTGCCTGCCAGCTGGTCTACGCAAACCATTCCCGTGGAATCAGATGCAAGCCATGACCATTTCTGGAGCCAAGGGTTCGAGCGTCAATGCAAACCTGATCTCCTGCAACTTGGGTCAACAGGTCCTGGAAGGTCGAAGAGTTCCTGTCATGGTCAGCGGCAAGACACTGCCGTCTTTTCGAGCTTTTGAAACAGATCCAGTCGCTGGTGGTTATGTCTCCGGCCGATTTTTGACTGGCATCAAACCCCAAGAGTACTTCTTTCACGCCATGTCTGGCAGGGAAGGTCTAATTGATACTGCTGTAAAGACATCCAAGTCAGGTTACCTACAACGCTGCATCGTCAAAGGTCTCGAGGGGCTTCGAACTGAGTACGACACATCCGTTCGAGAGAGTTCAAACGGCAGCATAATTCAATTCCTGTATGGAGAAGATGGCCTTGAGGTTCCCAAGCAGAAAAGCTTGAAGGAGTTCACATTCCTTGCAGAGAATCACAGCTCCGTGGCGTCCCTCATCAACGCGGAGGAGTCGTTTCCCCGGCTTCGAAACCCAGACCTAGACCTGGCGCAGGAGCAAAAGGATATTCTGAAATCTGTAAAAAGAAGCAAACCCAGAGACCCGTTAACAGCTTTGTACAGCCCGGGCAGCCATTTTGGAAGTACTTCGGAGTCCTTTGCAACGGAATTGAGTGCATACGTGAAGGAGAACCCCCGCAAACTGATCAAAGACAAGAAGACCAACCCCAATGGCATTGTCACCAAGAAGACTTTTCAAACCCTCATGGACCTCAAGTACATGAGGTCGATTGTCGAAGCTGGGGAGGCCGTTGGAGTGGTCGCGGCGCAGTCAGTCGGAGAGCCTTCTACACAGATGACACTAAACACCTTCCATTTGGCCGGCCATTCAGCAAAGAACGTGACTCTAGGTATTCCTCGCCTTCGCGAGATCATCATGACAGCGAGCCCAAAGATCATGACTCCGACCATGACGCTGAAGCCCATCAAGGAACTAAGCGGCGCTCAGGGAGAACGCTTTGCCAAGAGTATCAGCAGATTGCCGCTATCTCATGTCATCAGCGACATGGCCGTCTCTGAGCGAACTGGTGGCGGTACGGGTTTTGAACACGAAAAGATCTACGACATCTTGATAGATCTGTATGACCCCGAGGAATACGAAGAGGAGTACGCGATCAAGCGGGATGATGTTCGCCAATGCTTTGAGAGGATGTTCCTTCCGCTGTTAGAGAAGTTAATCAAGATCGAATTCAAGAAGAAGGCAAAAGAGGCGGAACGCTCGGAGATCACAGCAGCCATGCCTGATGTGGGTGCATCTGTGGGTGTCATTGAAGAAGCCAGAGCGAGACGCCCAAGAGCCACTGAGAATGAAGGTGGCGAGGATGACATCGATGAAGATGCCGACCCAGATGATGCCAAGGACATGGCAGCTAGGCGCCGAAGAGAAAATACCTTTGATGAGCCTGATGAGGAAGAAGAGGGTCTCGCGAGCGAGTCCAGTGACGAGGAAATGGACGTTGACGACAGTGCCGGTGGCGATCGAAGCGGCGAGGTGCATGTCACCAAGAGAACAAAGAGTGCTAAGTCTGCCCAGAACCTGCGGGAGCTCGACCCCGACGATCAAGCAGACGATGCAGTCGACACGGAAGACGAAGCCCGAATGAATCAACTAAAGGAAAAGCTGTCCCATCTCAAGCGTTTCATTTTCGCCAAAGGTGGAGGCAAATCCTGCCGGATTATCCTCAGTTACAGCTCCAGGACACCAAAGCTGCTGCTTCTCCCGCTGCTGGAGAAATGCGCCCACACAGCGGTCATCCAATCTATTCCCAATCTCGGTGTATGCACACAGTTCATGGAAGAAGTCCACGGTCCTGACGGCAGGCCACTCAAGCAAGTCAACCCGGAGACTGGTCTCGACGAACTAGTCAAAGAACCCGTCATCACGACTGAAGGAGTGAATCTCCTTGCTGTGCGTGACTATCAAGACCAGATTTACCCTCACACAGTCTACACAAACTCCGTACACGACATGCTCAAATACTACGGTGTCGAGGCGGCCCGCGGTACCATCATCAAGGAAATCGACTCGGTCTTCAAAGGTCACGGAATCAGCGTCGACACGCGCCATCTGAACCTCATTGCGGATGCAATGACTCACTCCGGCCGGTATCAGCCATTCAGTCGTCATGGTCTAGTCAAAGAGGGTGGAAGTGTATTGGCGAAGATGAGCTTCGAGACGGTCATGGGCTTTCTCAAGGACGCCGTGCTGTTTGGTGAGCGAGATCCATTACTTGGGCCGAGTGCCAGGCTTGTAGCGGGCAGGAGAGGGAACATTGGCACTGGAGCATTTGATGTGGTTATGCCGGTGCATTAACAGGAATACTAAGAGTAAAGGTGTTTCAACGCCGAGGATGACGGGCGACGAGGTAAGTCGCCATTGCCCTTTTCCGTCGATGTGGTATGAAACGGCGAGAGCCTCGGACGAGGCCTGTGGCTTTCTTAATAGTCTCAACCCCTGATGAATTGGCTGTGAATCCCTGGACAGGTCAGTGTCGAACAGGCACCGACTCCGTATTGCCTTCTGTCCGTGCGAGCTACGCAAGAACTGCACTCTACCAGTGCACATTACGAGGTACTGTGCTAAAGCGCATTGTGCCGCTAGCGCGAATGAAATGAAGCCAACGGCCCGGCGAGCGTTTCCAGCTCGCCTAATTGGCTCGAGCCAATCCGCCACGAAGACTAGCTTCACCCATTAGACCCACCCATTTCGCCTGTGTTGCAACTGGAAATATGGAAAAGTCCCACCTCCACAAAATTCAAGCTCCTGTTCATCTCGTCACTTCGCTTCTTTGATCACGACTCCGCTTCGCTTATTTGATCGCGACTGAAAAGAGCCCCTCTCTGACTGAGCGAGGCTCGCTTTCCTTACCAATCTACAAGCCTCGGGCCATACCCTGGGTGCTTACGAAGTACTCACGTACCGCGTCGTGCGCGTCCTCCCTCTTACCTCGTCCCCTCGGAAGAGCCCACCGCAGCTGGCTTGGCTGCCGATCCTTCCGCTAGAGATAGTGTGACTCCGTCGCCTGTAGTGGTGAAAGGAAGCTAGGGGATGCAGGCAATGTGCAGATACGAACAGCGACAGCCAGAAAAGGAACCTCCACCGGCGCAGTGATCGCTGGGCCGGGTTGCTGAAGAAACAAGGGAATAATGCCGCTCCACTTCGACAGCACAGACCACTGCTAGCTGCCAGGCTGGGTTTCCGTGCTTTTTGCGGGGACTCGTGCCGAACGACTCTTTTACCGAACAGCTGCCATGTGGTCGGTGTCGCAACGACTCGGCTCAAGGGAATCTCCCATTTTAGTGGCGCGAGACATGTTGCGAATTTCGAGGCCCTGATAACTCGTAGCATTGAAGTCGCTGATCAGCGGGGCGAGATGCCGCATCGGCGATCTTCCCACTTATGTACTGGTATGTTTGTCCCGTCGTGCATGGACTGACTCAGTTCTGCTTCAGAATGCTCGACCAAACTTGACCCATACTCGGGCAGTCTTGAGGCAAGGTTTTAGATAGGGACGTTCCTCCTTGAACAGAACAGCATGTACATAAACTGACGCGACAACACATTCGGCCTACGACGGTGACCGTGAGTTATGGTTTGGCGTCCTAACAAAGATAGATCTTTCCTCGCATTGGATCTGCATCCATACGACGCTTTGACCGTTGGCACGGGACACTCGTCAGGGGCAGAAACTTAAACCCCGGCCCATCGCCGCCAGCCGCTGCTCCCCATGCCACTCAAACTCCCTGAGGCGGAAGCATCCAGTCCTCTCTAGCCAGGCTTCATATCCCACTCGTCGGCTTTCCGATTTGCGGTGGAGCCCTCCTCTGTGCTTTGTGCAGCAGACAGCTGTTCAGACCTCGTCTGTCTTTCAAGGACTGGGTTCATCTGAACGCATAACGTGGCTGGCTAGATCCCTTCTAGGAAAGCCTCTTCTCTTCATCAAACAAGCTATCCCGGGGAAGATTGACTTTGCATGATAATGTTTGACTGGGCGCGTCTGGTCTTCTCCTTAGGCTCAGTCTACCCCGGATTGCAGTTGTTCTCGCCTTTGGCCCTGGCTAGCCATCCATGCGGTGCTGCTTGCAGCTAAATCAAGTAATTCGACCCAGTCGCTCCTGAACCTTGAGAGACTACTGGCGCCTCATTTCATGGGAACGTTCTGCGCCGCATCGATCGATCCAGGGGTGTTCCACCTCCTCATCCACCACTCGGCAATCATATCTTCCCCGTGGATCGCACATCGCCTGTCGTGCTCGCACATCACGTCCATGCTGTCAACAACTCCTTGAACTTAGTCTTCGTTTCCAGCGGCAGCAGCCACAGGCGAGATGGGCTTGGATCGTGGAATGGAAGCTGTGGTGACAGCGGCAGCTGTCAACGCGCTGGCATTTCTTTTCGTTGTTTTCCGGTGTATATCCCGATTTTGGATAATACATCAGGCAGGACCTGAGGACTATCTGATTATATTTGCCTTGGTACTCTCGTGTGGGACTACAGCCACTATTGTGCTTCGTAAGGACTTCATCCTCCTGTGCTGGCAGTTGCGAATCTAACATTGCGTCAGAGAAGGATAATGGTCTTGGTCGGCACTCAAACACGGTCAGCGACGAAGAAAACGAGAATCTGTCCAAAGTCAGTATCTACCCCGAGACTTCCGAGGCGCGCATGTGCTGACGGACCGCTCAGCTGCTGTATGCGAGTATCATCATCTACAACCTAGGGCTCTTCCTAGTGAAGGACTCGATCCTCTATCAATACTTGCGCTTCTTCGTCGACAGGCGCTATCGCTACGCGGCGTGGTTTCTCATTGGCTTCATCTTCGTCGCAGGGATCACCTTCATTCTAGTGTCCTGCTTTTCTTGCACGCCTGTCGCTTTTTACTGGGACAAGAGCATCGAAAATGGCCGCTGCATCGACATAATGGCTTTCTGGTTCAGCTTCTCCAGTTTCAACATTGTCACTGATGTGGCCGTCTGGGTGCTCCCAATGCCGGTTCTATGGAAACTGCAACTTCCCCGGAAACAGAAAATCAGCTTGATCGCTGTATTCGCATTGGGTGGCTTGTAAGTGGCCCGAGCTCGCTCTCCTCCAAGGTTGCCGTTACACTAACAATCGAGCAAAGTGGCTGTATCACTGCCATCCTCCGCCTTCGAAAACTGTATGTCGCCAGCAACTCCACCGATCTGACGTACGACAACGTCGGCGCCGCAACGTGGTCGGCGGCCGAACTGAACGTCGGTATCATGTGCGCGTGCATTCCTGCAATGCGGCCAATGATAAACATGATCTTCCCGCGATTCCTCTCGACCACACGACGCGATCACAGCTCGAACCCGTATCCCCATCGAGCGCCGTATATGCGCAACGAGAGCGTCGTCGAGCTCTCCCAGAACATCAAAGCGCAGAGCCAAATCAGCAGGGATGACTCGACCAGCTGGGACAATGGCCACGAGCCGAATTCGATCCGAGTGAAGAACGAGTGGTCCATCACCGAACGAGAGCGCGTTTAAACGGCGGCTAGTGTGCAGGATGCCCCCTGGGTATGATGCAACCGTACGATATGACTTACGAGGCCCAGGTATAGCAGGTTATGGAGGGCTGAAAAGGAATTGTGAGCATTAACAGGAGGGCGACAAAAAGGTGGCGGCATTCTCGTTTGATCATTGCGGATATACCACAAGCGGAACATCAGTCGACGCTTGAGAAGAGTTATCAACAGCCAACGCTTGTCAAACTTCTGAACAGGGGGCGGCATTATGTGGAGGTTCTTTGCTTGGCACATGCATGGTTAGTGAGGTACGGCGTTGGATGCGACACTGTCACACGGTATATCAAAGGGCGTCGTGAGGGTCAATGATATGTGCAATTTGCTCTCAAATATACGGGCATCATCGATTCACACTCTCAGTCGCTTTAGCGAACAGCAATGAGAGATCCAGAGCACCTTGATAACCCATCCGTGATTTCAGTCCTATGTTCGTGAGGACAAAAAGGGTGTGTACTACGTACAACCGTTCAGCAACATCACGCTCCGAATCTCTTCGTTCCTTGCCATACCCCGTACAGCAGTTCAACAACATCACACTCCGAACCTCTTCGCTCCTACGCCCATGATAGCTCGTAGATCTCTTTCCGTCACGGATGCAGACTTCTTTTCTCCTCGTCTTTTCTCTCACGCTGTCCTATTCCAACGCCCATGACCTCTCTTTCTTTGGAAGATTGCATCTGTGCGTCGAAAAGTCTCCAGCTTTGTAGCCTCTGATCTCTCCTCGGGCGGCCAGTCCACTAAACACTAAGCATTGGGATGGCACTCGATTTCAGTCCAGTATAGGCAGGTGAGTTGAGGTAGCATGGTAAAGTAGTCGTCGAATACATATACAGGATGGTCTACGCTGACATACGCCAGGAGTCCTAGATGCCGAATCAATGGGGATACCAGAGGAAGAAGTTCTCCATGAAGGCTATGCCATTGAAACCCGCGTGATCACGGACGTCACAATCCCGGCGACCACCGCGTCCTTGTCATCGTCTCAAACAACGCGGTAAATTTGCTGTCTCCGCGTGAAGCCCCCGAAGAGGACGCCGTCTTACTGTTTCTCGATACAGCATACGAAGCATACCGATCTCCAAGGTGATGTTTTCCTGGACCCGGCTCACGTAACCTACCGTAGCCACAGAGGCACCAGTGAAGAGATTCTGCCATTGCTGCGCACCCACCGTTGGGTGACTGCGCAGCTGCAGGCCTCGTGTTCGAGCTGTTTGCGCCGCGACTCGACTACGCACCTCCACTTGTCGCCATCATCTGTGGATCCCCTGACATTGGAGTCTGTTGTTGACGCGAGGGTATGATCGACAACCTGCATAGGGATGAAGATCGCACTTATTGCAACATTTCTCCCCCAGCTTCTGCATACCGCTATCGTAGGACTAACTCAACCAGCGCTCGGCTAGAAACCAGACTATTGATACATCTTGTTGAGGTACCACAGGTGCAGCACACGTTTCCCCTGCTATCACATGCCATCTCGCGTGAACACTCCGCCTCGACCATCTCCGCGATCGCCGACAGGCCCACGAACACAGGCGCACGAAACATCCCAGCTGCACGAGAGCATCCATTGCAAGCAACGCCACTCAAGCACCTCAGCGTCAATTGACCGATGGTTTGCTCGCGCCATCACTGTGGAAATCGCCGGAAAATATCGGTCAGCTTGTCCAACGGTGCAGCCATCAGTCCAGCGACGGTCTCGAAGGGAGGCTTGTCCGGAGCCGAAGGATGACTGCGCGTCGGCACAAACATCTTGGTCCGCTCGAAACTTTTCGCCATCTGTGACGAGTTACCATCTGGGATCGCCTTCTCGAGCTTCGGAAGGTCGTCGGTTTCTTCTTCCTCGATGTGTTTGTTGAGGACCTCCCAAAGAGACTTGATTGTTGGTTCGAACTCCTTGCTCGAGGGAGCCAAGCCCTGGAATTTGTACAGCAGTTCTTTGACCTGTTGGTGCGGGTCAGCCTCACTCTTCGAAACAGGAACACCAGCTTATCATGTTGCAATGTCACAAACAGATAACAGTACATACCTTGTTGTGGCCGTCTCGGTCCTTCTGAGCCAATTCCTTTCCCTCGTCGCCCATGTGCTCCTCCATGGCTGGATAGACGACGAGTTCCTCCCCGATGGAGTGACGAGCTAATTCCCATGTGAACTGATTCTGCCAACGGATCTTCGACTCCTGGTCCGAGGCATTGAGAATGTTGTTGTAGTATTCCTTCAGTTCGGCATGGTCGTGTTTGATAGCCTCTGAGACGCTGCCAGCGTTGACGGACGAAATGTCGGCGCCCTTGGCGTCGACTTTGTTGACGGTGTCTTGGGACAGTAAGCTCCCGCTCTGGAAACGTTTTTGGGTGAGCGGCACTATGCTGGCTCGGACACCAAGTGGGCGAGAATAACGTGAGCAGGCAACTAGTGCTCTGAAGATTGGTCGAGTAGCGGCCATGCTGATTACTACCAAATGGTTAGCAGCCTGTAAGGACGAGATACAAAGTTGAAAAACCCAGCAAATCGTAGGTGGGAGCTCGAGGTCTGAGTGCGATGTCAGGCTCGAACTGGTAGCTCTCGGAATCAATATCCGCATCCTCTTACCCCAGCTTTCCACAGGCCGCGCCTGGCTGGTTGGGCGTTAGCATGTGGTGCCCAGGCAGGAGAGGGATTGAGATCCGGCCAATCGTAGCACATGCATTGTAATCCTTCGTGATACTCGTTTGTGACATCGCTCGATCTGCACTGGCCTACCGGAGGCTGAGTGGCACGGGGAAGCTAAGGCAGCACAACACGTCACAGTAACCGGATCAATCCTCGCCGAAGCGCAGGACAGAACGAGCACACTTCACCGCATCCAACATCCAGACCACCGCCTATCACAACTCCTCGATTGAAGACCAGCGTGATCGGATACGAGCATAAGAGGAAAAGAAGAGATGGACAACATAAGTGGGGAAGTGAGCTCGAAGTGAGCTGGAAGTGAATTGGCCCTGAGTACCGGGTGAGGGAGAGGGGCCGTCTCTTGGCACAGCGGGACTTGTGAAATCCATGACAGCCTCATCTCACTTTAAAACTGCAGCCTTTCCCCCAAACTTCCATCCAACTGCGAGCATTCTACCGTTACACCGGCCATGGGTACAGCGGATTTGAAATCCGGCTTCGTCCCGAAGTGTCAGCTCGCTGTCATTGCAGTCCACTACCGCATGAGTAATTCGTCAGGATATCGAGTCCGTATCGCGCCTTTTGCATACAATGACGGATACATGCGACGTGAGGTCCACCGATTTCCTCTTCCGCAGTACATGACGTGAAATGGTTGCGGTGAGCTACGGATAGAACAGCCAGCACTTGCCTGTATCTACCTCGTATTTCCTATCTTCGCTCAATCTTCTCTCTGCTTCGTTTTTCCCGTTGCACAAAATCCGTTCCGAAGTCTTCAGGGAGTCCGTGCGAATGACCTCCAACATCACAGCAGGCGAGATGGCATCACACCCTGTTCAGGCGGTCGGGAAAGCGATTGGTAAGATGGGCGGTGACCCTCGAGCTCTTCAACGCTCGTCGCTCTTTCAAGGTGCAAACGAAGGTCCGGCGGTCGTCGCGGCCAAATTGACCGGTGTCAGTGAGGGAGGTAAACGTGCTGATGATGGCCCTTACTTCACCAACAACGAGGGTATCCCTTGGCCGGATGCATCTCACAGCAAGACCGTCGGAGGAATCCCAGTCGCGTCAGATACCTTTCTCTTCCAGAAGCAGCAGCACTTCAACCGATCCAAGCTGCTCGAGAGAATGGTCCATCCTTGTAGGCAGAACCACCGAACTTGGTGAAATTCCTCATCACTGACCACTTGCACAGGCGGTAGCGGTGCTTTCGGCTACTTCGAGACCACCAAGGATGTGTCGCACTTGACAAAGGCTAACTTCTTGAGCGGCTCCGGCATTCAGACTCCTGTTTTTGTCCGCTTCTCCACCGTCACCTTGGGGCGAGAGTTTCCTGACCTGGCTCGCAACCCACGAGGCTTCGCCATCAAGTTCTACACCGGGGAGGGCAACTATGACATCGTCGGCCTGAATTTTCCCGTCTTCTTCTGCCGTGACCCTATCCAAGGTCCGGATGTCATCCGCTCCCAGGCCAGACGACCGGACAACTTCCTGCTGGACTACAACGCCACGTTCGACTTGCTCGCCAACACACCGGAGGGCAACCACGCTGGCATGATGTTCTTCTCGGACCATGGAACACCCCAGGGTTGGCGTGCCAATCACGGCTACGGCTGCCATACTTTCAAGTGGGTAAACAAGAACGGCGAGTTTGTGTACATCAAATACCACTTCCTGGCAGACGGAGGCCAGAAGCAGTTCACCCGTCAAGAAGCCGTCAAGTTGTCGGGAGAAAACCCCGACTATAGCAAGGAAGAACTTTGGCAAGCCATTGAAAACGGCGAACCGGTCTCTTACACCGCCCACGTCCAGATAATGAAGCCAGAGGAGGCCGACCCCCAGAAGCTGGGCTTCGATCCATTCGACGTGACCAAGGTGTGGCCGAAGAAGCTTTTCCCGCTCCACGAGTTCGGAAAACTCCACCTCACCAGAAACCCTGAGAACTGTAAGTCCACGTTGCAAGTAAATAAGGAGCACTGCTAACGAATTGCCCAGACCACCGAGATGTCGAACAAGCGGCCTTTTCGCCCGGCAGCATGGTCCCTGGTATTGAAGATAGCCCTGACCCACTGTTACAATTCCGCATGTTCTTCTACCGCGATGCCCAGTACCACCGCATTGGCGTGAACCTGCACCAAGTCCCCAGTAAGTTCTGTGTCACACTCAATCACGTGGCCCCTTCCCACCTTCATAGTGTAGTTATGTAGAGCAGCAAGCTGATGTTGTGCCCCAACAGCAAACTGCCCTTTTATGGCCGGGTCGTACGCCTCGCTCAACTTCGACGGCCCCCTGCGCGTAGACGCCAACCATGCCAAAAACCCACAATACGCGCCCAACAGCTTCGTGGACAAATTCCGACCCGACACCGCAGAGGCGCCGTACAAGGTCGGCGACAACATCGTGTCGCGCAAGTCTCACTTCTACCACGAAGGTCACCCACTGACGGAATACGACCAACCTCGTGATCTCTACGAGAACGTCATGAACGAGACGCAGCGCGCCCATCTGCATGACAACACTGCGGTCATGTTAAGCCACGTGAGCGAGCCCATCATTCAGACCAAATACCTGGCGCAGCTGTACAAAATCAAGCCTAGCTACGCGCGCGCCGTGTACGACGGGTTGACGAAGAAGAAGTTTGACTTCAGCGAGGTGGAGCAGACCGCCGAGGGCATTGAGAAGGCCGGCCATTACGACAAGTTCAGACCCACACAGGCGAGTGAGCGCTTGGTAGGCTTGACTGCGCCGGGAGTGTACAACAGTGTACCTGGTGGGTTGTAGGGAGCGTGATAAGCTCATGAAGTCATATTGAGCGCAATATCGCAAGTATCCAGGTATGACATTGCTCAAATGAGCGGAGAAGCGGATAAGCGAACGAGAAGATGAAAGGCACGCACGTTGTATGCGTTCGAGGCGTTGAGCCCGTCTGAGCGTGCCGCATACGTCGATCAGATGCAACAGAGTCCATGGACTAATGAAAGAATTGTAACTATCGTGATTGCTGAGGCATATATGAGTTGTCCAGTGAAAATTCTCCGTCGACTTCAGTGATTCGTGGTACTTTATTTCCTTGCCGTGTAGTGGCTTCAGACTGATGCGACTGGAACTCCTACATCAACTTGACTAAACCTCAGTATATGTGCTACTTGAGCTGTGGTGGGTGTAGACTGGTAGCCTGCCCTGACGCTCTGGTTGTCACTGGTGACATTGGCAGAAAGACTGTGCTACGAGTACTGTATGTAACTCACTCACACCACTACCGCCCGCGAAGGCCGTCTCGGCGTAACAGGCAGGGTCCTCGCGCTCTCGACATCCGAGTCCACCGCCGACGCCGTCACCGTCACGACGGTTTCCGCTGTCTTGGGCCTCTCACTCTTGTCGCCGACGTCCTGGTCCTGTTGCGCCAGCGCGACGACCTCCTCCGGCGGCGCACCAGGCGACGGCGGCGCCGCGCGGGGCACCTTCTTCAACTCAACCCACACGATACACACAGCGGCGTAAACGCACCAGACGACGCCGCCGACGATACCGTACGCGATCTTCCACCCCTCATTCCAGTGGGGCCCGCCTAACGTGCTTGATAGTCGGAACCCCAACCCGCCGTCGACGATGCCCAGCATGAGACTAATCCGGCCTAGCCACACGTGGAGAGGCATGAATGCCGCGACGCGCGGGATAGAGGCATGAAACCAATGGAGTTTCAGCAGTGGTTGGACGACGAGCATCGCGAGCACGATGTACCCCACCACAGCGTGGTATCGGTGCAAGGTGTGCAGTTGCGAGCCCATCCACAGGCCCAGGCCCAGGCAGGCGATATACATAGCAAACCCGAAGGCTTGGATCGCGGCGTGGATCCAGGCGATGTGCCGGTGTGGATAGACTTTGATAATGATTCCGCCAAGAGGAAAAATGAAGAGGAAGGCGATGGCGCCGAGGGCCGCGTGGGCGATCTTGGCGTCCTCGAAGGATGTAGGGGAGGAGGAAGAGTGTGCGTTGATTGTACCGAAGGTGGCACTGGGGCTGGGCCTCGCAGTTGTCGTGAGCCATGGCGATGAAGCCCCAACAATTGGTACAGTAGGGGTAGCCGGCGATGCGTACTGCGTTTGTGCCAGGACTAGTGTGCCTTTGGATATTGTTAGCATTTGGAATGGCCAGGTGCTGAGGCTCTGCGTGTGGTAACATGCCATTCATGGATACCGTCTTTGTGAACAGGTCGCGGGCAAACGTACCTTGTAGGGCACTGAGGAGCAGAAGAGCTCTCATTGCTGCTGCTCTCGTAGCCATGATGCCTCGACACAGAGTTGTATCGGGCTCCAACGCTGAGATCGAGACTGACACTGAGACCGGGTCGTTGCAATGTGCAAGGCTCAATAGCAGAAACAGCAGCCGCAGGAGCTGGCGAGGTGAGGCTCGTATACAAGCTGGCGCAGGCCGGGACAAAGCAGCATTGACGTTCGCAAATGTCCATTGTAGATATGTCTCAGACAGGAAATGCGGATGTGGCCTGGAATGTCCGACGCAAGCTCAAGCAACACCCGGACGCATTGTTCTCGCATACGCCCGGGCCAGCAGGAGAACCTGGCGCTGTATGCTCTGAACCCTCGCTGTGCCCTGGCCTGCGAATATTTGCCGTCTGTTCCGGCCATTGCTCATCCTTTGTGTCGTCTGCTGTCCGCTGTTGTGGGGACCTCTTCCAGCTGTTTCAGCTGGCCTCTGTTCCGTTCCGCTTCCACCACTCCGCCCAGTTGACAACCTTCTTCTCTCTTCTGGCCTCTTCGGCGGCAAACACAACAGCGTGGCTCAGGATAATCTCTTCAAGATCACATCCCACCAATTCTCTCTGTGCTTGAGCGACGTCCATTGTTCCAGCATCAACGTTGTGTACAGCTTGAACAAAGGCCCCAGCCAGACCCCAGTCGCCGCCACCATGGCTCTTCTCGACTTCTGGAGCTTGCTGGGGGATATCGTGCACCATGGTCTTGCCACCGGCGAATGTGTGGACGGTGATGATGTGAGAGTCATAGGTAATTTCTCCTAATGTGCCGTAGATTCTGCCGCGACGCTCACACTGTGACTGTGTTGGGTAAGTCATGTGGAACAAGGCCCTCTTTGGGCCACGACCAAGTTCTTGGCCAGGGAGAGGATCTTCTTCCCAGTCCATTGTCACCACCTGGTCATCAACAACACTGTTGTCTGACTCGTACACGCAGCGGCCGTACCAACTTCTGCTTGCAATGACATCATCTGGGGTAATATCTTTGTCGTAGTCCTCCACGAGACTCTGCATTAACCGTTTTTCACCTGCGTCCCAACCCTTCGCTGAGACAATATCTTCAATCTCGGGCACCACGATCTTGAGCGGCCAGCCGGTGTCCTTCTCTTTCCGAAGCCATTTGTCGCGGTAGATTTTCTTGGCGGAATATATGCAGTCCGGTTCGGCAGGGCAAGACAGGCAATTCGTTGCAGCTCCTGCAGTTTTCGGCTTCCTCGCTCGGCGGAAGTGTGTGATAGCTCCGTTGCTTGAGATTGTGGACGGCAGATGAGGCGTCTCGCCAGTCAGAGCGCTCGGTGAGCAGAGAAGCCATAGGATGAAATCGATATCGTGACCAGACTTTGTGAGTAAAGAGCCGACACCCTCAGGGGTCAGTCGCCGCCAGTTTCCACGGACGTAGGAGTGCGAGAAGTGCCACCAGCCGATCGGCTCTGTGTGCTCAATCGAGACAATCTCGCCAATGGCCTGATCCGACGTCAGGAGCTTGCGGAGCAGAATGTTGTGAGGCGAGTAGTGCAACACGTGTCCGATTGACACCACTTTCGGCGGATACTTCGACAAGGCTGTGGGGATGGAGAGACAGTCCGATAGTGATATTGCCAGCGGCTTCTCGCACAGGATATGCAGATTGAGCGGCGCAATGGCTCGAATGATGGGAGCATGGCTCTCGTCTAGCGTGCATATGAAAATACCAGTGATGGGTATATATCCAGCTTCAGGGCCTGTCCCGTCTGCTCGCTCTCTTCGTTGAGTCTCCCATGCCACCCATTCTTGCCAACCGCCAAAAGATTGGCCGTCCGTGGGCTGGCCGTCTCTTCCCCAGATATACCGTCGTCCGAACTCTTGACGCTTGAAGGGGTCAATCTCTGCTACTGCTGCGATCTGGCCGGAAGTGGAGGCTTCCACCGCGCGAGCGTAGGCATGGCCTCGAGACCCAGCCCCAATGACGAGGAATTGCGGCGGCGGCGACGGAGGTTCGATGGATCCCATGGTGGTTCGGCGACTGTCAAGTCACGAAGAAGCTGCCTCCTTCCCAGCCGAAAGACATAGGGGACGGGGCAGGCAGAGGTCTATATGCCCAAACTCGACGGAGTAGGCCGCGTGTAACATTGTGCAGACACGATAGCAGTTGTACTGTAACGCTAATCGTGGCTTTTCTGATTGGCCCACGCGTTCGCCCTCGCCCTCACCCTCAGCAATCACAGTAGCCTCACGATCAAATCCATGCTCAAGATCCACGGCAGGAGCCTGGTTGTGCTACATGACACATTTCAATAATTGCTCGCCTCGTAACACGTTAAGGCGGCTGTGCAGAAACACATCAACACCTCAGGACACATACAGTACCGATCAGGGACGGCCATGGCCAACCTGGGCAATTCGGGAAATTGATTCTGGTGAACACTTTGGTTTCCCAGCAGGAAATACGGATGAATCCCCTGCTCGTCCTCCATATCTTTGTTACCTGGTAGTGAAGGCTGTCGATAGCCACTTGTCTGTGTCAAGGGAAGAGTACGAAGCTTTGGAAGCTGCCCCTCGTTTCCCTCGTCGCAGATCGTAAACAAACCCCGCACATGAACCACGACTTCATACCAAGCAGATTCTCTTCGCGAATCAGAGTCGACCCGAGGCATTCGATTCGGCTTGGTGAAGTCGTGGCACCACTTCAAGGGAACGAGCTGCGCGGAGGGCACAGACTCTCCTGGATCTCATTGGTGGAATCAACACTCAGTGAACCTTCATTGGGCCTGCAGAGCGAGATCGGACAAGAGGCACAGCTAAGTAGATTTCTCCAAGTATCTCTCTGGCGGGGAGTCGAAAGAGTCTCCGGCTGGTATCTCTCGATTCCACGCGTTCTGCCCATTTGACAGATCCTCAAACACCACTCTTGAGGTCGAGCAGCGGGGCTGTTATCTCTTCCTGACCTGACGAGGGCATCTCTATCTACCGGATACAGTCTGAAGCTGTGCTCTGAACAGCTATCACAATGTCCACGCAGACTGGAATGGGCGCTTGCTGCCTCTCCGGCGCCATCCACGAAGGCTCCCCGCAAGGCCGCGAAGATACCATCGGCGGCCTGCCCACCTACGTCGCGGAACCGAGCGACAAGTCCACTGCGAAAACGGTGGTCTTCCTCGTCGACATCTTTGGTTGGAAGTTCAAGAACGTGAGGCTTTTGGCAGACAACTACGCCAAGGCAGGCTTCTACTGCTACATTCCCGACGTGCACGAGGGTGATTCACTCCCTATCGAGTTCCTGCAGAGCGTGGAACCGCCGCTCAAGCAGAAAGAGCAGGAAGGCATCGTTGACAAGGCGAAGGAGACGGTCGACGTTATGGCGACGCTGGGCCCTTGGCTGGCGAAGCATAGAGAAGGTGTCTCGGAGCCGATCATCAGCGGCTTCATTAATACTGTGCGGACTATTCCTGGCACGAACAAGATTGGAAGTGAGTACTGCCTCCACATTGAGGACAAGGCTGGGAGAGATCGTACATTACAGTACTGACCTCGTTTGTCATCAGCCATCGGCTTCTGCTGGGGCGGCCGCTACAGCATTCTCCAAGCCCATGCGCGGAAAGAAGGCCAAATCGGTGGCGTCGACGCCGCCTATGCCTGCCACCCGTCTCTTCTCTCGATCCCGGCTGACTTGGAAGCCGTCGCGAAACCCACTTCCATTGCCGTGGGCGAAAAGGACAGTCTACTGGATATGAAGTCGGTGGAGCAGATCAAGGAGACGCTGGAGAAGACTGGTGTTCCCACCGAGGTCAAGGTATACAAGGACCAGGTGCATGGGTTTGCCTTGCGAAGCGACTGGAGTACTGATGAGGATAAGAAGGCTATGGATGATGCTGAAAAGCAGGGGATTGAGTGGTTCAAGAAGTATCTCTCTTAAGGGCTTGGCGAGCAGGAGAGGTGGAACGACAATATAGCGGGTCCAATGTGCTCACCATCACTGTCACGATAAGGATCTCACGGAGAAAAGGCCGTGGTTCTTGTTCCAAACTACCACATAAATGACCTAATCGAGGCCATACAAGTGCTATTTCTTCCCTCGGTCACAAGCTCCCATGAGGATTATGTCAAGGTGTACCCTTCTCCGCATCGTAGCTAAAGCTTGAACTGGGATCTCGGTCGCTTAATGTGGAGTCATTAGTGCGGTTTCCTTGAGGTAGACTGAGTAAGCGAGCCATGCAATAACCTGTCTGATGCAAATCGGCGAGACATGATCAGGCTCCAGACTGTGTGATGGTGTGTATGGTCGTGGTGCTGGAGACGGAAGAAGGGGCATACTTTCGATATGGCTTCAACCTGCTGGGATGGTTCCAGAAACGCTAGGTAGAATCAGACCTGTCATGACGGGTGACGATGGCGAACTTGAGATGCAGTGATTCTCCTCGCTGTGGAATTGGCGTTAAGGTTGCCTCCACCTGGGGCCATAGGTCTACCGTCGGTGTGCCGAGCATGGGATGACAGCCTCGTGCAGAACCAATGACCATGCTGGATCCCTGGAGTGTCGGGTTATGCTGAGGGGCCCACCCGAAGTTGATGAAAGTGGGTGGTTGACAACCATGTTCGCAGTGTTGCACCCACCTTGGTGGTCATCAGGGCTAAGACTCTGGAGCAGTCACTCTACGCGCCGTATCGTCCTGGCCATGAGGGCACGAAGGCCGACAGTAATCTTCAGCTGATGCCAGGGAAAAGGTCTTGACTTTGGTCGTACGGATAATTGGCATAGCCGCAGAGGCTGTTGTCATCAGTGCCTTGGCTCGCTGTAGCTTCTTGAATGGTGGTAGGAGCATATCGACGCAGACAAAGAAACGACCAGGGAATGAGAAGGACGATTTCAAGCTCTGTTGTGATGCCAAGGTTTGCTTGCGCAAAAGAGAGACGGTGATTCACAGCGCAGGACTCCCGCGAAGTTGATGCAAGCGTTATGACTCAACGACTGTAGATACCACATTGTGGCCGGTGTGCTGCGTGAACCGCGTCGAAAATAACAACAGCGGCGACCTTGGAATATTTGGTCGAAACTGTGCTGTACTGTGCCAGTACTTCGTGCATGGATACCGACCACCATAAGCAGCGAAGCCACGAGGCCCAATAGCTCAAAGCATCGCACCATTGGCAAGGTGAGCTTTACCTCCAGGCGTCGAACTGCACTTACTCCCCACGTGGAATCTTCAGCGCCTCCTCATCTCGTAGCCAGCCAGACATTATTGGGTCTGCCCAGCGAGAGCAAGACCCTTGCCATGTGGGCTTCCCGAAAGGCTTCGAAAGGCTTAGCACAGCCAAATGGCGTTGAACGTATCGCCAAGAACTGATAAGCATTTTCCCCATCATTGGTTGCATTTCCCCGGTCTGTGCATACCCGCCCTTCTTCGACTGACACTTCATGGTTCATCTCTCCTTGCAATTGCTTTCACGCAGCCCAACCGCGCAACGCCTCTGAGGAGCTCGTGGTGATAAGCAGGCGAATAGCTCCGACCACTTAGGACGAGCAGAGAGCGAGCATCGACGTTGCGCTTGTCCCTGCGCCGGTCGCTAACACGGTCTCATCCCTGGCTCAGTCGAACTCGTGGTGCACCAAAGGAAATATCCTGTGTGCCTGACGAATCATGGTACTTGAGAGGTAGAGATATCGCTTGGATCCCGGTCGATTCATAAGGTAGGTAGGTGTACGTACGTCGCATGGGCGGTTCGAGAGCTGGCGAGCTCGACTTTTCTTCTGCGTCGCGTGTGTTGCTGGCTTCCTGCTTAAAGGCTCGCGTGCTGCGCCCGCCTGCCCTTTGTTCATCGCGCCTTCGTACGTCTCCGTTCTCGCACCAGCACAACGGGACCATTGATCAGCCACAAGCTTGTCGTTCGATTTTCAGATTGAGCTCCCCAAGGCGCCATATCCCATCATCCGGAAGCATCCACCGTTATGTCATCGAGCCACGCCGCTGGTTGGCGCGCTCAGCGACGCTGGGATGCTGACACATTGGTGGCGCCCGAATGGCTCAATAATGGCGATAACGCCTGGCAGTTGACAGCGGCTACGCTCGTAGGACTGCAATCGGTGCCAGGTCTGATGGTCATGTACGCTGGCTTGGTGAAGAAGAAGTGGGCAATCAACTCGGCGTTCATGGTGCTCTATGCCTTCGCGGCTGTTCTCATCTGCTGGGTCGTATACGCGTACAAGGCTGCTTTTGGCAAGCAGATGCTGCCATTCGTCGGGGTCCCAGGTCCTGCCGTTGAGATGAACTATGAGTTGAAGCAGGCCTTTCTGCCCGAGGCTGGGATTTATGCAGCCTATCCCATGAGCACCATGGTATACTTTCAATTCGTCTTCGCAGCTATCACACTGGTGCTCATTGCAGGCGCTGCGCTGGCCAGGATGAACTTTCTGGCCTGGATGGTATTTGTGCCTCTCTGGCTCACGCTGAGCTACACTGTGGGCGCATTTAGTATCTGGGGAGGCGGTTTCCTGTTTGACCTGGGCGTGCTGGATTATTCTGGTGGGTATGTCATCCACGTCTCTTCTGGGACGGCAGGGTGGGTTCTGGCATACTGGGTCGGGCCAAGGCACCCTCGTGATCGAACCGAGTTCCACCCTAACAACGTTTTGCTCGCTTTGGTTGGTGTCGGTCTCCTCTGGCTTGGTTGGAATGGCTTCAACGGTGGTGATCCTTACACAGCTTCACCCGACGCTGGTGCCGCCGTGCTCAACACCAATGTCTGCACGGCAATGAGCATGCTGACCTGGACGATCATGGACTTGATATTCTTCAAAAAGCCAGCCGTGATTGGAGCAATTCAAGGAATTATCACTGGCCTGGTTGCCATCACGCCCGCGGCTGGATTTGTCGCCGGATGGGGAGCCATCATTATTGGTCTCTGTTCGGGAATCATTCCGTGGATTTCCATGAACATCCTAGGCAAGCAGGAGTGGTTCCTTGAACTCTCCGATGATGTCGTTGGAGACTTCCACACCCATCTGGTAGGAGGCATTGTTGGTGGCTTCTTGACAGGTCTCTTCGCCACCAGTGAAGGCGTTGCTGCATTCGCACTCGCTCCAGTGGGCGGGGCGATTGATGGCAACGGTCGCCAAGTCTGGGTTCAGATTGTTGGCTTTCTGTTTATCATCGGCTGGAATCTGTTCTGGACCAGCGCGATTTGCCTGTTCATCAAATATGTGTTAAGAATTCCCTTGAGATATAACGAGGACCAGTTGCTCATTGGTGACGGAGAAGTTCATGGCGAGCTGCCGTACGCCTTTTTCCATGAAGGAAGACATGTAAGTCGCCTCTCCAAGCCTGGAGCGCTTCTTTTTTCTTTGCTGACTTCAGAAACAGGACTATGATGCACACTATGGCGAACCCAGCGGAGACGTGGAGAAGCGAGCGGGAGTGCTTGAGGGTGTTGATGCTGCAGGGCATTTCGGTAGCGAAGGCCCAAGTGGTAGCGCTACTGGTAGTGCGAACGGCAAAGAGACTAAGCAGGCATAGGCAGAGGATTGAGGTTATATTCTCTTCGCTCGCGACGTGCGCCACATGAACAAAGGTCTCCGAAATTGTGAACTTACTGCATATGTACACAGTATTCTTTCCGGATTTGGGCGGCCAGCATTTTCAGCCCGTTTCCAGTACTGTCCGCAATGTGATAATGAGATTTGATAAATTGATTCGAGTTCTCATTTTCAGTGAGCCTGTGACGTTCAAGACACTGCGCAGTGTCTTGCAGTTGAGGGACTAGTGAGCCTCTTAGGAGAGGTAGGCACAAACACACGATCGAGCGCAATCATGGCATGGCGTGTGCAGGTTTGTAGGGCGCTTTGGAGTTGATGAGAGAAAGGAAAATAAAATGCCAATATTGCTGGTAACCACGGGCGAGGCTGATTGACGTCATTGTAGCATTGGGGCGCGCCTGCCTGTCGCGTCCTCATTGATCTCCTTTCACCTGAACTTCATCCGACTGCCAGTGTTTTTTCCTCGTCCAACTGCCCCAGCTTCCTGTCCTCTATTCGCTGCTCAAAAATCTCTTCCAACATAAAAGCTTTCTGACCTCTGTCGGACAGGCTTGCCCACGCCGCACCTCACCGATACTAACACATTTCGGGCAGCTCTTCCCATCATGTCGGAACCTACATATCGCTTTGGTGAGTGCATTCTTCTCTAGGCTTCAACCCGATGGATGGAGCTCGGCACCTCAGTTGAACCCCTATACCCAGTTTAGATTTTGCACCGTGCATCGTCAGACCTCGACATCCCTCACGCTGATTTTCCCACCCACTGACATGTTCGCAGAAATCGCCAAGCAGGGGCGTGCTCTGTGCCAGAACACTGCATGCAAAAAAGCAGGTGTCAAGATTGGCAAAGGAGAATTTCGCATGGGCACGCTCGCTGTAATCGACGGGAGACCGTCCTGGAGATGGAAGCATTGGTGAGTGCTACATGTGTGCGTTCCTCCCGTTTCATAGCTGATGATCAGGGAAGGGGATGCGTCACGCCTCTTCAGATCGGTAATCTGCAAACCCAGGTCGGGACACTTGACGACCTGGATCTTGACGATGATCTACCACGGATCATCGACGGCTATGAGGAGATCGACGACGAGGCACGCGAGAAGATCAAATTTGCGCTGCACAACGGACATGTTCCGGACGAAGATTGGAAGGGTGTACGTTGTACTTCTTCTTCTCATCACTGACTTTGGGCTAATCCTGAGTCAGGACCCAGAGTTGAATCGACCAGGCAAGAAAGGTATCAATAAGCGGACGCCGAAGAAGAAAGCCGTCGAAGAGGATGGAGACTCCGTGGACGAGAAGGGGGAAACGCCCTCGAAGCCGAAGCCAAAGAAAGGGCGCGGCAAGAAAGCCAAGACCGAATCGGGAGATGAAGCAGACGTGCCAGCGCCAAAGAAAACGGCCGTTGGAAAACGTAATATCAAAGTTGAAGAAGAGGATGACGCTGATGAAAACCCCCCTCCACCAAAAAGAGCCAGAAAACGAAAGGCCGCGGTCAGAGAGGAAGATGAAGACGACCAAGTGGCAGAAGAGCAGCTCGCGAAGAAACCAAGAGCTCGAACGGTCAAAATAGAGAATGAGGAAGAGGCAGCCGCGGCACTTGCTAAGAAGCTGCGGGCCAAGAAACTCAAGGTCGAGGAGCAAGGTGACGAAGACATGCCAGACGCACCTCAGCCTGAACCAGCAAAGCGCGAGAGGGTCCGGAAGAGGAAGAACATGTCCCCCAATGCTGAAGGAGGCGAGAATGAGGTCAAGAGATCAATCCCGCAGGGCACTGGCGAACTTGATAATCTGCCCGCAGCTACGAAGGCTTCGAGTAAGGCGAAGACAGCCAAACGTGGGCGCAAGGACAAAGCTGTCAAGCAAGAAGAGCCTGAGGAGGACACCCATACCGCACACGAGACCACCGACGAGATCAAGCCAAACATCAACGGAGAAGATCGGGCGCAAGCGCATGGTAAGTCCTTTTCTCGTGCCACCGACTCTGCCTCTCCTGCTGTCTTTAACACTAACGGAGAAGCAGAAGCATACGGAGACACAGATGCGGCAGAACCCGCAGTACGTCCCGAGCTAGAAGAGCCCGCTGTCGATGCTGGAGGAGTGGATGAAGAGGGAGAAGCTGTCAGCAAACCGGCCAAAGCAGGAAAAGGCAAGAGAGGTCGCAAGACCACCAAAGGACGGGGAAAATGATCAACGACAGCTGTACCACGCCACCTTCCCATTCACGCCTCAACACGAACACACTGTGATCCGAAAGCGCGATGACTAATGCGGAAACTGGGGAGGGAATTAAGTTGAACATGGAAATTCCGAGAGCTGGTGGTGGGAAGGTATCCGCATCATGTGAAACAAGCATGGAAGCACCTCATATGTTCCATGGGTAAATGTATGGGCGCCGTGGGCGTTCAGTGAGCCAGAGTCGAGCATGGTTGATATCCTGTACCACTAGGGTAAATGTCGGTAATACACAGATTCGGTGGGAACAAAGGTATTTGTTCAACAATTCGACCGTTTCTATCTGTATGAAGTTGGTGAGACACGCAAGGGGAGACGTCGATGGAAATCTTTATGGGATGGAGAGTTCAACGCGAGACGCCAGTCTCCTTTTTCCCTTCACATGATATATTCCTACAGTGCCGCAATTCGTTCAGCCTTTGCGGCGGTTGTATTCAAGTACTGCCGGAGACCCCTAAGGCGTACGAGCTACCTAGGTAATCATCGTCAATTCACACGTGATTCGCTCCGTGGTCCGGCTCATACCATCGGACGTGGTGTTTCAGAACTCCCTGCTGTCCCCAATATCGCAGATATCAAATACTCCTGTCCCGGCAATGCCATGATGCTTCAATGCCTCTTTCAACAACCTCGGCGGCTCCAGCACGTCCTCCTCGGTGAGCACCCACGTGCCCCAATGAATACCCATCGCCTTCTGGCACTTTGTATCCCGGAAAATCTCGACCGCATCCCTGGGGTTCGCGTGCATGGGCGACATGATCCATCTAGGCATGTACGCTCCGATCGGGATCAATCCCAGGTCAAACGGTCCGCGTAACCGTCCGATGTCTGCAAAGGCAGGACAGTGTGGGAGATGCGAGTATTCTTCCGCCCAGTCGTCTTTCCCATCGGAGGCCTTGGGCACGCTGCGGTAGCCGGTATCGCCACCGAAGTAGACGGATTTGTTCCCAGAGGAGACGGACCAGGAGGCCCACAGGGTCGCGGCGCGGTCGTGAATCGAGCGGGCGGAGATGTGTTGGCACGGGAGGCACGATATGCGGGCCGATATCGCGTCTGAATCCGAGGATGTTGGTTTGGCCGCGGGCTCGTCTGTCGAGGATACGCTGACGGATTTCTCTTTGGAGGACGACGAGGCTGTCAGCGTAAAGTCGACTTCGTCCCACCAATCTAGTTCGGTGCATTTCTCCACGCCACTGGCTTTGAACCATTTCTTGTTCCCGAGGGGTACGAAGAAGTGGCATTCTGGGTGCAGCTTTGCGATCTCCATGATGGTAGGATGCGACAGGTGGTCGTAGTGGTTGTGCGAGATCACCACCGCGTCAATGATCGGGATGTCTTTGATCTGGCACGGCATTTCGGTATATCTCTTGGGGCCCAGCCAGGTGAAAGGAGAGCACCGGTCCGTGAATACGGGGTCGAAAAGGACACGCAGTCCGGAGGGAAATTCGACGTAGTAGCAGGCGTGGCCTAGCCATGTTGCCCTCAACGTGCCGGCCGAGGTGCTGGCTGCCCTGGAGGGTAGAAATGTAGGTGCGTGGACGGGCACGGTAGGAGGCGTGGTGTCGGGTTTGTTCGCTGTTCCGGAAAATCTGCGCATGATGAGACCCCATATCAGGGTGGGCGCAGACATCATGTTCCATGACGGCCACGGGTTGTCGAAGCCGCCGGACTTGGAATGCCAGGCTTTGGCTTTTGTGATTTCGTCGTCGGGGCGGCCGGACGCGGTGGAAGGGACGGCGACCGTGGCAGCGTACACTAATGCTGCTGTTGATGAGGAAGTCATGGTGCGGAAGCTTGCTGGACAACGGCGCGGCGGAGGAGGGAATGATGCGTGGGTTGTGAACGGCGCGCGCTTGCTGAAGAGCAGCCGGAAGAAGGCGGCGCGCATTGGTATTATAACGCTGGATCTCGCATGCTTACGCTGCTGCCTAGAAACCCAATGTAAGGCTTCGCTAAAGACGCGGCGCTGGATGCGGTGTGGTTATCTACTCAATTGGTTTCAATGCAAGTCGTGAACGTTGCGCCTTTTCTTAACTCCGCTGCTGCTGTGGAGCCTCGTTCGCATTCACCGTCATCAATGTCGGAATCGGAGGAAATTCCATCCCGGTCCAGGCAGTGAGTCAGGATTTACATGTGGCTCACTTGAAGCTTGAATCCTGGGGCACTATCACGATTTCTGCAAAGTTGCAGGGGGATGCAGGGCGAAAATGGGGTGGTGAAGGTCCCTGCGAACCCAGCTTCGGTACCTCCGGGCTTGAATGATGGCGGTGGTGCCGCTCACAAAGCAGACCTGATCCGCCAGTTTGCAAGCTCGGGGAATTCTGGAGATGGCGGATTGATCGCGCAGCTAAGCAACAATCCATTCTTCACTGCGGTAGGTTTGCTACGACAGCCGTCAGGTTCGCGGCTAACAGCATACAAGGGCTTCGGACTCGCAGGTCTCACGGCCATCGCGGCTTTCGGTCGACGAGGTATCCGCCATGGAGCCGCCCTCATGCGCCGTCGTCTCTTGGTCGATGTTGAGATCAGCGTCCGAGACGACTCCTATCCGTGGTTTCTATACTGGATGACTCTGCATGAAAGAGGGAGACTTGTTGAGCATGCTGCGCAGGCGAAAGCGAGTCGCTTCGAGTCACTCTTGCAACGACTCACGCCCGGTATGCGCCATCTGGCCATTGAGACCGAGAAAAGAGAATTACCCAACGGCGCTATTCATACGAATTTCGTCCTAATTCCTGGACCGGGGAGACACGTCCTCCGCTACAACGGGGCTTGGATCTTCGTCAACCGTCAGAGAGAAGGGAAGCAGTTCTCAATGGATGGGAAGCCTTGGGAGACGGTCACTTTGACTACGCTCTATTCTCAGCGCCATGTGTTCGAGTCGTTGTTCAAAGAAGCTCATGACATTGCAACGCAGTCTGTGGAGGGCAAGACGGTCATATACACAGCATGGGGCACGAAGTGGGATAAATTCGGCAATCCGCGGAGCAAGCGACCACTGGAGTCAGTCATCCTTGACAAAGGGGTCAAAGAACGCATCGTGTCCGACGTCCAGGACTTTCTTGCATCGGCCAAGTGGTACTACGAGCGGGGGATACCTTATCGAAGAGGCTACCTTCTATATGGTCCGCCTGGTACAGGGAAATCTTCCTTCATTCAAGCGCTCGCCGGCCACTTGAACTACGACATCGCCATGCTCAATCTGAGTGAGCGGGGTCTCACAGATGATAGGCTGAATCATCTGTTGACTGTCATACCTCAGCGGACATTGGTTCTATTGGAAGACGTGGATGCTGCTTTTGCCAATCGACGCCAAGTCGAAGCAGACGGGTATCAGGGCGCGAATGTGACGTTCTCAGGCCTGTTGAACGCTTTGGACGGTGTTGGGAGTGCCGAGGAACGGATTATCTTCCTGACCACGAATCATGTTGACCGGTTGGACGAAGCACTCGTCCGCCCAGGCCGGGTAGACATGACCGTCCGTCTCGGTGAAGCCACCACGTATCAGATCGAACAGCTCTGGGCACGCTTCTACAGCGAGCAAGATCCAGAAGGACACTTCAAGGCGAGATTCCTGGGGAGACTCCATGAACTCGGCGTGCTCTCTGGACCTTCAGCGGTCAGCAGTCGGACAAGCATGGCTGCGCTGCAAGGGCTATTTTTGTACAATAAGGGAAACCCTCAAGGTGCTATCGATATGGCCTGGCAATTGGCGCCTGGCGGCTTACCCAGTGCTCTGACCAAGGAGAGTCGGGCACACGCGAAAGCCGCTTGAAAGTGTGTAAGTCTAGTAGATGACCTGGACTGTACTCCGTACAAGTTAGAAAATTGAGCTCCGTCACTCTCGCGGTGGCTGTGCAAGGCTGCGCCACTTTCTCCTAACCGGCGGGAAACCACGATCTTAGCTGAGCCCGTTCTAGGTGTCCTACGCTCATCAGACAATTTCTCAGACAGATCTAGGGACTTTTAACCGTCAGAAAAGACCGATTCATGTTCGCAAGTCTACTCGTATCGGGTGAGCTGGACGATATCGTCGTAGCCACGGCAGACAAGTGATGGCAGATCCTACCTTTTGTAACTCCAACGTACCACGACCTCGAAGTCGGCTTTCATACCTATCGGGTGGCCGGTAGGAGTTTCAAGAATTTGTATTCTGAGCAGAGCGCGCTCTATTTTCCTGCAACAGCGGTGCAGCGAAAGAGGGGTTGGCGCTGACCACACGATCCAGCTCCGAACATGAGCGATCCATTTTCAATTGTCACCGGGGTTGCTGGCCTCATAGCGCTGGCAGGCGAAGTGATCAGCAAATGCTATCGATATGGCTGCGCGGTTTCCGGCGCCCCAGACGAAGCCAAGCGGCTTGTGACCGAAGTCACTGGGCTCAGTGGTATCCTCGTGGGTGTCCAAGTCCTGGTCAATCAGAGCAGTCTCCCAGAATATCAGCTGGAACATCCCCTGAGGAACTGTTTGGCGGTTCTGCAAACTCTGTCGTTGAAGTTGCAAAAGTACTCGTTAGATTCGAGCCACTCATCTGGAAAACGCGCAATCAATCGGCTACTGTGGCCGCTCCGCAGAAGTGACACAGAAGAACTCATCACGGCGATCGAGCGGCACAAGAACTCGCTGTCGCTATCCCTCAGCTCGCTTTCAGTGTGAGTATTTCCACTATGATTGATTTCTAGGGGTTGTGACTCAAATGTGTAACAGGGAAGCTCTCATGAGCCAAAGCACCACCATCCAAGACATCTCGGACGGTCTTGCGGATCTATCAGTGACCGTCGTGTCCAGCCACGCAGCACAGCAACGCCGAGATATCCTGGACTGGCTTTCTGAACACCAATATGAGGCGCAATATCATCGCAGCTATCAACTCCACTGCTCGGACACGTGTCGTTGGCTTTTAGCTGAGCCTGCATTTCTCGATTGGTCGAAAGCTAGGTCTTCTCTCCTGTGGATGCATGGTCAAGTGGGCACCGGTAAGACGATTGCCACGAGTTATCTCATCCATCACTTGATCACCACGAAATGTGGTGATTCGCTGCTTGGATACTTCTACTATGATGCCAGTACGATGGAGAGCCTGACGCCGGAGAGTTTCTTCGGCGCTATCGTCAAGCAATTCTGCTCGGACCTTCCTGAACTTCCCGCAGAGATTGTCGATGCATATATGCGAGCTTCCAGTCGTGCCGGAAGCCCAACACGAGCAAGCCTAGACGACCTCAAGTCTTTTCTGCGTTCGCTCCTCGAGAGTCATGACTCCGCCACCATCGTGGTCGACGGCCTGGATGAGTCTCCCAACTACGCCACCGTGTGCGACTTCCTGACCTCGACCGTCTTGGCCGGGAAATATGCCTTGCGAGTCTTCATCAGCAGCCGCCCAGAGCTGCATCTTCGGCAGCGATTTCGTGGATTCAAGGAGATCCCAGTCCCCGAAGTCGCGGTCGAGGAGGACATCAGTGTCTACATCAAGATGAGAATCAACACCAACCCACGGCTCCGGCGTATGAGCGACAGGATGAAACACTACGTGGAGATGACCCTCCGAGCAGATTCTCATGGCATGTGAGTTCAGCATGATCAAGCCCTGAGCGAAACGGCCGACTGACAAGTGTAGGTTCCGCTGGGTGCAATGCCAATTAGACGAGATATCACGGCTGAGGACTGACGCGGCACTGAAAAGGGCCCTCAATCACCTGCCGTCCAGCCTTGAAGGCTCCTACCTGAGAATTCTAAACAACATCGCCCCAGAAGATGTTACTTTTGCTAAAAGGGCTCTACTGTGGCTCGCTCACGCCTCGACACCGCTGAGCCTGACCGAGCTTGCAGAAGCCGTGGTTCTGGAGCCGGGGTTTTACTTCTTGGATCCGGACTCGAAACTGAACGATCCCAGCGACGTGATTGACATCTGCCGCAGCCTGATCGCGTTCAATCCGCTGTCCCAAACTGCTCGTATCGCTCATCACTCGGTGCGCGAGTTCCTCACGGAACGGGTGAATGACCTTTCCGAATTCTACATCCCAGCTCAGACGTCGCACCGGACCATAGCCGAGGCGTGTCTTTCGTATCTGCTGCTTGACGACTTTGCGGCCGGGCCGTTATACCGGGAAGACTTTGCGCGGACGCTCTCCAAATTCCCGCTTCTGAGGTACGCCGCGCAGAATTGGCCGTTCCACGTAGGGATGTCCGGCGCGGAGGCCGAATTGCTCCCTCTCATCGGCAAGCTGATGACCACCAAGGCGAACCCCAAGTTCTTCTTCTGGCTCCAAGTTGTCCTTTTCGATTCCAGACACGGCTATCTCACGCCCGGTGCGGAGCTCGAAGACGCCAGACCTCTGTATTACGCCGCATCTTATGGTCTGACAGAGACGGTCAGGAGTCTAGTGCAGGCCGGCGCCGAACTTGACGAATGCGCCGGACGATATGGTGGGACAGCTTTACATGCCGCGGTATGGCGAAAACGGCCAGAGATACTTGACATTCTGCTTGACGCTGGGGCCGACCCGACCATCAAAGACTACAATGGAGCGTCCCCGGCAGATCTATCTATATGGAGTGGAGCAAGGGCATTGTATCTACGCATCTCGGAGCGCGATCCTGACCGTGTTAGTAAGAAAGGTCTTGCGCCGTTGATTGCAGCGATTCTGAGAGTAAGGGAGAAGGAACTCTCCTGTACAGACTCAAAGCTCGAAGTTCAAGACACTGCCGAGGCGAAGGAGGTGGCCTCCCTGGTCATGAGCCAGCCTGAGGGTGTGATTGAAAAGCTGAAACAAGAGCAAGGCTTTGAGCATGGTCAGACGACGCTTCATTTCCCGGCAGTACGCAAGGAAGCTTATGCTTTGGCGAGGTTACTTAGTGGTGGCGATGGCAGCACAGGGATAGACGGAGCCGACAACACCAAGGACAGTCCTCTTCCATCTGCTCGTATAGCTGGTGATGCTGGGTCTTGGAAGGCTGCAAAGTTAGATTTCAATCCTGAAAACGACCAGGGCCGAGAAGGGAAGAGTTGACTCCGACACTGCAAGCAGCTCAACAATCACTCTCCCCGGAGCGGGAAAGAACGAACGGAGCGACCGACATCGGATCCGAATACCTTCAGCACAGCCTAAGCAGACTCAGAGGGGTCTATAGCAAGAAAAAGCGCCACAGCTGCCATGCGCGTCCATGCTGAGCAATGGCTTGAACGGAGCAACTTGCGTACGAGTCGAGGCCATCGTGTGCATGTGGCCAAAGGAAGCCTCCCGATGACAGCAAACACGATCATGGACGACAGGCCACTGTGCGTACAAAGCGGGATGGACGAAGAGACGGCAAGGCGACATCGGCGGTGATGGCGGTGCACGCCCGAAGATACAGTCTGATTGAATGATGTCTCGTCGAGGAACGCGGGGTTGCAGCCAGACAGCGTGAATATTGTCATATCGTTGACGGCGGGTCGCGTAAGGGCAACACTTGGACGGTGAATCAGCTCTTTAGCAGAAAGATCCAGTGCGTCGAGATTGTCCAGAGTGGGTTAATAGCAGCACTGGATGAGGAAGCAATCAATCCTACAACAGAACGATGGAATGTGTCGAAGTTGTCCTGACAGGAACAGATATTCGAAGGTCTCGTCCTACGATGATGGCCATCAGCAAGAGCATGAGAAAGACCCTTGGCATGGGCACGAGCAGAGGCACGAGCAAAGGCATGAGCATGAAATGGTCATGACCATGACCATGACCCAAGGCAAGAGCATCAGCGGGCATCAGCGGGCATCAGCGAGTACCCAGCGATCTTGAAGCCGGTACAGGTTCGGGGCAAGTGCATGATCCCTCTCCAGTACGGTACTTGGGTCTAAACCGTAGAATGAACAGTGGAAAGTGAAGAGCAGAGTTCAAGCACCACTCATTACGATTCTCCTAATTATCCCGATCTGCCCAGTATTATAGAGAACAGTACGGAGTAATTAAGCTCGCGTGGCTTCTCCGCACATCGGAGAGCTTTACACTGCGTGACTGCGTAGGCGCACCGCAGCCACCGCTTGAGTAAACGGCATTATGGACATATACATCATGATTACCTTATATACTGTATCACCTGTATTCACGTACAATAGTTTGGGGCGACCGCGAGGCCAAGCAAGGCGAGGCGCCGCTCACCCACTCAACACGGACAAGCTCACTGACTCACGGCTCGAATGTTGGGCATACGTTACTGCGCTTCCGTCATGGCTTGAATGGCAAGTTCCAGCACACACATAGTATGTCCCTGTGTCTTCGATGTGCATGTATTGATACTCCGGACGCCGTGTCGCTATGTCGCTATGTATGTGGGCTGAAGGTCGCATATCTAGCCAAACACAAGACATCCTTTAAACGCTAATAATGCAACCTGTACTCTACTCCAGATGCAGTACGTATCTAGACAGACAGATAGAAAAGTACCGTGGACTGCGGGCACACCCACCTCACAGCACATCGCACCACGACCGTGTAATCTCGTATAGCGTAATATGGCGTGGCGTAGCGTACCTTCGTCCTCCCCAGTCCTGGAATCACCCATGCCACCGAAACACACTGCTCTGCGGCGTCTTCATTTCCATCGCACTGACCCTCCCACCCCCAAACCCACCTCCAGCACCACCGTCGTTCTTGTACGCGCCATTCAAAGGCTCGAGAACCTCATACGACGTCGTCGACTCCCCCTCCGTTTCCCAGGGAACCATGACCTCCGTCTTGCCACCTGCGGCATACACCTTGTCCCGCCGGAAGCGGACATCCCAGCCCGCGGTGACGGGGACGTTGCCACCACTCTTCCCCTTCCACGGGCCAATCCCCCTGCCCTCGAACGCCAGACGCTGGATTTGCAGGATGTCGTCCTCATCCCACGCCTGCTTGGCAGCGTCCCCGACAGGCGAGGTGCGCTGGAACCGATGCACCAGGCCCGGCAGAATCACGTCAATCAGAATGATAAGTCCGCTCACGCACACGATGATCAAAATCCCCGCCATGCTGAAGGAACTGTGCGTCGTCACCTTGACGCGTTGATTCCGGCACAGCGCCAGACTGTCCGCGTCCGTCTCGGGCACGATGTGGTCGATCAGCTGGAGCCCGGGGCGGATCTGCACGTCCGTGGCGGCCGCATGGGAGATCGTATTCAGCTGCAGCCCCGCCAGCGTGATGTTGTGGATGTTTTCAATCTCGATGTGCCATGCCGTTGGGACGAGGGGGCTCGAGATCCCAAAGGAGCCGTACACGAGCTTGTTGGCTGCCAGGATCTCGTTCTTGAGGAACATGATGAAACTGTTGAAGCGGAGCGAGTACACCATGTCCCGCAGAAGACGGTACGTGGCGGTTTGGCGCGCGTTGAGTGCGAGGGCCGCGGGCGGGGTCGTCAGGTCGTAATCGTACAGCGCGCCTAGGGGCCCGCAGAGCGGCGAGCCACCAGAGTCAGTAGAAGCCGGGTTGCAGAACTGGTATTGTTCGGTGCAGGCGATGCCCGTGAGGGTCTTGTCCGAGACCCATGCGTCCGCGAGCCGGTTACCCCCCGAGTTCAAGTGTGCTTCGAAGAACGGGTCGTCGACGCGGCCCGTGTAGGCGACGCGGTTGTTGAGGGTCAACAGCGAGACGTCGGCGTCTGTGCGGTTTAGGTCTTGGTCGGGAAAGAAGCCGCTCTCGGTGAAGTTCTTTGCGTATGCAGTGCGGACGCTGCGAAGTGTGTTAGTCAGATAGAGGATATGCAGGGAGCATCCTGTGGGTGGGTATGTATGACTCACCCGAACGTATATGGAAGCCCATTCACGTAGAGCGAATAATTGCTCATGACAAAGGTGAAGTTGCTGATCGGCGCCCCGAACAGCCAGCTCGAGCCCATGGAGTAATACTTGAACGTGTCGTTGGGGAACAGGGTCGGGAAGAACATCTCGGTCCCCGGCTGGATCTCGGAAGTCCACTCTGTAGAGTATGCCTCCATATCGATCGGGGCGCAGGACGTCTTCTTCCGAACTTGTAACCGACTCTTGGGACCCATGTTGATGCCGAGGTGGCGACTGGAGTCCATCAACCCCGTGTCCAGTGTTATTGCCGGGTGCGTGCACACTCCTGCCGCGAAAGGGCAATCCGCCTCGCGATTGATCTCCGACTCGATGTACGGGATGCTCGGGGTTTTGCACTGCGCGTCGGAGCTGTTCTGGATGTTTCCTGCATAACACGTCTGCGCGTAGGTGAGATGACCGCGGTAGGCGTTGTAGGCGGCGACAAACAGCGCGTCGCCGGTCTCCCAGTCACTCGGCGTCCACAGGGGAAAGTCCTTGTTTGCCGTCAACTCCAGATTTCCGCAATGTCCGACGAGAAGCCCTTCGCTACTGCCGACCGTGACACGAGCGGACAGAATACCAGCAACGAGGAACGCAATCAGATTCAGCGCGGCAAGGATAGCGAGAGGGAACCCTCTCCGAAACACTCTAGGTGTGCTTGCCCTCCACGCCCAACTGAGTCGGCACATCCGGATGAGAAAGTCTGTTTCGGACACCTTTGACCGCAGGAGCGCTTGATGCTGGTAGTGCAAGCCATCGTGTGATGATGCCGAAGCCGCACGGATATCATGGAGGACAAAACAGATGATGCCCCAGAAATGGGTGCCCGCCCATTTTACGACCAGGGCGAGAACGGCGATAAGGACAAGTCCCCAGATGGCTGGGACAGTCAACGTCAACCCCAGCGGCGGCCCTAGGTCTGATGGACGGTTAATAAAGTTGTCCATGGGCACAAAGGCGATAGACTCACTCCAGTTCTGCCACACACCGGTATACACATCTTTGTCAGCCATTTCCCACAGTTTTGCCCAAATTCCACACTTCGATCAACACTATGGGAGACCTCGTAAACCCGGGCGTTCGCATAGATGCGGGAAGAAAAGACAGGAAACCACGCTGGCCAGCGAGGCGGTTTTCATTCTGCACCATGTCCGCAATATCGTGCTGTGAAGGGGCTATTCTTGCAGCGTCGAGACCACGGGCGTGCGCACGGTCTGAGAAGCACTGCCTCTGCCGGACTCAAATGGTTGGACACGATTACCTGCTGAAGGCGTCGTCGATTTTGAACACGAGATACAAGAGTTGGTGAGGTCTCGGCGCGTGGTGCTAGAGCTGGCGGGCACTGGGATGGGAGGCTAAGGGAGGCATGAGCCATGTGCCAGAGGGGGATTTGAAGGGCTTGGCGAGAGCCTGGCCCGCCCGCTTGGCCCCACCAAGACCAACTGGTTCTTGGCTAAGGCTGTTTCTGGCTGCCCTACTAGTGTTTCCGCCAATCAAGATGTGTCGACTTCGCTAAACTGAGGACTTGAACCAAGACCTGGACCAATCCGAAGTGCAGCTGAGTAGCCGGCCAATTCTGCCACATTTCGGCTCTGCCTTGTACAAATACACGATAGGGGAGTGCCATAATCGGTTGACAGATCATTCCACATTCCCACGATCATGGTACCGGCCAAGCTCAGACTATTTAGCTTCCGACCGCTATTCGAGCGGCAGAAGCGGCCGGCGCCATATGGCTGCCTCATCGTTTGTGACAACCTGCATCTCTCAAGTCAGTGCCACACCTCCGGCCTGGTTGTCGTCGCCGTCTGACCCAGTGTCCGCCATGAGATCATCCGCGTCGACTTCCACCACTGGGCCGGCATCATCCACAGGCTCGACCTCTGGACTGGAGCTATTTCGTCTCAGTCTCGCATCCACTGACTCCTCCAGGATGTCAATCAGGCTAGCGCCAGCGGCATCAGCGTTGGTGACCGTGGCCCCGTTCCCGCTCACTTCGCCATCTTTCCCATTACTCGGTGTTCCTTTCTCCTCCCGAGCGCCCGTCCATCCCTTGCTCATATTGACAAGCGGGGTGTCCTCATTGAACAGCCTCAACAGCATAGCTTTTCTGTCCTCCTTCGGCAGCATGAGGTTCAAGCTTTGAATGCTCTTCCATAATGGAAAGACCATCCTCTCCTTCAAGCCTTCTCCATCGGTCCCGTTCTCGTCGGTCTGGGTCGGTTCGATGATCAAAACACAACAGCCCATGCTCAGTTTCCTGACTTGCTCGCCTACTTCTCCCAGTTGCTCTCCTTCTTCACCGTTGAATTTGGGAAACATTTCAATCAGTAACTTTCTCAGTGTCTGCTTCTTCCTCAGCCTGACGACTCGTTCAGGCCCGACCCATGCCTCCAACAGTCGCAGTCCATCAGTCTGTATCCGCCAGGGACAAACTTCAGGAGAAGGGGCATCTTGCTTGACAAACATCTTAACACCGGCGTGCACGAATTTCAACCCCTTCCCTTCATTCTCCTGCAAGATCTCTTTTGAGAGTTCACTGGTGTAGTAGATGTTCTTTGTGGCTGTACCGTCAGGGTTTCGGACCATGAAGCGGGTAAGCGGGAAACGAGGCGAGAGATTGTAAAAGTCGCGGATTTGCTTTATTTCTGGGAGGGTCGAGGGAAGGTATTTGAAGGGCTCTTCGAACGGTTGATTGCGATTCTTTTTGTTCGGGTTGGAGGCAGGCTGTGTGAGCTTTGTAGGCTGCTGAGGGAGTAAACTGGTAGAGGAGGCTGCCGACGGGAGACTGGAGGGGGTGCTTTCAAGTTTCTCTTCACTTTTAACCCGCTTGAGCGGAGAAGTAATACCGTCCAGATCGCTGTCGTCCTCGCGCTTACGCTTCGTCAGCGTTTCAGAGTCCAAGTTCACAGTGTTGCTCTCGGCGCCGTTGCCGTTGGTGATGCCATTCCCACTCTCCACGTCAGCGCCAGAGGTGGCCTCAAGCTCAACCTTAGGAGCCTCTGGATTTTCGACCTTTGACGCAGTTGAATGCTTCTCCTCTGGTTTGGCTTTGATCTCTGATTTCTTTTCCAAGATGGCAATAAAGAAGGCTCCCGTGTCCTGTTGATGAGGATAGACGCGCATTGCTCGATCAAGAGGCAGGTCATTTTCAGGGGGAAACATGCCTTCTGACAGTTTGTTTAGAGCATCATCGGTGCCTTGTTCTTCCCTCTGCTGTAGCACAGAGGCATAATCTTTCCAGATCCGGCCAGCCTTGTCCATGACACTCCAGTCCTTAAGTGCAGGAGAGCGCTTCAAGCCGGGCAACAAGTCCTTCGTCTCGAGGATCTGGACCCATTGGGAACCACCACAGCGGCTGATAGCTTCTGCAAGTACAGCTTCGTCTTCGACCGGATTCATACTGCACGTCGAATATACCACTCGCCCCCCTACTTTCAGCATCTGGAGGGCTCTGATCAGAATCCGGACCTGGGTCGCGTGGAGACCGAGACCATTGCTAGGGGACCATTTCCCCCAGATCTCCATGTTCTTCCTCACTGTGCCATCGCCCGAGCACGGTACATCGGCCAGAATACGGTCGAACTTAAGATAGCGATTCGGTGCCGGCTTGCCCTCTGCCGCTGGTGGTGAAGCGATCTTGATGGACGGATATACTGTGGCATCATGATTCGTGACAATGATGTTGGGAGAGCTTAGACGCTTCATCTGGTGGACCAGCATATGTGCCCGCCGGTAATCAACATCGTTGGCAATGAGTAGACCTGTCGACCGACCATCGTCCGCAAAATCTTCGCCTGCTAGGCTATCCAGGTCCGCATCTGAAGCTACGCGCTTGCATCTTCCTTCCTCGCCGGCATGTATCATCTCGATCAACTGGGCGGATTTGCTGCCCGGCGCAGCACAAAGATCCAGCACCGACATTCCTGGTTTGAGGTCCATGACTAGCGGCGGAATCATGCTGACCACCTCTTGTCTGGTTATATTGCCCACATCGGTCTCGGCCACGAGGAATTTCTGGAAAGAGGCGAATGGCTTGAATCGGCGGATCACATTTTTCGGAGTGGTCATGAACCATGCCAGTTGCTCGGGGTACCATTCGACCGGTCGTGGGGCGTCAACATATTGGCCTTCGTATGTTATGGAGGTGATTTCGGGAATGTAGTAGTCTTTGAGCCGTTGTTGGACTGCAAGCGCATGCCTGAGATTATTAGCCCATAAACGCCTTCGGTGTTCGAATCGACCTACTCTCGCGAGCCGGTGAATCTGAAGCTGTTAGGGAGATCTTTCCTCATAGCCTCCCAAAAGTCTTTCTTCTCATCGTCTGGCAGTATGCCGAGCTGGTTGTAGTACTTTTCGAACCTTTCATTCTGTCGGGGGATATCCTGCTTGCTGGGGCGATAGTCGCGATTGTCGCGAGGACGAGGTGGTCCACCTCTGCCGCCACGGCCGCCACCCTGTACAATCGTTAGAAGCTGCGCCGAAAATGTCGTTTGCTAGACGTCTGCTTACCCTTCTACCGCCACCGCGCTTGCCCATTGTTGAGTTATGCGAGGTTGTCGAGGTGTATGTAGGAGTAGAGACCATGCTGCGGTGTGGGGAAATTTTCAGATGCGGTTTCACATGCGGGGAGGAGCGCCAAGCAAAGCGCCCATACGTACTGTGTAGACGTAGGCAGGCACGCAGGGAGATGCTGGAGTAGGTACCCAGGTAGGTACCGTAGATAGTCAGGTATATTAGCTGAGCTATGTACTTTTGTCTCGGTCCAGCGTACTCCAGCCACTCTCATCGGCCTTTTGCCGTCTTTGCGTGATGGACTTTCCACTCCGCGCGTGCAATCCTCATGAAGAGATCCTCGTCTTGAATCGGGATCCAACTGGTCAATACCTTCATCGCGTTCTCAAAGTCCGACTCCAACAGTATATCGCGCATGCCGTCAATCAAAGCCGCGCTCGCAGCGTGTAAAACATTCAAAGTCGTGCCGAAACTGGGTTCTACCGCCCCATCAGGCCCATCCTTGCTTCTGGAGGTCGTCGTCCCTCGACTCGGAGGCGGCACTGCGGCCACGGTAGCACCGTCGCCTAGCAACATAAAAACATCCCACACCCTCAACTGTGCCGGGAACGGCACAGTATAGTTGAAAAGCGTGAGATACCATCTCGTCCCATACGCCGTCGGCCCTATGCCCAAGCCTTCCAATTTCTTCGCCACCTCGCCCTCTCCAAGCCATCCTTTCTCAAAGTCATCAAGCGCGGACATCAGCCCGCCGAATCCAGACGCGTATAGTTGACCGAGACCGCGGAGTTCCCACATCCGGACGAGCATAACGAAGGCCTTTTCTTCGTCGTAGTACGCCAAGAGCGTGACGGCAAGAGCAGCCATGCCTTGAACATACCCCGTGGCTGGGACGTGGAGGGACATGGCGTGCAAGACGCGGAACAGGAGTCTCTGACCGCCCCGATACCGCCGCCGGAACATGATATGACTGGAGATAGTGCGCGGCACGTCGAGGTCAATCTGCACATCATCCGGCGAGGGCTGATCTTGGTACAGATGGAAGAAAGAGATCAACTTTTCATCACTGAGCTGGTTGTTCAGTTTTGATGCGGACGTGCTGAGGAAAGAGTGCCATGCCGTGGCGCGCCATTTGTCAGGAATGCCTTTCCACGTGCGCTCGATGAGTTTGGAGCTTGAGGTGTCGAACGTATATTCACTTTCTGAACCTGCTCCAACGAGGGGAAGGCCAGTCGTGGGATCCTTGGACGGCGGTTTCGCACGAGCCATACGCCGCCACTTCTCTTCACGCTCCAGTTCTTTCCGCCGGGCGCGCGCGTCCGAGATGTGCACGTGTCCGTTCTCTATTGTTTGTTCTGCTGAGGTGGGAAGCGTGAGCATGTCCATGGCCGAATCCATCAGACGGCGATTCCGTGAACCGGGGACAGGGATGCGGGATGGTGCTCGTCGGCGCGGTGTGCCGGCATATCCGCTTTGAGAACTCATGGGTCGAGGCGGCGTCGTCTCGGGCGTGCCTGTTTTATTGTGTAGGGACCGCATCGAGCCATGCGCACTGCTGGGTGAGCGCCGGAGCGTCCCTTTCCGTCGGGGTGTTTCACTGGCCATTTGTAGACTTGTGGTTGTGCGAGTGAGTCGTTGGGGTTTAGATTCATCGGCGCCGTCGGTAGCAGACGTCCTAGCAATAATAAAGCCATAACGGTCGATTTCTTGGGCGTCGACGTCTTTCCAGTCTTCCAGGCCTCCGGCTAGTTCATACTCCTCGCGCTCAAGCAGTGAATGTGACTGGGAGATTGAACCCGCCATGCTAGGTTGTCGCAAGCTGGCCATATCGTCCATGTCAGTGGTGGAGGTAGCTCGTGATAGGGACGGGATGCTGACACTTCGAGTATCGGCTCCCAGCGTCGACTGCCAACGCGCTCCCATCCGCACCGCCAGATTTGTGTTGGAGTCTGTCTCTTGCTGCGCATCTGTGCCTGCAGCGTAGAATGCCCGGACCTTCTCTGACAACATCTCTTCATCCGCCGAGAGCACCTTTACATTTGACCGGTCAATTAGAGTTCTTGGAGTTGGTGCCGCATTTGAGTCTGGCGCCGGGGTCAATCCCATGTTGCACTCCTCATCCACCCTCTCTTCGTCAATGATAGCAGCAAGATTAGGAGAGCTTTTACGATTCGACTGGTTCACCCTTCGGCCATCAATGAGCATGCTTCCCCGTTTCGAGAATTCAATGCTGTTCGTCGGCAGCAGCTCCTCACCAAATCCAGCCGTAGGGATACTGACATCAAACGACAGCCCCTTGACCGTGTCGGGTGTCTTTGCGCCAACGTCTTTCCCTAATGTAGCCCACTTCGATACGGACGGTTTCAGTGACAACCATCTCCTGTCTTCGCCAGTATTGTAGTTGCTGCCGCGATCGGCAAGGGAGGTCCGGGTGGCGGGCTCATCGAAACGGATCTGAGGAATGCTGACCGTGGCGGATGTAAGACTCGACAGGGTGGGGGTTCTTGTGTTCAGACTCAGAGTTGTGCTGGTCTGACTTTCTCTTGCGGAGATTGAATCTTGTCCTGCGGCTTGAGAGCGAGGAGCGTCTCCATCCTGTGGCAACGACGCGTGTGAGTTGTATCTCTTATTGGGGGAGTCCGACGCGGTATCCCTGGTCGGCGGAGAGGGCTGCGGCTTGTCGATTTCTCGAAGTAACGACGAGTTCGAGCGCGTGAATGGGATGGGAGGCTTGGATGCTCTAGTCTCGCTGTAAGGCAATCCTTGAAGACCGTGCCTGACGTCCGTAAGGGCAGCATTGGGCTCGTAATCGCCCATCACGGCACACGACCTGCCTTCACAGGGCAGACGGCGCACCGGTAAATCCTTGGTCTCCCGAAACTTAAGGGTCGCGCTGGCGGCATAGGCTCGGATTCAGGGACGCGTGATTGGGACGACGCTGAACAAGCACCAAACACGCGCCGTTCTTTTCTCCGTTGTCTTTCGCAGCAGCAACTCGTGAATACTCCGAAGAATCCAACGGAGAAACAATATTCTCTTTGCTCCTTTTTCGTTTATTTGTTGCGGTCAAAAAGGAGACCAGTCGACGTCATGGTCTACTCAAGCGAGACGAACTTGGTCAGGGTCGCCGGTTTGACAGGTCCCTATTCTCTGACTGACCTTTCCCGAAATTTCACTGGCATAGACGAGATGTCGCGCAGAAGCAGAACTGCGGAAGACTTGTGCCTTCTCCCGGACCGTGTCACACAGCAGCTACAAAGCTTCGAAACGCCTCCCACATTGGCAGCAGGGTCTAAACATACGCACTTTCTATACGTACTGCGCATGTGTAGTGTCATTGCGAGGCACTCTTTGACCATCATTAAATCCAGCAGTACTATGTAAATAGTGTGGCATTCCCCAGCTTTACAAGCAGCCGGTTGCCATCGCACATTTATCTGCTCGCATTACGCCGTATATCCTTCTGCTCTTCTCTTCCCTCCTTTTGCCAACATGGCGGCACCTACCGCGCTGTTCCATAAGTCGTCGAATGCGACATCGCAATTTGGCCCTGGCGGCCGTGGATCACCAGAATATTCCACTTGGAGCGACAAATGGCATACAGGCGCCTTTCAGGATGGCATATTGCTGGACAAGTGCTGCACGGAGAAAATGATCTCGCTGGTCACGATAAAGGTTGCAGGGGAAGCCATGAACAAAGGACAAGGGCCACTGCTCATGCTCGCGTGCCGCTGTCAGGTAGGTACATACCGACTCAACGTCTAACTGTCATCGTCAACTTTGGTGCGGCGGAAGCTGCCCGAAGACAGCATCGTCCCTTAGTAGGCTTGGAACGCTCTGACTGGCTGTCACCTCGGTACGGAGTAGGTTTCCAAGTTGTTGTCAAAAGTGTCAAGGTGGATGTAATTGCCTGTGTAGCTGATAACTGACAAGGCTGTGCGTGCTTGGCGTCTCCGATCTTATCTTATCGATTTCCCCTTCGGTTTCTCCGCAACTTTTTCTCGCGGCAACAAAACTTTGGACAACTCGAACATTGCAGCCCTGACGACCTCTACAGCGCTCAAAATGACGGTAGAAGATCAGACAAGCACCTTGCTTGCCACTCTGACCAACGCACTGGAGTCCGCGACCTCAGCATTCCCCGACACAGAGCGACAATTCCTCCCGCCCAGTGAAGGCATTTCTCTCCTCGACGTCAAGAACGACCTCCTACTCTCATACCTACAAAACCTCGCTTTCTTGGTGGTCCTTAAACTGCGCAATGGCTCTAGCAAGGGCTCAGGTTCTGACGATATTGCCTCGGACGTGGTGAAAAAGCTGGTCGAGTTAAGAATCTACCTGGAAAGAGGCGTCCGCCCGCTCGAAAGCAAGCTGAAATACCAGATTGACAAAGTGGTGCGGGCAGCGGAAGAAGCGGATCGGCGGACGACCCAAAAGGTGTTTGCGAAGCAAAACTCCAAGAAGCCTACAACGAAAGAGCTTGCGGGTGATGTATCGGACGACCTGGACTCGAACGAAGAATCAGACGAGGACGAGGACGACGATGCGCACGTGAAAGGCACGACGGATGCCGACTTCTCAGCGGCTCCGCGACCAGCTGCGCTTCTACAAAGTGCAGGCGCAGCGAGGAAAGAATCGGCAAACTCAAAATCACGGTCCACAGCGTCTGGCGCGTACAAACCACCACGTATCACACCCACGGCAATGCCTATACCAGCCACACAAAGAGACCGCGATGCTCCCGCCGCACGGAAACGCAAGTCGCAACTCCTAGACGAGTATATCGACGAAGAATTGTCGACAGCACCTCGCGCTCAGCCTTCCATTGGCTCTAACCACACGATCGTCAAACATGGTCGCGGCGCCATGTCCAACCGCGACCGGGAGAACGAACGGGAAAGAGCCGAATATGAGGAACGCAATTTCGTCCGACTTCCCGCGGAGAGCAAAGCCGAGAGAAGGAAGGCCAGACTTCGAGGTGAGGCCGACCACCGGGATCTGTTTGGTGGCGAGGACTGGACAGGTCTTGGTGGCCTTGGGGATCGGATCAACAGGACTGTGGCGGGACGGTCAAGAGAGGAGAAAGGAAGCTTGCTGGAACGGAGACAAAAGAGAGGACGGGACACGCAAGATGGACCGAGAGGAGATGGCGTGGGTATTGGTGAAAGTTTTGAGAAGAGAAGGAAAGTCATGCAGCAGAGGTTGAATAAGAAATCTAGAAGAACGGGCTGAGAGCGCATTCGTCGTTTGGAAGATGGCTAGAAGGGTGAAGACAGCGCAGTTCTTGAATGAGAGACGACTCGACAATGGTGTGCTATGGAAATCTTCCACAGCTGGATATCCACGCAGTCTCGTCATGGGCGTGTCATTGCACCGCCAACATGTTGACAAGCCTCCTGCAAAAGGTACTGTGCTCAGCATCTTCACAGGTGTGGGTCTTGAGGGGATCAAATGCCACACCAAACCAGCAAAGGCTGCATCCATCTCCAGCAAGCCCGACCTGTCCGATGCCCTATGTCGGCTGATATGCCCATCCACCTTGGGCTCTCCATAGCAATATGTCTGACCATCGAACGTCTGAACCACGGGACAAACCCGGCCTCACCGTGGTGTCAGACGGCGGCCAGTCCTAATGGTGCTTCATCGCCCGCTCACGGACTTTGCTTCTCCCACGTCGCGTAGCGCGAGGCAGACCTAGCCGAAAAGGAGAGATCAGTGATCAGCAACCCATGCACAATCGTCCTGAACGACAAGACTCTGTATGGGTATTTACACCCAAGCACATTCACCTGAAGTCACACAATGGATCCGTCCCAATATCAGTATCTACATCCACGTCTACATCTGACCCTCGCTGGCGTGGCAGCCGCTCGCCGATGGAGCACTCCATTGTGGTGCGAGAGCCGTGCATAGGCCGTATGACGCCGGAATACCGCCCCTCGGACGGTTCAGTAATCAACTCATTTCAGATGAATGTGGGGGTGAGTGTAACTCGTACGGGTACAGCATAAATGGAAGGGATGATCTCCCAATCTCACCGTCCTTCCATTCCACTTCCCATTGCCATTCGCATTGTCACTCCCACTGTCATTGCCGTGCTGTGTACCAGCAAGGCTTGCACCCGTCACCACACACACACACACACACACACACAGTCCCGTCAGGATTCATTCAATTCTGCTCAAAACCGTCAAGTACTGGTGCCACCACAGTCACAACTCCGTCTCGATCTGCTACCGTATCATGCCTCTCTGGCGAATCTTCTCCCACCCCAGCACGTTCTCGCCAACCCAAAGACAAGGCCTCGCCAAGGCGGTAACAGCGCTGTACGTCTCGCGCGGCCTCCCCGCATTCTACGTCAACGTGATATTCATCGACTTGCCCGACGCGGATGGCACCAATCCCTCATGCTTCGTGGGCGGTGAGCCACGGCCCAATTTCGTGAGGATCGTCGTCGAGCAGATTGCACGGACCATGGCGAGTAGTGAGACCGAGGAAGGCAAGGAAAGGCGGCGGAAGTGGATGGATATGATTAACGAGGTAAGTACGTTCTTCAGGCGTGGTGTGAGGCTTTCGGCGATGGAGGCTTAACGGGCGTGGATGGACGTTGTTTGGCTGGAACGAACCGGCTTTCTCGTCCACAAGGTCGAGCGGTTCGATGCGTCTGCTGACATTGTGTGCATAGACCTTGAAGCCGTATATCATCGACAAGGCCGAAATCGACTGGGAATTGCACATCTACGAGACCCCACGGGACCTCTGGAGAGTGCAAGGCATGGACCCGCCGCCAGCATTCTCCGGCGCAGAGAAGGAGTGGGTTGAGAAGAACAAGCCCATGCCGTATTGAGATTGAGAAGTCGTGACTTCGGGATCCATCTGCAGCGCAAGGGCAAAGATGGAGAGCTGTATGGGGGTGTGGTTGTTACCGTCCCTCACACAAGCTTTGGCGCAAAGTACCATAGTGCCGCAAGTCCGGAAAGAACAGTCACTCCAGCGACCTGTCGAGCCCATTGAGTGTTCCTCGAGACCTTTATTCTTGAAATGGTGTTTTGCTGTGTCGAACGCGCCATCCCGTTGCCTTTGATCTTCTCGGCCGTTTTTTGCTGCAACAGACCCGCCGTCTCCGTCCCATTACTCTCCTGAGCGGCGGCAAAATCTTGGTAATCCTGAATCAGTCTCTTCAGTCCCTGGATATCCTCTTCCAGGCTTTCCACACCGCCCTTGCCTTCCTGGATCTCCACGCTCTGCACGTTCCCAAAGAAGTCGACGACCCGCCTTTTGCGGCCTGCCTCCTCCCCACCAGGGAACAAGTCCCACCTGACGCCGGGTCGACTGTGAATCTTTCCCACATCATAGCTGTCAAACAGATCGCCCAGCGTCTTCTCGCTCGTCGGCCCCGTGACTTGCGTCTCCAAGAATTCCAGCACGTAGTACGTCCAGCGATCAATGACCGCGACCCCCACGTCATTGTCCGCGTGGTGCGAATATGAAGACTCGTCCTCTTCGCTGGAGCCCGTGGCGATCACCCCCGGCGCGTAAAATTGCCGATACAGCGTGTTGGCCTGGCAGGTATCGATCATGAACAACATCTCGTTGTACCGCTTTTTCTCCCTCATCTGGGAAAACGCATCGGCCAGATCCCAGCTCGAGATCTCCTCGCTGTCTTGAAACTTGAGGAACTCGCTCCCGCCGTGGCCGGTCATGTAAATCAAAATGTTACTTCCTTCGTCGGTCTGCAGTCGTTTGCTGGCGGGGACGCTCTCTTCCCAGCGGTCGGTGAGTAAGCGGATAAAGTTCTCCACCGTGACTTCGTAGCCGCGGTAGTCGACCTCGACGTTCTCGCCGTAGAGATCCATGCGTCGATCGGCGTTGGAGTAGACGGTGCCGGAGAATGCGTTTCGCGGGTTACACGCCATATCGTCGGGCAGGAGGAGAAGGATCTGCGAATCCGGGATGCCAAGCCGCTTGACGGTGCGGTAGAGGGACAGCGTGTTCGCGAGGTGACGGTAATTGAACCAGAACCGCGAGGTCGAGACGAGGACGGCCCAGTTGGACGTGTGGGCGGCGAGAGTCGCCGTCAGAAGGGCGAAGACCGCCCATATTGAGAGGGGGAGCCTCATCTTGAATGTGAGGTGTTCTATTTTGAGATTTCAGAGGAAGAAACTCCCAGTCAAGGGGCAATGAATGAAGATACAGCCATCCTCGCAACAGTCCGTCGATGTTGTCTGTGTGGATTGGCAATGAGTTGGTAAGCATGAAGAAGGTCAACGAGGGATGCGCGCAGCCTGATGTCGGATATCGGAGAATACTTGGTCCGACAGCCCCTGAGTATCCGATTTCACTTTTCCACTTGTCCTCAGCCTTGGGGAACTACCTTGGTAGCTTCGTCCTCACATTCCACGTACATAGTTCACCTTGGAAGTCTTAGATTGCCCAAGTAGAAATTGCTACTTGGGCTACGGCAGCTTCGAAGATGGAAGTACACTGGACGTCAATACCACGTGTAGAAAATTCGTGGACTTCTCCATCCAGTCAGACCTCAGCTGGTGATGAACCATAGCCTCAGCATATTCTTTAAGCCCGTAGAACCCCAGATTCACGATGACCTCCAGTGTTGACAGTGAAATACTACCACGAGGATGGGACCGAAGGAAGTGTCCATCCTGGCCCAAAAAGAATTTGGTCTTCGTGTTTCCCCCAGAGGCCAAATCAACATTGACGTGTAAGTGCAGTATCCGCAAACTCTTGAACGCCATGGAGAAGCTGCCAACCGCGACATTGCCAGGAAGAGCATTCTTCGGAACCTTGACGATGCGGCGGCCGGCGGGATCAATCATGGCCGCACTAGGCCGAAGTGTACCTGATCTTCCGGCAAGACGGAGAATGTTTGCAGAGGAGAGGCGTCACGAAGGCCTTCAAAAGTGATTCCACTGTTACTGATCGTCAGGGTGAAGGTCCGTCGCGCGTACAATGTCCTCGCTTGGCTGCTGAATCGTTGGCAGGTGTCTGCAAATTTGGCAAGGCTATTTTTGGATTTGGTCCTCGCTCTGCCTGGCTGTGTCAGGACTAGGAAATACATGCGATCAGTACCGTCAGGAACCACATTTCCAAACCGTTCAAGCAAACTGAACTGCCCGCCGGTGCAGAACTCGTTTCCCGCAATGACACCCAAACTGTCCCAGCCCTTGATTCTCAATGCCCTTCTTATGCCTCTGATTTCGGACTTCCTGAATGGCTTCGGGTGTGATTGGTGTACAAAGAGATACTCGCAGATTCGATCAATCACTTCGTTCGGCAAATCTGTGGGTTGTGTAGGACGATCAGCTTGAGCATTGGGCCGATTGGCATCCATATTTGCGTATAGATGGGTGACCTGTAAAGCTGGGGTCGTGAGACAGGAGTGTCCTTAGCGGCCTAGCTGATGATATTTCCACGATGTTGCAGTCGAGGTCGAAACTGCCCGAGAAGCAGAGAACCTAAAATAATCATTCGAAGCGAAGGACAAGTGAGGCAGGGGCAAAGGCACGGACAAAGGCAGAGGCGATAACTTCCAATGAAGAGAAAGTGAGGAACCAAGACAATTGGGACAGGCACCTCTGCTTCAACGTTGAAGTGACAAAATAGGTGGGTGCTCTTCATGGTTTACAGTACCAGAACGAGGTATCTTCCAACGGGCACACCATGGTGTTAACCATTTGCATTCTTCGCATCAACTGTGGTGTAGACGCAAGTCGCAGCCTTACAGTCAAAGATCTGATGCTCAATAATTGATCAGAAGCCGTTGGCTTTGTTAGTGTCCCGCTAGCGAGACAAGGAAGAGGAGCATCACGATAAAAGCTAAGAGAGCTGCAATGCTTTCATTTCATTGTCGAGGACATGGCTGTGGGAACTGAAGAGAGAATGAAGAGAGGTAGTGAGTGATAAAGGGCTCGAAGAATGCCAAAGGCCACCAGTCCAGGTCGGGCCTAGCGCCTCCACGTGATAGGCCTCTATCTGGAGCAAAGCGGCAGGAACACTCCGTCCTCAACTGTGCGCATTCGAAGGTGGCGGCTCATTTCAAGGCCTGTTGTGCACCCGACTCTCAAATCCTATTGTCAGAACGCGGTAGCGTATGGACTCGGGAGTACGGGGACCATGGGCAGAGAAGAAGAGGATAGTGCCGATTTCTCGACGCAGGTACTGGTAGCTCAGCGAAGACGCGTAGCATCTGCGGAAGGACGAGGATGTCAACAGCGCCCTCGAGAGATGAACAACTTTTCTTTCGACGTCAGGGTATCTGTAACAGAGTAAACCCAACATGTAGACGTCCGCACATAGAGCATGTGATTTACAGGTTATGAGCTCCTCTGGTCTCCCAGTGGCCGCTCCACAGAGCCGACGAGACAAGTGAGACGCTCATCATAATTCGATCCTGCTCCAAGGTAAGCCCGTTCCCGAGCGCAGTCATACAGTCATTAAAATTCCGTGATTATGGCTCTGCTGCCAACTAGCAGACTACCGAGCAACATACCGTGTATTCAGGATCGAGCCTGAAAGCCCAGGTGCCGAGGAGCCGTGCCCTGAGCCGCGACACCGACCCGGCTTCTTTCTTGTCCATCAAGCTCCAGCGGAGATGGCGGTTGGGGTGGATGATGAATTTCAATCACCCGGCTCCTGGGAACCTCTGCGGCATCCACGGCACCTTCATCGAAGCCTTTCGTGTCCAGTTCGTACCTCGGAGGAGGGTCGCCGGTCTGTCCTCCCGTGAGATCGGCAAGTCTGCGACGGCGTTTGATCCGGATGTATAGTGCAGCGACAAGTGTGCCGCCAAGAAGGATTGCGCCGACGGCAATACCAATACCCGCAGCTGCAGCTGTGCTCAGACCTCGAGCGCCACCACCGTGATTCGATATGGGAGTTGATAGAGGTGGTTGGCCTGTTGTATTGGGACTCAGAGGGCTAAAAACTTGGGTTAGTCGCCGGCGTCGAGGTGTGCAGCTGTCCGCCTACCTATCAAGTATCTGTAACACCCCATTCGAAGTCAGGTAGTCTTTCGTCGTAATAAGTGATGCATCGACGTAGAACTGTCCATTTTGCTCGATCATCGTGGCGGATAGGCCATCCAAGGTTGGAATCTTTGTGTTGTTTTGGAAGCCCGAGGAGTAAAGGACTGGGCCTTGAGATATGCTGTATCGCAAGATGGACAGGAGATCCGTGCTCGAGAGTCCGTCCCATCCTGTAAAACTGGCCGAGAACTGAGCTGAATTCGGACCGAAGATTGTCAGATCTGCCAGCGAATTCACTATCGTCGCGGCCGGAGAGCTTGGTGTTAGAAATCCACCCTTGTTGAGTAGCGCGACCAGGTCTGTCAATCCGGCTTTGGTGATGGTCGCAGGGAAGGAGATTGGAATAGTCAGAACAGAGTCTACAATGTGGATTAGACCTCCAAGGTAGAAGATGTCCTGTCTTCCGTTAGTCTCATATTCGACATGATCGAGCTGCGGCGACACTCACAGCTTCGATCACGTGCGATACGGCCTTCACTCCGCTCACCACCGCCGAGCGGTTATCCAACGACGTGATCTCCACTACTTGGCCGCCCGTGACATTGGTATAGTCGGGGTTCGTCAATAGTGTTGGTACGAACAGTGGCTGTAAGCCGAACGTGGCCGACGGGTGTGTTCCATTCGCGATGTGGTATTCCAGCAGCGCTCGCACTGCGTCTGTGTCGTTGCTCAAGTCCGGGTTCTCATTTCCAAAGGCAGCAAGAGCTTTGTCATTAGGGATGAGGACTAGATTGAGATCAGCCCGGCCGTCAGGTGGAAGATAGATCAACATACCACTGAAAGTTCCTTGGTTCAGGAGGTCAACAAGGTCGTCGAACTGCTCAAGCAGCGTAATAAATGTTGAAATGTCATTCTGCTGCTTTAAGATGGTGAGGATGTCTTGGTCCGCCGCAAAGCAACACGCAATAACGTTGAAGGTGGCAAATATCGTGCTGTACAGCTTCATCGTGTATACTTGCGGAGCATCAGAAGATCAAGAAGCATGACTGTACCATTCGCTGATGGATATATCGAGCAGTGGGCCCGGATAAGAATGGAAACCCGTTGTTATCTACACAGTAATGGGAATGACGAGGAGACGAGTCCCACGCATCCACGAGGGGATCCATGCTGGTTCATGTTGCAGGTGAGACTCTTGGGAGGCCTTCTTCAGGAGGCATTCGCTGCACTTTCAGGACCAAGACGCTGCAGGAATGGTCCCAATGCAGTAAGATGTCATGTCGGGGACAGGGATGCCCTCTTCGGTTCCAAACATCGAACAGCGGCGCAGAAGTGGTTGCCGTGCCGGCAAGAGGTATCCGTCGCGAGGCCTGCAGGAGAACTGGGGCGATCGAGCAAGGCTTGAAGACTTTCAACACTGGAAAAGCTGGAGAGTGACGGCAGCGAAGGTGATGAGACAGCCAACAGGGTTGCGGTTCCTGTTCAAGACGAAAATCCCCGGCGCAGGCCGCAGCTGTTCCCCTAGTGGTGTTTCAGACGCTGGCTACACCCCGGAAGGGGAAAGCGCCTTTTCTGCAAGGCACACGCGCCCACTGACTGGAGGACACGAGCGCCGTTAGCCCGTTAGCGCTCATTTTCGCCGTGGACGCCTAAAGACACCACAGCAAGCAGTCAACGTCGTGCTGCCCAAGGAAGTCTATGAGAGAGACAAGGAATGGTGTTTATCCTTCGCTCGTGTACTAGGCCAGGGCAAACTGCCCAGACATAGACATACCTATGCATGTTATCTTTTGCGAGCACGGACGGACGTACACAACTTGGGGGGGAGTCGACAAGCTGGGAAAAGCACACCGGATCTTTTCCAAAGGGTTGACTTGGTTTTCGCGCTGGCCTAAGGGATTTCCGAGCACAAAGAACTTCGATTTCTTTCAGGTCTAACCGAGGAATGGCAGTTTCTTGTTCTAGAGAGATGAATAAGGGCACAAGTTCTCACATCGACTTCGTATGCTCTTATTTTTGCCTAGAAGTGTGCCACTGGTGTGTTGGGAGTCAACCACCCACGCCACCATACCATCGGACACCCAGCAGTAATATCGCAAGGTTCAACGACACTGCTTCCGTGGCTTGTTCTTCAAACAATCGATGCCGTGTAATTCTGGTAACATCTAGACGATCACCACGATCCACGGCGGTCGGATCCACGCAGGGTTCTCTGACCTGAACCATAAAACCATCATCAGAACACACGGATCTTCCAGCCTTATCAGCTCTAGTTCAGTGGCAAGTACACAGTAGTATATCCTCTTGGAGATACATCTCCTTGCAGACTGCGGCCGGGCGTGCGCACCAACCAAGGCTCATCGGCACGTCAATCTCGACGCGATCAACCTCAATTCATCAGGCTCTTGAGGGCGGCTCCTTCTTCGTTCCGCATAGCAGTTGACCCCGTCCATATCCATGAGGAGGAGGACCATCGCCGTTCATACGGACTACCGGAGACGGACTACTGTGTACAGGCTTCCGGACACATTCCCATCGGAGTGGGTAGATATGCCACAGACTGTCAGAAACGGCCCCCAAGGTATAACACCACCCACATCCTCGCTTCCAGTGAGGATTCCTCTTACGGTCCCGACTGCTTTCGGCCTCGTCCTAATTTCTGCTGCTGTTCAGTGTCAACATACTCCGTACTAGGTGGTACATCGATTCATTGAACTAAAAAAACCAAACCCCTTGCCACGTACCGCTATGAGACCGAATGCGGATGCCATTGCCAATGTCAATGCCAATGCGGGCGCCACTGCTCGTGATATAACATGTGTACTTCGTACGCTCCGCCCCACTCATGCTTCTTGTGCTCCCTCGCCCATGCTCGCGCAGACTTATATGAGTAGTTCTTCTCGAACACATGCGCAATATTGGTGCGTCATGCAGGACACCAGACACGCACACCCACATCGTGCGATAACCTCATGCTTCACCAACACTCATGACTTTCATTCTGTGCCGGCAAACGGTCCACGCACCAAATCTACCGCCCAACAACAGCCTTCAGACTCAACCCCTCCAAAAACCCAGCCAGATCCTCCTTCTTGACCTCGACGATACAGTGATCGAAACTATCGATCCTGACCCTGGCGTTCGTCTCCTCCACGACCTCCTGGAACGCAATGCCAAACCGATTGTGGCCGTATCCTCTCTTGCGTCTCTTTTCCAACTCCGCCTCATCGACCTCATCATCCTCGGACTCGGACTCGGGTTCTGATTCAGATTCCGTGTCTTCGTCTTCGGCGTCAGACTCCTCGCCAAGTAATTCTCGTTGGGCTTTGCGGGCGGCCCGTTTCTCCTCTCTCACCTTCTTCTTCTTCTCCCTCTCTTCCTCCCGTCTTTTCCGCTTTTGCTCCCGCTCCTTCCGCCCTTCGATATCCTCCCCTCCACCAATGCCACCTCCTGTGCCCACAACCACGTACGTGCCTCTCTCTTCATCCAAAGCCGCAAGCACTAACGGCGTCGGCAATGATCCATCCCACCCACCCGACTTTTCTCTTTCTTGCACCGCAATCGCCTCGCCCACCCACAACGCCAATTTGACCAACGCACCGGGACTCCCGGCGAAAAGCGGCAGATCCGGTCCTTCTTTGACCACACCCATTCTGAATGCACGAAGATGGCGAATCTGGTGTTTCTGTAGTAGAGAGGAGCCAGTCCGCAGGATCGAGCGAAGGAGATGTTGTGCAGAGGAAATCGCGTCGAGGAGTTTGCTGGGGGAAGTAGGATTGAGGGCATCATATGCGGCAAAGAAGCGTGGAAGCAGAAGGGTGGAACGGTCGGGAACGTCTTCTTTGGTAGAGAGTTTGGAAGCTTGCGACTGTGATTGCGTGTATGACGCCGTGTTGGACGAGCCTGAGGACGTCGAGGTTGGGCCAACGTCGAGAATTGCACCCAATATAACGCCTACATCCACGGCTGAGAGCTGAGCCTTCCAGCCCCATGAGCGGATGAAGCCCCAGCCCTCTTGCTCGTAAGAAGCTCTCCCGGTGCCGGATGGTACGAGGTCGTCGAGTCCATAAACGCCTGCGTATTTCAACAGGCGGTCGCGAAGGGTCTTCTTCAATTCCATGTCCATGTGAGTGTACGTTTGCTTGCACTGCGTCAAGGAAACGCCCATCTTGGCGAGGAGTTTGTGGAGTCGTTTGGTGCCTGATTCGTTCCACACATGCAGGCGCGCGGCGAGGTAGGATGAATGCAGCATGCTATCGTATAGGGACCAATGCCTGAGGAGGAGGAAACGTGGATCTGGCGTCAAGCGAATGGTTGTATCACTGGGTGAGCTTGTGCCTGTTGTGGGGGATATCATCGGCGACTGGTCTGCGGGTGGAGGATTAAGACGTCTTACTTCATCACGGAGGAGGGCGTAGGTTTGGGATGAGCGCGTCATGCGCCAGCCGCGGTGTTGTTGGGTGGTCAGGGCTGTGCTTCGTGATACGGAGGTGCCCAAACCAGTTGATGTATGGCCCGAGAGTTCGAGGGATGTCACCCCAATTATTGCTAGCCAGAGGATGTCGTTGTCTTCACGACCGAGGTCCGTGGCGAGGGAGTATGCCAACGTCGAGACAGGCTCCGAATAGGAAGTACCTAGACTGTTGTATTGCCGAAGGACTGATTCATGCTCTTCCCGCAACCTTCGTAGTCGTTGTCGAAGCTGTTTGGCTGTTTGTTGTTTCGGAGACTGTGGTTTCGAGGATGGGGAGGTCGGTTGAGAGGAGGATGGAGTCTTGCTTCTGCTTCTGCTCCGGGAGGTCGCAATTGAGGAGCCGGAGTTGCTTCTTCGCCTTTGACGGGGGCGTTCATCGTCATCTTCGGTGTCTTCATTCTCGTCGTCTCGATCGGTCCACGATTTTCGCTTCTTAGATTGCGAGCTACGTTCTGTGTCTCGTCCGTCATCGTCCTGGTCATCCTCATCGTCCGCCTCGTCATCAACTTCAGGCATCTCTGCCAATGCACAATACGCATCTCTTTCGGTGTTGAGGTCACTGGCGATATCTCCATCGTCGAAGACAATTATCCCTCCCTTGCCGGATCTATATGATTTCTGGAGGCATCCTTTCTCCACGCCACGAGCGCGTGGTCTCGAACCGTTGACCACATCTTCCAGAGGCGCTTCGATGGGGATGCCACCAAACACATTGTCCAGGTTGTACGGTCTCCTCGCGTCAAGGACCCATACTTCGACACCGCACATTGTTTCGTTTAGATCTTCATCTTCCAGGCCCAGAACAGCGCCCAGATCCACCAGGCCGCCGACACCCAGACATATGACAAGACCGCCACTACCTCCTTCAGTAGTTTTCATGGGTCGTACGAGGGTTTCACCGGCCTTGGCCAGATCTGCATAGCCAGATACGGGCTGGATCTTGTGTTGAACGAAGTCGCGCCGTAGAAGGGCAGTAATGATGCGGCACGCGCATAATGAGTCGGGCTCGAGAGCAACAAGCAGCAGAACTGCAGGCGAGTGCGCGTGATGTGAGCGAACGAGGTTTGTATAGAGATGTGAGATTAGGTCTCGTGGCAGGTACATGGCGGATTGGTTGAGGTTGCGAACGGTAGCAGTGTTGGCGTGGTTCTATTCGAGTTCATGGCAATCGTAGCTGAGCACGCTATGGCTGAGATACTTCTTGACTGAGTCGGTCAGAAGTTCATGTGGGTTTCAATTGTCGGCATCTATGCAGGACAATTGCTGAGGGCGGCGCCAGGTACAAAGCAACCCGCGAAGCCAGTCGCGTTACGGGACGCGTTGTTGCCAAATACGTCATACGTCATCCACTCTAGGTGCTAGCCGCATGCTAGTCCCGCCAGTAGGCTACTGTACACAGCAGATCTCATCGATCGAGACGCAAGCGTTCACATCTATGTTAACGCCGCTTGAAATGAAGAAATACCTGTAACCAATGCTAAATAATACGCTCAATGAGCAAGGTTAGAACAAGACAAAGTATCACCCCCCCTCCCCCCTCACGCCCTTCATTGCGATTGCCCCAAACCTGACCGAAGCAGAATCTCCCGCACTACCACCTGCGATATGCCGTGATGTCCCAGCCCAGTCGGATGAAATACCCTCCACTTCCTCATCTCCGGCCACTCAGGGACAGTCTCTGGATCAGGCATCTCCATCTCTCCCAGAAGCTTTTGTGACCGTCCACTTGGCGATCCAGACAAGACAACAAGTGGTGGAGGGATGTTAAAGAACCATGTATCAGCCCTATCCAGATCTGGCTCCTTGACGTCTTGTTCACAGAATCTGTGTCCCTCGAAGGCCTGATCAATGTCGACATACACGGCGCCATGGAGCAACGCTGTGGCTTTGATCACATCGTTCAGCATCATCACCAGCTGATTGAGATGCCTCCGCTTCGCCTTTGTCAGGTAATCCAGTGGCCTCGTTTGGCTGAAAGTCGTGTTATCACAGTAATCGGTCCTCTCGTTAAAGAACCTGGCATATCCTGTGACAATGAACAGAGCTCCCGGTTGCAAATGCTGAACAGTTCCAGAGATGATGTTTTCGAGATTCTGCAGTGCGCTGGTCTCGATGATCTCTCTGGCTTTCACAATTTGAGCTTCACAGCCTATTGCTGGCGACCAATGATAGACGCATTCATTCAGGACCACGAAGAAGTTGACATCGTTGCCGCTGGCCGTCAATGTTACCAGTTCCGAGTCGACAATGTAAGGGACCTGGTCTCGCAGGATGACAGCGCTGGTCAGGCCTCCACAGGCAAGGTGCTTGAATTTGGTTCTGTCAATGTTGATCATGGAGTTGTTGGCTACCTGAATTGGATATGCATCAGAGTATCTTCCACAGCGAAAATCGGCATAAGGGGGCCAGCCGGGGACACCTGCTCCAGCTCCTGAAGCGTAGGAGTCCCCTATTGCTGCGTAGGATTGTGGCAAAGCATGCTTCTTAAGACTATGAACTGGGGTCGAGGACCCGCTCGGACATAGTATGGAGAGCACCAAGCCGAGAATGATAGCCGTTGCCATGATGAACAAATTACAAGCGGTATATAAACAAAACGCCCTTGGCGCATGCGATGACACACATCACCCAAAGTGCTGATATAGGAAGACAGTAGCAGAAAACGGTGAAGGAGCATGGGATGGAGGTAGACACTATGGCTGCCTGCCCTGTCCTAACGGCACATTCCCCGGACACGGCCTCTCATTGGTCAATTCGAGGTGACTGCATAAGACGGCCTGGGGGTCGTGTGGTCCGCAGCAGTTTCGGCGTATCCCTGGACTTTCGTCCGCAGTAGCTCGATGACGTCTAGACCCGTGGTGAGTCGAGCGTTCTGGTGCTCACGGTGCCTGAGGATGCATCGATCATGCATGATTCGTGTCCTCCCTTGTCCCAGTAAACACTGCGCTGCAGTATCACACTTGTGAATGCACTTCGGTTCGGCGCTTCTTGGTGCTTCATACTCCAGGACAGCTCGCACCTGCTATTTTGACCTTCGATTGCTACGCTCACACCGTTTCACTTTTCTACGGCACAAAGCTCCTGCCGCGTCACGATTTGATGGCTGGCGAGGTATGAAGAAGACCGCCACTTCCAAACCTCGTCCCAAAGTCCCAGACTACTGTGACGTCGAGGTACGACACGATGACCGAGGAGAACCAATCTGGCCTGCTCCTGAGGACGCTATGGAGCAGGCAAGGGCTTTCATAAAAGAATGGTATCTTGACCGATTCCGACGACTGTTATTGTGACGAACCAGTGCTAACCTTAACAGTGCAGAAAGTGGCAAGAAGACTCTTATAGTGCCAGACAAAGATGCCGATGGCCTCTCGTCCGGCGTCATATTGTATCGGACGCTGACGGCTCTCGGTCTCGATCCGACTCTGATCGACGTGCATCTGGTTCAGAAGGGCTCTACGATCCACACGCAACCGGAACGTGAAGCTATGGCAGCTAAAGACCCGGCCTATGTCATCGTCCTCGACCAAGGGTCCATAGCAGCACCGCCAGTTGTCGATTTGCCATCAACGAAGTCCTTGATCATCGATCACCATTTGAGTGATCACTTCCCGAACGATGCTCAGGTAGTGTCAGCATGTCATTACCCGCCCGTGTCAACGTCTTCCCTGCTCACTTATGAGATCTGCAAAACCCTTGCTCCTGCAATTGCCACAGACTGCGCCTACCTTGCGTGCATTGGCACTCACGGTGACCTGGGAAACACGTTAAAATGGTCGCCACCATTTCCTGACATGAAGGAAACCTTCAAAACCTACACCAAGAAGTCGGTCAATGATGCGGTATCACTCGTCAACGCACCTCGGCGCACTGCCAAGTACGATGTGATAACCCCATGGACAGCACTTCTCGCCTCAAGAGATCCAAAGGACCTCCTGAGCAATGGCCGACTTCAGAGTGCCCGCGCAGAGATCAATGAGGAGGTGGAAATGAATACACATACCCCTCCGAAATTCAGTGCTGATGGCCGAATTGCTGTTCTGCGAATCAACACGCCTGCTCAAGTCCACCCTGTCATTGCTACCCGCTGGGCGGGATTTCTCAACTCAAAGGCGCTAGAAATCGTGCTGTGTGCAAACTCAGGCTATCTACCTGGCATGGTAAATTTTTCTTGTCGTATTGCCCGCTGTGCCAGGTCAAGGGATCCCCCAGTCAATATCATCGAGAGCTTGAAAGCTGCTGCGGATCTATCCACTGATGGTTTGAAAGACAGACTTGGACAGAGCTTCGCTCGAGGTCATAAAGAGGCCAGCGGTGGCATTGTACCTGTTGAAGCTTTTGAAGAGTTGATGTCCTTGTTGAAAATTGGCGAGAAACCTGAAAAGAAGGACGAATCAGAAGAGCCGAAGCAGAAGAGGGCAAAGACTATTGAAAAGAGTCCACAGAAGAACACGCTCACCAACTACTTCCGCAAGCCTTAGCGTCGTACGCACCTCCTCAACGGCCCAGTTCGCTTGTCGCCATCGTCCTCGCGGTTTAGCATCTGGTATTCGCCGTACAAGTCGCGCAAGACAGTGGGCAAAGTCTCTTCATGTGCGATGTTAATGAGCCATTGGGTTATAGGGTCGTCACCTCAACAAAGTGGCCGCGTATTCTCTCCGACAGTCTCAAAAGCAAGCGACTCTCAAGAAATGCAGCACAACCGTGCGCCTGCGGCCCCTGAGACGTGGCATGATCCTGTCGCTCGACCTCGAGGACATCAAGTCTGACCGCGATGCTGAAACTTATGTTTGCCGTCGTTTGTATAACACTGTCCCACGCCGTCTTTCTGCGGGCCATGATGATGCATGCATGGATCTATGAAGCAAATTGCATGGCTTGTTCTTGCTTCGCGTTGATTGTTGTCAGCAACACTGCCATATCGGGTGGACCACTTCTGGGCTTGTTGACCTACGCGGGAACATATCAATTTCCTACGACATGCAGATCTGCGCAAAAGCACTACTCCCCCAAGGTCACGGTAGCGCTTCTCCAATTAAGCGTACTCGTAGGAGGACTGTCAGCCGACCGGCCGCCCCCACAACACCTTGTTATAAGAGAAAACACCCCGCTTGATTTGGAGACTGGCAATATATTTTCACACCTGCGGAGAACATACTGCGTATACCTAGGTACCAGCCCTCCTGCCTTGTTCGTTGATACAACCCGCCAGACATCTACAGAACGCGAGACAACCGGTGCAGCGGCTTCGGTTCCCGCACTGGATGCTCGATAAGAAAGAGACTAGGGCTGTCCCATCGTCTCAGACAGTACAAGTACCCGGGATCGAGAATGCCGCGACGCCTCCCCCCGATGGCGGCTACGGCTGGGTATGTCTGGCCTGCTGTTTTACAGTCAACTGTTTCACTTGGGGTGTTGTATCAGTAAGTGACGAGGCCTTCACCTATGCATTCGGGCGGCACTCCCTACATATCTCCCATCCGTCTGTGCGGCAGCTCACGAGTACAGTCTTACGGCGTCTATCTATCGTACTATCTGACAAGCGACGCCTTTCCGGAATCTCGACCTTTGGACTACGCACTCATTGGCAGTCTGAACTTCGGGATCGCAATGCTCTCGGCTCCCATGACCACGCGTCTGGCGCGCTCCTTTGGTATCAAGCCACCGATGCTAGCTGGAGCCGTGATATTCGGAGGGGGCTTTATCGCCGCGTCGTTTGCTTGGCGCATCTGGCATCTTTACCTCTCGCAAGGCGTGCTGGTCGGGTTGGGCGTCGGCTTTGTCTACGTGCCCAGCATTGCAGTTCTCTCGCAGTGGTTCGGCAGAAGAAGAAGTCTTGCCAACGGCATCAGCTCCGCAGGTTCAGGGGTCGGTGGCTTGGTCTTCTCGTTCGCCAGTGGCGCCTTGATAGAACATCTTGGGATCGGTTGGGCCCTCCGGGTCACTGGAGCCATCGCGCTGTTAGCATTACTTGTTGCCGCGGTCTTCCTTCGCGACCGCAACAGTATCATTCGACCAGAGCAGCACCCGCTTGACTTGGGCCTCGCATGGCGGGCAGACGTCTTCTTACTTCTTTCGTGGGCCTTTCTCAGCATGCTCGGGTACATCCCACTACTTTACTCGCTCTCGGACTTCTCACTCTCGATCGGACTGTCCAGACAACAGGCAACGCAGGTGACCGCCTTTCTTAACATGGGCACTGCGATCGGACGACCCTTTATTGGCGTTGCAAGTGATCGGTTCGGCCGGTTCGGAGTGGCCACCAGCCTGACTCTCCTCTGTGGGCTCTCATGTCTTGCTATTTGGATCCCGGCCACGTCCTTTGGAGTCACAGTGTTCTTTGGCATTCTGAGCGGAGCAATCTTGGGAGTATTCTGGATGGTGCGTGCGCATGCCTCCCAGTGCTAGCCCGTGCGTTCAATTCAAGATGATTCGCTGACTTGCACTTGCCAGACCATCGCGCCACTTTGCGTCGAGGTTGCAGGGCTGAAGCAACTTCCTTCGCTACTTTCGCTCTCTTGGCTGTCTGTTGTCCTGCCGACCACATGTGCGTCCTCAATGACTTCCTTTCGCTCTTGTTGCTGAGGGTTTCGTGCTAACATGCGGTCAATCAAAAGTCTCGGAAGTGGTGGCGCTGTATCTTCGCCGGCCCAGTCACGCCCATCCGTATTTATATACCCAAATATTCTGCGGCGTTTGTTATATCTGCGCCAGCTTTTGCCTTTGGGCCGTGCGCATGCTGTGTAAGCGACCAGGTAGACATGCTGAAGGAAGAAACTAGCGGAGAGCCACAGATTTCGAAGGAAGCAACTAGCGAGCTCTACTAGTCAAGCTATCTCTGAATGGCCAAGAAAGGAGACCCATTGACACAGTGGCCCATAACTGGTACATTGACGGCGGTCTTCTAAGCTGTCGGCTCTCCCACTGGATCCCTACTTTGCACTCGACCATTTCTCGGCGTCATACTCCTCCATAAGCCGAGTGTACTCTTCGCCCGCTCGAGCCCATCCACTTATCCCATCCAGCAGGATAGCACTAGTCATTCCATCGACCTGCCGATCATCAAGCATGTCTTGAAACCACCCACAAGCGCGTGTCCCACGCCCCTTGGATGAACCTGCATGCCGGAACCGTGAGCGCCCAGCCGCACCATGTGAAATGTCTGCCGTGAGAAGAACCTACCACAATACCAGATCACGGTCCGTACGCCAGCACTCTGACATAGATTCAACAGAGTCGGCAAGCTAGGATAAAGGCTCTGCGCAGGCAGGTTGATAGAACCTTTGATCGATCCGCCCTACAATATCGCCCATGTCACGAGTAAGCCATTGGTACTAGTGAGCCGGTCAACATAGACCCATTATGCCACTTCACACCTCATGATCCGTCCTGCGCAGGTCGACTAGGAGGAAGTCGACGCCTGGTTTCTGCCCCTCCTGAAGCCACTGCAGTAATTCTTGACGAGTCACCACCACTTTGGGCGATTGGTTTCGTGGCGTCGGATAGGCCTCGTGCCAGGCGGGCGGTTGGGCCATTGCTCAGTACCACGGTATTGTCGAGCTGACGGGGCGGGGCCACCGAAGTCGAAGGTCGAATCGTCGGGTTTGGTAGTTAAGGTACAACTGCTACGCTACGCTCTGCGGGATGAGAATGACAGGTTCACGCAGGTGTTCAGACCTTTGAGCGGGAAAACACCGCCGCCAATTGAACAGAGCGTTGGAAGCATGTCTTGGCGTGACTCGACTTAGTGACACGCGTCATTCCATTCGTTGAAGCATCGCACCAATCGCAACTCCGCGTGGTAGTCACTCGCGCGCTTTGATTGGTCAAAAATTTCTCCCACTCGGTTTACCGCCACACGAGAGTGATGGTGATGGACAATATATGGCTGGAGGAACGCTCGTCCGCACGCTATATCATGTACCAGAGCTTCTTTGTAATTATCGACTAGAATTTTACTTCACATAGTGGTACAACACAATCTACACATTTTCTTCGCCGGACGAAGGATCAATATGTCACACCCCCGTGTGGACGCTGGCGCTGGAAGCGAGCAAAAGACCATTGTTGATGTACCCACCGACATTGACACAGAGAATCAGCAGCTTCACAAACAGGGGGACCAGAAGAGATCAGTATATGCGGGCCTAGGGTGGTTAGACCGCCTCCTCGTCCTCTGGATCCTGTTAGCAATCATCGTCGGCATCCTGCTGGGCAATTTTGTCGACGGTGTCGGGCCGGCTCTCCAGAAGGGCAAATTCGTGCAGGTCTCTGTGCCCATAGGTAAGAGGCAACGAACGATACTCTTCTTCTCCCCCACGACTAACTGGATCTTCTGTGCGGCGCAGCCGTCGGTCTCTTGGTCATGATGTACCCGATCCTGTGCAAAGTCAAGTATGAGACCTTGCACCGCGTATTTGCGCACCGGCAGATCTGGATTCAGCTGGGCTTCAGCGTCGTGGCCAATTGGATCATTGCGCCTCTTCTTATGGTTCGGCCAACGCTTCGAAGCCTTTGTGTTCGATGGTATGCTGATGAGGTACTCTAGCTCGGATTGGCGTGGGCTTTCCTGCCTGATCGACCTGAACTGCGGAACGGGCTCATATTCGTGGGCTTAGCACGCTGTATTGCCATGGTAAGCGCGCCAACGCATGTCCGTCCCATCAAGAACTTACTGACCAGACTGCGTCGCAGGTGCTGATCTGGACAGGCCTCGCTGGGGGCGATGAGGAGTATTGCGCCATTCTCGTGGCCTTCAATTCCATCCTGCAGATGGTCCTCTACGCACCGCTGGCTATCCTTTTCGTGAACGTCATAAGCGGCGGCGGCGGCGGTCCCGAAGTCGCATACGCAACAGTCGCCCAGAGCGTCGGCGTCTTTCTCGGGATCCCGCTCGGAGCTGCCATCGCCACGCGCCTGGTCCTCAGGAGTATCAACGCCACGTGGTACGAGCGGAAATTCCTGGTGTGGATCGCTCCATGGTCGCTCTTGGGCCTGCTGTACACGATTCTCGTCCTATTCGCGTCCCAGGGGAAGCAGGTCGTTCATCAAATTGTCTCGGTCGTTCGGGTGGCTGCTCCGCTCGTGGTATATTTTGTGGTTATTTTCTTCGTGACGCTGGTGATCACGAAACGCCTCGGGTTCGGATACAAGCTCGCAGCGACTCAAAGCTTCACTGCCGCCAGCAACAACTTTGAGCTGGCCATCGCGGTGGCGGTCGCGACTTTTGGAGCTAATAGCGACGAGGCGCTGGCTACCACCGTCGGCCCGTTAATAGAGGTACCGGTTTTGATCTCGCTTGTGTATGTTGTGAGATGGATCGCTGGTCGCTGGAACTGGCAGGACTGATCACATGGGATGTTGATAGCATAGATATGTTAGCGCGGAGTCTGTGTGAAGCCTCAAATCGAGTACTTGCAGGTCCCAAAGAGAACTTGCAGAAAAGTCCTTGATGTGTGTCTTTGTGCACCCAGACAGCAATATGCGAATCGCTTAGTCAGCCGGCGATCATGATTGGTCAGAGCCCACGTGGGTCACCCACCCTTCACCTTTTTCGGGTCTCCGGAGTGTCAATGAGATTTTTATATTCAATGAAAATGTATCAAGAGGTCAAGAGCTGAATGAGAATCGCGGAATACCTCTTGCTGCCGCCGTGTCCTCGGAATGCTATTTCTCCGTTCTTAATCCACTCATACAACGGTTGTGAAAGAGGCTGTTCATGCTAGAAAAGATGAACTAAGGCCACGTACCTTGTTCCATCGGATGGGCCCTGCATCACATCATGGTTACTCGAGTACGCACAACCGAACAGAACCGAATCAACCAACGCAATCTCCGCGCTCGACGGAAAGCGTACGTCCAAGAATTGGAACAGCGAGTCCGAAAACTGGAGAATGACCGGATTGGAGCCACAAAAGAGGTGCAAGTTGCAGCTCAGCGCGTGCACAATGAAAATCGACTTCTCAGAGCGCTGCTCGAAACAAAGTTTGGCGTCGGTGCACATCAAATCAGCAAGTACCTTGCCGAAGTCAACAGCAGTACAGATATTGGGACGCAAGTGTCCCGCGGCCCAGCAAATAGCGTCGCCTTGTCGACACCGTCGGAGCGGTTAGCATCCAGTCCTAGTTTCCCAAGAAGCCCAGCAGAGGCGAATCGGGCACGGGCGATGCAACATTCCGACATCGCAGGATCAACGAGTGAGCTGGGAGAGACACAAGGCTGCCAGGACAGCCCAGAATTTTCCCATCATGAACGCAGGCCTCCTACTTCATCCTCGACCGGCGGAGAGGCACAACACCCAGTCCATGTTGAATTCCCGACTCAATTATACAGCAACAGATACTTGACGCCACAACAGACTCCATCTCCTGCAGGGCTCCAACCAGGCAACCACAGATGCGAAGCCAGCCTAGGTCATTCCTCCTCCGCCACCCCTATGAGCAAACGTCCTCAAAGCTCATGTATCTCATCTCACAAGGGGCCCGATCCACATGCTGAAGAAACGTCATGCGAGGAAGCCGCCACGATCATTGCAAGCCTTCGTGGCCACGCCACCGCGGACGACGTATGGAATGAGCTAGGTTGTGGGACAACGCAAGTCTGCAGGGTGAAGAATCTCGCGGTTTTCGAACTGATGGACAAGGAGCCTTCTTTTCTAGGGACATAAGCTGCGGCATGACATTAATGACACTCCCATTGCTTGGATGTGTCGGCTTCCGAAGTCCCTTCCTTGAGCCTTGGCTTCGTGCCTGCCTCGTCGCTGGTGTGATGACATGTCCCATTTTCGCCTAGCTGAATTACCAGGGCATAGATAGCTGTTCTCGCGAGGTGCTGCGAGCCGCAGACAAGGACGTCCTGGAGCCGCGCGCTATACAACACGCTGCGGTAGACCTCTCAACCGAGGATGACGCCGGCATGCTCTGTGCAGATCTTGGAATACTCCCCAATAGCCAGAATTGAAGCCAAACTCCCAGCCATGCGCCTTGTGAGAAAGGGAGGACATGAAGCAATTCAGAAGATTACCCAGAGACAAGAAACGGGGTGGAACGGGAAAGGTGACAGCGACTCGTCAATGAGGTCACACGCCAATGGCCAGCCGTGCTACAGATGACAAGTATCGCTTCCGCACGCGAGATCGAGGACGAGGACGAGCCAAGTCATTCTGATCCGCGACCATCCCCCAGTCCTGTTCGTCTAGGAATGTCATGACCCATGAAAGAGACGCAGGGACTATGGAGGCCGCTCGGCGATTCACGTTGTGTTGCGGAGATAGGAAAGAAAAAAAGGCCGCCCTTGTTAGGGAAATGGAAACCTAATCCCAAAAGCCGAGATCAGGGGATATTGGCGGTCACCAGCTTGCAACTCCTAACTCCCAAAACGCGCCGGCTGATGCCACGTCAAGGACATCACGCTTAGAGGATATAGTATGAATCCTTCTTCGTTCGAGAGCTGCCGATATGGATTTGCAGAAGTATGTACTGTGGTCTCTGTAACCACGACGATGCGACAGCGCCATTATATACACGCGTAAGTAAGGCTGTGTCGTCGGAAGGAATCCTCACTGTCCATCGCATGCCACCGAGCAACCATCACAAGTTCCACCTTCTCTTCTCTCCGCGCTCCTGATATCTTCACTTCTGCAGCTTCCAGAGTCAGGATCACCACTTTGTAAGTCAACTCACTCACGCCCCTTCGGGGTCAAGAAGCCCACTTTGTAGCTCGACTCCCTCACTCCTTCCCCTCCTCTCTCTCCTCCTCGCCTTGACCATGACATTCTTCTGCTGATGAAACCAGCCCGCCCACACCTCCCACTCCCACTGACCCTCGTCATCGCGCACCATCTCAAAGTCAAAGTCCCGCAGCACGACGGGCAAAAGCTTATACATTTCCGTGTTCGTGATATGCCTACCGATGCAGATCCTCTTGCCGTGGCCAAAGTGCATCATGTGGCGTTCCATGTAGGCTGCGTTCTTGCCACCGTCGTTGTCACGCAGCCAGCGCTCGGGGATGAACTCCTCGGCGTCGGCCCCGAAGACGGTCTTGTCAAAGTGCACGGCGTTCTGGTTCATGATGACGCCCGTCCCGGCGGGGAAGAAGCGGCCCGAGATGTCGACGCCGGGCGGCGGAACCACGCGCGGCAGACCCGTGCCCAGCGAGGGATGCACGCGCATGGCCTCGAGCACCACGGCGTGCAGGTAGGGGAGTTTGATCGCGTCGTTGAATCGCACGGGGTACTTGAGCGCTCCGGAAGCAAAGGCGTCGTCGACCTCGGCGCGCAACTTCGCCAGCGTGTGCGGGTGCTTGTGCAAGAAGTAAAAAATGGCCGTGAGGGCGATCGACGTGGTGTCTGAGCCGGCCCAAATGATGGCCCAGATCTCGGTCGTGGCGTCGAGGATGTGGAAGTCGTTCTTGTCGTCGTGGGCAATGTCGATCAGCTTGCTGAGCGTGTCGTGCGGGTTGTACGGTCTGCCGGCGGCCATGTCGTCAAGTCGCTGTTTCATGGCCTCGTGGGCTTGTTTGATCGTCGTGGAGAAGCCCTTGGCCCCGGCCCGCGTCTCCGGGTACAGCAGCTCGGAGAGAAAGTACAGGCTCCGAAACCCCCAGGGGATGTTGTTAAGGGCCGCGACAGGATTGGGCATCACGTCCATGAGGTGGCACCACTGGCCGTAGTCGATGTTGTCTCGAATAAAGCCGAATCCGCCTTCCTTCCCGTAGAACATCTCGCCGATCACGTCAAAGGTGTACTTGCGCAGCCAGACGGACATGTCAAAGATCTCGCCACTGGCCGCGAACCGCTCCATCTGCCGGTGGAAGAGCTCGATGACCCGGTCCACGCACGGTTCGTACTCGAGCACAGCGCCCTGCGTGTAGATCGGAGCGACCATGCGCCGGCGCTCCGTGTGCCGAGCCTCATTCCGTTCCGAGAAGCCGTCGATCCGTTTCGGGTTGATGTTGGTGATGAAGTTGTCGTAGAATTCACCCTTTGGAAATTCATATTTGGAGCCGTAAATGGTCTCGACCGCCGTGGCGTCCATGATCTGCACCTGGTTGGGCGCGATCCTGACGAACTTCCCATACTTTTTGTGGATGGGCAGCTGGTGGTCTTGGGCCCGGCCATATCGGACGGCGCGGAAGTACCACAGGGTAGTAATCGAGGCCCAGAACGGGCCGGGGATGTCCTTCAACGGGTGGAAGTACCGATTGTAAATGGCGGTGCTGAGAGCGTAGACGATAAGACCTGCCACCAGAACTTCAACTCCCAAGACAGCATTGTCGAGTACGTGTGATAACAGGCCCATCCTGGTGTTGATGGAAAAGTCGTACTTGGGGAGAGGGGGAAAGGGTGACAAAGAGGAGTAGGGGCCCGCGGGACAAGAAATAGGAGAGGCAATTTTCGCCTGAAGAGGGAAATTCAGATACTCACACGTACCAACCGGCCCATTGCAAACGCCAGGTACCCATTGGTACTGGCGGACTGATGGGGTGCATGGGGAACAGTTGTTATCGACCACAGCACGCAACGACTGGTGGTCACCTACTGCGGAGAAAGGCCATGTTGCATGAGGAACGTACTTAAGCTCTGGTTCGGCAACCACGGTTCGAAGGGATATATCAATCGTCGAGTTACGTGGCATTCTGCCGGACCCTGATAAGCACCGCGTTCCTGATAGTGCATCGAACCATGGGCGGAGTTTGCATGGCTTGGTGACAAATGACAAATCCGAGACCAGTGTTTCCATCAAGGCGGGTTTTCTGTGCATGAGGACGAGCATCATGTGCTGTCCGTGGGATGTCTCAATGCGAGCTGCTGCAGTAAGCTGTGACTGCTATTGGTTTGGGGTGTCGATGCAAGAGTCTGCAATGGGCCGGCAGATGGGCACAAATTCCGATTCGTGACTGGCTTTCAATGTGAGGGGTCCTGGAAGATGATCCTGGTAGCACAAAGGTACTCAAGTATACTGTACCTCGTACAGGATTCGGAGGTCAAGCACGCACTGTTACACAACATGTTTCTGTCAAGCCATGGGCAGGCCGTGGGTTACAGTAGCGAAATGTCGACCGAAAGTCAAATGCTCGCCAAGCCCGGCACGTGCATGGCTTGAAGGGCGCGTCGGGCCTCTTCCGCCCGGGGCTGCCGCCGGTAGCTTTGGGCAACCTCGCCTGTTCCGCGCCAAACATCCGTTCCCCATCCTGAAAGTTTCCCACCGCAGGCAGCGGCTCCCTTGCCAGAGCCGGGCTACTATGTGCTAGCAACTTCCAGGGCTTGGATCCCGCATCGCTGTGACCATGGACTCACTCGTCCTCGCCCCCCTCGACAACATAGAAACCCACCTCACCGCGCTTATAAGCACCCTCACGCAAACCAACACCTTCTCCAACGCGCCCCAACTCGCGGAAGATCTCCTCGCCGATGATAACGACCTCACGTCCTCGCTCGCCCTCCTCCAACGACACCAGCACAACTACGCACGGATCCTCAGCCTCCGTGAAGAAGTCACGTCCCTGCAGGACCAGCTGAAAGACACGGTCAGAAAATGCGTCGCGTTCAAAACGGAGATTGGCGCGATCAACCCCGCCATTCTTCAAGATGATTCCGAGGACGAGGATGAGGACGCGCATGGGGCTGACCACGAAGGATCCGTCGCAGAGGTGGATTATCATACGCTCTTGATGTTCGCGGCACGGATCGGCAAACACAACACAATCGCAGCCAAAGAGGCAGAGACCGAAGCTGTGCGGAGAAAAATCGCCGCAAAATCTGGAACGGTAAACGGTGCCCAGGCCCAGGCCTCGATCACGGAACCCCTTACGACGCAAGACACTGCGGGACCCGATGGCGAACCTGGCATCGAGAAGGACAACAACACGGTCGAAACCACAGCCGAGCTCTCTCGTATCGATAATGCTATCGCGATCGACCGCGCCCGTATGGGCATGGCCTTCCCCGACGGACCCTCCCTGCGAATGGGCGCACTGGGTCAACTCCAGCTTTTCAGGGAACGACTGGGGCAGCAATTGTCGAGCGGCGGCGGCGGCGGCAATGACGACGAAAATGCCAAGCTAGTTCAGGAAGCGGTGGAGCGGGAAGTGGCTAGGATGGTGAGGGAAACAGAGGATATCGCGCCCGAGCAGGAGGTGGAAGAGGAGAGCACTACGTTCCCGGAGAGTCCTGTTCTGGGCAGACGCGAGGACCCAGCGTCGGGGGCCACGCGACAACCCCCTATCAGCCAAGGTCAAGCTCAAAGAGCACCCAATCCGCCACAGATAAAGCGGAAACTTGACCTAGACTTCCCTGATAGCGATGATGAGGAGGATGACTGAAGAGGGCGCACTGCTCAGGATTTTGGTTCAGAGGAGCCCTGGCAGACTGGATTGCTAAAGAAAGTGGCTCACTAGGAGGTTGCTACAAGCACGGATATCACAACATCACTTGAACCGAGCAACTGCGGACTTTGGCAGTCGAAAGGGAATAGCGGCGACGACGCCATTTACAACAACGCAGCAAGCCTTCAGCTCTCGTTTTCGTCGCCGTAAGTGCTCCGGGAAGCGCTGAATCCAACTCCGGCGCTGCTCTTTGCATGCCACCTAAAATTCGAACTTGAGACCATCCTCTCCCGCCACTCATCCAATCTGTGAAGCCCATCTTCATCTTGTGCAGCCGCCCGAGCCTCTTGTGTTGATACAACAGCCCCCACCATAAGCCCTTGAACAGCTTGGGTGCATCTGCAAGCTCGTCATACACTGGTTCTGCTATTGGATATTCGTCCCTCACATTTGCTCCCCTCGGTCACAACAGCCTTGGAGCTGCCCCCAACACATTCCTCGACTTCCCGCTATGGTCCTGCCCTGCCACTGCTCCGTCGTCGCCTCATCCCAAATCCCCTAACCTCTTGATGCTTCGGCACCTTTAATCCCGTACCTCTTCTGTTTGGGTCGAACTCCTCATCGTCGTCGTCGTCCTCACCATCGTCTTCAGAAGGCGTCTCACTCCCAATGATATCGGACAGATTGGACGATTGGGGTTCGACATCGTCGGCTGTGACCTCGGAATCGTCAAGGATCATGTCACCCTCAGCACTGGCATCCGAGGACAAGGGCGGAGTGGCCTCGGCGGAGGTGGTGCCCATCATCGCTGTTGTGGTTTGTTGTGGTGCAGCGCAAGTTCTTTCGTACATCTCCATGTCGAAATACGGCAAGTCAGCGGAGTCCGCAGGAGTGTATGCAGCTGCGGAAGCTAGGTATGACTGTTGAGCCTGCGGGAAACTCTGCTGCCGTGAAGTTGGGAAGCCATTCTCGATCTTACCGTGAGAGCTGCTGGTTTGGATGTTTTTGTTGGTAGCGAGGAGGTATTGTTTGTACCAGTCTACCCGCGGCCGGCCGCTGAGTCTAGCAGTTGGTTCGGCATGGGAGCCAGCAATTCCCAGTCTATCATCGATGTCGTTGCCAGTCGCGAGGCGATAACTCGGGGCGGGAGCATATCGGTAAGTGGGCGAAGTCGTTATGGATTCGTCCAGGAAATGCATGCCTCTGGTCGGAGATTCACTGCCGGCGGCTCCATTCCTGACGAAAGAAGTATCATGGTCGTTGCAGAGACCATCAGCAGGCCCGAGATTTTGCGTTTGGATACGAGTGGCGGCACCGGCTACGGGTCCAGAAGTTGAGTTTAGGACTGCTCGCCTAGTTCTGGCTGACACCGGCTGTTGGGTCAAGTCTTGCCGAGCAACATTCGCTATGGTGGCCGGTATATATAGAGCCGGATATTGGTCTGATTCAGGTGCTGGTGCAGGTGCCGCGGAACGGTTCTGAAGATGTCGAGCATTGAAAGCAGCTTTTTGTCCCTGCAGTCGACCAAACACCGCCTCTTGTCTGGACCCATCCGAAACCGCCACACGCTCTGCTTGCTGTCTTCGTCTTTCAGTCTCCGGGTACTCGGGCTCGCACCCCGTCTCTTCCAATTCAACTCGCTTCTCCTCCAGCTTACGCTTAAGATATTCCCTTCTACGCGACTCGTGGATGTAACGGTGATAGTGTTGCCTCATCACCCAATCCACCTCTATCTTGGAATGAGCGGGTCCTTCGTAAGTCATGGTGTCTTCGGGCTTGTTGTGCTGGTCAAGGCCGTATCTTAGGTTGTGCAAGGCCTGTTCCCAAGTATTGCTTTGTGGCAACATGGCTTCTCCGGGTGAAAGCAGTTGGAAATCGGCAGGGTTGAGATGGGCTTGTCCGTCGTGAGTCGCCCGCGGGTCGGCCGCATTATCCGTGACAAAGTGATCTTCCATGATGAGGGCCACCCAGTATTACAGACCAGTGAATAAATGCACGTCTTCAGATGTGGCGTGGTGGTGAGGATGGAACGGGTTGTCAGTGGGCAAGTCATCTTATGACTGCGCCGCGCGGATGGAGAGTGAAGATGCATTGATCGGACTGTCATGCAAGCAGCAGGTGAGGCAGATTTGAAAGGCCCTTGTGATGGTGCGGTTGCCGTGTGTGAATCAGGTGGTGAGGAAAAAGGTGGGCATTGAACGCAGTCAGTAACGACTCACCGTCGTGCTCTTGTCAGCGTCATGACAACTTCACTTCACGACTTGAGTATGTGTCTCTGCCTTGCCATGATTCATCTTATGCTTCAGTGTCTCTTACAAAGGACGCCTGGCAAGAATTGGTGAAATCAAGAATCTGGATTTTGTTCATCGTCGTCTCTGGTAATCTTTCCACAACCGTGATGGTAAACACTCAACTCTTCATAGACTGAAGTTGCAACAGAAAGCGCCGTCGAAGAGAGTCGCAGTCCCCATGTCGATGGCCCCGACAGTCGCCATATCCAGTCCTGGACCCATTCCATCGTTCTCAAGACAGGAGCTGCTCACAGTGCCACTCGTGAGTCTCATGCTCTTCGTACGGTCTTTCCTCTCACAAATTGTGCGTCAAAGCAGGTACGAACCGTGCCATTGAATGAGATGACAACGCTTGCTTGAACAGCAGCTTCAAAAGCTATTGGCGACGGACAATGGTAGGGTAATGACTTCATGGCCTACTTTGGTTGCTATGGCTTGCGTTCTCCATTCGCTGATGCACCACGAGTTTGCTGCTATGAGATAGGGCACATTCCCGGCCGCTCTCTGTCACTGGGAATTAACCCAGCTGAAGAAGCGGAGACCTCTTCCCGAGACCGAGCCAAGAAATCGAACACAGGTCGGCTCGATGAGAGACGTGGTCGTTCGGCGAAGAAGACGAATGTCACAAACTGCTCACACTTTGACAGGGTTAAGGTGAAGCCATCGTTAATGTCCATCGATGGTGCTCAAATAGTTCGAATTCGTCGTCTAGATCATTAATTAAAAATAGTGCTATAGAAGATGGAAGCATGGGCGTCCTGCTCGTCAAGTGCCTCGCTTTCCCCAACCACTGAAGAAGCCTCCAGTGCTTGCCGATGCTGCATGAGAGGCTTTTGGCGCCTCCTTCGTGCCTGGGCTCGGTGTTGATGGTATGGGTGACTCAGAACTGTTGGCTCGCGTGGTAGGAGACAAGGTCGTGCCTCCTAGAATTTTACGCAGTGCGTCCAGCTTGGCTTTGGTCTCTTCGAGCTCCTGTCTCGCAACCGCTTCAGCCGTCTTGGAGTTGACCAGCTCAAGCAGGATAGCGTCGTTTGAGACAGGCTCATGATTTTCAGTTGCCAGGACTGCTTGCGTGTTGAGGCTGCTTGATCGTTTTGAGTACGGCCCGGCGCTGCTTGACCGGCTTGCTTCCGGTTTACCCAGCTTCAGCTCCCTCAGCCCGGAGTTCTTGGGTGGAGGCAGCTTGAGATCCGGAAACTCGGTGACAGGCGTGTACAAGTCAGCAGGAGAATCGGGCACCGAGTTGTTTCGAGAGCGCAGTTCACTGACTGTGCGCTCTAGCCGCTGCTTATCACGGTGACCATCCTGTATACGAGCTCGGGCATCCCGCAACTGCTCCTTCAGAGTGTGGTGTTCGGCTTCCCGCTCATCCAGTTGTCTCATGAGGTCGCGGCATTTCGTTACCTCCGCCTGGTGCCTCTCTTTCCACTCTGAAACCGCATCGCGGAGCTGAAGTTTTGACTGATCCACCGATAGGCGCTTGGGCTCTCCTCGCTTGAGTTGTTGCTGGGCCTTTAGCATCACATCTTCTAGCTCTGCGGTGGCTTCTGAGTCATCTTCCCCAGCGAGTTCCTTGATCTCGGCGGTTTGCGAACGAAGGCAATCCAACAGTGTGCGTGCGATTTGCCGGTCCTCTTCGCGCTCCTCCCGCTCGCTTTGGAGCTCCTGAGCAAGTTCGACCTGATGCCGCTGGACTTTGGACAACTCGGTGAGCAGTTCTTCAATCTGCTGGTGCAGGTCGCGGTTGCTCGAGCTCGGAGTAGGTACGATCGCTGACGAGAGGCTAGTGGCCATTGATAACGTGGCTTTTCCCGGACCGTCGTCCGAAAATTCGGTGGCTAGCGTACCCGCCTCAGAAATGGTGGTCTCAACCGAATTCAGGGTTGACGTCAAACTCTGGCCAGAAGAAGACTTTCGGATGGAGACGTTGTTCCCAGGAATCGTGAGGCTCAGGTTTTGCGACCTTGATGGTGCATGCACTGACCCTGCCCAAAATCTGCCCAAGAATGAGGCTGCCGCACTTTTCAGCGACGGCCCTGTTGTTAAGTTTTGCGTATGTCTAAAGCTGGCCTCCAAGGTTTGCAGAGACTCCTGGCTCACTAGGACGGTCAGAGACACAAAGTCAGCGACCAAATCGTCCGCATGTTGTGCGTAGGTATCCCATAGTCCCCTGGAGAGTAAGAATTGCAGGGCGTCTTCAAATTCCCTGAATCCAAGTAGTTTCTTCTGGTTTCTCTGCATCAGAGATAGAGCTACCCTCATCAATGTCTCCGTTGCGCCTTCGGATAATATGACATCGTAAATGCGTAGTAACATAGGCAGTGGACAGGTGACGGCAAAGAATGATAGAAACCACTGGGATACGTAGAGCGGTTCGACTTTTAGCTCTTCGAGATGAGCCGCAAGCTCCGGCAGGTGTCGGCTGAGTAGCTGCTGGAACTGGTATATTCGAAGATGAAGTCCGGATAAATCAGGAAGATAGCATGAGCGCAGGTCGTAGTTCTCCATGAGCCTGCGTCTGATCAGTACTGTTCCCAGTGAAATTGCCTTCGTCACATACCTAACAAGGATGCAAAAAGCCTCCGGTTCGCTCATGTGCATCAGCAGTGGTCCAACCACAAAGCCTAGGCCTTGACAATATCCGATCTTTTCGTCGTACAATGAGAAGGATTTCAGGACCTTTCCAAGCATGCGCTGACCATCGCCATCCTTTTCCCGAAACATGTCGACATTTGGGAAGCTACGTCCCACGTCCTTGCCGATCAGACCATCGTAGGGACTCGGCTGATTCGACAGCCGCTGATACTCGGAGTGCAGGAAGCCATCATGTGCTCGGGCAATGCTGGGCCACACGACACCTCTTAAAGGTGGTGGTACACCTCCTCGGATTTTGTTGGAGGTCAACGTGGGCAGCCTCTGGGCTGTTTGGGTGTAGTCCTGGACTAAAGCTGCCCAGAACTCCAGCTCGGTCATCGGTGGAGCAGGCAACAGCGAGTATCTCAGCGACTCCGGCTGAGGACCGGTGACCATTCTCTTTAGCTGGTGCATGGATGGTGGCCGGGTGTTCTTTCGCGGTCGTGAGGGGGTCGAAATGCCAGCCTTCGGGTTAACGGCCAAGGCTGCGTTCTCCTTCTCCAGGCGTGCCAGTAGCAAGGCGGTAGACTATAGCAACAGTTAATGGTGTCAGAGGCCCAGGGGAAAATGCAGCCTCACCTCGTCTGTGGCGTCATATTTGGCTTCTTGTTCTTCCGTCTTCTCCAGGCCTTCCCAATTGACCGAATTCATCGAGACGGAGCTGTCCGAAGTTCTCGACGACGAACGACTCGTACGCGTTGACGGCGAGCCGCTGTGGGGGACGGAGACCTCCTGTGGGATATCACGTTCATCGATGATATCAAGGTCAGGGTCGAAAGGAATGTCTGAGAGTCGTACTGAGACCATCGAGCTGCGCGGGAGAGGTACATTTTCCGGTTCGACGTCACTGTCTTGCTCCATTACGTGCTGAGAAGGTAGGTGGCATGTACCGTCAACATCTGCCATCTTGGTCGATATCGTAGAGTCGCATACAGACAGCCTGCCCAAGTTCGAAGCGATGTGCAGTTGGAAGGCGGGGTGGTAGAGAGGCCGGGCAAATGAGTGAACCCTGGCGGTGGTTGGAACTTTTCAACAGCGACGACACTGGATGTCAACGATCACAATGAGAGGCTGCTCGCGAGGTCTTCCAGCGACCGTGCGAGGGGCGTGTGAAACGGTAAAGAACGGACGTCGTCGAGGACAATGAAGGAGGTGGAAGTGAGCACGGAGCGCAGGAACAGAATGCTTGAGCAAGTGCCAGTACCAATACCAATACCCGTGGTGGTGGGCCAGGCCGCCAGGGGCTCGCCGAAACTATGAGTTTGGCACTACGCGTAGTACAGTATCCAGTAGCCTGTTAAAGTGGCAGCGCCCAATGCTCGGTCGCCCTCGGTTCATGCAATCTCGGCTGGCTGCATCTAGCAATGGTACTGTGAGTTCTCGCAGTGTCTGCTGGTATCTGATCGACATTAGTGTTAAAGTTTGCACGCACGAATGGACTGTCAATTATCATATGTCGGCGACGCTTGTCGACTCTAAGGGGGTGGGCGAATGCGGCGCTACCTACCGTTGTAACATACGCCGTACCTAGTGTGGTAGGTGTCTAGCCACCGCTCTAACATTCGTGAGGCACCAAGTGCTACAGCTGCGACCACTACCTAGGTACTCGTACACTTCGACGAGAGTACAAGATACACGCCATCACGCCATCATTGAGCCGGGGCATCACAGGCACAGAAAAGGTCCAGGTCGAGACTTAGATCAAGCAGCGCTGGAGAACGCATAACTGAATCCTCCAGTCAGCTCCACCCCGTATATCGCAACTCTCTCTTAGACCCTCTTCACGTGGTCGTCACCGTGAAGAAGCGGCATGGCCCTGTGGAGAGTGTATTGTGTCCAGAAGCGGTTAGCGTCAAACTTTCCAAATCCGGCTAGCGCTGCACGCTGTGACGCGACCTGTTAACAAATAAACAACAGCGAAACCGCGCGCTGTGCAGGCCTCCCCGACACCACACAGTACACTGTACACTGTACACTCCCCGCAAGAGGAATGTACTCCTGACAATCATTTGCCAGCCCCCTGCCGGGCACTACAGTTATCTGACAGACCTCACTCGGCGCTCGCCTCGGCCATGGAAGACTCAATGTTCGACATGGAGGACGGTAGTTCGGACTTCGAACCTGTCACCGTAGGTCTGGATCGCCAACAGTTGCGAGCGAATCTGTTAACACTGTCGACTAGAAACCAAAGGCCAAGCCTGTAAAGAAATCGGCCGATCCGAAACCTGCGGCAAAAAAAGCAGCTGCACCAAAGGCGAAACCTGGTCCGAAGCCCAAGGCGACAGTCCCCAAGAAGCGCTCTAAGAAAGACGCGGAAGATGAGAGCCTGGTTAGCGACGCGGCCGACGCCTTTGATGACGAATCCCTTCTCGCAGACACCCCTCCTCAGGCAAAGAAGGTCAAGCCAAACCCGAACCCTGTCAAGGGGAGCCACAAGAAGCCTCTTGGTGACCTCGTCAACGAAGCAATAGGGACCGATGGCGCAAATGATTCACCACAGCCACAAAGAAAGAAGCGCGTATCTGAGCAATACCAGAAGCTCACCCAATTGGAGCACATCATCAAGCGTCCTGACACATACATTGGTTCGGTCGAGCGTACAGAGAAGCAAATGTGGGTCTACAATACCGAGCAGGACTCGATGGAGTTTCGTGAGGTCTCATACGTTCCCGGAGTCTTCAAGATATTTGATGAAATCTTGGTCAATGCAGCAGACAACAAGCAGAACGATAAGAACATGAACGAGATTCGTGTAACCATCGATCGCGAGAAGGGCGAGATCAGTGTCTGGAACAACGGTCGCGGCATTCCCATCGAAATCCACTCCAAAGAGAAAATCTACATCCCTGAGATGATTTTCGGACACCTTCTCACTGGCTCGAACTACGATGACAACGAACAGAAGATCACGGGTGGCCGGAATGGTTACGGCGCCAAGCTTGCCAACATATTCAGTACGGAATTTACAGTCGAGACATCGGATTCGAGGCAGAAGAAGAAGTACAAGCAGACCTGGACGAAGAACATGTCTGAGATGGGCAAGGCGAAGATCACCGATGCCAAAGGCGAAGATTACACCAAGGTTACCTTCTTCCCAGACTTTGCAAAGTTTGGCATGACCGCTATGGATGATGACTTGGAAGCGCTATTCAAGCGTCGTGTCTACGACCTTGCTGGCACCTGTAAGGGTGTCAAAGTGAAGCTCAACGGCTCTGCAATTCCGGTCAAAAACTTCAGAAAGTACAGCGAAATGTACACCAAGGCCATCAAGAAAGAGCGGGGCGATGAGGCTGCCAATGATGCCTCGGATATTATCACCGAGTCTCCTGATCCTCGTTGGGAGATCGGATTTGCTGTCTCAGACGGCTCTTTCCAGCAAGTCTCCTTCGTCAACTCCATTGCGACAACCTCCGGAGGCACGCATGTCAACTATATCGCCGACCAAATTGTCAATCGCTTAATTGATGTCGTGAAGAAGAAGAACAAGGGTGGCGCCCAGTTGAAGCCGAATCAGATCCGGAACCACATCTTCATCTTCGTCAATGCACTGATCGTCAACCCAGCCTTCACATCCCAGACCAAGGAGCAACTTACCACGAAGTCTAGCCAGTTCGGAAGCAAATGCCAGGTCTCCGAAGAGTTCATGAAGAAGGTGGCGAAGACTCAGGTCATCGAGAACATTCTTCATTTTGCTCAGCAGAAGGCTGATCAAATACTCAAAAAGTCTGATGGGAGCAAGCGCAGTCGCATGAACAACCCGAAGCTCACTGATGCGAACAAAGCCGGCACCAGAGAGGGCCACAAATGTACACTGATCTTGACCGAAGGTGACTCGGCCAAAGGTCTGGCGATGGCAGGACGATCCGTAGTCGGCCCAGATCTGTTTGGTGTCTTCCCACTAAGGGGTAAGCTGCTCAATGTCCGAGATGCCTCAGTTGATCAGATCTCGAAGAATGCCGAGATCCAGAACATCAAGAATTTCTTGGGCCTCCAACACAAAAAGAGCTATACTGATACAAACGGCCTCCGCTACGGTCATTTGATGATTATGACCGATCAGGATCATGATGGGAGTCACATCAAAGGGTTGTTGATCAACTTCCTACAAGTACAATTTCCAAGCTTACTCAAGATCCCAAAATTCTTAGTCGAGTTCATCACTCCCATCGTCAAAGTTTGGAAGGGCGACCCGAAGAATCCCACGCAGTCCCGGTCGTTCTACACTATGCCCGAGTACGAAGCATGGAAAGAGGCTCACAAGCACGAGAAAGGATGGGAGAACAAATACTACAAGGGATTGGGTACAAGCACCACCGAAGATGCACAGCAATACTTCAACGACATCGATAAGCACCATAAGGAATTTGACGTTATGCAGGACGAGGAAGCGTCCTTGATCGAACTTGCTTTCTCCAAGAAGAAGGCAGATGAACGCAAGGAGTGGCTACGACAATTCAAACCTGGCACATACCTCGACCACACCACGAAGAGCATTTCGTACACGGATTTCGTCAATAGGGAGCTGATACTTTTCAGTATGGCTGACAACATTCGATCCATTCCTTCTGTAGTCGACGGCTTGAAGCCCGGCCAGCGGAAAGTCATGTACGCATGCTTCAAGCGGAACTTGAAGAAGGATATGAAAGTCGCTGAACTGGCAGGTTTGGTTGGTGGAATGACAGCTTATCACCATGGCGAGGCTTCCCTTCAACAGACGATTGTCGGCTTGGCTCAAACCTTTGTTGGATCGAATAACATCAACCTGCTGGAACCATCAGGCCAATTTGGTACTCGAAACCAGGGAGGAAGTGACTCCGCAAGCGCTCGTTATATCTTTACACGCCTATCACCTTTTGCCAGGAAACTCTTTCACCAAGCCGATGAGCCTCTCCTCACGTACAATTTCGATGACGACAAGAAGATCGAGCCGGAAGTTTATGCACCGGTCGTCCCCATGATCCTTGTCAACGGCGCTGATGGTATCGGAACGGGCTGGAGTTCCTCGATTCCCAACTACAATCCCGAAGACATTGTGGCGAATTTGAAGCGCAGAATGGCTGGCGAGGAGTGGAAGCCAATGCAACCCTGGTTCCGTGGATTCAAAGGCGAGGTCAAAGAGACAGCCCCTGATCGATTTCAGTTTAGCGGTATTATCACGCAGACTGGCAACACTGAGGTGGAGATTACCGAGCTGCCCATTCGTACTTGGACGCAGGATTTCAAGGACAAGCTCGAGGAGATCATCAAGGCAGAGAAGACTCCGTCGTTTATCAAAGACTATAAGGACTACAACACCCACGACTCTGTGCACTTCATCATCCAGATGGATGAGAAACACATGAACGCCGCCATCTCAGAAGGGCTTGTAGAGAAGTTCAAGCTCACCAGGTCCGTAGCAACCTCGAACCTTGTCGCATTTGACCCTGAAGGCCGTATCACGAAGTACGCCAATGTGGAAGCCATCATGGACGAATTTTACAGCTATCGCCTGCAGCTGTATGCCAAGCGGAAAGAATGGCTCTTGCAAGAGATGCACAAGGAATTGAGGCGGTTCACCAACCAAGCTCGATTCATCCAGATGATCATTGATGGCAAACTTACCATCTCCAAGAAAAAGAAGGCAGTCCTCATTGCCGAGCTTCAAAAGCTTGGGTTCGATGGTTTTCCCAAGACTCAAGATGCAGCCAAGCACGGCGAGGAAGAGCCCGTTGTCGAAGAAGAGACGGAAGACGACTCTGTCGATGCCAGTTCCTATGACTATCTTCTTGGCATGCCTCTTTGGTCATTGACACAAGAACGTGTCGAGCGGCTGCAACGACAGATTGGTGACAAAGAAGCGGAAATTGATATCTTGATGAAGAAATCCAAGGAAGATCTCTGGGCTCATGACCTCGACGAATTCATTGCTGAGTGGCGGTTCCAACTGGAGGACGAGCACAATCGCAAGCGTAACATCCGGAAAGGGCGGCGTGTCTCGAAGAAATTTGCCACCGCGGCCTCTTCCAAGCCGGCCGTCAAGAAGCGAAAGGGACTCGGTGACGCTTTGGACGATGACTCTGACTTTGAGGCGTTCGTGCCCAAAGCGAAGAAGGCTGCGCCAGCTCCTAAACCAATCCAGCCTACAAAGCAGCGCTCTCTCGCGGCGTACGTTGCCCCCAAGACGAATGCTTTAAAAAGTGCGTTGGAAAAGAGAGCATTGTATACTGATGGTTCCAGTGATCCCGTCGAAGAATCTGAAATGGAGCCTGCGAAGCCAAAGGCTACCAGCCAAGCGAAAGCCGTGAAACCCGAATCGGATGCCGATGCTACTCTGTCGAAAGCTGGCAGTCGGCAGTCTCGTGCTGTAACTAAGAAGCCTACCAACTACGCCATATTGAGTGATTCGGACAGCGACAATGGAGACGGGCTACTTGCCGACCTAGGTGATATGGTCAAAGGGCTTCCTAGCAACCCCAGCACCGATAGTGGCAGCGAAGCCCGAGCTCTCTTCTCGAATTCAGTGTCGCGGCCAAACAGCAGTCACGGTTACAAGCCTATTTCCAAACCGATTGCAAAACCATCAATGAATTTTTCAGACGATGAGACTGACTACAAGATGTTGGCTCCTCAACAGTCTCCGAGACGGTCAATCATTGTGACGAACAAGGATGACACGAATCTCCGCGAGGAGTTGGATGACGAGACACATCCTGCGAAAAAGCCAGGCACGACGAAGGCGAAGAAGACGGTAACCGACGATAGTGAGAGCGACGCCGTCCTTCCGAAGCCTAAGATGCGAGTCTCTGGGAAGAAGACTATCAGTGACGATAGTGACAGTGACGTGGTCTCAACTAAGCCAGCTAAAAAGGCTGTTTCGAAGAAAGCTGCGAAGGATGAGCCACCCAAAGCAAAGAAGCCGGCTGCGAAGAAAGCTGCTCCGACAGCTAAGAAGGTTCAGCAGTCCCCGGTTGCGAAGGCCTATGCGAGGAGATTGGCGAAGAAGAAGGCGGTGGACTCTGACGACGAGATGGACGCTTTGGCCGACGATATTCTGAAATCGCCCTCCGCATCAGATTCAGATGAGCCTGTGGCAAGCAAAGCTGCGCCGAGACCAACGAGACGAGCGGCGACGACGAAGAAGGCAATGAGTTATAAATTCGACGATGACGACGATGAGGATGATGATGCTGGATTCCAGGATGATGGTTCGACCGCAGCATTTTCAGATGAGTAATTCACACTTTCGAAGTGAGTGAATGATGCGCAAGGAAGTGGTTAGGAGAAAAAGAAGTGCTCTGAGCTTACCGCCAGAGTTTCCTTTTGACAAGAAATGCAGCGGCTAAGGCCTGCCTGACCGAAGGTATCATGCTGTGACGATGGCATTGAATTGGCGTTAATATGATATCTTGAGTTTCGCTACTGATCACCACCGAGATCTGCTTGTCCATGGGCTCTGGTTGACATCTGCCAAGGGTCGGGTCGATCTCGTCGACAACGTGCGTTGCTATCAGCAAGCTTCCCGTGCCCGTCCCTTCCGATGCACCTCGTGGCTCTGCCACTTTCAAGTCATTCCATACTTCGGGCTTCTAGAAACAAAATCATGCGGTTGTGTTTCTGTTTGTGCAGCCTTGGCACAGTGTTTCTTTGTCTGTTCGGTAACGATTGCGAGGCTGACCGAATAGTGGGCCGGTTGTGCTACATACCTATGCAAGGCACCGCGGAGGAGGATGAAGCCGCACAGGCATCTGATAAACACACGTCACGATAACGTTGTGAGTCCTTCCCGAGGCGAGGTTTCTATAGGCTAACGACAGGTGGGTGTCTTCTCAAAGCTCCGTTCTTGGCCCACCGATACAGCTCGAGAGCAGCTGCAGACGACTTCCCAGGTGATCCCAACCTATCCTCGCTTTCGTCACTCCGCCTACCTGTCACAGGGGATGTTGGTGAACAAGCCAGCATCCAACTGGCCATAATTCCTGCCCTTACAACGCAGGCTGTTTTGTTTATTAGGGTCGGGGCTAAGACTGGCACTTGGGTACTCTTGCTATGCATGATACCCCGTTTTCCAGAGTTCAAGCCCAGTTCACTCGCCTCTGCGTCGTCCCGGGGCCCCAGAAACAAGTTGTTCACCGCTAATCCAGCGTTTTAGCCAAATCCAACACCATGGGTTCTTTGATTCGTCGACGTTCAGCGAATCTTGACATACCGCCTCGTCTACCATCTGGCCTAGACTGGCAGTCTGCCGCAACAGCTGCACGAGTTCGAAGATACGCTGCCATGTCTAGGTCTCTCTTTGTATGCGACTGTCGGTGTGGATCCGGTACAATCATTTCTTCCAAAGCGGTGCGGTTTGTATGGCTCCAAGCTTTGATGTTCGCTGTTCTCTAGGTTGCTATTTGCCTTCTATATCAAGCAAGCCCTGAAGGCATCTTCAAAACATCTTCACCAGCACAACAGCTCTCGATCTAGTATTGATCCCGTCAAGGCGGCATTGGCAGGAACATGGCTGCCATCAAATCTCTTCTCAACCCTGCACAGGAGGCAGAGGGCGATGACAGCAATAATGGCAGCTCCAAGGAAGATCACTCCGCCGTGGACAGCCAGACGTCACCAAGCTCGCAGCTGACAGCACACACTCTGGACAAACGCATGCGGAAGAAACAGAAGGTCTGCAAAGACGCGGCAGTCTTCAAGCCAAGCACGGTTCGAGGGGAATGCCGATATCCTCCAGACGAATTTCAAGACGAGCTGCTCGAAGCAAAACATCAGATGTACGAAGTCTACCCCGTTGGCGACATTGCGACATACCCAAGACATATTCCTTACAATAGCGAGAAGAAGTTGTTTTGGGAGAAGACCGGAAGGGAAAGCTTTGAAGGTATGAAGGTTCCCAGAAATCCATAGTGATGAAACTGACCATGGCCAGTCTTCCAGTACCAGTACAAGATTCCGGGCGACCCGACCACCTACACCATGCTGTGGGACTACAACATTGGCTTGGTCCGGACCACACCGCTGTTCAAGTGCGGTAACTATTCCAAAGTAGGGCTGACAACGAAATCTCTTGCGAAGCACTGAGCTGACTTGTACAGACAACACCGGCCAAGATGCTGGCTCGGAACCCAGGACTTAAAGAACTGTGTCATAGTATCACCGGCGGAGCTCTTGTCGCGCAAGGTATGGGAACATGGTCCATATTGCCGTTCATCACATTGACTCGTCTCAGGTTACTGGATACCGTATGAAGCGGCAAAAGCAGTGGCAGCGACGTTCTGCTGGCACATCCGCTACGCATTGACACCAGTCTTCGGCAAAGACTTTCCCAACATTTGTCTCCCTCCCAGCAATGAGAACTTCGGCTCCATGCAGATCGATCCTGAGATCACGAAATACTGCGCTGCGCAGGCTCGGCATTATCGCGAATTGGAGACTCAGTCAACATCTGGTCTGTCACCAAGCCTGCCTAGTCCGCGTCCGCCTCAAACACCCAAGGCCCGGCCACAACTGCGAAAGATCCTGCCCAAGCCATACAAGGAGACCGATAGTACGAGCGAGTACTCAACCGATACCGGCTCGGAGGACAAGTATGAGCTGTCTTCGCCATCACCACAGATAGCATTCACCAACCCATGGTCCTCCATCAACTCCCCTCGCTCACCGTCCCCCAAGGTATCCTTTACCAATCCATGGTCACCTGCCAGCACCACTAGATCCTCCTCGCCGCACGGTACGTCTCGCAAAGGTCGACATGCAGCCAACATTCCCAGATCACATACACCACTGGATTTACTGCCGCCACCTCTCAAACCCCTGCACACTGCCCCCGGCACCATGGTCACCACAACCAAGCGCCAAGCAACGCCAATGACGCCAGCAGTGTCTCCCAGATCGCATGGGGATCGTATGGATATCGACGAAGACTATGATGCAGGGTCCGATGATTCCGACGGTGGACCGAGAGAGAAAGACGGCATTGCGAGGAAGAAGTCGTCCCGAGGACTCACGGAGACCAAAGCTGCTTACGTCCTGATGAAGTTGAAGGCGCAGACAAAATTCCCTAAGCGAGACTTCAGATCACTCAAGCGTCGAGCATCTGCATAGATCTGGTTTCATGTGAGGCGAGGATGAGATGAGCAGGACGAAGAGACGATTTGATGTGGTGATAGGAACTGATGAATAACTGGTGATCAGATGCAAGTCCTAGGTTCTGCTGCCATGAAGTACACACATCTAGCTCACCCAGCAAGACTCCCCCCTGTACTCGTCGCAAGGTGCCTTGGTCAGGCAGCCGTGCCTCCCCGACGCGTGCCTGACAACAATTTGTTCGCACCTCAATTTACGTCCACTTTGTCCCCGTTTCACTCGACTCTGAGTCACCAAACTGCCATCCACCTCAATCTCCACTCCTCTTGCCTTATACAGCCACCATAGTATTTGTTTTCCACTTGTTGCGTGTATCGACTAATTGTGACCACTCCCGTTGACTCCCTACAGACTGACCCAATCACCAATCACCATGTCGAACAGAGCCGGCTTCCCGCACAACAGACTCTATACATGCCGGTACTGGGCCTTGGGTCCAGAATGCCCGAACGTGGACGCGTATCACACCGTCACCTGCGAGTTCGCCCATTACGATACAGGCGACCTGGCAAGCCATATCCAACAAAGAGGCACTTGTCTGGCATGGAAACAATACGGCTCCTGTGGAAGAGGTGTTGGATGCTGGTATGAACATCGTGACACAGGAGTGACCGGTCTCCACCAAGGGGGTAAGAAGGCAAAGGATCACCAACAACACGAGCCGGTGCTGATGCGATGCTGCAGCTGTCGAGCTTGATGGCCTCGAGCTGCAGGTCGCCGACGCAGCCAGGAAGGCCGGCTTCAACACATTCAACCACGAGGCCTTGTTCGATCTGATATGGGCGGTCAAGCGACTCGCGTTACGAGCAGGCGCTTCCGGGCTTCGCAGCTTGCCTGCGCCGCCCAGGGACCCGATATGTTTGTGCCCCCTAAAGCTGTCACAGCGTCAGCCACAGCTCCCACGCCCTGCGTCTCGGGAAGCTTCTCAAACATGCTAACACCACCTAGATCCAGACAGATATCGCCCAAGCGGTATTGGTGATAACACGAAGAAGAGGAGGAGGCCGCCCACCAGACAGCCAGCCCCAGATCGCACCGTGGAGTTGAAGTTCCTTCCAATCAAGCCTTTGATGAGGAAGCGACCGGTGGAAGAAACTGAGGGGCGACAGGCCGATAAAGTCATAGACCTCACTGCAGATTCGGATACTGAGGACCACATTGGCCTCAGGAACCCATCTCAAAACGTGTCCAAGCGGCAAAAGGTGGCAGCGAATAAGCATACCCAACCCAAGGCGTCGACTGGTTGGGGGACGCTCCAAGGACCCATTGCAACTTCTGCTCCTACACCCCGGCGGTGGGACGCACCGTCCAAACCTCAACAGAGGCTACGAGGTAGAAAGGCCAAAGCTGCACAAGCAGCCCCAAGCGCGCCACTGACGGCCGCCAACGCTGTACCGGTTGTGCCGAAGAAGCCATTGACAGCCGCGGAAGAGGTCACGAAGGAGCTGCTTCTGGTCAAGACAAGGCTGAAAGAGGCTACAACGAACATCAACAACTGCCAAGCAACCATGAAGGCGCTCTTCGATCGTCACTACGCGGTATTTGACAATGATGAGACCATGATGGCGCTTCAAAAGCTCAGTGGCCATATGAACAAGGTGTATGATGGTGGAAAGGACGGTGCCGGCGAGATTGATAAAACATTGGCATTGCTGAATATCACGCAAGGACGGTGTCAAGGATGAAGGTACTTATGGGAACTGAGCGCACGCTACCCTGCGGAGAACGAGGTGCGAGAGGGAAGCCTTGTGGATGGCTTTACATGTCACTGTGTAACGTTCAATGTCGGCATAGGCTTAGGGAATATGTGCCTGCTGCGAATGCTAGCTCTACAGATACCCGGCACGATGAGCTCGAAGATTATTGTAGCCAAGCCCGAAAGAAATGCCGAGCGTGGAGACGCGTCCACGTGCGTCCTGCTACGGAGTACTTCGTACAACCTTCTCCTTCCCTGTAGCTCCGTAGAACCTGACTCCCTAGGTAGGTAGCTTTGGTGGTCCTTCACCATCTCTTCCACAGCTGCAAGAGGTAATTGAGAACTGCTGTGCCAACACTGGCTATGGCCCTTGTCACGAGCAACGCCAGGCGCAAGTACTGTCGGAGAAGAACGGGTACCTGCTGCAATCCCTCTCGAAAGCGACGCTGGATTGGGAACTGGGCTTGCAAGACATCATGTTGCGTATGAGCATGGCCGTTCACCATAAGTCGCCGGGTTCTGCGCGGTTAGACTCCCGCAGTCTTTCACCTTCTACTAGAGATGTACTTTGGGATGTCAGATTGGAAGCACCATGTGGCAACGGGTGATGTATGAACAGCTGAAAGAGCCGCGAGATCAAACATGATTTGGTGCGTTGCGATGATTATGTGTCACGTTCGTCACGGCAAGATGCCGAAGAACAGAATCTTTGATTCTGCCGCACCAGGTAAACAAGGTCCATCTTCACTTGTTCTTCATGCCACAGTCCGCACAATATTTTTCAGCGCGCAAAGGATCCTCATCTCGCACTCCTGTCCCACATCGCCCCCGGCGACAACAATCTACAGCGACGCGAACCATTGCGAACGAGGTCACCTACCATCTTCATAGGCCGTCTGCGACGGCGGCACCGCGTCCTTGTGATTGCCGTGCCCGCCGTGCCTGCTGGCGCTTCCTCCACCGACATGGCTCCTCAACAGAGCAATGACGCCCCAGACAATACCGCACTCGCCATCTCCCCTGCGCTCATTGTCGGCATCGTCATTATTGCCGCGTTCTTCTGTACTCTGATCTTTGCCAGCCTGTACCGCTTTTGCGGTCGCCGCAGCAGCAACGGCTTGACATCGGAGGCATTTGCAGCGCGCGACACGGACACGGTCGTCGGAATCAATGCCGGTGGCGCGTTCTGGAACCCCAATCGACAGAGATCGGCTGCTCAAATGGCACGCATGAAGGAGGTGAGGTGGATCAACAACATGTACGCGTGGGAACGAGGGCGGCACGCGCGACTAGAGACTGGGGAGATCAGGCCCACCACCATGGTCATGGGCAGAAAGGGAGAAAACAGAAGCTGGGATGAGTATACCGTGGCGGAAGACAGCTCGGGGCGAGAAGTGAGTGGCACGCGCGTCCGAGTGGCAGTCTACTGATCACAGAGCCAGGGCTCAGGACACGCGTCAGGAGATCATGCCGGCCCATATTTCTACAACGCAGAAAATCCGTACGGAAGACTTGCATCCCAGCAGCGGCTGAGCCACCTCGCTCCTTCCACGAACGGCGTTAGAGCTTCGTATCTGTCTACCGGTAACGCCAGTGGACTGCTCCCACGACATCCCTCTGCGCTCCTCCCGCCTCCGATCAATGAGCAGCCAGGAACGGTACTTCGAAGAAGCCCGCTCAGACACGAATATCAAGCTGAAGCCGCAGCCCAAGATGCCAGTGGGTACCAAGAGGCGGCGTCCGCGCCTGGTCTATGCATGGTTGGCCAAGAAGCACAAGAACTGCCTACACAGCCGCGAACCCCTAATCCCATAATCACTGTGAATGATCGGAAACAAAATTTCCCTCGACTGTACTGCCCGGATTACGCCGAAGACACCAACTTCGAAACGATATCCCTGCGCGACGAGAGCCCGAGCGGCGGTCAAGGTGGCCGAGGCAGTGGCAGTGTCGATCCCGCGCAGCCGCCGTCCAACTTTTCCCGACCCCGAGAAGGCCACAACGTGACACCCACGCAGCGTCCAAGTGTCGTCGTCACCGACGGAGGATCGCTCCCAAAACTTCAACTACAATTCACGCCACTCCCACAGTCTCACTCCCATCAGACGGTCTCGAGCATCTATGACGACGATGAGGCTGTGGATGTGAATAATTCAAGTCCGCATGCAGGGAATGGCCGTCCTGGCATCCGGAATCATGCAGAAGAAGAGAGAGAGCCGCTCAAGGAAGCGCAAAGTCCCGAGGAGGAAGCGGGTGGAAGTGTCGCCAAGGACAATGTCAAGGACATGATCCAGGAATGGGAGCGGGTCAATGGACACTTTGGCCGAGGGTGAGGCAGCACGGACTGATGATAGGCGACGATATGTGCTATGAGTGCCATGAGTGCTATGCCTTCCCAGGATGATGCGAATGATGCGGTCGGTCCACACGACATCACGTCCACGAACAAATGGACCACGAAAATTGGGCAACAGAACCTCGGGTTGGAAATCCGCGCCTTGGGCTAATTACTGCGGTTTCTGCACTCGAAGTCCTATTATGTATTCAAGACCCAGGCATTCGAGAAATCGAAGTAGAGTGCTGAAGTAGGAATCAGAAAACTTCCCGTGTACACATGGTCGTGGTCCGAGCTCAGTGTGCTGAAGACAAAAGTGAATATCCGTGCACACATACATGATCCGAGCCTGCTGCATCAAACAAACAGGCCCTTCGAGCTCTGTGGTTGAACTCAAGACAGCAGATGTGGGAGTCTGCCAGTCTGAGAATAGTACCTAAGTAGGTAGTTTACGCACAGACGCAGCGCAGTGGCTCCCTAATGACGCGTGCGGATGGGTGGGATCAGGATAGGGCTGTACAATATGTACTATGTACACGGACGGAGTGGGAGCCTCTCTGTGGACCTCTGGAAGCCGCGCATTGCTGAAGGCTTTTACTGTGGTACAGTACGTTCCGAGTCACTAGCCGTGACCATGAGAACTTTACACCCTTCGGTGCGCCATTCTGGCTTTTCCACACACCTTGGTTCGAACGTCCTTGCGCTCTCGCACCGGCAGGTTTGCACTGCCACTTCGAACGCCCACGCCGACACCGACACCGACCCCCACGCGCAATTCCAGTCGATTCCACTGCATCAGAACTCGTTCGGCGTCTCGTTGTCCGTGCCCAGGGGAGGCAGGCGATGTTTCGCTGGTTTCGCAACCTCTAATTATGACGGTCGGGGTTCTAGAAAAGGCAAACATTCACTGGCCGCGGCAGACCCTCATTCATATTCCATTCCATTCCACTTCGTCGAACGATGTACGGCGTCCCGGGTATGTGCCGCGTCCTCTCGAGAGTGGACTTTTCGCCAGCCCGTAATTACCTCGAGGAGATCGATGTGGCCGAGTTTGAAGTTTCTTCCATCTGGGGGCTCAGGTGCTTGCGCTTGCGCTCGCGGTTGCAACTGCACTGCCATGCCACTCCGACTCCCAGGTGGCAATTCCACTTCACTTTGATCAGCCATGTTCGACGTTCCGGTGGTCTGCCGTGTCTCATTTTGATCGTGAATGGTAAAGTTCAAGGGATGATTATGTTGCAGGAAAAAACCGCAAAAGGAAAAGTCGACCAACTTGGTCACGAATGGGGAGGACTTCGGCTAGTCGGTCACGAATGGGAAAACTCGAGTTCTGGTCAGTGCGGGCAACAGACAGGCAAAGTGGTCGGCCACGAATGGAAAACTCGAGTTCTGGTCATTGCGGGCAACAGGCAAAATGGTCGGCCACAGGCGCTGCACAAAGTATGCGCGTGTGTATCTGGGTATGGGATGTGTATATAAGGATGTGCCCGTCCGCTGTAGGGTCTTCTCAGCCTTCAACTTGCACTTCGTCTTCACGTTTCGGGTCTCCTTCACAACTGTTCTCGAAAGCTGGTAATCCTTTGATATATCTCCGACCTTCTGCCACCATACACTGCACGACTTACCCTGCCGCCTACGTCACAAAGTCTCTGGTCATCCCATACGCACGCCACTTACAGCCGTGTCTCTCACCTTGAAGACGAGGGACTCGCATCACATCACATCCCATTCCATTCTCGCTAGGCCTTCCCCCCACAACGAACTACCATCACATCAAGATGGACGCCATCATCGTCGCAATCCTCGCTTTCCTCCTCGGCAAGTCCGTCACCACCGCCACCCCGCTGGACAGCTTCCCTCCCGCATCGTCCAATGGTGGGCCCGTTGCGCGCGTGGTCGTCCCTTCGGTATCTGGTGGAGGCGACGGGGGTGGGCTTGGGCTCCGGCCTGGCGGCCCTGCGCGTATCCCTTTCGTGACGCTGGCGGCACCCGCCGTGGGGAGCAGTGGGGATGTTGTTAGTGCTCTTCCTAAGGAGCCTACTGGTGTTGTCTGTATCGCTGACGGGGCGGTGCCAACTGCTGTTGATGCGGTGATTGCGCATGTCTAGGTCAAGAATGGCAGCGGTGGCTGTTGGGTGGTGTAATGATCGAAGGCGAGATGAGGAGAGGAAGGTGGACGTCTTTGATATTACAGTTTTGGTTGGTGTCGGTCTTGTTGTGGGAGCCGATGTCGCTGGTATTATGATCTCAAAAGCACGGGAAGAGGTGAACGCGATGTTATGGCGTTGCAGGTTTGATCGGGCGCTTCCAAGTGAGAGCGGTGAAAATGTTGGTGTGGTGGTGGTGAGTGGGTGGCTGGGTGGATCATGTCACTCGTCGAATCTTCAGGGGCTTCACAGCCTTGCCATGTCGACTCCCGGGTCAAAAGCGGCGGATGTGATGAACCCGGCCACTAAGGAAGACAGAGAGCTTGCAAAGGCGCCCTCATGGTAAGAACACGCAAACATACCTGCCGGTGCAGAGCAGAAATGGAGAATATCCTTTGCTATACTGTGCTGAAAAGTGTATATGAGCCGGACACTACCCTAGAAACGACTTCCTTACTCATGCGTGCGTGCGGCGGGGTTTGCATTATCACATAGCCGATGGATCGCTGATGTAAGCGGATGCGGATCCGTTGGAAAGACTGGGTGGTATGTAACATCCCGCTGCATATCATAGTCATAGCATCGAGGTGCTGGAAGGCCGCCGCAGTGTTGATTCGTGGTTGGGTCAGCGGACATAGCAATAGCGGATATGCGGGCAACAAGGCTGTTGCAGGAACTTCTGCAAATCATAAATGTCGTGGTCAGAAGAATGTCAGTGTCGCTGCAAGTCAGGGGAAACACCGCTGACAGCTTAGTGAAGTCAAGCGGTGTGTAAAGTAATGGTCGGTCTTGATGATGATGGGCACTGGTGCTGGAGAAAGATGACAAGGTACAGCAATCCTAGATTGAGAGGTGTCACAGAATTTGCTAAGTGCAGGAGCCATACAGGAGCGACGAGAGCGGCCTGTTGCTGGAGAGCCGCATGCGGAAGTCCTGATGCTGGTGCTGAGGCTGTTGGGACGATGGGACTTGCCTCCCTGCGGATTCATGGATGGGAGCTGCTTCACTGCTTCTTTGGCGTGCAGTTTCGGTGCTGTGGACTAGAAGGAAATTGGCATTGTAGCTATTATACTCGTTGGAGGAAGCTTGGCCATGAACCAGAGCAGCAGCAATGTCGGAGAGATGAAGAAAGCACCAGTCTCAGTTGTAGTGACCGGCGGAAGGGTCCTCTGCGTCAGACACTACCCAGGTAGCAGCTTCCGCAATGGACCCGTGTTCCGGAATGTCCGAACACGAGAACTGAGGACCGTGCATTCAGTATGCCTGGACGTGCCTGATCCTGAGAACCCTGCCTGCTCTGCTATACCCTAGGCATGCGAGCAGCAGGCACAAGAGGTGAGGAACGAGCGAGAATGAAGAGTATCAAGAGATTGTTCTTTGAAATCGCGGTTGTTACAACGCTGGCCGAGTCTCACACGCAGGCAATTATCGTGTGAGACTAGCGATTGGTGAGAGGCGAAGGGTACTCAGCAGTATAGTTCCCGTGATTTGCGTTGGAACAAAGGCGATGCATAGATTCGTTCGACCGTTGCTGGAGAGGCAGATGGGAGCGTGATGTGGTCATGTGTTATCGTTGGCGGCGTTCGTGGTACGGGAAGATATAATACTTGCGGCATACACCCATGACCAAGGCTTCGGTCATAGTACCATTTCTGCACCGCCAGCATGGATGACGGCTTTACCAACCTTGATATCTTCCGCAATACCTTTCCTGGATTTCTGAGCAGTACTTGGTACTTCTGCCCCGTAGGAGGCCGCTGTGGAAGACTTTGGCAGCGCATTCGTGAGCAAGCGGCAAGACCTTGGACAACTTCTGGCGTTGCGGTGATTGGCCACAGCTTGACTCGTAGAAATGTGGCAGACTGGGCTCTGGAACAGGGTAAGGAATCTCAAGAGTCTGCGGCCACATCCTGTCGTACTGTACCTCTACCTCATGGCTTGCTGTACACACTTTAGTTTGGAGTGCGCTCTGGACCTCAGCACATGGGGTCGCGCGTATTGTAGTTTCCGATACCTCGGAGTTCCCGCTACAGGGTGAGAGTCCGCGGCATGTTCTTCGCCTCGGACGTAGCACCAACGTCTTGAGTAGAGCGACGGAGTTGATGCGGGTGTGATTCGAGGTTACCGTGCCAGCCAGCAGCCGAGATCCAGCCAAGTGGACTGGCAAACGGGCCGGGTGGTCCAGACTCTGATGCTGTCGTCAGCCCGAGAAGCGTTCTGGGTGATGGAGCAATCCAAGGACGGCAAAGAGGACATCGACTTCAGAGCAGAAACCTCATCATTCGAGTTGCCGCTGGCGCAGCACTGCATGAGGTCGTTGGCTGGTTTCTGGCCGGCAACTGTGCCACTGACGATAAGGCTGCATCTTCCGCTGTCAGGCCGTGTTGGTGATGCAACATAACCACCATTGTCATAGATCTCGCAAGACATATCTGCTGGGAGTTCTCGGTGTGGCGTTTGTGATCTCCGTGGGAGTAGTATAATGGTTGATTCAGGGCAACAGCCCTATCAGGGCGGCCACACCTCGCCTAAAGGTTGGGGAGATGATACCTTGGGCCTGGAGACCCTTCCATTTCGCTTCCGTTATCCTGGCTGAGCGAGTTTCCAAGGGCCCCTGGAGGTCCGTTCGTTGCGCTAGCTGAGAAGGAAAATGGGTGATTTACGTACATCTCCCTGATGTGGTAGGATCTGTACAGTCGACACATGTTTGTCGTCAGATCCCAGTAACACGTGCGTCTGATCGACAGCGCCTGTCAAGGTAGGGCGTAAGCGAAAAGGAGGGTGCAGAACATTGCTCCCAGCAGGCAGGTCCCATTGCCATCCCCTTCTGGAGTGGTATCTTGCCCCAGGACTGTTCATGCCCGACGGTTCAGCATGAAGGTATTCCCGTAACTACTAGTACGTGTCAAGAAAAGGAACCAGAATGGGTAGTCTTGGGTCGACACGCTGGTGCGAAGGTTGAGCATAATGTCCACACGACCACGCAACAAAGGTCGGTGCGAGAAGCGGCCGAGATCGGTTTCGTCCATTGCCCCTACTCAATCACCCGTATTCGATTTCGGCGACCGCAGACTTACCGGGCGAATGTCCCGATTGAGACCCTTCGACAGCCACAAGTCTTGGAACAGAAGAACTGCATCATCTGGCTGTAAGCGGGAGGCGCGGAAAAGAAGAACTCCGGAAGCTTCCTCAAGGGGGAGGGTCGAATTGCTGCAGGGCAATTGCGATTGACTTTGGTGGCTTTCTCCTCCGAACTTCACCGCATCTTTTGCTGTACCGAGCAATCTGGGAGAACAGTACGGGGAACTCCGTACTAGGTAGCCACGTACACGGTAGACAAAAATGGTACTTCGATGCAGGCAGGGGTCGAGCATATTTCAGTGTGTCGGCTATGAATACTGGCCTTGTGTGGTGCGCCGCCTTCCTCATCAGACACAATGCTGGGTAAACCGCTTACTTTAATTGCCGCACGGTCGTCCTAAGTAATGTAGCACGAGCGCTGCAGAGTACTTGCTTCGGATAGTCGACACAGCTTCGGTTAGAGATTATGGCTAGGATCGACGGAGCATAGGGAAGAAACGTGGCTAACAGCTCATCGTGAAGTCGTGTCAGTTTCAGGACTAGGCCGTGCCACCGCTTTCCCCGAATGGTCACTGCTGCCTCGAATCCTTTACTTCATTGACTCAAACAGGACGATCGTTTTGTCCATTTCGGACGCACATGTGTTCGAATTGAGGTGATGGTGAGGCTGCGGATCAGCCCTCGCTTAGAAGCATCGCGTGTTGCCAGTTCCCTGCAACTCGTGCTTGGATCGTCCACAAGAGCCACGGGGTGAGGTTGCACCAAGGTGGACGATGATCGGACGCGGCGTTTGTGTGACTGTGCTTGGGTGCCGTTGCTCTGCTCAGGCGGTTTCGACTGAAAGAAAAATAAAAATCGAGTGGCGACTGGGCCCGCAAGCCGCCCGCCAGCTACGTCAACTGCTCCATGCCGGACTTTTGACGTGCAGATCGCCTGCACCATGACTCCAAATGCGGTCATCTGGCCAAGGGCCGTCGCTTTAAAAAAGATGGCCGGTCTGACGATCCCTTGCATGTTGAGACGAGCAGCTCCAGCGAGGCTAGGCGCAGGGGAGATGCCCTGTCTGTCAGAGAGACCGAGGCTGACTGTCAACTGGACTTGGAAGTCCCGGTTGGAGACACTCCCGGCGGCTCGCCTAAAGAAATGCGCCGCCAACAACAAGCGTCTTTTCGACTGAACGCAAACATTCCTAGCACACAGTAGCGACGAAGGCGGCGTGCTCCAGGAGTAAGCTCCCGACCAGTAAGATAGTCGGGTGAGCTCGAGCTCCGAGCAGCACTTTTGCTTCAGATACTCTATACCCTCCATGCGTTACACTTCAGCGCTCAAGAAATTCGAGCTTCGAGCTCGTCTTAGAATAATACTCAGTAAGAGTTTCGGTTGTCAAGGGTAGCTGTCCGGGCAATCGGGGCAGGTGAAGTCTCTGCTGCGATCTCAGGGCAGGCATTTCACGCGACTCCGTGCACAGAAGTACGAGTAAGATCCCGTGGGGTGGCTGTTTTGGCATCGGCTACCTGTGTCGATGACGTTGTTCCTCCGTCACCTAGGTGTTCCGTAACATTGCCATTTTAGAGAAAGCATCTAAGAGTCCGGACCGAGTGAAGTCTTCATTCACTACGTACTCCGTAGAGTCACCCAAACTGGTCAAGACCTCGAGTCCGTGACATTCATGCTGGCCAAGTACGAGGCAACGTTACAGCGGTTTTGCACTGGCTGTTTCCAGGTGACGTTTTGCGCTATCCCCAAGCACCATTGTGGCGTCATTCGACTTGCTTAAAGACCGTGCACCTACTCCGTACCGTGTCGGCAAACCCGTATGTTCAGCGTGGGTTCAAGGCCGACAAGCATGCCTGTGGATCGCTGATCGGGGATTCGAAGGCACCTGCATTTGATGCCCAGTGCGCCTTCGGCACCAGTGTTTCGCGCCTGAAGAAATTCCAACGTCCTCTCATTTTGCACCGTTGGAGCTTCGAGGCGAGAAAACATGCCCCCTACCTGGGCCTAATACTTAGTCATTTTGCGCGAGGTTGAGCTCAGGCGAGGAGGGCCAATACCGGTCGCAAGGGGGTAGGTCTTGTTCGGGAGTCAGTAATCTGGGCAAGCACGCGGTATTGTAGCTTGAGGAACGCCATGGAAGTACCCTGTCTTAACGGCAGGAAGTCAGCACGGCTACCTCAAAAGCTGAAAGACACGGGAGATCAAGTGGCAGTCTGATGACTGGAAATCGATCATAAGCTCTTTCTGCGCATTCCACATCCCATAGGAAGCTTGGTAGGGGCTGGAAATTGCACCGGCAAAATGACTGAAGACGTCAAACTAGACTCTCTAGGAAGAGCAAAGATCGACGGGTCGATTGCGTAGAGCGCCACGAGGGCGCATGGCGTCCAGGGTTGTCGTGAACAAGTTCGTGGAGGCCATGCGAGAGCCACGTTTGCGGGCGGCAAATAACGTGGTTCTGGGCAGCGATCCCAGGTGAGTGGGCTGCATTGACGCTTGAACTCGTGGCGATGACGGGCACTCACGGCGCTCTTGCGTAGGCTTAACTTACTTCTTGCCTCGGGGCTTCACTTAGGCATGCTAAATGTGAGCATCGCCCTTTGTTGGCTAAGATGGGCACAATGATAGGCACGACGGCGTCTGTAGCGCTGTCGCCTGACACGCCGGCGGCTGGGTATCGTAACGCCCCGACGTGGTCGGCTACGCTAGCCACTGGCTGAGCAGCCGGCCACCAGCCTCAAAAGGCCAAACTGGCTCGTGGCGGACCACGAGTATTATTGACGATTGCTGTGATAAACAGTGCCACGAGATAAGACGCAATAACTGGCGATCAATTGCCCATCCTCGCGTGGGAGGTGCGCCGGTCACAGCCAGACTGTGCAGAGGCCAAAAGAACGCTCTGGAATATAGAAATGGTTCTCTCGCCTGCTGACCGGAATTGTGAATGCGACTTTCCTTGTCTCGAAGCGGCAGTCAGGTGCGGGTGAAGCTCCGAAAAGACTCGATTCTAATTTCACGATACTGGAATGGCGTGAGCGTGCCGTGAGCCGAGGAACATCTCGCGATCGGGAAACCGTAGAAAGCTTCTCGAAGCAGGGAACCGATCTAGAGACGGGATCGATCTGGGATGAAGCAAGAAAGACGGGACACAGCATGACTATGGTGGCGGCTCGGATGGCGGGCGGAAGCATGTTTACCAGTCGAAGACGATGCGGTTGAGGCAGTCCTTCGTCAGAGGGTGAGCTCACCGTGAATTGACAGTGACAGTGAAGTGAACAGCCGCGCCGCGCAGAACAGCCTCAATTCAAAGCGACAAGCTCAACGGCCTGATCCATGCTCTGAATTTCCCTGCTTTCTGCTCCACGCCGAGTTCGTGCGGTAGCCCAAGCCTTGAACAGCTGCCATGGCTGTTATTCCATGGCTCCCCCTGCACTTGTCTCCGTCCGCCTTACCCAACTCGGGAGGGGGCCTCTTCTCGCCTCGTAACTTTCTGCTGGACCCTTTTTCATCATTGTCCTAGCCTAGTTTTGCCCAAGCAGGGCCGTTTTCGATTCAGGAAAGTGACAACGTCGTCTCAGTCTGTGCTGAGCCACATTGTCCCTAGCTTGCCCGCTTGAAGCACCATGAAGCAATCGAGCAGGCCCAGCTAGGCTCTCATGCTCAAAGTCAGAATTGTTGGCTCGTTACAGGGCGACTAGGCGGTTTAGTCGCTGGCCCAGCAGCCATGCCACCAACGAGCTCTTGTCAGTGGCCTCGCATCCTTGTAGTGTTCCCCCTCTCCTACGCTTCTTTTCGTGCCTTCTCTGACGGGCAGGCGCTCTTCCCAGCATCTCACACCCTCCAGTGTGTTGTCGGCTCCTCGACCTGGATCGGAGCCCGCCTCTTCCTACCCAATCCTCCCACTATTCCAGTCTACAAATCCTAGACGACGGCTCCGGGCTCGCATCCACAAGCTGAGTGGAGATCACCCCGGCTCGTTTCTAGGAATTCGTCGAGTCCAGTCCACCCCTCCGCACCTGCTCGTAACCACACGCCGCTCGCACATGGAACCCACAATACGTATCGTAGCTCCAAACAGCCGCCTCTTCTCACTCTTGTCGTATGAGTTTCCGTCCTGTCCAGCCAGCGGACCCCTACTTGAGACCAACTTCACCTTCTTGGTCGCTTAACCTCAACAATTTTCCGAACCACTCGGTCTTTCGTTCTTTCGACCGTTTTCAGGTACACGGTCCCTGAGAGATTCCCGCTCCCTCTATAGTTCCAGTCGACACCAGGACCCTACTTTCTGAAAAATATCCGGCTTGAACCGTCGAGTCCAGCACAGGCCTAGCCCAAAGCCGTCAAGAAGGTGGTGACATCTCTCGCGATTGGCCTCGTATCTCGCAAGCGAGTTTCTCCAGCCCACAGGGCTCATCTCATACTGGAGATCTCTGAAAAGCCACATTTTCGACCCTGGTAGATGCCGGGTCCGTGTATTGCCTCAATTCATAACTACTTGGCTGTCCCCATCGTGCCACTTCTGGTTCAACTCCGGTTCAGAATTGTTAACCATTCTTGAAGCTTGGACCGGACGTCATTCACAGATACTGTGGCCAACGTCGAACTCCCCATGATATACACAGGCTCAACCCTGGTCTGGACCAAATAAAGCACGAGCACTGGCCTGGTTTCACCTTCTGCATGTCCGACAACATACCACCCCGTTGCTCGAACGAACCATACGACAACCGCCTCAATGTTATTAGCATTGGACCCCCCTAACCATATCAGCAAGGACATCAAGCCGCCTCATGACTATCATTTCTATCACAAACCGACACCTTCACGATATTCCCCGCCAGAGTCGCCTCGCAATCTTCCCTCATTCTTTGAGGAGTCGAGGATGAACAACTCTCACCGAGGGTTGCCGCCATTGCCCGCTGGTCTTCCTGGTAGTCTCAACCTTCCTCATCCAGAACGAGGACACGCGACCGCTCCCCCTCCACTCGGCCATCTACCGGCCCCTCCTTCCCAGTGGGCGGGTCAGGATGAGTCGATGCGGAGTTGGCTGCACGCAAAGGCGGAAGAGGATCGTCGAAAGCAAGAGGAGGAGAAGACCCGGCAGGAGGGTCTTCGGCTGGACCAGCGACGCATCGAGCAGGATATGCTGAGAGAATCTCTGCAAGGAGGGATTCCCCCTCCGATGGTACCTCTGATCTTCGCGGGTATTGGAGGAGGGAACCTCCCTGGGCATACACTGGAATGGGCCCAGCAATATCTGGCAAGCTTGTCGATCCAGAACCAGCAGCAACAGCAACAGATTCAAGCGCAACAGCAGCTACACCAGCAACAAATCCAGCAGCAACAGCAGCAGACGTCCCCAGATACGCACCGGGACAGCCGGATGATCCCTGCGAATCCATACGGAGTGCATCAGTCGCTACAACCACCTCAATCAGCCCAACCTTCTGCTGCGGCGCCATCGAACCAAGGAAGAGGGTCTATATCAGGTGCCACAGGTGCTTCTGCTCCGCTCTCACGGCTGAATACGACAGAGTTCATTCCCAGCTCGGCCACAAGTCAGACAAGTCGACAGCAACTACCTCCATTACAGCAGGCGCAGACTGCGTCCTCTGAGCAATCCTCTGGCCCCGGTCTATTCTTCCATCACTGGACCCCACCGAACCCTACCACCGCTTCCGCAGGAAACCAGCCTCCGACTCCGTCCGGCAAGAGCGCGCATGGCTCGCCCTTTTCGCAGCACGCAGGGTCGCATCTCAGAGCAGACTACCAGAACTCCCCAAAGAAACGCAAAGCATTGGGCGGGCACGGCGTCCCCATACCACCTACATCTCAACCCTCTGACCCGGCCCAGCCGATGTCGTCCCGCTCGTCTCGGGAGAGAGAAATGAGCCCGAGCCATCGTCACAGAGCAACGCGGCATTCGCGGCAGAACAGCGATGCGTCGTCCCGCGAACAAGAGGTGGGCGGTCGGAACGTTGCCCGGCCGAGCAGTCGCCAACGACGGAATGAGCTCAGCGGTGGAGCGGGGCCTGACCCAAGAAGGCAGTTCACGGGGTCGTCGACGAGTGGATCGAGCGAAGACAATCCACTTCGGTATGAGGGGTCACATGCTGAAACGCGGTAGGAGGGGCTAGCCGGCTGGCTCGGAAATGAAGTACGCACAAGCACGGTTCAATCTGTGCCGGGGCGTGACATGGCATGCGGAGTGGGCAGTAATTCTCTTGAACGTGTCTGACGTTTGCGAGGCCCACGATTGACTGCGCGCCAGTCCCAAGTCTTTGCCGGCAGAGACATGTCATACTAATGCGGGTTCGAGGATGTATACCGCCATAACATCCATCGCCAGCGGCCGAATAGGACCAAACCGCATCTGCACCGTCTATTATCTTCCCCACAGTACGATGACCCGGATGACAACCTAATATCGCCCAGAGTGTTTTAGATATTCTATCTGGCATCAGCGGGAAATTTGGCAAGGCATCCGGAGCTGATTCGCGAGGTTGAATATCTTAAGCCGTGATGGCCATGTGGCAACCGTGGCGACGGATGGCATAGGGTTTCAGCCCCATGATCGGGGATCGGCCGAGGGATTAGCGATTCCCATGCAACCATGCGGCTGGCACAAGCGAGAGCAGGCGACATGGATGGAAATCGAGTCAAGGGGGGCGATGCATCCTTTCGGAAGTTGCACCGGTGACGACAAGGCGTGCTATGATGCTTGCAAGGCGAGCATGATACGGACCGGGCAGCCTTGAAACCTCCTAGATGTGACGCATGGACCATGCCGTGTGCCCGTGGAAATTTGGGTCCAGCCACATGGAGAAATCAGGCGTACGGACATCTACCACACGACGGATGCAGCGAGTTGAAACACGCCATGACCACGAATGCGACCACGTTAGATCGAAAGCAGTAATCCCCCGGAGGAACAGGCGTGAGCAATTTGGCGAGTCCGTGCTCTGAGCCTACGCCGGTTGTGGTGGTTGCGCATCGGCCCGCGTTGATTGTCTGCAGGATGCTAGAGAGGAGACAGTACGTAGTTAGGAGACTTGTTTACTGCTTGCCGAGTGGGGTAACATGTTTGAACAAGACAGAGACAAACATCGGCCACCGCATACCTCTCATTCCGATGACCATCTCGACGGACGGCGTGTGGAGTAGGTGGCCCCATCCACGAAACGCAGCCATGAGCACAGTCCGAACAGTGCAGTGTGAGAAAATTGTGAAAGGGCTGAACGATGAAGGTGTGGCAACGCTGCATTCCGTGTGAAACTTGCTCAACGCGCGTTTCAGGTTCGCCGCTACACGAAAGCCCGCAATCAATGCAAAATCAGCGATTCGCCAGTCCATTAGGCTTGTACTTTTGGTGCGTCGTGGCTGCCCATCGTCAAGTTCGGATCCCGGTAAGTGGCTCGTGACCTAGTACGTTTCAGGTGGTGCTGGTGCTGGTGGCCAATCACAATTTGGTGGGGTGATTCTTCCGGTACCTCGGTCTGCAAACAATACTCGTACACAGCAATCAGTCCTCAGCGCCGTGTCACCATTGCCTCTTTCAAGGCGAACTCAGAGTGCTTCCTCGTACCGACCTCTTCCACGAAATGCTTACCTCCTTGCTCGCATCGCCCATGTCAGTCTCTTCACCTCGGCTCGACCAGCTTTTCCTTTGGTTCCGCCACGGTCGAACTCTCTCGGCCAGTCGGCGAGCCCGAGCTGAAACGCCCAATGAGAATGCGCCATCTGCCAGCTGAATCCTTCGCCACACAACAACCTTTGCTTTTCTCCTATACGAGGTAGAGGGGAGTTAAGAAAGGTCTGCATCGACTTTGGATTGGGGAGGCGTGACGCAAAGCATGCATGACCTGTTCCAGACAACCATGGCCGAGTCAGGATGTTGTGTGGCTGAAGTCCTTCTGACAACCAAGCTCAGTAGCTAGGAGAGCTACTGTAGGACCTCATCCCTAGCCAGCTGATTCGTGGCAGCGCACAGTACGACCTGACCATCGACATCAAGGTAACGCACTCTTGACTTTGTTACTCATCGGGCTATGGAACGGGGCCATTGATCAACGTCCTTTGTCTCGTTCCGAATGCTGCGTTTATCTGCAACGCGGAACCGGCCACGACAAACCCTGACCACACAAATGAGGAAGGCGAACCATGTCGAATGGCACCCCAGCTTGCCACTTTGTGCTGCTCAGCTGAAGTCCCTATGTTGCAATTATGACTAATGACCATCGAATGCAAATTGAAACACAATTCCGGTTTTCGTGGAGTCGCATTCACGTCGGTTCAGCAATGTCAGGAAGAGGGGTCCGTTTTGCTGGCCATATGCCGATCGCCATTATTGTGCCGGTCTTCCTGCTCAGAGTCAAAAGCTAATGCGTTCAGGCGAACCAACCTCCGCAAACGCGAAGGACCCCAGGAGCAAATGCGGATGCTGCTTTCGCTGTTTTCTCCACACAGTCTGTGCCAAGCCTTCTCGGTGACTGGCTGTTGTGTCAGTCTCTCATCAATCCCAGGTCGGAGCAAACTTGTGATGCCAAAATCTCAAATCGGTAGTTCGCTTAGTTGATTTCTCCCGCCTGTCCATATTGTACCCACATGCGGCCTCTCTGGGGATGCCCGTCCAACGCCATTCTGGGTAGGAGCTTGGGTGCCGTCGCCCATGGAGCCCACACGTTCCCTGGTTCCCAGTGGGCGGCTTCCCGCCTCTGGGTTGCCAGAGGCGTTTCCATCTTCTTCTCGAGTGGCGACAAAGACGGCCGCAATCATTGCAGATGGTGCACTATTGGCTGGGCCCCCACCGTGAGGACTCTCAGGAGGGTGCAAGTTCAACAACGCCAACACCATCTGTTGTCAAATTGCAGCCAATCACAATTTCTAATACGTCTCGGCGAATGAAAGACCATGGCAGACGGGGATACCGGGGCGCATCTTCCAGAAGAACGCTATGGAAGATCTTTCGTCGACAGGTCTTGCTAGCAGTGCCTAGTACGATGTTGCGCATGAGCTTGGCGAGCTCCCCTGCATACTAACCAGGTTGGCGGAAACGACCCATCTATGTTCACAGAACCCCACGAAAAGTGTGTACGAGTACGGCGGGATTGGGGGCCGTTCTGGCTAGCTGAACACGAGCTGAGGAGCGGCTGTTCTGACCAACCATCTCCTTGGGCGTCACGCAAGTACTAGAGACTCACCGAAGCAACGCAACGAGACGAAGTGATTGGCGCAGTGACCACCAGGCTGCCTTTCTCAGGGGCGAGAAAGTGCCTGGTTTGGTTGGGGTTACTTGACGTGATCGAGCGATGAAAGCGGAGTCTGTCTGGTCGTTCCGGTTCGACATAACTCCACCCGTGTCGGTGACTTGTTCGCAATTGCGAGAAGCGAGCTCATTCGAGATGGACCTGCCCGAAAAGAGAAACTGCTAGTGCTTGTGAAGACACCGTTGTCCCTTGATTCGATGTCGCCAACACCGCTCAGCACAGCCACAACTGCCTGTTGAGGCTGGAGGATGCCTCCTGGCATACAGACCATGACGATCATTTCTCATCTTGAGCGGTCTCCCCTTCTTTCGTCCCAGCGGGTCTGATTCTGGCAGCTGACCGCTCAACATGCCCGTTCTGAAGTTCTCTTTCTCACTCTATCTCTCTGGATTGCAAGCGCATCCATGGAGTGCGCAGATTATGAGCCTAGGACTTGGGACATGCACGGTATCCGTGTCTCTATGTGCAGAATGATTATGTTGTTCGAACACTTTCCGCCTTGTACCCGAATGTGCTGATGAATTTGCGATACCTCTGCACTACTGACTTATTCTGAGCGGTCGGCTGCACTGCGTGAGGTCTTTTGCCTCTTCTGCGTTGGAGCTCCAATGTTCACAACGTCCACAAATTGTCTCGGAGCATAACTGCTAATCTAGCTTGCGGCATCCATAACGACTATACGTGCGACTGGAATCCCACGCCCTCGGCGACTGCCACTATCGATGCGACGTCTGAGCCTCTCCCCGCAAGATCACACAAAGGTGACACAAAACCCGTCACCCTGCCTCACATGCCAGACGATTTTGCCTCTTTCAAGTACTCGGTTTTGGGGTGTACCACTCATACGAACAATGCAGACTCCCAGCCAGAACCGCATACCTGGCACTGTCGAGATGAGAAGATTGAACCACAGACCGCTTGGAACGACCACAATATAGGTCCATATCCTCCCAGTTACCAATCATAACCTTCGTGGGTGCTGGCTTTCAAGCTCTTGATCACTCTGCATACAAGAGGAGGTGCTTTTCTGTCGTCGGGGCATTCAGATTGCGCCACGGGAGCTGCGTCAATAGTTTTTATTGAGGCATAGACCGCAGCTTCGCATGTTGGAGCACCGATGCTCTGGTTTGGGAGGCCGTGGAGTCTGACGGGCGCATCCCCCGGCACTCGGTGGCTCCTGCCTGAAGTTGCTGGGTTGCGGTGCTGACAACTACAAGTACCGTCGACGTGCTCATGCGGCTCATACGGAAGGCGAGACACTCGTACATGACGAAGGACTGCATCAGGGAATCGAACTTCGGCCTTTCAGCATAATTCTACTCCGCTACCACCGCAGCTGCTGGAGAAAATGGCGTGTACCGTAGCCTCATGTCACGAATTTTGTCCTATTGGCTGCTCTAAGCGTCTCAGCCGCACGCCTCGCAGCCGCTTTTTCGGGCCATTTCAGCCAGCCACCCTCATCGCACCCGACTCGACTTCGACCTCGTGCTGAGCGGCAGCTGCACCCCCTTCATTCACTCCCATATTTACTACTTTCTACAGAGTGCACGCCGCCGGAAAACGTTATGAGTGAGGACACAAAAGCTCAGCCGCCGGCCACTGAGACCAGTGCGAATAAGGCTGAGGATGATCAACCAGAGATATCGCAAGCCACGGTAGCCGCTCCCGATTTCAATGTACTACGGTCCAATGTACGAGAGTCTACCGCGCGTCTGCAATTTCCGGAGGTTGCAGAGTGGACTACCGAAGACTTGGAGAACATCGAGTCCGTCACGGAGTCTCACAAAAACTCTAGGCTGACGCTGCTGCAGGACTGCCGAGGATCTTTCGCCAGAACAATGGAACAAGATCTTCCGCATCAACAAGGTCTTGTATGGCTTCACGATCAGGGAGTCGGAGAGCGACATTGTCAAGGCTCGGCAGCAGGGTAAGAGGAGCTTCTGTTGGGTGTTGGGTTTTGGGTGTCTGCTGAATGCTTGTCTGCTCTTAGCTTTCGTGCTGCAGCCACCACCCTCGGTGCAGGATCCAGTGCTAAATGGGCTTCCGGAGTTCGAGGTTTGTGACTCCTCTTCGATCTCAATCAAACAGATCAAGACAGACCTTCAGCGTTCTCTTGCCGAGAATGGCTTCTCTGCGAAATCGATTAGTACCGCACTGTGAGAGGTACCCGCCTCTCGAGACGCCGTTTTGCTGACCGAACGCAAGTGGAGGGGGAGCATTTGGGGTCACGGCCGGCATCTCGGCAAGCCTCAAGGCAGAAAGCACACAGACGAATGTGGTGGACAGAGATAAGGCAGAAATGGAGTACTACGCGGCTTACAATGTGTGTCTCCTTCCTCCAGTCTGGTGTCCAAGCGCTGACCACAGCAGTTTCCACGGGCAAGGTTGTTCCTTGACGAGGACAATCTGACATTGTCACCGCAGTGCCAGAGAGCTCTTGAGGACATTCGACGAGACCGTACAGATCAGCAATTGCGGAAATTCAGCGAGAAATTTGGTCAGCCCTAGCCGCTGCAGAGGTTCAATCGCACGGCTAACACCACGTTAGGCCACATTTTCGTCACAGCGTGTCAGCTGGGAGGTCAATTGCAAAGCTCCAAATTCGCCGGTTCTCTCACAGAAAGTAAAGATATTCAGAAACAGGATGCCTTGAAAAGCGAGATGGGCGTCAACTTCAACGCTCAGTACGCCTCGGGATCCATCAATTATGGCAGACAGCGTCAGTCCGGCAGTCAGGATTTTACCGGCCGTGGAGTGGATGTATCGAGCCTGGCGTGGACGGCTAGAGGCGGTAACTCGTTGCTATGTGCAAAGTCTGTCGCGTCGAACCTTTTCTAAGGGTCCTGCTGACCGCATGTAGTCCGCCCCGATGGGCGCGCAGTGTTGCAAATCCAAAGCATTGGAGAGTTATCGAGGTGAGCCGCAATCATGGTCAACCGGGGCGGTCCAAGGCTAAACCGTGTGCATCAGCAAGAGAGAGTAGTAACCCTCCATGAACTCATTGGGCGGTTCGAAGAGTGGAAGGATATTCCGAAGTTGTTCGAAGACATTGCTCAACAGAGGATCAAAGCTGGGAGCCGAGAAAAGCCGAAATGGGGCAATCAGATACGGCTTCGATTAGGCGACAAAAGACTCGCCTGGAATGCTCTTGACAACAAGTCGCTTGAGGTGACAGGACAATCGCCGGACCAGGTGTCTAGTGAACCCCTCTTCACTGTGCTTGGAGCCAATATTGGTGACCAAAGCACGGTCCCGTTCTTGCCAGCAGTAGGTGCTCGTCCGCTGGGACATCGTGACTCCGCTGATGAAACGTCCTAGCTGCCAACCGATTACCCGATCTATCTGCTCGCCGGCAATGAGCTTCACAGGAACCCTAAGCTGAATTACCAGATACAAGGTATCTTCGTGGACGAGCGTGGAAAGATCAAGCCTGAAATGGTAGAGAGCAAGGTTAGGCAGGTTACACGTTTCTCAATGCGCCTGGCCGGCCAGAAAGGCAGATGGCGCAAATACAACCAGCAACCGTTCGAGACCATCCAGTCCGGCGACAAAGTCAATCTATACTGCCACTCGGTTGGGGTGGGGCCCTATGCCAACATCGAGGATCCACCTTCAATGGCCACGCCGATTCTCTATTCTCCCACCGAGCGGAGACTGTTGCTTCCAGCTTCGCGCCAAACCCTTCTGAACAATGGCAACTTGCGTGAGCTCCTACGGCAGTATGACGAAGGGACTCTTCCAGTCACGGACCGAATGGCTTTCGAGCTGAAAGGCTACGTTACCAGTGACGACAGGATTGGAAAGATCAAGCCTGATGAGAAGGGCTTACAGGGGATCATTCAAATAGGGATGTCGTCTGACGGCCGGATGACGCGCCAGCGGTGCTGGAGGCAATTGTCGCAGCTTACTGCGGAGGGGCGTTCTGGTCTGGAGAGATTCACCATAACACCTTATCTGCCGGAAGATGTTGATTTGGCCGTCTTTACGATTATCTTTGAGTGAACGCTCAGCAATAGAGTTGGTCCTGAGGAAGGCCTGCACCAGCACAGTACATACCACGCCAACTGACAAATAAGAAGCCTTAGCAATCTGGCGATATCTCTTTACTGCTTGATCGGCAAGACTATGGCTCCGTAAAGCTGCATCTCATCCACAAGCCCATAAGATTCCGATCCCACAAGAACGCCGATTATGCATGAATGGATCCGCCCATAGTCACAGCCACATCCCCCTGTCAAGTAAGCAGCTTCTTCAAATTCACAACCGCCGCCTCCAACAACACGGGCATGTATCCTTGCTTCTTGGCATTCGCAAGCAACCCCGTCGCCATCTCCAGCGCACCCGGGAACTTTTCCTGCGCGTACTTTTGGAACCCGGCCTCGACGCCCTCGGCATCCTCAAACGCCCGCGGAATCACCTCGGAGAAGACGGTGCTCCCACCCGCGGCACCCGCGATGATGCTGAACCACTGCCTCTTCTGCTCGGGACGCATGAGATCGAGCGCCTGGGCGAACTTGGTGGTTTCGCGAGCCGCGACGAGGTGGATGAGCGCGTGCGCGGTGGCGATGTCCCGCGTCATACGGTCGCTGGCCTGCCCGCCATTATCCTGGTTGGTGGCCTCGGCGCTAGACTTGCCGGCCCCAGCCTGCTTGACCACGAGACCTTCCCTCTCGGACCCGAACCCCAGGTACGACTGCACGATGCAGCTGTCGTCGGCGGCGGCGTGGGTCTTCATGACCTCCGTGATGACGTCGCTGGCCGTGTTGAGCAAGGGTAACTCGACGTTGAGGCGGACCTCCTCGTCGCGGATGATGCCCACGTCCTTGTTGATGATCAGCGTCGCCGACGCGAGCGGCGGCGTGGCGCTCAGCATGCGCGGCCCGCGGTTCTCGAACATCCAGCTCCAGCCCACAGGCGGATTCCCGCCGGCCGTCTCTCGCGCCGTCAGCGCGTCGTAGAATTTCTGCGTGTCCAGCCCGTTGATGGCCGCGAGGCCCATGATCTCCGACGCCGCGGGGATGTGGATCCCGCACTGCACCTGGTTCAGCGCTTTGGCGGACTGCCCGGCCCCCAAGCCGCCGGGGATCGGGAACAGCGTCTTGCCCTCGGAGGCCACGTTCTCGAGCACGACCTTGGCGTTTGGGTCCTGCAGGTTGTCCACGTCGTCCGAGGACACCATGATGGTCAAGGTGCCGTTGATGGAGCGGGCCACGCCGCCCGACACGGGCGCGTCGATCAGTTTCACGTCCGGGCGGCCGAATTCCCGCGTTAACCGGTCGCGCACGCTCGAGGGCTGCGTCGGCGGGATCGTCGCGTGGATGATCACCGTCACGTCGCGCGGGAGGGCGTGTACCGCTGCGGCGCCGCCCTGCGTGTCGAACAGCGCAGAGTGCACGTGGTGGTGGTTCGCGACCATCAAACAGACCACACTGGCGTGGCGGACCGCTTCGGCCGGGGAGGTCGCGGTCGCGTACGTCGTGCCGGTACTGGTGCTCGCACTCGCAATCTCCTTGCATGTCGCGCGCCAGCGGTCCAAGGTGGGGCCGTAGATGTCGTAGCCCGTCACGGGGAAGCCGGTCCTCACGAGGTGCGTGGACATGGCGAAACCCATGGCGCCGAGGCCGATGAAGGCCACGGGCGGGTATGGTTGGGTGGTGGGTGTTGAGGATGCGATTGCCATGGTGGGTGTCGATGCGGAAGTATATTCTGGATGTCTATCCCCTCCCAATCAAATAGGTAAAACTGACCTTCTGGCTGATGAGTTGCTGTGTGGATAGCCGTGCGCCGAACAGTGTGGGAACGCAAGCCGATCGTGTTCGCTGCCGGGATGTTAAGGTGTTTTGTAGCGATCACAGTACTCAGGCTTGATATTGGGTCTCGCACTTCGTAGACAAAGCGCGACAAGTTCAACCAGTTCAATGACTGACCGACCAACAATATAGATAAGGAAGTATATCAGTCAGTGTACTCCGTAGTTGATGATGAGACCTTCAGGCCACAGAGATACAGGCACAAGGTTAGATACAAGTGTGTATATGGTGATGATTCACGAAAGGTTCGGTTAACCCTCCTCGACGTCTCATTGAGCCAGCTCTTATGAGGAACGCGTGAGGTACCCCGTAGTGTACGGGTAAATGGCTGGTGGCGATCCGGCCGGCGGTCTATATCGGCACATGGCCGGTGGGAAGTGGAAGTGGTAGTGGAAGTAATGTGGGGGATGGGACGGGGGGTTGCAACTGGGTTGGCAGAGCACCTGGCCCTACACAGTACTCGTCGCTCGTATCGGTGACAGGTACCCGGCCGCATATACGCGGGTTCCTGGCCGTGCGGAAGTCAGTACTACGAGTGCATGGTACGTTACGTACACAGTCTGGAGTTGTGAAGAAAAGAAGTTCAAAGGTGGAATGCCGACCAAGTGGCCACGGCGGAGGCCCGGTGCAAGTGCCGGCGTAGTGAAGATTTTCTGAAACTTTGTGCCCCGAGAATTGCGTGCTTGGAGTGATTCGTCCGCACAAGACAATACCCGTATGAGTAGGGTAGAGCACTCGCGCCTGAGTGGCAGTGCGACACAAGTCCGGAAAATTGACCGGAAAATCTCCGTTTTTCAGCAGCTCTCACATTTCCCCCCCAGCGAGCCGGGTGCCAAACAGGTGGCACACTTAGATCATGAGTCCATAACAAGAAAAGACCAGGAGTACTCTTCGCGGTAACTCTGAATTTTTAGTGTAAGCTAGTACGGATCAGATATATAGGCTTCTCGTACACCTTATAGACTACTGAAAGAGACCATCATTGTATAGTATCATCTCAGAAGTATCAATTCAAAATAATGGCATGGAATATATGATTATCCTCCTGATCCTGTGGTCAATCTGTCTGACCACGAAGATGTGCCAGTTTCCTGTCTGTTTCGATTCCTCACATTTAGACCCTTGGTGCTCGATCGATCGGGCTTGCAAGGGCAATGCAAAATGGCCGCCGATGCCCCTGCTGGTCGTCACCGTCGCTTGCATTGCACGAGATTGTGCAATATCCGGATTACTCTGCTCCTACCGGGTTCGGGCACGCCTTCCCACGCACCAGTTCACTGTTGGCCGCTTGACTAACCGACACTTCGTTCACTACTTCATCAAAGACCGTGTTCTATGCCGACGCGAAAATCTCCTGGCCCAAGAAGATTGTCATGTTCCTTCTAGAAATCTTGTCACCATTGTGATGCCTGCACTGTACGTCTGACCGGTAGCCGGAACCATTGCCCACGGAGGGTGAGGCTGCGTGGCTAGACATCGCAACCATCCCACCACCATTATATTGTATAGAGTCGGCACACATGGTCCGACATACATCAATGCGAGCTCCGTGCACGAACAGGTTCGTGGGCGGCGCATGACTTGACCATGCAAGGTATTTGAGTAGGCACACTCGAGGGGCCGCCCGTCCTGCTGGTCAGGGGGACGATTGGACTGATATGACAGCCTCACTAACCGGAGAGCACCTCCATAGCCCGAAAGGGCGCATAAAATCACTGCGGACGGGCGGGCGCAGGGTAGTCTATGCACAACACGAAGCGGGGCAACTGCAAGGCAAACGTATTGCCTATCACTGCTTCTGCCTCAGCCTCAGCCTCGTTCAGCGCCATGGTGGGCGAGATCAGTCGCAGGGGCTTATAAACAAGGCGGGTCCTCTTTCGTCCATCCCTATGGCTGGTGATCAGACAGCGAGACCACCGACTCTCCAATGCTCATCTCATCAACTCCATATGCTCACTGAGATTAGTGAACCCCCGTATGCCCACTTTCTTCCCCGGTGATCAGAGGGCTGTTTGCAGCAGCAAGGCGGACAAGGTATCGACAGGAAGCTCAAAGATGACCACCAAATTTCCAGCCGCAAAGACCGGCAAGAACATGAAAAGTCCTCGATCCGCGGCTCCCAGTCTCAGACAATACCGCCAGGATGACGATTTGGCTTCTCAGCCTGATACGGAGTATTCACGTCAAAGTCGCAGCCCAAGATACGCACCAGAAAATGTCAGCATGCCAAATCTACCCCAGTGGCATGACAGCAATGGCCGAGAGGGTCCTTCACATCACGAAAGACGACCTGAGCAACGCGGCACTCAGCAATATGACCGATTCACCTCCGACCCGACGCTGTCAGCACTCCCCGAGGCTAACCTGTACGAGCATATTTTGTTGCTTCGCAAGCATGGCATGTCGGTCAAGCTCGACCGCGAAGCAGCCAGAATGATGTCCCAACCAGATCTCCTCGAGTCCAACAACGCCAACAACAACTCTGTGTCACACAGTCCACTCACCGACAGATATAATCCCACGCGCAAAGAGAAACAACACATCAGCCACGCGCTCGACTTCATCTTGCGCCGTGGCGGAGAAATCGACATTCCTGCTCTCGAGCCACAGCCGATGTGCAAACAGTGCTCCGAGCCATTCGACACCGCGAGTGAGAAGCTTTACCACTGTGACAGAGCACGCAATCGGTGCAAGCACTGTGCTGAGGACTTTGCATGCCTCCTTATGCTGAAAGAGCACCTGAAGGACGACCACAAGATTTACAAGCACTTGAGTCGCGATTCTTGGTACAGTAGTGGGGGAAATCCGGTGACGTGAGAGAGACATTATCAGTTCCTTGTCTTTGAACCATGTACCGTGTAACTCTAGGTCGGTTACGGTGAAGAATTTGTTCTCTGTATCACTGTATTAAGTGGCTCGGGTATCCTCCCGACGGGTCAGTTGCCACGGAACCCGTCAACCTGGTCTTGGTCGAGTTGTCTTTGCTATCTCGGAGAGATGGCTTCATTGGTAATTAATGGCGATTACTCCGGTCGGCAATGCAAGCTTCTAGGCTGGAAGTACTTGAATCAACAGCGTGCAGTTCAGAATATTTCGTTACTGTGGTACTCGCTGTTCTCTTTCTCGAACCAGCCTGCTGTGCCAGTCCACATCCTTCGACTCGTACAGCGTGTGCCCGATCCGCAACCCCCTGCCACTCAAGCCCTTGTTGGCAGGGTCCTCTTTGGCCGACTACGTCATCCCATTACAACCATCATTTCAAGTTTCTCCCTTCGATACATCCATCATCCCTGAACAACACGACCTTCCCACTCGCTGATTTGTTGGTGCAGCCCTTCTGACGGCTTGTCCGCGTACACAGTATAAGCCACGCCCCAAGTGCTGGCCGTCCTGATGATTCAAACCTCGAGGTGACGTATCAGCCACACCTGGCTTGATCGTGTTTCGTGCCACATGCCGGTCTGCCACATGATGGCATCATGCTCTCCAGACCTACATACAGTATTTGTGAACTTGTGTGAATTCACGTTTCAAGTGATCGCTCCGTCAGGTCAAAGACCAATTCCAACATTGCCAGTCGTGGACTAAGTACCTATCCATCCTCGCTATCACTCACAGCGACTCATTACTTACTCGCTCCGCCGACTGCTACTACACCTCTCACCCAAGTCAAACCAAAATCAGATCATCACCAACCCCCATCACTTACCATAACACAATATCACCATGTCCAACCCCGGCTCCCAATCTCAACAACAACAACAAGACCAATCCCCAGGCTACTACGCCTCCACCAAACAATGGTACAACAAACAATACGAGTCCTGGATGCCATGGGTCGAAGACAAACTGCTCGGCTGGATGGGGCAGAACAAGACGAGTTACGTCGCGAAAGGTAGGCGCTCCGGTCCGCATTTGTTCCCCCCTCAAACACTTACGTCCCACGCATTACCGGGGCCCTGGCGTCCCGTCCCCACACCCGCATTTCATACTCGTCGCCCTCGCTGGCTTCGAAGATGTGCGCGCGCATGCTGACCATCACGCTTCGTGGCATACGCACACATGCTAACAACACTCGTCATGGTGGTGTCGCAGGCGAACTCGACAAGACCAAAATCACGGGCGACAAGAACGTCGACGCCATCCAGGACGGCATCAACGAGGGCGTCACGGGCCAGTTCAAGAAGGGCGGGCTCCTCGAGGGGGTGGGCGACCTGACGAGTAAAGAGGTGATTAGTCGCGGGGAGCGCAAGGGGAAGAATGATAAGGGCGGGTATGGGTTGTAGGTGCTCGCACGAGGTATGTGGGTATGTGGGTAGGTCCTATTCGAGACCAACACGATGAGAAGCGGTCTGCAAGAAAGAGGTGGCCAATGGTCATCGTTGCTGTTACAAACCAGGGCGAACAGGACCGGGGTCAGGATTATCACGAAATGACTGCTGAGCTCGACCCTTTTTATGCCGGTTCAAGTTTCGAGACTGGCGTAGCGGGGGGGAGGGGGTGTCCTGCGGTTGTCGTGCGCGCAAGGGACTGGAACCAGGACGGTGCCTTTGTCATGTTTTGGTCCCCGCCGCCATGAAATGGCATGGCTTGACTTGGGCGTGATATGCTATCATGTATTCCAACTTGTAACGATGCCAGTGTGGTTTGCGGACCTAGGTATTTGAGTTATGCGACAATATACCCCTCATTGAATAGACACATGCGTTGGATCACACAATAACATCTAGGAAATGCTGTGCGACACATCCCCACAAGCATGGCAGAAAGATGTCTTTCGTTGGGACGTGGTTCTTACGGCCACACGTCGAAGGAAGGCTCCTTGGTCAGAGATTCGCCCGTCCCACCCACGCACAAACCAACGATACATCTAATCATCTCATCACCACCTCAGACTTGTCCCCGGCTCTCCTCGTCTGCCACCATGCCATTCAACACATCATCCAGCCATTGCTGGTATTTCTCCTCCACAGCAAGATCAGCACCCGCGAGGATCAGATATTTTGCAATCTCGATGTTTCCAAAGAACAGAGCCGCCTGCAAGGCCGAGCCATACCGCCCGCTGGTGATACTGACTTCCGCACCCATTTGAACGAGGTACTCGACAACTTCTTTGGTGTCAACTGGGGCCGCCGCGGCTGCTTGCAGCGCCGTGCCGTAGTATCCTCCCCGGGCATTCAAGTTTGCTCCTGCTTCGATCAGAAATTGCAGTATTGCTTTCTGCGGCGTTGGGGACGAAGCTGCCCCTTGCATTGCCGTGCCGCGACACACTCCTTTGACATTATCGTCGATGGCATTGATGTCTGCTCCTTGGTCCAGAAGGCGACGGATGACAGGTGATTGGCCGTGCGCAGCGGCTGCAAAAAGCGGTGGGCAGCTTTCAGCACTACCCTTTTCCAGCGCAGAGCTCACTTGTTCGCCTTTCACCTGATGCAGCACATACTTTTCCCGGCGTGTCAATGGACAGTCACATTCGGTAATTGCGGCTTCTGATGCACCTCCGATGCGCAAGTGCCTTCCGACAGCGTCCATCAAGAAGTACTTGCTTCTGAAGACCGTTTCGTCAAGAAACCCTGTGCCCGTCTTCCTCCACACGCCTCGCTCGGTCTTGTGGAGAAAATGGATCACGGGGGTACCGATCCAGGTGCCGTCGCCGTGCTGTGGATCGCGCTGGAGATCTTGTGCTGGACCCACCATCATGAGAACGGGGCCTAATTTACCTCTGTATTTGCACGTGGAGACGAACTGGTGGTATGGAGACGAGAGTCGCAGCTCGACGTTGGAGAACAGGCGATCCTTCTGGTCCACGCGAGATTTTGAAGCTTGGACTTCAAAGAGTCTGGCACAGACAAGATGCCCGTCGGCAGCTGTACCAGAGGACTTGACAACCACGTCGAATTGTTCACAGCAGACTTCTGAACATACCAACTCGGAGGCTAGCCTAAATTTCCCATCGATCGCATATGCAGGCATGAAGTGCGATGTGGACGTCGGCAAGCTTGGGATCAGTCCAGACTCGGGATAAACGGGCATGTCATACGAAACAGTCAGCCATCCAGGTATTGGACTTTTGTCGACAAGCTCGAAGAGGAGATCTTTGCCGGATCGTGTGTAATCGACGTCAACAAGAACTCCCAAGACATGCATCACGCTGAATATCAAGTCTTGTGGCTCTGTCGACGTGCGGAGCCATATGTTCCGCCACGCAGCTTGCGCGACGCCAACGCCGTCACCCGGATAGTCGTAGTGGATGTCAAAGTATGCACGGGTCTGCTCAGACAAGGCTAGCTCCTTGAAGGGTAGTATGCTCTTCCCTGTGTAACCCTTCATTTCCTTTTCGTCGTCTGAGTCTATATCCCTCACAGTGGTCGACAGACTCCCAAGCATACGACTGAAGCCATGTCCGCTGTCGGGTCCCTCAGAGGCGGAAAGCGGAGTATCCCAGTGTTGAAGATAATAGTCTACCACATCGTGGCCGGCTGAAAGGTAGTTCCCGTCTTGTGTGACTGTTTCATCTTCGAATGCGTTTCCGCAGTCCATACCCTCGGACCGCCGATCAATACAATTGAAGGCCTCGAATTGAGCGTCAAGATCCAAGTCGGACTTCGAACCGGACTGGCGGTCCACCGTGTCAAGTACACTAAGTCGAGAACCTAAATCGGAGCCAGAGTCTGAACTGGACTGACGGTCGACGGTATCGAGTGCCGGGGTTTGAGCATCTGAATTAAAGTCCGAGTCTGAACTCGTGGCTGAGTTGGTGTTGGTGCCGTTGTCACCGTCGGCGCCAGCCGTATGTCCCGTCCTAGACGCGAAACCAAGCTCGGGTAGTGTTTGCCGCAGGCTCACGGCCAAGGAGACCAACGCTGTTTGATCGAGCCCTAGGCAGTTGAAATCTTGACGTAACTTGTATCTACGGTAGGTGAGCCCTGTCCTGGGATGGTACAGCATACCGGGTCCAAACTTTCGGCTTACCCACGGGCCGGACCCTATCAGTTCGTCCAAGCGAACAAGCGCGATGTTGCCGTTGAGAATGTCGAACGAGAGATTGACATTATCTGCAACCCACGAGTCCGGGTGATCCCAGTGGACCAAGACACGGGCATCGGGGCCGAGAATGGCTTCTTGGAAAGTCCAAGACCTCTGCATGTATGCCGAGGGACGATCTAGACTCTGTGCGGCGTGGACACCTCCAACCATGATCAGGGTCGTCGACGCATTACTGAAGATTTTGGCCATATTCGGGATTTGGAGTACTTTGTCCTTTGGGCTTGTCTGGTCGATACAAAGCAGATCCAGCCAGATGTACTCGCAGTGGGAGTATTGAGCCGCGGTGGCGGCTTGTACCAGCCCCAGCCAGCTGATTGTGTGGAAGGTACCATTTCGAAGCTTGACTCTGAGAGGCCGATTTGCCTGGTTGCTCCTCCTAGCGGCGTCCTCACTTGGTTGCCAGACGTGGGAGACCGCGCAATATCGCGGCATGTGTGGGGGAGGGTTTGTGGGAAGAAAGTCATCGAGGCCGTCGTGCGGGAAATCAAGACCGGCCCATTCCGTCAGAAATAGCTCTGGGTTGTCTTTACACAGCAGTGCTGAAACTGAGATCAAGCGGAAGAGGCCATCTGTACCACGCCCTTCATAGGACCATGCGGCTCCCTCATTCTCAGGATTACAAAGCAGCGTCCATGCTACGTCCACCGTCTCTGTCTGTTGGGGCATGACGTTGAGGAGGAAGCCCTTTTCTGCTTCTTGCGGTATCGTGAGAGAAGAGTGACCGATTGAGCATGCCTCTTGCCATTAGTCGTACGTGACATAGCCTTGGGGCTCGGTGGAAGTCCTGAAGTATGCGTGTGTGCGCATTGTCGAGAACGCTGAAGCGCCCATTTTCTCTACGAGAAATAGCTTGGCCATGGCGTTGGACGGTTGCCTCGGAATACGAGGGCGTGTCTCGAGCCTAGAACCAGGCTGCATGTTTCGAAGACCTGAATGGCGATAACAAAGCGACGTGGCGGTAGGAACACGGCGGGAGTTGTCGTCTGCAAAAAGAAGCTTTGTGGCACGTTTCAACGGAAGTAGGGACCGCAAGGAAAGGGGCGCACCTGTCACACGTGACGATGGGCAACGAATGGGTATAGAGGCCACAAGGAAGATGAGAGTGAGACAGAGGAATGGTAGAGTAGATATAGTATGTCAAGGTCAAGTGAAGCTGATTTGAACGTGGCTGAATGGTACCTTGCAACCTGGTGATGATATGGAGAACTTTCCGTCATCTTCATTTCACCTTCACCTGTATTGACGCAGTTGGTACTTAATTAGTATTTGCAGTGTCTACCAGGCCTCGCGCGGCTGGCGAGTCGTTGATTTCCGTACTGTCTTCTATTCTTTTATAGGTACTTCTGCTAGATCGGACGGGCAGGAAAGTAGCTGCTCTTCGTCCACCGTCATTCATCTATTTACACAACCATTGAAACATCTACGTCCTCGGGACCGCCTTGTTGCGCCGTCCTGCTATTCTTTCTTTTCTTTGTCAGCCTCCGACTGCGCCTGAGCCCCCTTCTTCGCCTTCTCTCTTTTTTCCCTGGCGTATCTCAAACTTCTCGACCAGCCTGCAGTGACGGGTCCTTTCAGGCTTTGCATGAAACTCGGCCACCGGACTGTATGCTCGATTACCTGTTTGACCTCTTCCCTTAGACCACCGCCTTCCGTGTCTTGTGCGATGCGTTGTTCAAACGCCCCACCCTCTCGTCGACGAATTCGATCCGGATCCTCGTCTTTGGTCTCCTCGAGCATTTTGTTGAACTCTCCTCTTGGGATCCTGAACTTGGACTGGTATTCGAAGTACAACTTCTTCCGGAAGGCATTGGGTAAGCGGCGAACCATATGGCCTCGAGTCACTGGATCCATGTTTTGGGCAAGTTTTGCATTGACATCTGGATTGTTCAGCCAGTCCCGGTCCGAGCAGGCAGGGTCGTTAAAGGTGATATTCGGAAGGTTATCAATCAAGGGAGCGTAGAGACGGCGGAAGTTCGGTAACTGATGTGTAACAATGTTCTGCACTTTGCGGGGGTCGTCACCACCGATTGTCATCCGGGGATCGCCCATATACGAGATCCCGGCGATGGTCGAGTAGAGCTCTTTCTCGGTGAACTCAGGTGGTAACAGAAGAAGCGCTGTGCGGACGGCGGCGATCAGATTGACCTGATTGGCTAGTCGGACGGCCGGATTGTCTCGCAGAATCTTGACGGGTTTCTGAAGGCGGCCTGCCAGGTAGAGGGTGTCCCATTCTGACAGGTCTCTGCATAGAGTATCCAGATTGACCACGCCATACTTGATCAGAGTCCCATTGACCGTAATATAAGGGTTGAAGTATACGCCTGCGCCGAAAGAGTCCTGGATTTTAGTGACAGCATAAGATCCCAAAGAGCCCACCCAGGAGTAATGGTCTCGATTGTCTTGAAGATTCAGCGAATGCCAATGCTGAGTGTACGAAACTCCGAATATGAAATCAATCATCTTCTGGTTCCCATCCTGGACTTTGGCAACGGCCTCGGGTGGATTCGGATGTACTTTGGAACTTCCTCCGCTTCCAGTCCCTCCTGAGCTTTGAGGGAAGACCCCGGAGCCATAGGCGAACGCGTAGCGTATTGGCGCCCGAAATTTCCACAGTATTTGTCTCAATGCCTCCTTGAACTCCTCGTTTATGATGATGTGCTGATTGACACCGAAGTCCCTGCTCGGCAGCTCGGAGAACTTGGATATGCTAAGATCGGGGTTTTCTTCCCAGTCAGTCGTACCAGATGTAGTAGATGAGGGTCTGGAGGAGCCGTCGCTTGAGAGCTTCTTGCCGGAAGATCTGGAGCTGCTTGCGGGGGACGACGACTTCGAAGGAGTCTCACTGGGACTCTGTTTCGCTTTGGCTGCATCGAAGCCGGGGGGTGGGCCGTCCGATCTTGCTCTGTCTTCTTCTACTGTAGCGTAGTGTCGGATGCCAGAGCTGAGAGGGAAGCGCGGGATGGACGATACCAAGGGGAACCCATAGACCTCCGTCAGTCCCCGCTTGCCCAACACGCTGGGCACAGCCCGTAAGGTCATCTTGTAGAGAAAAAGTCCCTTTGCCACGAAGCAGCAACCATTTCGTCCCAGATTACGGGATTGGCTGCAACGATGCTTCCCTCTCAGTTGACGTAGGGAGGAGAAGCTGGCTGACTGCGTCGGTGTTGAGTGGATCGCGAGTGGAAGCTGAGCCGAAGCAATTGCGTCACGTGCCAAGCCGCAACGCGGTCCAATCCAACTTCAGCAACATCAACAAACAATACCGACTCGGAATGCGATCAAACAGGAACACCGTCGGCACGACCACCACAGTTGACGATATATCGACTATGGAATACGCAACGCTCGAGTCGCGTCTAGCGACCTTCGAACCGCCGACAAAACGCTCCAAAATCGGCTGGCCGCACAAAACACCCACCCCGGACGAAGTCGCCCGCGCGGGCTTCTACTACAAACCCTCCAAATCCAGCAATGATAACACCATCTGTTATCTCTGCGCAAGCCAACTCGGTGGGTGGGAGGCCGATGATGACCCGGTCGAAGAGCACTTGAAGCACTCTCCAGGATGCGGGTGGGCTATATTGATGAACGCGTCGCAAGAGGCGAAGCAAAACCCCGATACCATCGAAGATCCCACGGGTCAACTCCTCACAGATGCAAGGCGAGCAACCTTTGCCATTGGCTGGCCACACGAGTCAAAGCGGGCATGGAAATGCAAGACGGAGAGAATGGTCGAAGCGGGGTGGCATTTTGCACCCGTTGCAGAGGGCGAGGATTATGTGTCCTGCGCTTACTGCAAGTTGTCGCTAGATGGCTGGGAACCAAAAGACGACGCTTTCCAAGAACACTATAGACGATCGCCAGATTGTGTTTTCTTCCAGTTCGCAGGGAATACCGCGCCGGCTAAGCGCCCAAAAGCGAAGAAGGGACGCGCGTCAAGGACGTCGAGATCATCCAAGGCTTCGACGCGGTTATCAACACAGTCAAACTCGCAAGACGTGACTAGCTTGTCCGAGGTTCCTAGTGTCGCCCTCGAGGATATCCCGGATCTGGATGACTCGATCGACGCGAGTGAGATGTCTACCATGTCGGTCATGTCAACAGCATCTACAGCAACCGCGAAAGGCAAACGGAAAGGCGCAGGAGGTCGGTCAAAGGCAACAAAGTCGAAGAAAGCCAAGACCACGCGATCCACAAAGACGAAGAAGGAAGAGTCACAACCTGAAATTGAGCTTGAAATGCAGCCCGAGCCAGTACAGGCGATAGCAGAGACTTCGAAAAGCGTCGCCGCCGATCCTGTACTGTTACAGGCAGAAGAGATGTATCGGACGCCTGAAGTCGAAGACCAAGAGGAGCAAGTTGTGCCTGATGCTGAGCCTATCCCAGCGGCAGAAGTCGCGTACCCAAACATTCCACCAAAGAACACTCCTCCCAGGGTAACGAACTCACCGCGCCATTTAAGCCCCGTTGCCGCACAGGATCACTCGCCCACGCCAATAAAACCACGCTCAAATCGTTCGTCACTAGCATCCACCAGGAAAATAACACCCCAGTCAGCAACAACAGGATCACGAATACAGCCAAAATCTATCACCACGCCCTCACCTGCACCAACCCAACCCCAAACTCAAACTCAACAGGCTAATACCCACTCACCTTCCCCTTTCCCGTCGCCAGCAACAGCAACATCCGACATCGAGAACGCCCCTCCTTCGACGCGCTCTCCACGGTCGCGCCCTCCAATCCCAACATCCTCCTCGATCTCGCCCGCCGTTCCTCCCAACGCCAACCCGAACCACAGCCTTGAGGACATTTCTTCTACGCCCGGCAAGCTCATGGCCCAACCCAATTGGATCCCCGCGGACGTGGAACTGATCTTCGCGCCCACCACGCCCGCACGCGCCGAGAACGAGATTCTTCTCGCATTGACGGGCGCGCAGCTCTCAAGCCCGGAGAAGGAAATGACGGTGCAGGAGTGGATCGAGTTTATCGCCGCGCGGGCCGAGGAGGGGTTGCGCACCGAGGCCGAGCGCGTGGTGGGCGTGTTTGAGCGCGAGGGCCAGCGCGCCATGGGCGTGTTGGAGCGGATTTCTTGTATGTGATTACCAGAGGGACGGAGAGGATAAATGGCAGGCGATGTTGGGGGTTTTGTTTGGTGTGGTACAGACAGCATGATTACATGGAGGGAAGGTCACGTAGAATGTGGGTATGGCGGCGGCGGCGGGACGTGTTATCTGTTGTTTGGCATGATCAAAGGATGAGGACATGGTCAGTGCGCAGGTGTGTCGACAGCTAGCTATTCTCCTCCTTGGTAGCTTTAGCGCTGTTGGCTACAGTATCGTGTCTTAATGAGCCATGGGAATAAGGCTAGGCTGGGCTGGTGGGCGGGTGTCTACCAGGATTCTGTCGTGTTTTTGGTTATTACGCGGGCAGGAGTATTTCGTGATTGTCGACTACTCGTAGATATTGTTCGCACGATCGACCAGTCCGGGGTTGAAACAGATGCCTCCGACGTGTGAGCAGTACACAGTACACTTGACTTTTCCCCCCCTCCCTTTCCTTTTCCTTTTCAATTTTTTCTTCTTCTTCTTACCTCCATCTTTGCCTTTCGTAGCATGCTAGACGTAGTTGCTGCTGTAGACGAGCATTTGAGGGGGATATGCCGTGTCTCCGTTTGCGTCAAGGAGTTGCAGGGATGGACTTGCATTGTCGGCGGCGTTCAACATTTTCAAGATCTACTACAGCACACGCGGAGTATATGATGTGCCTCGCACTTTTTATCACTCGGAAGGCAGTACCGTCCGCCATGGCCGCAACTCAGGGCTACCGTATTGATACTCGGACGATATTTAGACCACGCGGAAGAGAGATCGCAAGTACATACTTCGGACACTGCCAGGACGAACTATGAATGGGAATCCTTGATGTGTTTCATTCATTCCATTTCATTCCATACCGCGACCTCAACCTCCCTACGAGGTATGGCTCTGACTGATATTGGAACTGCGTATGTGGATACCGCATGCCTGGTCAGTCAAACTGCTCGGCCAAATACGCAACGCCGCATCAGTGCTATTATTTCAGACGGCGATGTCCGCGCCGACAAAGTCCTTCTCTTCTATCAGTTGGTTCTTGGGCTTGGTGCTCGTCCCTTGCATCGCGGCGTCGAGGCTACGGTATTCGGCCAGTTCTTGCATCTTGGCTGGTTTCGCGCAACGTGTTAGTCAGTTTGTCCACCTCGGGCACGTGATGGGATGATTATTGGCGTGCAAATACTTACATGCGCTGACCGGGCTGGTCATGAAGATGGCCTTCTCCCGCTCCCCTAAGCTGGGGTAGACGCCCTCGTTGATCAACATCTCCGCCAGGCTGCGTCGATTGGAGTCGTTTCCTTTGCCTTGCGAAACCAACTCTTGTCGCGCCTTCTCGAGGCATTCTCGGTAGTAGTCGGCGTGGTTGATGTTGCAGACTTGATCCCAGTTCACGGACTTGTGGATCGGGCAGAAGTGGCGCGAGCAGAGCAGGCAGGTCTCGAGGAATTTGGTCGTGGGCGAGAAGTCGCCGGGGTTCTGCTCGTCACACAGGTAACATTGCTTGACGAGGGCGGGTTTCTGCGGTCGCTGACGTGATTGTTCTTTGGGAGGTTCTGTGCGAGGGGCGGAGATTGTCGAGGTTGGCGCGCCGGGAGTGTTGATTACAATTGTTGGTGGTGGTGGTGCTGAAGAAGCGGTCGACATCTTGCGGAGGACGGTCTGTCTGAGAGCCGAAGAGCTGGTCAAGGCGAGGGATTTTGGTAAATTTGTTCCAGAGAGCAAACAATTCTGCACTTTTTTTGCACCCAAGATTCTCGCAGAGAACCGAGCAGATGAAGGCTGTACCGCGTGCTTTGTATGGGAAGTGTAACCTGTAGCCAGGTAATACGAGGTTATGGAAGGCCTGAGAGGATGGGTTCTGGTTCTGGGCCGCGTCAAGTCAACAATATCTTACTCTTTCACTGAGGCAGGTGATGGGAGGCACCAGAGTAGCTTAACGTCAACTGCAGGCCGGCCTTTTATTTGATCGCCAGTCTCTTGACGGCCGCCTCCTTGCTGCTCAGAGCCAGGGTCAGAGAGTGTTCAGCTTTTTGACACGACCCCTCGGTCCCCGCATTGCTCAGTGACTCAAGCACCAGACCCAGACGGGTACGAGTACTGCCTGCGAGGAATCCTACTTTACGAATGTGGCTTGCCAAGGGGAATTGTTGGTGAAGCGCGCGGCGTCCAGCCTGGCCATCAAAGAAAAACAGGAATGGTTCACCTTTTGCGGCCGAGACGGTGGGAGTTTCGTTCGGTGGCCGAGCGAAGGAAGTCAAAGAGCCAAGCGACTGACGCATGCGACAAGGCTTAGGCGTCCGCAAGAAGCAGCAGCCAGGGTGCGAGGTCAGGCGCAGGAGAATATATCATTGGTGCGAGAGCAAGGGCAGGACCCTGATGGACAGGGGCCTCAAGGGAATAATGGGGGCAGCTTTGGCCTTTGCTCACTGTCAGAACACTCCAGTGATTGGCAGATGAGGCAAAAGATGTGGGAAATCGGCAGTCGGCAGTTATTTGCCTCCGACTCGCCGTGAGATCAGATCTGCTCAAAGCTTCACTGTCGTCCGTGGTGGCTTCCTTGCTCATGGTGAACTGTGTCCAACGTTGACGTCGACAGCCTGGTGATCAGCAGGCACGACGATGCATCTGGGAAATCCCGTCCTGAAGAATGCATTTTGTCGATAAGCTCGCAGATGCCGGCAATGCTTTCGTCATTGCGATCTCAAACAGTTGTGTGTCGCCAAGCTCCTGTCATTCGCCAGAAATGTGACCAGACAGGCGTGCCGGCTGTTTTGAGGCTCTAGACGCTATCCAATCCACCTTTCCCGCAGACCTGCTTGAGCTTCAATGCTCAGTGCCTTTCGCAGACGGTGATGAAGGGTGACACGACACCTGCAAGTGTTAGTTAGGGTATCCACTAGGACGAGGATTGGCGTGGAGGCTCAACTCACCGCTCAGGAATAGCCTTCCCGTCTTCGCATCATGAACACATGTGGTCGTACTCGGCAGAAGCTCCCCTTCAGCATCTTCAATGACTTTTGTCAACTCATACTGGTACTTGTTCGGGACGTCTCTATTCAACCTCCTTACTCGCCACACCGCGGCAGGTGCACTCTTCTGGTTCAAAGGGTCTTCGAAAGCAGCCAGTGATTGCATGCCCTTGGGTAAGGCGGCGGCATAGATGTCCCCGTTGCTGTCCTCGGACAGGTTGTCAAGGGGATAATCCAGGTCGATGAAGTGTACCCGAAGCAGTGAACCATCGGGCTTCGGCCTGAACACGGTGATGCCTCCTATAGCCGCACTGGGCACATAGAGGAGGCCGTCGCTGCCAAGGTGCAGACCATTGGGAAATTTGAAGCCGTGAGCAACTTTCTTGCACACGCCCGCTGACGAGCAGTAGGAGACGTCGCCCGTTCCAATGAAACTGGACAAGTGATGTTGCTTTTTGACAAGTCAACCACGAAGCAAGGACTTTCGGGACTTTCACTTACCCAGCCGACCTTGTGAGGCCCGTGATCGTTTGTAAAGAAGAATCCGCCATCTTCTGCCACAGCGACGTTATTCGGGGTCGCAATCTGTGGGTCAGCATATGTCCGCAGGTGTACCACGCTATCAGACCCCTGCTGCGTCTCAAAAACCTCAATCGTCGAATTTGCTCCAGTAGCAGTGTTGTCGAGGAGTTCTCCTGTCTTCGCATTCACCGAGGGTCTTGCATTGACCAGCCAGATCTGGGTCTTGACCCCGTAGGCTGAAGTTGTGCCGGTCATGCCTACGACGTGGATCCGCCCGTCGCCATCTACGCCAGCAAAACCGGGTGTTTTCAGAACGCGGTAAGCATATCCTCCTTCCCCAGTCGGGCTGTCGATATCCATGGCCACGACATGGTCGTTCAGTGCTCGCGCCGAAGCATTGAGCCGATGGATGCTACAAAGATGCTCAGCATACGTTCCTTTCAAGCTGGCAGACATACTTTGGCATCCACTGTTTTCTCGCCATCGAGTCCGAGCACGCCAGATACAACGTCCTGGACTTCTGGTCCAGCCACATATCCTCGCAAGCTTGGATGTTGGGGTCTCCGCTTACGCGATGACATCTGTATGGAAAGTCTGAGATTGGCTGTACTTTGCGACCAAGTCCTGCACCATTGTAGATGGCATCACGAAGGAGAAGTTGCCAAAAGAGGGCTGCAAATCCGACGAGGATGGCTAGCAGGGCAGGTTTGTTGGCCATTGTTGTTGGTCTACCCGGCGAGTCCACTATCACGAGGTCAACACCACGGCTAAGCTGTCGACTCAGTCATGTCGCATGGCATTAACCAAGATCGAGTTGTATATTGTCTTCGTCAGCCGACAATGTGATGGTCAATCTCATTTGGTCCAAAGCATGTCGCGACCATCTGTCTGCAAATTTATATAAGACCAAGGTCTACCTGGGATGCCCGATCCATCTCCGCCGGCGTATCTTGTTTAGACCTCGCTTGAGGCAGCCGCCTTCCGACGAAGGATGTACAACCGCTCGTGCGGTACCTTTGTTGACATCCGGAATTGAAACCCAGACTGAGCCGAGGATGTTTGGACCCCACATTCTCTCCACAGTTGACCCTGACCCCTCCCAAGTGCCCCGCGCCTATCGCGTACCCATTACGAGCTGGCTGAGGCGAACTTGGGCATGCAGCATGTTCGGTAGACGAACAAGGAGGCAAGCACCTCTATACCTCAAAATACTTGATGGCGAACTGAGAGGTGGGAAAGCCATGACTCCTAGAAACAAAACGACACTAGCGTTCACTCCAGCTCGAGGAGACGGAGCAGGGAAGAGCTGATCGTACACGAGATGCGTTGAAGTCTCTTCGAGTAATGTCAGAGTCACATCAAGAATAACGAGCTTTGTTTTCAAGTTCATAGCTTTTGCATACGGATTTATATTCGTCAAGCTGATTCGACAACAAAAAACGAAGAGCATGCCAATTTTCACATCTTCCCCTCTCGCCGTGGTGCACAGCCCATTTCTACTGCTCAGCGCTGCTCATTTAGCAAGCGCCCATTCCGGAAACGGCCCTCTACTTCAAATACTCATCGCCAATCTCTTGAATCATAACATCAAACATGGGCTTCGCGCTGAACCACCCTGCCCTGGGCGTGCCCACACTCTTATAAGTGAACGCAGCATCCTCGTCATCGATCTTGACCGTCTCGCCACCTCGCCCTGCGGCGGCCGCATCGGCCATCAACTGCGCGTGGCAGCACTTTTCGAGACTGACGAACCAAAACAGCGCCGCCTCGATGGTCTGTCCGCACGTCAACAGGCCATGGTTCTGCAACAGACAGGCCTTCTTGTTCCCGATCGCGGCCGCGATGTTCTCGCCTTCCTCCTTGGCGAGCACCACGCCCTTGAACTGCCTGTAGACGGCTAGGTCGTTGTAAAACGCGCACGAGTCCTGCGTGATGATGTCGATGGGGCGGCCCAGCGCGCAAAACGCCCGGCCGTAGATGCTGTGGCTGTGGGCCGCGCACATGACGTCCGGCCGGGCCTTGTGCACGGCGGCGTGGATCATGTAGGCGGCCTGGTTGAGCAGCCTGTTCGGCCCGCCGTCGATGACCTTGCCCTCGTGGTCGACCAGGATGAGGTCCGAGCTTTTGATTTGTGAGAATGCCAACCCGAAGGGGTTCACCCAGAAGGTGTGTGGGTCGACCGGGTCGCGCAGCGTGATGTGTCCTGCCACCCCTTCGTCGAAGCCATACTTGCCGAAGAGGCGGAACGCCAGCGCGAGCCGGCCTTTCAGGTATGCTCGCTCTTCGTACTTGTCGGTGAAGCGGGGAGGGGAGGGGAATTTTTGCATCTGAGCGACCGCGCCGCGCTGGGTCAACTTGGGCTCGTTGGGAGCCGTGCCTTCTGGTTGAGCGTCTGCGGTGTCGAAGCCCGGTTCGGGGCCGCCCATGGGGTTCGTCTCTTCATAGGTGTACGTGGCTGTTGGGGGAGCCATTGTGGTGGTGGTGGTGGTGGTGAGTGTATCGAGTGTATTGGCCGGGATAGGATAGGTCTGGAGCGGAAAGAGTGTCTAGATTGGTATGAGTGGTCTCAAACCTAGGTAACCTCAGGACAGAAGTTCAGGCCGAACAGCAGTTGCGGGCAGTCCTCTGTATATATGGTTCTCCAAGGACGGGCAACCCGTGTGAAGTGGCGAAAAGTGGTACTCCGTACTCGCTATCCTGTCCTAGGCCTCGGATTTGCGACCTTTCAAAGGCTCTTCCCCACCAAGGGTTTGTTTGACGACCTCAATTCCTCGAATCATGGGGCGCTCTACTCCGCTGGGACCCCGTCGAAGCTTGATGGAGTTTGATGGAGGTGGCTGCGGGGGATGATTGCACGGATGCGAGTTAAAGGGCGCTCCATTGGCTCGTCGGACAATAGGCCGAGTCTACCGGATCTGGCCGTCGGGCAACGATAAGAGCAAGCCGGCCGGCTTGTCCGTCGCCTTGGAAACCTCGTCTTCCCTCCGGACGGTCAAACAGTTTAGACGGGAAGAGAGTTTTGTCGAACTCGGGGTGCGAGGGCGTCTTACGTTGCCTGCCCAGGAGCCATGGAGAGGGTTCATGGGTTGCTGCGGTGCAGGTATTCACCAGACCAACGCACAAAATGGTCTGATGGGAATATGCTATCAAATACTTCGTACCATCACTTGCTATAGAGAGATAACGTGCCATCCAGCCACTTCCGCCCTCCCGAGGATAACCGATGTTGGAAGCGACCGGCCGAAATTTCCTGAGGCGGTTGTTCACTATCCACGCAATATCTCCCAGCACTGGAGCCGGCGTTACTCTAGGTAAGCCGTTAGCACTAGAGGGGACGAAGGTGTGGATTGAACGCGTCTCTGTGGGAGTATATGTTTGGCTAGGGAGAGCCGCCATGAAGCATCGTTGACGTGAATTCGTCTGTGTCTCCGATTTCACCTCCGACCTCCGATATTTACTTTGACCGAGAATCTCGTCTTGTGAAGAAGACCTCCCCAACAGAGGAGGTGCTGGTGTCTCCCTGACTTGGAACATCGATCTCGAACTCGAGTACATGTACTCAGCCTGATTTCACCAGGATCAAGCTGCTAGGCGAGAGATCCGACACAACTTCACTCCTTCGAAAATAATCATTGTGACATAACTGGCATTTTGAGATGGAGGTTTCTGCTTAAACTCTCGTACGTACGGAGTACTCCTGCGGATGCAGCTGTATGCTGATCCGTAATCTTCATAGCAGATCTGCCCCTATTGGATGAAAGAGGCTAGTGCGGCGGGGAATGGACGGACCCACGTCCATAGCGCCCAATCGCCGCTGGTGTTTCGGTTCTCACAGAAATTTTGGGATCGCAGGATATTCTCGACTCGTCCATCACATCTCAATCGCGTACTTCCAGCATCTTGACCCCTTCGTTCCCTGTTTAGTCTTGTCTTCCATCTGAGAGTATTGCGATTGCTGGTAACCGAGAGTAGACTTGTCTTTTCCTCTCAGCCATCATGTATGGCGCAGCCCGGCATGGGCGATGTGCTCTAAGGGCAATCCGGTCTCTCCCTCCAGCTTCACAGCTCTCTGTCCGAACACAACTTGTACCTTCAACATTCAGATCTATCTCAAGACCTGTCGCGGTCAGCCATTTCTCCTCCAAGTCGCAGTATCTACAACAAGCCCAAGCGTATGCTGAAGAAAATGCTCGCGCTGAAGATTTCGGCGCAGAGGACATCTCAGCCACTAAGCGAGAATTCACCAGGTTTCAAGAGCTCGGTGATGCTGGCATCATCGATCAGAGAATTATCAACACACTCGTCAGTCAGATGGGCATACATACAATGACAGAAGTCCAGCGGATGACCATCAACGAATGTCTCGACGGTACAGATGTCATTGCCCAGGCTCGTACCGGAACAGGCAAGACTCTAGCTTTCCTCATGCCAATCGTCCAACGAATGCTCCGAGACCCTGCGTTCGGCCGAAAACAGCCCTCGATAGGTGATACAAGAGCCCTCATCATCTCCCCGACAAGAGAACTAGCCGAGCAGATTGGCGAGGAGGCAAAGAAGATTGTGCGAGGCACTGGTGTACAAGTCCAACTGGCTGTTGGCGGCACTCAGAAACAATTCCATCTCAAGTTGATGCAGAGACAAGGCTGTCATATCCTGGTTGGCACGCCTGGAAGAGTCAAGGATCTGTTGTCCGATCCTTACAATGGGCTGAGCATGGAAAACATACAGACCTTCGTGCTGGACGAGGCTGATCGGTTGCTCGATATTGGCTTTGCCGATGATATCAGGGAGATCCAGAGTTACATGCCGAAGCAGACGCGACAAGATCGTCAGACCCTGATGTTCTCCGCCACCATGCCTCGATCCGTCGTCGGTCTGGTCAGAGAGACCATGAAGCCCGACTTCAAGTTCGTCCGCACCGTCGACCCAGCCGAGGCCGCCACGCATGAGTCTGTACCTCAACACATTGTTTTCTTGCCTGGTCTACAAAACCAACTCCCAGCTCTCACGGAAATCGCCTACAAAGCAATCCAGGCCCATAAAGAAGATCCGGAGAATAACATGCCCTTCAAAGCCATCGCTTTCTTCCGCTCACTCAACGAAGTCAAAATAGCATTTGAAACTCTTCGCAACTTCCGTGACCCTTCAGCAAGGGGTGGCCTATTTGCGCCGCACCCACTTGCGCCCTGCAAGATCATCGAAATGTCCTCCCAACTCGACCAGCGACAACGAACAGCCAACTCGCAGGCGTTCCGTCAGGCCGAGTCTGCAATCCTGGTCTCCTCCGACGTGACGGCTCGAGGCATGGATTTCCCCAACGTCTCCCATGTCATTCAAGTCGGCGCCCCACACAGACGAGAAGATTACGTTCATCGATTAGGTCGGACCGGGCGCGCTGGAAAACCCGGTCAAGGCTGGCTTTTGCTCCAGAATGACGAGCGCAATGATTACAGACAGTTGGCCAATTCAATCCATGCGAAGAATATCAGCGAAGACGATAGCCTGGAGACTGCCAAACTCGACATGACCCAGCCAAGCCAGCTTTCAGCTCAAACTGCTAAGATCATGCAGATGGTCGAGTCCGGCGTGAAACAGGTGTCGAGAGCCGACAAAGCGAGGGCGTACCAGAGCTTGTTGTCTGTGCTCAACCAGGGTGGCAATTCATCGAAGCAGGAGATTGTCAACCAGGTTAATGAACTCGCTACTTACGGATGGGGACTCGAAGCACCTCCCTCGGTGACGCGCTCATGGGCCGACAAGATCGGTTTTGGCGGCGTTCAGGGCCTGCATTTCCGAGAAGACACCGGCTTTGGTGGCACTGGCCGCTTCGGTGGTGGTGGGAGACGACAAGTGTTTGATGAGCGCGATCCATTCGGCCAAGACGCTGGCGGCCCAGGAAGGGGCACGTTCGGTGGTGGGCGGTCCTTTGGTGGACGAGGAAGAGATAGGTTTGGCGAACGGGATGGATTTGAACAGGATAACCGCGGGTTCGGGCGAGGGGGCCTTGGTGGTGGACGATCATCGGGTGGCAGGGGTTTTGGCGGAGATCGAGGGTCGCGTTAATTGATGGCCGGCTCCGACTTGAGGGTATGACCGACGGAAATCGAAAGTGAGAAACGCCCCGGTGTGGCCGTAATACCATTGCGCGTCTTGGGCTTCATTTGGCACGAGAAGACGACCATCTGGGAAGGCGACACTCACCCATCGGCTCTGCCCCACCGCGGCCGGTCCGGATTGTCCGAGAACTCGCGCACAGCGTTTGCCGACGGAACTGAATGCAAGACTCACCTCATTGCACTTTACTTCTCATGTGTGTTTTACTGTCATTTGCATCGAAATGGAGAATGGAGCTGGGGGAGCAAACTTGCCTGGTCTTGCCGTGGCGCAGGAGAAGGCAAGAGGCTATCATCTCGAAACAATTGGCACAGACAAATACCCCGTGTATGACTGGTTTGCGGTGAGCCGGTGGAAATCTCAAATCCCTATTGTGACGATATGTGTTGTCCCCAGAGTCTCTTGGTTCGGGGGACTGTGTACATCTAGGATGGAAGTGTACAATCGTGAATGTGAAAAGGATCATTCTGCCGGTGCGGCCTAATTGGTGCTCCACAGCCTCGCACAGGGTATGGAAGGAAGGAATCGGGAGCAATGAAAGAGGACGAAATCAGGAAGGTGAAAATAGACCTCACACCTTCCATGTGCGGACAACATAGCACGAAATCTTATGAGAATCTCCTCTCGCGGCATGGCATAAGGACAATCTCGATAGGCATTCCAGTGCGTTTGCTAGGCCACAACATTTTCCAATGACACGGCGAGAGCACCGAGCATCAGGCGGGTGTACGGAATACGTGGTACGGTATTTGGTCGATGTGCATTCAACTATGCCTCAAAGTCCAGACGGTCGCAATGTCTTCTGGATCACATTTGCATTTCCGTACCGTACTGTGCCATGGAGTGTATTACGAAGTAGTTTGCGGGTCTTGCATTGAACCGTATCTCGTGCCAGGCAGGATCTACCTATGACTCCCGCATATGCTTATCACTCCACGAGGTCTGGCGTCCGTCAAATGACACTCATATGGGAGTAGGAGTTCTAGTGCGAGCTTCGCCACTGCTTGATCTCCTGCTCGCTAATCTCGCGCAGCTGAGAAACCTCGGCCGTCTCGCCTGTGATGGCGCCCTTGACGATCTCAATGCCCCGTCCGACACTCCATCCCTTGGGCAGCGCGTACGTCGCCGTCAAGGCCTTGACCTTGATGATGCCGATCCGGGGATCGTTCTCGCTTCCGTCGTGGACCCCGTCACCTTGATCGCCCAACCAGGTCTTCAACGTCGGGGTGTAGTATTTCTTGACGGTGTCGCGGTCGGTGATGATGCTGGCGGTGCCGGAAATGGAGGCCCACGCGCCGCTGGGTGTTAAGAAGGAGATGTTGACGTGCTCGTCCGAGTTGAGGTCGTCGGTCTTGCCGGATTCCGTGTTGGTGTGGAAGAGGTAGTCGACGCCGCCGGATTCCTTTGGGAAGACAACAATATCAGTATGGCTGTGCTTTTTGCCTACATTTGCATAACACGGGACTATGGGCCAAAACATACCTGAGCCGCTACTGCCATGCATCTTGATACTAGCAGGCCGGAGTCTGCGATGCGGGTGGTCATCATGCCGAACTTGGAAGACTTGACGAAGTCGCTGAGGGCGTTGATCTTCTCCTCGGTGCCGGGCTCATCCTTGTTCTTTTGCGTGTATCTGTTGGACCATGCCTCGTGTCAGCTTCTGCGAGATCTCTTGAGGGAAGACAACTGCGGTAACAAGTGTCATGACTTACGGATCTGAGGATGCCATGATGATTGTAGTTTGTGATTTGAGTGTGAGTTGATTAGAATCTGAAGTCAGGTCGAGTTTGAAACCAATAGATGAGGAAGAGTTTAAGAGTCTGAGTGCAAGCAAGGGAAGAATGAAGTAAATGAGAATCGCGACTGAAGTTATGTGGGAGTCTGCCGTGAGAAAAAGTGACGTCGATGGGGTAGGAGATGGTACGAGGCAACACGCTCCGAGGGCAATCGCGTCAACCGTGGGGTAAGCGTGAAGTTTCGATCATGCTCAAGAAGCTTTCGCTCGACGATTGAGGGGCTCACAACTGCCAGAGAAGATGGTCCAGGTACAGCTGCGTCATTGATATATGCGGCTCCCGCTTGCCCAATCATGCAGGGCTTCTTTTCTCTCTGTTTGTTTGCGAGTCTGAAAGGAGCTGTTTACCGGAGCCGTCTCGGCTGCTGTTTGACATTGTCCAGCAGCGAGCCATGGTCCTTACACCTCGTGGTTGACGACATGTCGTTGCTTCGACTGGTAAGGCTGATCGGATTGTCGTCCGACCCAATGACGTCAACACTCGTGCACCCAAGTGGTGCGAGGCTCGTGAGGCCCCCAGAGGCAGCTCAGGCCTCTTTCGCTGGGACCTGCATTGCTACATGTTGAGTTCAAACTCAACTAGCGAGGTAATATTAGCCCATCGTAAGGCGGGTAAGCAGATGACGTTGGAGAACTCGCTCGTGTGTTGAGCTCATCTACTCATCTGACCTGGTCAACCAGAATGGACAGCGCAGACGAGATGGTACCTCTTCTATGCTTCCTCCCACCAAGCCTTCGTTTTCGAAGCTGCAGCGCAGCTGAACAACACGGAGCTCGCTCATCATGATCGACCGGATGTCCCGACATGCGTGCGATGCCGACGTGGAGAGTGTTCAGGTCGCCGGAGTAGCGTGCTCGAGGGGAAATCGGCCGGCCAGGGAGTCATCCAAAGCCTCGAGTGAGCCTGGAGACGTCGTTGTCCTGTTGCTGTAGGTGTTCGGCGATGCGTCGGTCAAACGGTAGGGATGTCGTTCACCACAAGATTATCATCTCAGTGGTAGCTTCAACTCGCCCACCAAAGACAGGTAGTGTTGTCAGAATGATCGCAAGGATGATATGGTGTCGGTAGTCAACCCGCTCAAGAAATGATTCCCAGTCTCCCCTCCCACTCGTCTTCCCTCTTGATACCTCCGTTCCTCTCCTCCTTTGCAGCCCTTCTCTTCTCGTTCCTCTTCCGCCTCTTCTCCTCGCGCTCCGCCTCATCCCTATCCTCCGCTTTCTTGATCCTTTCCTTAATATCGACTTCCCCAGCCAAGCGATCTTCTTCCTCCTGCTGTCGTTTCCTGGCTTTCAACATCTCCAGCCTCTCACGCACATCCTGGAGCGTCGCGCGTTTAACCTCTCCACTCTGCCCGGTATTCACTAGATGCTGTTTCGAGTTTAAGTGCTCAATGTACTGCACGTTGTCCTTGTACGTCAAATCACAGGCCTCGCAGTAGAAGCCCGCGCCTTTGCCTCGTTTGCCCACGCCTGCGCCTGCGGGCACCAGCGTGGATTTCCCGACCATGCTCGCGACATCGAGTCTCGAACCTCTGGCCGAGGTGGAGTCCAGGGTCGAGAAGTCGACGGGCTTGTGCCATTTCTTGCCTTCTAACTTGGCCTCGTACCGGGCCTTTGCCTCCTCGCGGCGCTCTTGATCTTTTTGTTTGGCCTTTTCGGCGTATTCGGCGCGATCCCACGTGCGGCGGAAGTCGGTATCGCTGGCGGCGGTGGAGCCGTAGGCAGATTTGCGCTCGGCCATGATGGTGTAACCAGCTGTAGAGAGGAGGACCGCGGACAAGAGGCGTGGAAGTGGAAGCCGTGGGTGACTGGAGTTCGGACTATGCGTGCGCCGCACGGGATCGGGACATGGTCCAGAAATTAATTCTCCGACTGCCTGCGTCATTTGAACCATTTCCGGACATGTGCCTGCCCTGAGGTGCAACTTCAGCCTTGTGAAACGTCCTCCTCTCTCCCTCGACCAAGACTTCCACCACCTGTGGACACTATCTAGGTATGATGGAATCAGTATCTGGCATCCGCAGCGTGATCAGTGATGACTCCGAGAATCACTACAGAGAGGTTTCGTGGCACAGAACCTCGACTTGACGTTACCAAGCGAGTTCGGAGCTTTGGTATCTTCTCACCTTGTCGCCGTTTGGGAAGGAATACGTATTGACCTATTTGCAAGGCAATTACACTCCATTAGCGGTGGTTACCAAGTCGGTGCTCCATTGAAGGATGTCTCAAAGAGTTTCTACCTCGAAGTACTTCAGCCTCAGATGCTTCTACCCAAGAAGCTGCCATGCATTTCTCGCTGACTTATCAAAGCCCTTGTTCAATGCTCAAGTGTCTGATATGTCCTCCAGAACCACAACTGCTCTCCTCCGCTCGTGCATGCGTGACAGCATCACCTATGCGCGACTGGACGGAGTGACCCAGAAAACATACATACATGGCTTGCTCAACCTGACTCCCGTATTGTGTCCATTAAAGCAATCACTTGGCGCAGGCGATGCTCCGGAACGTGAGCATCTTGAAGCCTGGTTTGTTCGGATTGTTGACGTCGAAATAGTAGCCGATCTTGACTGGAATGTTGGTATTAGTCGGCGGAATAGTATGGATGTTGACCACATTCAGGTTCGCGTTGACCGTTTCATCACCACTCGGGAACATTGTCAGGCCAGTAACAATGAATTTGATGTCGTGGTAGCCGTATCCTTCGGGGGAGATTGGCGTAGGCCATTGAGGAGGGCACAGGTAAATGAAGTTGACCTTCTTGTCGGAGATTCCCTGCGAAGTTGGAAGGGTGATGTACGTGTGGAGATATTTGCAGAGTGGGCTAGCTTTGGTCTGATCACCAGCGTCCTTCACACTGATCGTCACATCCCAAGTCATTCCACAGGGCGCGCCAAACGGATGAGGAGTGATGTCGTAGATGCCTTGCCCAGAAGTGCTGGCGAGCTCAGCGCTGTCGACGGTTGCATTGCGTGGAACGAGGCTGTAGCCGTCCGGGCCTTGAAAGGGTGGGATTGCTTTACCGTCGACCACGCTGAACAAGACAAGGGACAGTGTCGCAAGAGTGAACTTCATCTTGGGTCTGTGGTGGTTTGCTTTGGCTGAACACAGGTTTGAGGGACAGCCGATGACTTGGATGGCTGGAACGGATTGATGGCGAAGGAAAGAAAAAAGGTCGGAGAGACTGATACTGAATGTCTCGAACGCTGACAACTGCCACTGCCTCGTGCCCATGTGAATATTCGCGATCACAGTGACAGGCGGGATGGCTTTCGTCTGCTTCACTAACATCAAGCTTTCACTTACCAAAAATCACCCAGCATAGGCGAAGCCGTGAAGCGTTGTCACGCAGTCATAATGCCAAGTACTGGCTGGCCTGGTGAACTTTTTCTCAATCTTCGCACCGCTCTAAGGGCGCGTATGGTATGCCCAGCTCAGGCAGGATACAATCCTAGGGGGAACAGGTGCGCACTTTCTAGCATATTGCAACGTTCGCTGGAGACAGTTCCAAAGGTCTTCGACTTCCGCTTCATGGCCGAATGCACCCGGTAGCTGCTGGGAAAGGGACCGACGACTGAACGGCATTTGCTAGGGGTCAATGGGCATGCTTGATGAGGTTCTTCCCTGACCACAGATGATTGGCCACAAGATTGAGCTGGTGTTCTGCGACCGAGGGAAGCCCAGTGAGGCTCATGAGCCAAGCTTTGAGTATCTCATATCCGCTACAGGCATAACCTGCACTTCCATACCGCAGACAGACTGGGTTCTCACCCTCCACACTCCACTCTTCATTTCTCTGCCAAATACACGACGGGGTCATGCCTTCGGCGCTGTCATCTTGTTCGAAGGTTGACGAACTCTCTTGCGGCGGCTCCGAGCAATGCGCTGGAGGCCGTGAGCAATTACCGGTTCTACCGATGCAGAATCGGTGCCACCTCAGTGGGTACCCTCGTGCCTAACCTGAAATGGAGGACGTGGGTGACTTAGCGGCGATTGCGCTTTATCGCACCAGGCGCGTGAGGCTGTGCGGCTGCCCGTGACGCCCGGTGCGGGGACGAACGCTGTCGGATTGGGGTAAATAGTCGCGATTCAGTCAATTTTTGTCTTCTTCGCGGACTGATTGAGCTCTGAGCGCATCACCAACACAGGATGGCGAAGAAAGGGTCGCCCTTCGATCTGTCAAGATGCGCAAGGCCCAATATCCTCAAACTACGACCCTACAGGTGTGCTAGAGAGTAGGTGCTTTCTTTCCATCAAAAGATCCGCTTGTCTGACTCATGACTCAAGTGACTACAAGGACAATGGAACGAACATCCTCCTCGACGCGAACGAGAACGCCTATGGTCCGGGCTTGGCACTCGATCGAGATGGTATCAATGGTGGAGGCGACGGGCCGGAAGCGAAATACCAGGTCGATTACCTAGGCCTGAACAGATACCCTGATCCTCATCAAGTCGAACTAAAAGAGCTCTTCTGCAAACTGCGGAATACGCACAACCACACGGACAAGACCCTGCGGCCCGAGAATATGTTCTGTGGAGTCGGCTCTGATGAAGCCATCGACGCTCTGTTGCGGTGCTTCTGCGCACCTGGGAGAGATAAGATTTTGACCTGTCCACCTACGTATGGCATGTACGCAGTCAGCGCAGATGTGAACGACATCGAGATTATCCATGTCCCCCTTAATCCAGACGACGGCTTCCCATTGCAAACACAGCAAATTTTGGACAAGCTCTCGGAGGATCCTACAATCAAGATGGTTTATATTTGTTCTCCGGGGAATCCTACGGCAGGGCTCATTCGCAAGGAGGACATTCAACAGGTCCTTCAGCATCCGACCTGGAATGGAGTCGTCATCGTCGACGAGGCATACATTGACTTCTCGCCAGAAGGATCAAGTCTAGCCGAGTGGGTACTGGAGTGGCCCAACTTGGTGGTGATGCAGACACTGAGCAAGGCATTCGGTCTGGCCGGCATCCGACTCGGGGTGGCCTTCAGCAGTCCCGAAATTGCAGCTTTACTCAACAACATGAAGGCGCCATATAACATTTCAAGTCCGACGAGTGCTATTGCAATAGCGGCGCTGCAGGAGGGAAACTTGAAGGTCATGCGACAGAACCGGGAGAAGATATTGCGGCAACGAGATAGACTGTTGCAAGAGCTACCACGAATACCTGGGATCGGGCGTTTCCGCGGGGGGACAGATTCGAATTTTCTGCTGGTTGAAATACTCGATAAGCCACAAGAACAAGGCGGACAGCCGGACAATCCGACGGCTCTTGCTTTATACGAAACAATGGCGGGGCAACGGGGAGTAGTGGTGAGGTTTCGAGGCAAAGAATATGGCTGCAAGGGCTGTCTACGGATAACAGTGGGCACCGAAAACGAGGTTGATCGGTTTCTGGCTGAGGTCAGATCTGTCTTGACTCAGATCTACTCAGGCTCATTACAAGGCCCTCAGGTCAACGGACAAAACAAGCGCGAGGCGGAAGCAAGCAAGGTGATATCATAGTAGAATTAGGGACGGTAGACGGCACCTAAGCAGATCTCGGGTATGGCTAAATCTCCATGTGGCCTCCGTCGTCCATAAGCGGGAGCAGCCTTCCTTTCCCTTCCCCTGCCTCCAGTGCTTAAACTTCTGGCCTATGCCCAAAACCGACACAAAAGAAACAACACCCTCTTTGCCCGCACCTGTTACACTGTGCCAACACAGCAGCGTACACACCAAATCCACGAGCACCAATCTCCGCCACTCTCACGCTCACCTGCAGATCTACTCCGATTTGCCTTGCAGCCTGAATCCGAGTAGCCTCAGGAAGGTGCGCAGGGACCCTAGATCTGCTGGCCGTCGCGCCATTTTACCCGCCGTGCGTGTGCCTCAGGGTAGCCCAGGCGACAGGCCAATCGCGACGGACTGTGCCTGCAATTGAGCGAATGGTCATGAAGTGAAGAGACGGCTGCTCGCTACAGCCACTTGGTGTGATACCCTGCAGCTGGATCTCATCATCTGCCTCACCTCCACTGCAATTTGTCTCTGGCTAACTGCGACCCTCTTGCACGACAACGCTTCAGCTGTCCTACCCTCGGCCGCATCGAACACGGTCAGGTTGCGAACAAGTCTAGCTGATTCCTGTGCTCTCACCTAGCCCTCACATGCTTTCGATCTCTAAGGCTATCCACCTCGATCCTGCGGAAATATGCCAGATGAACGAAGGAGAAAGGAATTGATCGTCACGATAAAACTGTAAGAATTGCTACATCATGGTCAAGGCGGATATCAAACGGGACTACTATGCGGACCTGGAACTGGCCTCCAACGCAGACACGGAAGAGATCAAAAGACAGTTTCGACTTCTGGGTAAGGCAACAAAAACTCGTACTTGTCCGAGCCTCACTTACAGGGCGTAGCGAAGCAATATCATCCCGATCGCAACCCCGGCCATGAAGTCGAAGTCGTCCCCAAGTTCCAGGCCGTCCAAGCCGCGCATGAGATCCTCAGCGACCCAGTAGAGAAAGCCAAATATGATGCTGGTCGGGCAAGGCTCGCGGCTAAAATCGCGGCTGCGAATACGAATTACACCTCTGATCCCTACAGCTACACAAGGCCAACCAATCCTAAACCTGCTAAACAGCAATCTCCCTTTCCACCACCGCCCAAGTCGACAGCACAGCGCCCGCCCCAGCCGCCGAATCAGCGCCCACCGGCGTCAGCTGGTGCCGACAAGTTCAATGCCTTCACCCGTGGTGCGCCGTCATGGGATCGGGCAAAGTACGACGAAGCGAGAGCAGAGGCTGCTGCTAGGGCATTTCCCAACTTGAGACCTACGTCGTCTGGACAACCCATGCCACCACCGCCCAGGTCGACACCCCGGGCTCCAACTGCGCCCAAATCATCGTCCACTTCGGACATGCCCCATGTTCCAAACGTCCCGCCGACAAGTTTCCCCGGCATGTCGAGGACAACGAGTTCAAGAGGGAGCTATCAAGCCGCCGACATCCAGCAAGGTCCTCGCTCGGCCTTTTCATATGTGTCCGGGACACGAGGGCCGCAACAGCCCAATCCTCATATCAATGTGCAAGAACCCTACTCCATGCGATCACCACCAGTGTCAAGGGTCAGACCCTCGGTGAGTCCTCTGCGCCACACCAGATCTTCAGACTATGACATGAGGTATGATCTTGGAGCACGTCCACCATCAAGATACAGTGGTACCGGAGGAGAGAGAACAGATCTTCATGGGGACGGACTGCACCGCTCGTCAAGCGTCCGTAACTCGCCCATTGATGATCGAGGTCCATTCGGCAGGTCGACAGCTCGATTTGAGAATCTGCCTCGGCATCGCAGCGCAAGTCCCGGTATGAGAGGTGGCGATAATGGAGATTTTTCCGAGTCATCGAGCAGTGAGGAAGAGACGTTGCATATGAATTCGCGGCCGAAGGCTCAACCTCGATCAACCCGGCCCCAGATGCGTTCAAACCTTAGCTACGACATCTCGAACAACCCTGGTTTGACGGGTCAATATCCCAGTACTAACTACAACAGAATTGTTGACGAGAGCCGCTATCAGTATCCTCCGCCCGAACCGAGGGAGCCCAGTCGCAAGCCCTTTCCGGACGTGGCCTCCCTGGACGCGGAGAAGCCCAATGAGTTGCACGGCGATGATGGAGGACAGGATAAGCCCGAGTATGCTCCCCCTACGATGGATTCCCACGCATGGTCCCAAAACTTGAGTCGCAGTCACAGAGGGTATTCTTTCAATGGATTCCCTCCGTGGGCGGTTCCCTCAAGCGTCTTCCCCGTGACGAAGCCCCTCGGGAAAAGTGACATGCGCCCGAGCAGCTATCGTTTTCTTCACATGTGCAACAGTAGAGCTGACCAAGATGTTAGTAATGCGTCTGTCCATCCGAATGCGCAGTCCACCTTCGACGCGGCAAAATGGCATGACGAGCTGAAGTCAGACAATATCTTCCGGCCTGACGAGTCGCAAATGCGGAAATCGCCGTCGAAAACCAGTCGGCCCGGAAGCAAACCGGCAACGGGCAGGGGTAGAGCTCAATCCAGAACCACAGAGGATCCATCCCTTCCCACGATGTCTCCAAATGGCGGTAAGCACACAGCATTCCAACCTGGAAAGCTGGCAGACGATTTCGCCGCTCGAGCGACAGGCAAATCGAAGACCACGCGCGTATCTCCTGATTCAGATTCGTCGGTGGACTCTCGAGATCGCTATGTGGTGGTGGAGGAAGACGCAATGGACGTTGACGCACCCCCGACAAACGGGCCCCATCCTACCGTCCCCAACGGTGTTAAGGCCGCGGCGACCGAGTCACCACGTGAGCAAAAGCGTCGATCTTCGCACGGAGGAGTTGATCTGAAAGACTTCACTCAGCAAGCACCATTTGCATCAACATCTGCGGGCCTTGGAAGCTTGAAGGACGATCTTGAAACCCATCTACCCTTCGAGTCTCGCGCGGCAAAGGATGTGAACTTGAACCGGACCGTGTCCGCACGGCTTCGAGCGCTGAATCTCCCAAAACCACCAAAACATGTCGTTCCGCCCGCGGATGATCGACTGGATAAGCCGAACTTCGACCAGTACGTGCAGAACATGCAGAACTATATGCGCGAATGGAACCACTTCAATGCCAAGATGATCGAGCATTTCCGCGCCCGTCAAGATAAGGTCTGCGGCACCATGAGCCAGAACTGGATTGCACAGTTCGGTGATGGCCCCGACGCGGAGGCATTAGAGAAAGACGAGAAAGGAGATAAGCAGGCGGGCTACGCGGCTTATATGCAGTGGTTGAAAGACGACGGACAGTGTCGGGATTGGTGGGAGGAGGCGAATGAGAAGCACTTGAAGTGTTTGGAGGATTTGGGGAGGGTGAGGGAGCTGGCGAAGAAAAAGTTGAGGCCTGCATGAATTTGACGCTTATAGTTTCAGGTTGGAGGCCTCTAATGCTTGACTTTCTGGGTACAAATTATGTGGCTTTTTGCAACATCTCAGAACGAGCTTGGTGATTCCGGGCACCGGGCAAAGGGCGCGGCAAAGGTTTGAGGCATAGCCGGATACAGGCGGCGGACTTGCGAGTTCCGACATGCGTCGGTTGGATGGTCTCTAAATGATGCGGATACCCTGTTAGCATGAGGCATGAGGCATAGAGATCTTGAGCATCGGAGGGCATGGACAACTGACATGATGATACTGCTTGAATCTCAAAAGCGAGAGCTCTGGCTTTGCGAGCGGAATCGATCGCAACCCCCCCGTCCTTGCGTACATGTACACTCCTCTTTTGAGCAGAACACGCATTGCGCTGTGTCCCTCCTGGTAAGTGGACGTGGTGGACGGTCCGCAATGCTTACCCTCCTACCATATTGCAAGACGCGGCATCGGCGTTGATCACTTTGATCCGTAGCTGCACAGCAAATCAATGTGCTCTCAGTGCGCGACTGCGCGCTCATCCCTCTTTGTGGACATCTCGAAACTACCCATGCTGAAACAGCCTTACCCGCCTTCGAATCGACTTCGCGGTCCCACGTGAGCGGCATGAGTTCCTTACGGTCCTCGACGATTGACCAAACTGCCTCCGAATGGATACCTTCTCGGCGAAATGCTCGGCGTGCAAGTCCCGTTTCCTGCAGCTTCAAACCACCTTGACAAGTCAGCGTTCCTGTCACGCCGTCACCACGCCCAGGCTAGGGACATCTTGCCTCAACTTGTCAAGGCTACGCTTGGCGAGAGAGGTACATGAAAGGGAGAGCGCCTTCTTTGGAAAGCCGCCCGCCATCGTCGATCATTCAAGGCAGGAAGCGGTGTACGAAGGGAGTACGAGAATATATTGGTTGATTCTGAAGAAAGTCGAGCCACACATACCATCTCATCAAAGACTTTGTACCTGATTTGACAAAAAGCGCTTCACCATGGGCGACACCTCGCAAGTTGAAGTCCTGAAGCCTCCCATCCGCCGTACTTGGTGGAAGGAGTCGGCCGTCTATCAGATCTACCCAGCATCCTTCAAATCGGCCAACTGCACCGTGGACAAGAACTTGGCTGAAGTAAAGGGCGACCTGCGCGGCATCATCTCCAAGCTTGACTACATCAAGGAGCTTGGAGTGGATATTGTGTGGCTCAGCCCTATCTTACAATCTCCTCAAGTCGATATGGGCTATGATATCTCGGACTACCGTGCTATCGACGCGCTGTATGGAACGATGGAAGATCATGACGACCTGATCAAGGGCTTGCATGACAGAGGGTTGAAATACGTCATGGACCTCGTCGTCAATCACACTTCCGATCAACACGAGTGGTTCAGACAGTCCCGGTCTTCGAAGGACAACCCGTACCGAGATTGGTACTTCTGGCGGCCTCCTCGATACGACGAAGCCGGCAACCGCATGCCTCCCAACAACTGGGAGTCGGCCTTCTCTGGATCTACCTGGACATACGATGAAACCACGGACGAATACTATTTGCACATATTCGCGAGTGCGCAGCCCGATTTGAACTGGGACAACCATGCAGTCCGGGACGCCGTCGACGATATGATCAGATTCTGGCTGGATCGGGGTGTGGATGGCTTTAGGATGGACGTGATCAACTTCATTTCCAAGGCTCCTGGGTTGCCGGATGGGAAGATCACGAAACCTGGATTCTTGCAGTCTGGCGTCGAACATTTTGCTTGCGGTCCTCGCTTGCACGAGTATCTTCGAGGCATTGGCGCCATCCTGCATGAGTATGACGGCTTTTCTGTGGGTGAGATGCCTGGCGTTACCGATACAAGAGAAATCCTCAAGGCAGTCGGGCAAGATCGTGGGGAACTCGCCATGGCCTTTCAGTTCGACATTGTCACCATGGATATCGAACCGGGTGCTGGGTCAAAGTGGGAGCACCGGGACTTCGAGCCGCGGGCTCTGAAGCACGTCGTTGCGAAGTGGCAGTCTTTCATGCTCGAGAATGCAGGCTGGAACGCGGTGTTCATGGAAAACCACGATCAAGGCCGCACAATCTCGAGGTATTGCGACGATAGCGAGGAGTACCGGACCAAGTCGGCCAAGCTACTTGCTGCCCACATGGGTCTCCAATCAGGAACACTCTTCATCTACCAAGGTCAGGAACTTGCGCAGATAAATGTTCCTGAGTCTTGGGGCCTGGACAAGTACAAAGACATTGAAGTGATCAACCATTGGAAGACGGTTTTGCGCGACTATCCTGACGACAAGGATAAGCAAGCCGCCTACAAGCGCCAGTACCGGCTTATTGGCCGTGACAATGCTAGAACACCAATGCAGTGGACTTCTGATGCAGGAACTTTTGCTGGTTTCCTTCCAGATGACCGTCCTAAGGATGCAAAGCCCTGGATGTCGATCTATCCCGACTTTGAGAGGTGGAACGCCGAGGCTCAACTTTCAGATTGGGACAGTGCATTCCTTTACTGGCAACGAATACTTGCGCTCCGCAAGCAGCATAAGGATATTTTTGTCTATGGTGATTTTGAGATGCTCGACGTCGATAACGATTTTCCCAACGTCGTTGCGTATCTAAGGTCTGATCGGTCTGCCGAGCATTCACAGGCTGAGAACGAGAAACCGGGCAGCTGTCTTGTCATTGCGAACTTTTCGAAAGACAGGCTGTGGTGGAGAGTGCCGGAAAAGGTTGAGGGTATATTATTCGACGGCCGCAGATTGAGGAGCGAAGCTATCCGACAGGATCTGCGCAATTACACGGGAAGTGCCGCCGGGGACAACGCGACTGAAAGAGACGCGAGGGGTTGGAAAATCGACTTGATGGCGTGGGAGGTGGTCGTTGCCGTGGCTTGAAGGGAAGATTTGGTCATATCACTCGACTACATTCCCCAAGAAGTATATTCACAGTTGCAGGTGAGCATCGAGCCACCGATTGACCTCGTTCCCAATAATTTCTTGCCCAGCATTGCGCTTCACGATACGACGACTCCCAGATGCGTTCCTCGATCTCGAGTTGAATATATCTCCTTCCCGTTATGCCCTTCAGCGCGGTGTGGTCACGATGTCCGCCCCTCGATCTTGTCCAGTCAGCTCATGACCCTGTACATGAGTGCAGTTACCTGGCGTGACTTTCACCTTTCCCAAGCGGATGGTGCTTTCCCAGAACCATACGTGGGAAGAAGGATGAGTCAAATCACTGATTGTAATCCTGTCCCGTGCCCGACGCACTTCACGATCGCCACCACGTCGCGCCCTTGTGGGAGAGCATGCATCACTGTTCCTGTCATGCAAGAAAGTGAGTGAGTGAAGGGGTGGGTGAGTCATCGAAGACCTAGGAAGCTGATAACAGGCATCCAACCCCTCCTTGGAGCGTGGCTGTGCCGAATACATAAGTATCAGTCTTTCCTCTCCTCCCAACCTCTGCAGCTCTTCCTCTCCCTCCCGCCCCCTGCAGCTCTTTCTCCTCCTCCCAACCTCTGCAGCTCTTCCTCCTCTTGCCAACCTCTGCTGCCCTTTCTCCCTTCTGTCTGTGTATATATATATCAACCGTCCGCACGAAGCCTCGTCCTTCGAATTCGGCCTACCGATCGGGTACCCCTCTCTGCCATATCAAAGAATGACATTGTCTTCAGTGGATGGCCATGGGCAATCCCCCATACGGCACTCTCGGAGCGGTTAGGGCCAGAATGCACGCAGGGTATCAGGTAGTCAGTCTCCTCGAAAGGAACTCCCCCGGCACAAAGCTTCTGGAAACTAAATGAGTTGAACTGCTGGAGGCTGAGCCGATCAAGCAACCTAGGAACCGTCACACCAAGCTCAAGCACAAGCACTGGCGACTCATCGGAGTTGGACTCGGTAAGCTTCGTCACCTCTTCAAAACTCCCACAACGGGGGAATTCTTGGTTTGGCGATGAGCAAGGGCCTGTGCATGAGCGAGGGCCTGGGCCAAGTCTTTGACAGCGATCACGGCCATGGTTACTGTTACTGATATTGTTGCCAACGAGGACAAATCATACCGCCGTGGGGTTTCAACCTGATTGTGACGCCGAAGAGCTGTGCGCAACAGTGGAGTGGATTGAGGAGGAAAGAAACACTACGGATCGGCGTCGGCCCTGCTATACTTACTCTTTGCGAAACAGTATGTCGTTGGACAATGAACGGTCAATGGCGGACACGAGAGATGGGAAATTCTGAGGCTTCTCGGAGACATCTGAGCTGAATTCCACAAAGATCTTACGCAGACGAACACAGGTGCATTCTCATGACAGAGACTCTAGCTCATGCAGCAGAGCCAGATGCACGGCGCGCAGAAGAACCTGGTCAGCCAAGACCTAACGCATATCCAACGAAATCGCAACAACACACACGGACTTTTGGGTCTGTCACATCCGTGAATCGTGCCGTCGAGTTATAGTCATCCATGAGAGCCGTTAGCCACAGATTCCACTACTGGCCAGCTAGCAGCGCAGGACAGGGACACTGTTCTAATTGTTCATGCATGTCGCAGGGATTTATGCATGCTGCCAGCTTTTCCCATGCCAAAGGGCTTACGGTCGCCCATCACGAACGAAACGACAGATGGAACAAGAAGCATACGAGCAGTGGCGAACGTTCTGCACGAGGATGTGTCAATGACCCTAAACACCGTGGACCATCAAACAGCTTAACAGAACTACCTACTACGAGAATTTCCAGGCTGGCTGTCTGGCGGTGGGTCCCGTGGAGGCTTCAATCAGTATACGGCTGGACATCGAACTCAACCTGGGAACACCAGGTCACGACCGGCTGCTGCCAACGAAGAATGAAGTGTGTCTGCTTTTGCCTGAGGCCCGTTGGTCGGGTGCACAGCGTCTGAAAAAGCCCCGATTCAGTAAGCCTGGGTCTACTGCGTCCATGAGACGTACGACTTGCGGAATTTCGCGAAACCCCGGCCTCGATGATGGCACAGACCTCCGACGAAGCGTTGTCGGAGACTACCAACGGCCGCCATGGACGTCCGCTTCGACGCCCAGCGACAAACCGTGCAAGCAGATGAAACTCTCGCTCTTCTCTTGCGGCACCACCACCTCGACGGGAACAATCCACCTTTGCGCTGTCTCACTGAGGGCACCGGATGTGTGGTTGACGAATCCCAACGCGCCAGTTGTTGGATGGGCTACGATCCTGCCGCTTCCTGGTGGACTTGTCGGTCGAAGGTCTTGCGGAAAAGGAGCTTCTCCCGGCACAGCACTCATAAGTATTCGGGATTAGACGACTGCTGACAGAATGTAACCCGCTTCGTGCTACTGAAGGCAGAACTCACAAGTAAGTTTTTAAAGCCATCAAATTAATCATAAATACTCATAATAATTCACGGTACAGGTGGCAGCACCACCATTAGGGGCGTCAGCCACACCGGCTCGTCCATCTCGCTCGATACATTTAACACGATTGATCCCAGGCGCCGCACCACCGCGTGAAGCGACGGCGAGAACGGCAGTAATCACTCGAGAGGCAGTCTTGAGTAAACCTACCCCGGGGTAATTGCGCCAGCTAGAGGGTATCAAGTTCGGGATTCAGCTGCACACTCTACGCTAGAGATTTGAACTGGACTTGAAATGCTGTGCGGTGTTGATTGGCAAATATGAATTTCCCCGACAGAAGTATGGCACCAATGGACCGACGCCACCGATCGTATTGCCGGTGCCGCGACAGCTGTGAGGAACGAAAACACATTGGGAAACCGGTCGAGTGGACAAGGCTCAGATGACCTTTCAAGTACGTGCCTGGCTCGCTAGTTGGACAATTGGTTCTGGCGTACAATCTCAAGCACAAGTATCTCTGCTTTCTAACCAATCCAACATCGACCTGACGTGGGACTTCGGAACCCTGCAGAGGAAGTGGTACTGGCCATCCAGCGGGATGCGCAGCTACGGAGACAATGTGAGTTGGTTCGCGGGAACTTACCTGCAGCGGAAGGACCGCATCTATATATATGACAATCGGCCTCGTGTCCTTGCTTTCCACCGCAACGGCTTCTTAAGGACAGTGTCGCCGTGTCCCTCCTGTTCGCCGCCAGGGCTTCAATCACAGAGCACAATGACGCGCAACTACCCGAGTCCCTGAGAACGATGACACGCCTATCACGGGCGAGGAGAGTGCGCCATGCAAGGCGGATATCGGGGCTACAGCGGAGGAGCTCCTGAACCGCGAGCAGCCGGCTCTGAAGGGTCAGGAAAAGCGCCTCCGGTGAAAGCGAAACATCCTTGGAAGACGGCATTTTGCGGATGCTGGCAATGGGGATGAGGTGCAAAGAAGGAGACGATGAGGACATTGATCTCAGATTCCGTCGCCGCCCGCTTTGCTCCCGACGTCCCTGCTATCCCGGGCCCAACCGCGGGCGCTGTCGAACCAGGCGGAAGCTTCCACCATGTCGGCGGCGATGTACAAGGAGAAAGCAGACGCTGCAGAAGCCAAGGTAGCGCAGCTGCAACCGCCACAACAAGACGACGCGCCATTGCTGCGTCACTCGCGGCCCGACAGGCGTGGCGCTGCTTTGCTTCTCCCCATATTTATTTATGTGTCTGATACTTTATGGTGAAGGAAGTTTGTCACCCTCAAAACTTGTGGATACATTTTCTCCATGACCCCGCGGGCAGGAGCCATTGAAACGGTGGGATAGGAGTTCTTCCTGACACTCTAGGAAGAACCAGTGGCGAGAAGTCTATGTGAACACCAGCAGATGGAGGCTGGTATACCCTTGCGATATCGACATTCTTGTGACACCTTGTCGAGTTTCAGTATCCTTTGGATCACGGTCGATCATTGTCGAGTCTCAGCTCCTGGAGCGAATATCTACCTGCACGAGTCGTGGCGCTCCGCATCGATCGAGCAGTCCTGTTCGAATGTCTTCTCTTTTTACAGGAGCCGTTGACCATGCTAGATACCTGGTCTCAGGTAAGTTACCACCTCCATTCTCAGATTTGGTTGCTAACGGTTCCGAAGGAATGAGATGATGTGAGAACCGCCGTGGACGGGCGTGACCCCGGTGACCAGGAGACGCTTGATACCAAGAGTATGTGCCATCCCCTGTCGCATCCTTTCGTAACCGCCCTGACCTTTCTGATAGAACCGCGCTCGTCGGAGGACGAGACATACTAGGTACCTCATCCAACTGAAGGGTACAAAAACGCCGAAAGTAAGCCTAGTGCTTCTGTGTAACTGATCGTAACTGACTGTTGCCTTAGCATGCTCCAAATGTGCCAACCAGAACGGAGAATTTGTGAGCTGTATCTCCGTTGCTGGGATCTGCCGTGGTGATGAGTTTCCCCTTGTCGGCACCTTTCGTAACTAACTTGCTCCCCTAGCTTGTGGCTGCTGTGTTTTTCAGTCCACGCCGCTCATCGTTCAGACGTCTCTCCACTGTTGCCAACGCACGCGTTGTGGCTATTGGTGGGGTGGACTGACCAGTGCCCTGCCACATTTGGTAGCAACACTCAGTCTTGTCTGTGAATACATACCTGTTCATAAAGCAACTGTCAGTCGACAGGGCATCGCATTTTTAGCCCTCGTACAGGCAGTTGCATGGCGCAGGCAACACTCGGGATCCAAGGACCTTCGGGATCGAGAACGGGACTGCCCGCCACAATTTTCGTCTACAGGGTGGTTAACAGGACGGGTGTACTTCAATTTAGGCATCTGTGCGCCGTCGGGGCCCTTCAGACCGTCAGCAAGCCTCGTGGACGGGCAAAGAACGGCGCTGGTGCAATACCGCCTCTCAGGTATGGAGAAAGCCCTCGTCGCTGCTCAAAGCCAAGACAGCTTTCCAGCCGGAGGGCTTCAATTCTCATCACGAAGGTTAACGACGAGAACCA